GTAAGGTGGCAGTGGCAACATGCTATGCATGTAGGAGTCTGGATACTGCACAATGTTTGTAATTCTAATTCCCCTGTAGTATAAGTAGGCTGGTTACAGTAGGTAGAAGCCAAGTTTTGAGCCCCCAAGTTCCCATGCATGCATTGAAGGCGGTACTGTAACAAAGGATCAGTTTGTGACTTCAAGCTTTGCATAGAGTTAGCGAGCTCACTCAGAGAAATACAAGATATCCTTGAGAAAAGACTTTTTGTGCACTTAGTTCTGAGAGAATAAGAATCAGTGAAGCTGTTCTGTTTCATTGAGTGTTGATAAGTCCATTTGGAGTATGTTCTGAAGAGGAAAAGTGAGATCTGTTCTGTTCAGTTTCTGTTCAGTCTGTTCTGCATCAGTTCTGTTTCGAGTTTCTGTTTTCTGAATCTGTTTCCAAGCACTTCTGAAGTGTTCTTGAGTTGAGATCATCTGTTGAAGTTAGTTGGAGAACCCCTACATACAGTTGTGTAGCGAGCAGGCTAAGTCAGTGCTTGTCTGTGGTGTTCTTTTAGCAAGCTCACTAAAGTTTCGGCATGTATTGCCTCTGTTTCTGTCAGGATCAGTGTCCCTTGTGTATTTTAAATCAAATCTGCCTTGAAGGTTGCATCATGCCAGTGAATGACCTTCCTGTAAAAGTTCCTAGACTTAGGGATTCATTAAAGAAAGCTTAGCTTTGCTAAGAGCACTGAGAATAAGAGAAACTCTTCGAGATATTGAAGTATAGTGGATCACATTAGAAATAATTGCTCCCCCTAGAACTTACGAGGGTGATTGTAGTTTGTGTAGTTGTGTGAGTGTGTGTGTAGGTTTTTGAGGTTTGCCTTTTAGCCCACTCACTATTCCACAGGTGCCCACAGCCAGCCTCTTCACCGGGTTTTGGAATGGGCCTTGTTGTTCAAGTGGCTGTACAGCCACATTTCCACCAATGTTCAATGTTGATGGTCCCATGTCAGGCTTGCCCTCTGCTTCAATGCTGCCATCATTGGACAAGGATGACCCCACATCATCACCACTATTACTGGGTGCTGCAGCCCAATCCCCAGGACCCTCTGAAGGCCTTGAGCTATGCAATACAAATTTCTTGCCCACCATTCATTTGGTAAATGCCAAGGATAACTTGTTTGCTTGGATTTTCAGTTTTAAAGTCCATTTCAGCTTTGCACTGGATCCCATGCATGTCAACATTACTGTGTTTGCCTCCAAACCCATTAGCACAGGTGTAGTGACATCGAGATTACTGGGATCAATGGGTGGGTGGTCCTCGTCATGCTGAGGAAACTCTGAGGATGCACAGATGGTCCCCAGAGACTTGTTAGAGTAGAGGCAAGATAGCGCATCAGTAAGTACATTCTCACTCCTGGAAACATATATTACTTCAAAGTCAAAGTCTGACAACAACTCTATCCAGCAAGCTTGTCGTCCAGATAAGTTCTGCTGATTCAAAAGGTGAATCAGCCCCTTGTGGTCCATATACCACTTGAAGTGACATCCTAGTAGGATGTCTCGATGTCGTCTCATTATCTCCACCCCTGCAAACATTTCCTGCTCATGCACAGGGTAGTTCTGTTGCACAGGATTCAACTTTGCTGAGAAGAATGTGGCAACTTTGGCATTTTTCCAGTCTTCATCTTGGCTCATGACACCAGCAATCCCAGTGCTACTAGCATCAGTGATGATGTTTATCATGGAGGCATCCTTCTCATAGTCAAGAGGAACATAATGGTTCTCTTGCCAGCAATGTACATATTCCTTTACTTGTTCGAAAGCTCACTGATGTGTCTCAGTCCAATTCCAGGGTACAGTAGCCCCAGTTAAGGTGTGCAACACCCCCATTGGCACACGAACATGGTCTATATTATTGGCTAAATATCCTACTGATCCCAGGAACCTGCTCAAGAGTTCATGGCTTGTCAGTACCTTCCAATTCATTACAGTATTGACTTTTGAAGGATCCATCTTGATTCCTTTGTTGTCAATGATGTGCCCCAAGATGTGCAATTCTTGTGCTAGGATTTTGCACTTTTTCTCACTGAGGTAAAGCCGTTGCTCTTCCAGGATGTCAAATATCAGCTCACAGTGTTTTGTGTGTTCTTCAATAGTATCTGAATACACAATAATATCATCAAGATAAACATCCATGAACACACTGATATATGGAGGGAATAAATGATTCATCAATGCCTGGCAAGTAGCAGGTGCATTGCAGTCACCCTGCTGCATAACAAGGTTTATCATGTTTCCATCAGGCATAGTGACTGCCATGTGATCAAGGTGCTCAGTCACGACATGGACCTGCTCATATGCAGCCTGCAAATCAAACAATGAGCAGAAATGGTGACCAGCAACCTGTCTGAGGATCCCATCAATTGATGCCAATGATGCCACCATCTTGTATTTCATGATTAATAGGTCTGAAAGGAGGTAATGGAGCTTTGGCCACATCCTCAAATAACCCTCAAGCCCATGTGGATTCCCTGATTATATTCTGCACATCCAAGATAGCTTCTTTGGCCAATTCAACTGATCATGATGCTAGCTCACTAATGTTGGCCCCTTCAATGGGTAAGCTCTCCTCACTTCCAATATGGACTATGTTCTCATTCATCCCCATAGTGAATTTATGCTGAAATAAGAATGGGGTTCCCAGTATTACATCATAATTTCTGAGGTTCACGATATCAAAATATCTTTGTTCATCAATACCTTGATATTGGAATCTAGGCTTAGTTCCATAATTGATCTTCGAGTGTGAGCCTTGTACTGCAAGATGAAGTGAAATTGGTTTTTCAAGTTCAATTTTCTTCAGATTTAGTTGGTCAGCCAATGTAGTTGATATGAAATCTGACAATGAGCCTGAGTCAAGTAGAGCATGGGCTTTATGCCCTTCAATGAAAATGTCTACTATCATTGGCTTGGGCATGAGGTGAGTAAAGTCCCAAGGAATACCTGCATTGCATTGGATGGCAATAAGTTTATCCTGTTTATGCCCCACATGGCCAAGGTACAGGCTGTCTATTTCCCTGCAAGGTTCATGGGAATCTCCTACATACTCACCCTCCATGAGAGTGAGACCAATTCTCTGGCCAGACCAGCAACAGGCATGCAGCTGTTTTTGCTCTCAGCACTGAACCTGAGCTAATGACCAGTTATATAGGTGGAATTTCAGATGGAGAGCTACCTGTTATGACAGACAGAATGTATGACTAAGGGCCCAATCATGTACATGAAAAACATTAGCACTCTTATAAGAGACATTGAATCTCTTTGCTAGTGCCTGGAGTCCATCATTGAATTCCTCATTCAGGTACTCCTCAATGAATACTGCTATCAGATCCCTCACCAAAGGGATAGGTAATTTGACAGATGGAATTCCAAAGGTGTGAATAAGATAAGCCTGATACCAGGCAACCATGTCACCATACTGAACAATGTCAGCAGGTACAAGTACCTTGTCCTGTTCATCATGGAAGGCATCAAACAAGATGAACTTCATGCCTTTCCTTTGATACATGCTGAAATGTCTAGTATTCCCACCCTCTGTGCCTTTGGAACCAGTCAATGCCAGGGAATCTGGCCAATTTGTCATGGAATTCATGTGCCAGGTCCACCATTCCTCAAGCATATTGCCCATTGGCTGGTCAAGCCACAGTTCTGCTTCAGTTGGAGTCCATGTACCCTCCAGAAGGGTGTCAGCTTCATTATCCAATCCCAAGACGATGTTATTGAGTTGGAAGCTAGTAGAGCTGTCTGTGACTTTGGACAGTTGATCAGCCTCCTTCAATTTAAACTGGACATTTGTGAAAGACATTATAGGAGGCTTTTTCTGGCCAGGAGGATCTGAACATGATCCGGAGGTGACAGAGTTACCATCAGGGCACTGTCATGAGGTGTGTCCGACTTTTCCACAGCAGAAGCACCTCCCTTCAGCAAGGTATTCATCATGTTGCTTCTTATCCAACTTGTGCTCATGCCAGGAGGCCTTTTTATCCACTACAGGCTTTTCTCAATTATGAGCTGGGCCTTTACATGGAATGCCAGATAATTCACAAAGTTCATTGTTGAAGCTCAGACAAGCTGGTTTCAGAGTGTGATCCTGCTTGGAGCATGGTATGTCATTCCATTTATTTCATTCAGTTGTCTCATTGGTGCAACGATTCTTAGCATGGCAGTTGTGCTCATAATCACCACAAGATTTTCCTTCATCTCTACATTGAGTGATGTCAAGGATTTCACCCATATCCACAATCTCATGCCACATATCAATTTCCTCATTGTAGAAACAATGACTCAGCTCTTCCCAGAGATCATGCCATAACTCATACCACAAGTGGAGCACTTGAGTATGTTCTGACTCATCTCCAAGCATATGGTAGTGTCTCTTCAGCTCATGAGCATATGTGCATATATCACAATCACCCTGGAAGCACTGCCTGATTCTTCAATGAACCTTAGCCCAGAAATCCTGAGGGAAGCAGTAATTAAACATCTCCCAGAAGAAGGTAGTTAAGTCCCATTTGTTGTAATTCATACTAACACTTTAGTCATAGAAATCATGGGCCTTGCCCTCAAGATAACAAGAAATCTGAAATACCTTGTCCTCGTCTTTAACGTTTCCCATCTTCAGATACTGTTCACATTCCTGAATAAAACATGCAACTAATTTTGGGTCATCACTACCATTGTATGTACATGGCAGGATTGGCTTCTCCCATTGGTCATGAGAATGAGAACAGGAATGGCGTGATGATTTCTTCTTACAGTGCTCATTCCCAGAGCTAGACTCATCATCTGAGGAAGAGGATGAAGAAGAAGAAGAAGAATCATTCAGGTTCATCGGCAGGTGCGTTAACTGGTTCTGCACTGCCAACAGACTTTTTCAAAGCTCTCCCCAGGTAACTATTTGGAGCAACTTGATCTGCTGTGAAGGCTGGTCCACACTGAACATTGGGTGTTTCCTGATGTTTGCTGCCTCACATGGCATTCTGTGCAACACCAATCATATGCTGCATATCAATGTGGGGGTTACCTATCACATTGTTAGAACCTGATAATGGGGACCATCCCTGCAAACCACCAAGACTACTAGCCTTCAGGACTGAAGGGCTCGATAACTTGGAATGTACCTTTTGGTTGCCCAAAGTTGCATCGAACATCTCTTTGGTCTTGACATCCTCCGCGATCCTAACCTTCTTTACAGGCTTTGAGATTGGGGTGCTGGTAATTGGTGGGGTAAAGTTCATGGCCTCTCCATCACCTGAAACCTCACCCTTCATTACAGGTGTGGAGATACAGAATACTTCAGGTTCCACATTGGATGAACCACCAATCTGGCTGTCAGGTTTGGCAGAGGAACACTTGTGTGCCTTCCATGATCTCATGACATCTTCATAGATCACCTTTTGCACTTCAGGATCCTCGTCCTTCAAGAAATTGAAGTTCTCCCAAGCATGGCACTGATTCTCAGGATCCAATTCCTCATTGTCAATCCCTGGAATTCCAGTGTCACAAAAATCACGAATCTTTCCTTTGTTGACAAAAGGCTTTTCCACAGGTATTTCATTTCCTGCCTCATGTTCAGTATCTGACTCTAAGTTTGACACATTTTCAGCTTGCATAGCTCCAGCCTGAGCTTCGAGTTGAGCTGCCTCTGCCACAGCCTCTTGTTCCCTTTGGACTTGACTTGGAATATTGAGAAATTGCTTTTCAAAATGCTTCTGGCATACATCATGTACAAATTTTATGGTATTCTCAATAGCGACCTTATTTTCATCAACATCAGAATCAGATAAAATTTCATATCTATTTTTCATGCTAGCAGTAAACCCAGTGGTTTTCGAACCAGGGTCCAGCAAAGGGGTACATCTACCCTTCTTCTTTCCCACAGTCTCCCATCCCATAACTTTGCTAGGGTGGAGAATGACAGAATTGTCATCAAGATCCAGAAGATCTACATCCAATGCAGTTTGAAAACTGATGGAATTCAGCTCATTTGCAGTAATGCGACCACCATACTGGCTAGGAAGATTGAAGTCCTCAGATGCGACAGACTCCTCCTTCACAGGCCAAGAGGATAATCCCTTCTCATCTATGGAGACAGGGCCTGAGCTTCTCATGCTGATGTCCAGCACAGGGCTCACAATGCTAGTAAGGGGGCTTTCCATGTCCCCCCAAAGGTCAGCATTATTTTTAGATTGAATAGATGGCAACTCAGCGGAAATGGCAGGTGCCTTTTTATTGCTCTGATTCGGGAGCCCCTGAGCTAGCGGAGCAACCCCTTTCAAATGGGTAAACGGCACCATAGTCAAGACCAAGATGCAGCGAGCAAGAAAAAAAAATTGAAGCAAGTTTAGAGAGGTAGAGAGAAGCAAGAACTTGTCAGAATTTTGGGGTGGCAAGGCAAAGTCGTGCGGAGATCCGGGTGATCAAGCCAGAGCATTCCAATCGACAAGGCCTTGCCAGTAAGGCTTTTGTTTTTCGAAGTCGAGTTTTGTTGAAGTCAAAGTTCTTGTAGGTCAAAAATATGTGACGGTACTGTGATGGGAAGTCAGTAGTAATGGCACACGAGAGTTAGATGAAGCGAGAGCTGTCGAACGGAGGAAAGACCAGGTTAAAAGAACCTCTATTCGAGTAGTTCTAGCATATGTAGGAGAATTTTATGGTCTTATATACTGGTAGGATAAGGACTATTACTAAAAGGAATAAGGAAGGCTAATCAATAAGTAAACGGCGGGATAAGTAATAGGAAAGCGGGATCACCGCAGTAAAGTAGAAGAGCTATATAATAAGTAGATAAGGAAGAAGATAAGATAAAGAAAGAGAGAGAGAGAACAAGAGTACCGGCATGAGGAGCTGGCACGAATCTCCTACATTCACCCTCAAAATGTTCAACATGAAAGATGGCGGCCTCTCAACATAAACAACACCTAGAGCTGGTTCACATAGACAACACATCGACATGTCAATTTCGAGAAGAGGATGGTCTGGGAGGAAGGCGGGCATAGAGGACGGGAGAAACGCGTCCGTCTGTGAGACGATTGTAGAGGAATCAACGTCCTGAGGGCTATGCATAGCTCAGCTAGGGGAACATCCTTGGTTGCACGACTCCAATTGGGTATGTTTGCCATTCTCATCTCGCCAAAATCTTATTGACCCTGCATTTAGTTCAGTTCATGGTTATCTGGTGCCCAAGGCAGGGGAAAGGCCGTCAAGAAGCTCAAGGTCGTCACTGCATTCCAACGACTCTAAGGAGAAGCCGTTCATTAGCAATCCCCTCTGAAGCGTTGTCGTTTGTTGCCATCACCAGCACTACGAGAGATATCTTTGCGCGTCTCTTCCTCGTCTATGGCCTTCTCTACCCCCTTGATTAACGCCACGAAATACACTTTCCAAGACGATCTCATCCTCAAATAACGCTCCGTCTGCCATTTTCCTCATCACGCCCTACTTCCTTCATCGACATCGATCTTCTCCACAGTACCCCTGTATATTTCTCACCTCTCAACATCGTGATCTACTGCCGTTGACGTTTCGATTCGGGACGAGACTGTTATCTTAGTGAAGTCAGAGACTGGTGACAAGCGAGTCGTTTGAAGCCTGCTGGCTATTTTGAGGGTATGTCTGTGCTATTATCCTTCACTTTTATTACTGACATCTTCAAAAGTTTGCTGATGACTCGTTCAAGTCCCCGTATCTTCCATCAACGCTGTGTATGGTTCTTGTCCTTGCCATCCGACGTATTTCGTATGATCGTTCTAGCCCTGACGTCTCCTCCCACTCAATCAACGCCGCCTCCAATGGAGCTCTCACTCAAAACTGAGCTCAAGTCGTTACTATCACATGATGTTCATGGCATCTGGGCCTGACATTGAGCGAATGTGGAGGATGATATGACATATTGGACTAGGTGGATGATGGCTTTCAGCCGGGAGGTCCTAGTAGGTGCGTTGGAGGATATGAAATGTAATTTTGACAGCCAGCGAGGCAGCAATTGCTGATCGTCTCGCTTTCTCGTAGCTCGGACCATCAAGCTCTGCATGCATTCATAGAGCTAGCAATACCATCCAGCAAAATCCACAATGGCTAACGACCATGCCATGTCGAGGTGCAGCGAATACAGTAGATGAGGGCGGAAACGTCCCCTTCTCTGTAACAGACGCGATATCAACAAGGAATGAGTGAGTTACTTCCGAGAAGGGTCAAGGAAGACGTAGTCCGCCAATGGTATTGAAACCGGCCTTGGACTGAGGATGTGAACAACGCCGGCGTCTTTGGCGTAGAGGTGTAGAAGTGTAGAGGACAAGTTCCAGCTGACGAGTGTGACAGGGGATGTAGCTTCACTCTATCTGTGCGACGACTTCCTACAACGCAAACTGGATCAAAGGGGAAGAAATGATGGTCTGAACGCCACCGTATGATGCTGATTTGAACTCGATAGCGACAGAACACCCGGCTACATATTCCTTTAGGTGGCAGCTGAGTTGTTGAGATACTCCTGCCCTGGGGAGGCAGCATGATGACGGTCGAGTCGTATGCGAATAAGCTTTCCTTGAAGTCGGTGCTCATATCGTTGAAGGACACCTTCTGGTCATGCTTCTTGACGGTCTTACTCTCGACGAAGAATTATTACAAACTACAGATGAAAGTCACGTCAATACGAGTTCAGTGAGGTGACGATGGCGGTCATACCCTGGAGTCGCTCGTAACACATTGGATGACGGCCCTCACAGTCACCGAAACGTCCCTCTTGATCCATACAGAATCTGTTGTGCAATTGTAGCAGGACAGTTGCACAGGAGAACGGAACGATGAGAACAGATGGTGACCTCGTGGACGAGGTGCTTGATCAGATCAAACTTTCCTTTTGGGGTCTGCTTTGGTGCCAGCATCGTCCCTTTTATATTTGTTGTCCAGGTTGTTCTGCGAACAGGTGCCGGTCGTCTTTCTTTACCACCACCACATCCTACATTATGAAGCGGTGGGCCATCGCAAGGCGTGGCAGATCCGAGTCCTGAAGATGGGGTGGGCTGCCCTGCGTGGGCAGCACAAGGTTAAAGGAGCATATGATTCGACATCATCCTTCTGTCAATCTCAATCAGTACAAGCACATTTGGCAGACAACAAAGAGTGAAAAATACTACTGAAGAAGACTTACGATAATCGCCGCAAGGTGAAGAGGACTCAGGAGCATAAACAAAAAAAGAATGAGCAGGAACCCCCTGCTCGTCTCAGAGGCTCACAGTTCACAGATGTCATGGCGGTATGTTTGAAAATCCAAATCGATTGAATAATGGTCTAATCGTACACAACAAAAGACTATCGATCTTGAGAACAGCACGCCTGGACAACGAAGGTGAGGATGTCCAAGGACATAAAAATGAATACATTGAAGGCGAGGGTGCGAGGATGAATGGCCTTAGCAACGACAAACAGAACGACGAAGATCCTCAAGCAGCGTACGATGGAGATTCTGGCATGAAGAATTGCACATAGACGAAGATGACAACATACAGTATGGGCCATCTCTATCGCCCGGAATTCCTGCCAAACGTGACTCACTATGCGACGGAGGCCATACCCAAGTAACAGACTCAAAGACAATATCTGTGATTAAAGTTGGTCGGCAGACTGAACAGAATGAGGGGGTCACATACCCAATTCTCGTTCTAGCCTCGCGTGGCCAGTCCTCCCACCAAAGAGTCCAGTCAGCATAACCCATTCATCACCAACTGGCCCATCTCAGCTGTCACGCGTCACCCGCTAACGCTTCCGTAGGGCCTTGTTGAGTACCAGGAGTGATGTTGATCCAGTTGCTAGCACCAGTAATGCAGTCCCAGCGACGGTCTGTGCAAGGAAAGTGGGCGAGAATGGCATCTTCTCAGACTGTGTCTGCGGTTGTTGAGTCAAGGTCGAGGAACAAGAAATGGCTACGAAGTGTGCAAAGAGAGGTGTGAGACCGTTTGGGCGAGCACTTCCCTAGGGATCAGAGATACAACAACTAAAAACAAATGTTAAGTTCATCAACAACATACAAATCTCAAATACGTACCGAAACGGCGGCGATGTGAATCATGTTCACCGTCGAGCAGAAAGCGAAGAACGGACCGGGGTGGGTCAAAGGAGGGAAAAAGGTATTACTAAGCAGGGAACACGGCATGCACGGCACGGCGAATTGTCGGACTATCACCATCATGCACCGCCACCGAGGTTCTCAGGTTAGTAATAGTATAGACCGAATCCTGTATACACAGGACTCGGAATGTCCCTTTCCTTTCGCCTCTTAATTCTATTATACCTCCTTCAACAACTACAGACAGTCCCTGCTTTCTAGATGCTCCTTCTCAATGTGCTACCTGTGTACCTCGTCGTCCTCATAGTCTTCCATGACGTCTCAGCAAGTCTCGTCTCCCGTGTCCATGATGTTGCCCTTCGACACACCAAGAGCATAGCACGCGACCTTCGCCTGGCCTTTGGCTCGGTCCTTGTCTCCCAACAGTCCCTGGTCGACCCGCAAACGCGTTTGACTTACTGCAAAGCTGGATCGTCAAACAACAATAACACTGGTGGTGGTGGTGGTAGTGGGAGCGGTAGCGGCAGTAGTAGCCACTCCGGGACAAGCAGCACGAGGACTGCATCCACGTCCGGTGCTTCTGCCACTGCTTCCTCTTTTTCGTCCCCGTATAATTTGGTAGAGTCTCATGTGCGTTGCCATCTTGATCAGCGTAAAATATGTCTTTATATGTAACACGTAGGCTGGCACAGAGTTTTTCAATGGCTGGTCCTTCTGGACGACTTCGGATCCTACTCATGGTGAGTTTGCCAGGTTTACCAGTTTGCTCCGTGCATATCATTGAGCAACTTTGTAGGCATTGTAGATTATGTTGACGAGAGCACGGGTGTATGTCTTTCAGTGTGGTGGCTTGTGTTTTTTTTCTAACTAACGGTGAAAAAAAAAACAGAGATCAAATGGGTTAGTGGAGGTGAACACGGATGGTAATGCTATTATGCGTGTCGAGACAACGGGAACTGTCTCTGGGAATCGTCAAAGCATTCGTATCGCTACAGAGAGTACATACGATGGTGTATTGGTGATCATGGATTCTGTGCACATGCCAACGGGCTGTGGGACGTGGCCGTGAGTCCTGTTGTTCCCTATATTCGATGGTGGCACTGATTCTTTTGTCACGCAGTGCATGGTGGTCGAACGGTAAGATATCGGCCATTTATCTGCCTGTTTCTTCTGAGACCTTTTTATAGGACCTAATTCGCCCATTAGTGGGGAAATAGGTTCGCCGCGTCTAGACTGTTCTTTTATTGTATTGATCTTATTGCACCATAGACATTGTGGAGGGTGTAAATGACTACACGAACAACCAGGCATCAGTTCACACTGATGTCGGATGTTCCTTGACATCTTCGAATGCGAACGTGCTTAATATCACAGGAACTATAGTTGGCGGGACCAACTGTGCAGCTTCCGAGACGAGCAATCAAGGCTGTGGGGTACGCTCTGCCTCTGACGTTTCGTTCGGTGCCGCTTTCAATGAGAACGGTGGCGGAGTATATGCCAGTAAGTATGATTTTTTTGACAACAGCCCACGCTCATTGGCTGTAGTGAAATGGGACGATGAGGGCATCAAGATCTACTTCTGGCCCCAGGACTCCGTTCCGTCTGACGTTGATGCTGGGACGCCCGTTCCCGACAGATGGGGGACACCATTAGCGAACTGGCCTTCATCGGCTTGCAATTCCAGCAAGTATTTCTACCAGCATTCGTTTATCTTTGACACGACTTTATGGTGAGTCATTTTTGTTTCCGGACGGATCAAATGGGCTGATTGGGGTCAGCGGTGACTTGGCCGGTGGAGTATGGAATAGCTCGGGAATACCAGGTCAAGAACAAAGCTGTGCTGCTCGGACAGGATACTCAAGCTGTGAAGACTTTGTCCGCGCAAAAGGAGCGTCGTTTGACGAAGCTTGTGAGTGACATCTTATATTACTATGTTTCTTGCGAGTTTATCCCTCCGCAGACTGGGAAATCAAGAGTGTCAAATTTTACGAACTCAAGTAGTATTTTCTACATATCAGTGACCGGATCTGGGGATTTATTGTGTACATATCTAGACATACATAATTAAATTTGCAAAGAGTAAAGACACCGCCACTGCTGCTGAGTCAGATAACGCGAGTCGGAGTCAGCGGCTGACTACCCCGACTCTGCCACGGAAAATGCTCGAAAACTCTAGTCGCGACGCGCGTATAAGGACGCGCGGCCTTGTCTTATTCAGCCACTTTCCTGTTCTCTATAAAAGCCATGCCCGCTTTCCCCTTGTCTTCATTATCGCCCCATCTTATCAACAATCATGTTCCATTACAACACACTTTACCCTACCCCTTCGCTCAGTCCCAGAGACAAGTATCTGGCTGCCCTTGCTATGGCTAAAGAAGCCGAGGAAGAATACTTGTCCGCTGAAGCTGCCGTTGAAAACGAGGAGTTCGCGCTTCGCCGTCGTCTTGAGGAATTAGAGCTCCAGAAGCGTCGTCTCCGCGGCACTGAACGCTACCCCTCGTACGGATATTACGACCGTTCTGCCCCACTACGCCATCAGCTCGAGGAAGAACAGCGTGTCAAGGTGCTGGAGGAACAGACCTTAGCACGAAGAGCCCTTGCGCTGAAGATTGAACAAGAAAAACACGAGAGGCGCCAACGTGAGTACTACAAGCTCATTTCGGGGGGCCATATGGCGGCACTGGAAGCAGAGGCAGCCCGCCATCGCGCTTAATTAGTCAATGTCGCGTCCATCCGGGTACGTTGCAAGGTTGATCTGCACCAATCATTTCCTTCTCATTATCCCTTTCAGTCGCGTCCTGATTACCCATCGATTGGCCCTGATAGCATTTTCCCGGAGGAATCCAAGGTTCGTTACCCAGGTTCTCGAAGTATCCGCTGTCCTCATATTTGCTTCCAGAGGCCTCTATCATTCGGAGGTTATGCCAACGTTGTGGCAACCCTAGCTGCAAAGGAGAAAGCAGTTAGGCATTGTCCTTATGTCGGCAAGATTCAAGTCAAGCGCGATGATGCCAAAAAGCCTCTTTCCAGCGCTCTGTCCGGAAAAGCCGAGACTGTTTTGTTGTCCCGTGCCAACGACACTGACGAAGCGCCTGTACGCAACGGCATTGTTGAGCTGCTAAAAGCCATTCTTGGTGACGCAGCCGAGGTGAAGACTTCCCCTGTGGCATCTCCTTCGCCAGCTCCGTCTACTTCCAAATCCTCCGAGATTGTTCCCGAATCCAAGAGATCCGAAGTCGAGCCCCGGCAATTGTCGCACACAACCGTTGAGGAATGCTTAGGTGCAATGCTCGGCCATTTTGCACAGAAAGTAGAAGCACCAGCATCTCGCGCAGATGCCGCGACATCCGGATCCAAGCCTGTGGAGAAGGTACGCTTCAATTATGGTGGAGCCTTTAGCTATGAGCTTATTCGTTTTTTTTTCAGAAGGCCTCTGCAATTGAATCTTCTTTGAAGGCCGAGCTTGAAGCACGCTTGAACAACGATCAATCCAACGAAATCAAGGACACCATCCAAGCTATCTTCGTCCCCCTCTTAGTCTCCGTCTTCCTACCCACGGCCGGTCATCCGCCTCCTTTCCTTCCAACCCATCTCCGAATCTCCCTCCTCCCAAATCTACCGCATTGACGTGTTGTCCCAGCACCCTTCAAGGTGGGGAGCCGCTACTCTGGGAGGTACAGACTGAAGAATCTTTGCATTGGGAAGGATGTTGACGAGGGAAGCGCGCGCGTCTTCGAGTGTGGAGAGCTTTCGCTAGGCGAGCAGGCCAGGGATATTGATCGTTAAGAGAGGCTTCGTGTACGCATGTCTGAGTCGATGCAGAGTACTCGATGACGAAGGGGTTAGAAGAGAGTTCGATGTTACCCGGGTTCCGATCCCGGCTCTCCTCAAGTCTTCCTCCCCTTTCGTTCTCGTTTTCTTCGTCTTCCTTCTCACTATTGGATCACCTATCAATGATGCCCGTTAATATACGCAAACCGGCTAAAGCACATTTTGGGGGATTGCCTACGAGGCTGGATTCGCTCATAACGGTATATGCCAATCCCAAGCATACCTGCGCTACTGATCAGGACCACGATCAAACTCTCCTTCGAGGATTACATATCGAGCCCCTCTCAATCGTCAACATTCCTCGTCTAGCGAAAGACGGCGGGAGCGAGGAACGGTTTGGCAGAGAGGGTGGCCATGGGTGAAAAGGAGAATGTGGCCATAATATGGAGCGAGAGAATGGTCGTGAAAGAATGGTCGTTGCAGTCGCAGTGATCCCGTATCTGTTGCCTCCCATCCTCATCGGTCGGTTTTCGACCATGCATTGTGGTATGTCGCTATCATTCCTGACCATCTGGGTGCATCTCATATCATCGTTCTATTATACGTAGTTCTGCCTGAATCCTCGCTTTCAACTGACGCTACTTGCAATTCAATGTTTTCTCTGAACCTCTAACCTCTGCTCAGACTTGAACTCGAGTCGCTACTATCGCCTTCTATTCATGGCGTCTGATATTGATGGCTCTACTTGCGATCTACGTTCTCGTATCGAACACGCGCGAGTTTCAGCCCCGGATTACCCGGCAGAACGTGTACTACAATTTCTCTCGAGTGGCCGGCACTGCTCTGGAAGTCAAATAAGATGTGGCATCAGCTACGATTCCTGGGTATGTCTATGAACCTTGTTGTGTCGAACGCATATTGATATCACTTCTCATTTTCAGTTCGTGACGGTTAAAGAAGTGCATCAAGAAACACGGGCCTTCACATACTTGTCGCTATCCTCCTTTCACGTATCGTAGGGTAAGCCCTCACCAGCACTACAAGAACATCGAAACCATCCTGTCGACTCTTCATTCTTCGCTTCCTCCATTTCCTTAGCCGCCGACTGCTGCCGGGAACTTTTTTGCTAATGCAAAAATGTTCAGCTCTATACGTGAAAGCCAGCGTGCTGAAGAACGACGACTGCAACGTCGAGAATATCAATTAGTGCGGAATGAACCCCACAGGAAATGCAACCATGGCCTACCCCAAAGGCTAATGACCCGGCTCCATGTTAGTCCGATCGATTACCTCCCAATTGCTTACTTACTGACCTTTCGCCAGATAGATCTCTCGACCTCACGATGATCTTTACTCCAAGCTTGGCGCTTTCGGTAGTCCTCATTGGCATCGATACCCACCGTCGGCTGGTACGTTCTCCGGCTCATAGACGCGTGATAGGACTGGTAGGAGTGGTTGGTACATCGTTTCATCCAAATGGGGAGGTGACGTGCGCGGTGCGAAGGTAGGCCCTTATTATTATTACGACCTCAGGCCATCTTTAATGGGATTCTGTAGCACTATCGATGATCTCGCAATGCCAGGTTGAGCACCCAAAGACACGAGGGGCCTCAGAGTCATACACCCGGTGATTTCATGAAGGTGGAGATAAATATTCTTTGGCAATAACGCATATTTATTCATCGGACCTTCCACAAGTACCAGCTTCTCTTCACGGTCTCATCCAGTGGCGATGCCCTCGTCACTAAGATCGAGAGGCTTGAACTTTCGGGGTATTTTAGTGCTCGATAGTAAATTCAATACGCGATTTATCTCCATTACCAGCCTGCGTGGATATGAGAAATTTAAGTTATCAGTACAATAGTGTCGTCTTCTCGGAAAGAGAGCCATGAGAGGGAAGGGACAATCAGCTTGACGAGCGAAATTCCCACTGATCGGGAGTGGGATCAAAGCTCCTTTTCATCTTCCACCACCATCCGAGGATACGTATCGATTCGACCATGCACATACAAAGTCTCGATCGACCACCAGTACTCCTCGTCTCCTCGTCTTTGCTTGACCGAAGATGCGTACGCAAACAACAGCTCATCGCCCGTCCAGGTTTTGTTCGATTCCCTGGCGCGGGGATTCCTCAATTTCACCTTCAACGGTGGCGGACTCTCAACTTGAACGACGCTAGGACTCGGTTCGCATAGACGACACGTCAGCGTGTCAATTTTGAGCAGAAGGTGGAACGAGGCACAGAATTTGTCATTTTGTAGGCGGAGAGGGGGAGACAAGGGTCTGTAGAGAGGGGAGGTCAGCAAAAAGGGCTAACTGTACTGGAGGTGGCCGGCGTCGTGAGGGCTGTGTATTAGTTTAGCTGGGAGGATGCCCTTCGCTTTACTACTCTTCGTACGTCCGCCATTCTCATCTTGCTGAAATCGTATTGACATTGCATTTTGTACAGTTCCTCGAGGCAGCCTGCTCATGTCATCGAGCAAAAGGTCATCGAGAAGCTATACGTCGGTCGCTATCACGTTCCAACAAATCCAAAGAGAGCCGTTCACTGGTGATCTCCTTTGACGCGTCGCCGTTTGTTGATGTGCACTGGGACCCCCCACCAGCACGACAAGAGATATTCTTACGCTTTCTTCTTCATCCCTTGCTTCCTCCGTTCTCTTGATCCACACCGCCGAAATATACTTTCCAAGATGATCTCGCCATCAAATAATATTCACGTTCACCCTCCTCCCTGCTTCATCGCAGCACACCTTGGACCGGTCTAATTCTCCTAAACATGAGATTTAGCGTCCCGCGTCAATGGTGACAAGTCGTATGACGATATAGGACAACGAGAAAAGGGCGATGTCCTTTCTCCCAACGACACGCCTATCCACCACCCGTCAAGTTCGCCGTCCTCTCACTGTACAGTGAGACTGAACACTAACCACAATTTATCAGACCGGCGCTCTACCACAGGTTTCTTACTCTGCGAGCTTTTATCGGTGCTCCCTCCAACGCATCGCCTCTAACCAAAAACGATATGATCCGCCTGGTCTCAACAAGACTCCGAAACTACGCTCGCCAGTCCGAGGCCTCCCCGCCAGATGTTTTGACTTCCGTCTCCTGATGGGAAGCGTTGGCCCAACCACTACATCTGACATTCCTGTTGTGCGATGCGACAAGCAGCCTTCAATGCCCGTACTCGGATCTATCAGATCACATCCGGTACCCAGACGACGGCGAGACCAACGTGATAGTAGGTGCAGAGGGAGGAAGGGAGGCAGGAGAATTCGGCATCGTGTAGGCGGAGGACCGGCCATAGGTGGGAAGAGAGGGACGTGTTCATGACTGTTCGTTGTCCCGAGACGTATTGCTAGTGAGGTTGAGCTCCTGCAAGGGCTTGTTGTCGAGGTCTCTTCGAGTATTCGTCAAAGCTCTCCAAATTTTGGCTGAGTCTATCATCCTTATCCCGCTGAACTTGTACTGATGCAGATGGTAATTTCATGTGCAGTTCATAACGGTCAAAGAAGGTCTCCAAGAAGCTTGAGTCGTTCACCACGTTCACCAAAGCTGTCGCTCTATCCTTCTTCCACGTGCCCTCCGTCCTTCGCGCCCAAGCCAACACCGTCATCTAATTCCTGTGTTCTTGCTCATGCCAATATCCAATATCATCCACGCGCCATGCATGATCAGCCTCTTGCTGACTGTACAGGCCGTCGATCTTCATACCAACGCCTCTCTCCTTATCGCAACTCCGATGTCCACCCATAGCTCACGACGGCGTTTTACGCTGACGACCTGATTGATCCTCATACAAAAGTACTAGAAAACAGATGAAAATCAAAGACATGGCCGGCCGAATAGAGGACTCCAAGATTATCCCCTTTTTCTCGACGGACCACGACTGCGAAAACCATTCTTTTTCTAATCACTGTAGTTGCGTACCTTCGCCTGCAATCTCGTTGGTCCTACCACTCAGCGTATGCCGACGTTGCTCTTATGCCTACCAGTGTCATTCACATTCCAACAATCGCTAGTAACCCTCTGCCTGTCGAAATGTCGAGGCGAAGACGACCCCATTGCTACCGAAAGTCACTCTCGTCGACCGGTTTTTCCTATCGCTTCGTACGCAGTAAGAACACACGAGTCGGGCTGCGTATAGAGATGCGAATGGTCAGACGACACTGACTAGTAACGTCCTTTACTTTCGGAACTCATTATCAAGCCTACGACATTTCCTGGATCTCCATCGCTGGAACGTCCTCGGACAACTTCCGTTCATCGTTCTACCTGTCACGCCGCACCATTGGACTGGTCCAACCTTCCGAAACATCAAACATACCTTCCCAAGCCAACAGCGACGATGCTGTATGATGAGATAGATCATTGGCGATAGATACCCCTTCCCCCCATGGCGTGCTATATTTTTAGGTCAAATTCTCCATTCTCTCTATACAGTTACCGAACGTCAATGGTTCTTTATCAGGTAGGCGCGCTACCACAGCCTCTCTACTCTGGGAATGATACGCTGCCATTCACCAAAACATCGATTCATATGGTGAAAAGGAGACATGACTTGCCTCGTCCCAGAAGGGCTCTGGACCTGAATCGGCCGGTTCGACTGTTTTCTTCTCGCCAGATAGTTCTACTTCCGTGCTGCGTTGATAGCGCGACTGCTACGTCCGACTTGGATACAACAAGAAGGCCTCACAGCCCATCTTCGGATCTCGGTTTGCCAAGACACCCCTGCCGGGCTCTGGACCCAACGTGAATATCCTCCATAGGAGATGCCGCAACGAAGATCAATGTCAGTTCACTCCTTCACCTCGTCGTTGCCTACTCACTCTTCACCAGATCCACCTCATGATAGGTACCATCGGCTTCGGTGCCTCTATTGGGTTGCGCTCGTAGTGTACCAGCTGTTCGGTGAACCCATTGTAAAAGACTCGTGCATCAATAGCATCAATGCCATATCATATTTGTTGCAGCCGGAGGGATATCGGAGGTAGACCAGGCTATGCGGACAGTCTGCGAAGGTTATTGAGTCCGTACATGCGGGAGATGCATATACGTCTGAAAGGGTAAATACATCGACAGTGTTCTTCCTTAGCCATCTTGAATTATAGCTCTGGAGGACGAATGCTAATCGTTAATTCTTAGGAACGTAATGTGAGTGATATCTTTCCTATCACGGAGGATTGCGCGATATCATTGGTTGGTTGCTGTATGGCTGTGACTTTGATTTCGACCGCAAAGCGACTGCCCAGGCCCGACTGCCCTCACTGTCCTGTATCACGACCTACTTGCGTGGAACCTTGCTCTTCACCACCATGGCGGAGGCTCTAGGAATCGTTTCGTCCATTACCGGCCTCGTCCAAAACACCGCTACTATCGTCAAATACCTACAGGATGTAAAGAATGCGCCCAAAGAACGGCATGACCTCTTGAGAGAGCTACAGTATGTGGACAGCTATCTGTCCAGCGCAGAAAGGCAGATTCGGGCAGCGACCGAAAACGACAAGTGGTTGGCGGAGTTGAAGGAGTCGAAAAAACCTTTCGATGAGTTTTCTGACTTTCTCCTTGAGCTCAAGGAGAGGTTGGAGGCTGGATCATCCCGGTGGCGGAGGACGTTTCATAGGCTGCGTTGGACGCTTACTAAAGAGAGCGTGGAAGGGGATCTGAAGAAGATTGAACGTTTCAAGACTTTTCTCATGATCGTTATACAACACGACCATCTGTAAGTGATCCTTGTGCTCGCTCGTCAGAGACTAAGTGTAGTCTACAGCACTTTATCCAGTGCGATAAAGAAAAGTGTCGATACTATCTTAGAAAACACAAACCGAACGAAGCAGACACAGATAGGTGCGCTCGTAATCAAAGTTTATCTTCATATTGAATGCTGATGCGCATGGACCTTGCAGATGACAAAACCGAAAAAAGCGGTGACGTGGCTGAGCCCTTTGGATTTCAATGCTGTTCTCAGCGCCAAGCTGGACGAGCGCACGAGCGAAACGGGAGGGTGGTTTTTGGAGTCCCAAGAGTTTACAGAATGGAAGAATTCTAAAGCACCCTCCACCCTGTGTTGTTTTGGCGGTCGTGAGTACTACGTGGCCCCATTTTTCCCACTGATGCTTATATATTCTACAGCCGGTGTCGGAAAGTCAATCCTCGCTTCTACTGCTGTCAATCATTTGCACGCAACATCAGAGGGAAGAAAAATCCTTGTCTTGTGCATCTTTTGCGACTACAAGAGTGCAGTAGCCCAGACGGTACCCAATTTCATCCGTAGCCTCTTGAAGCAAGTCGTTCAAGCCCGCCGATGCCTGACTCCTTCAATTGAATCCCTCTATGACAAACATTGTAAACTTAAAAAACAGCCTTCACCTGCAATTTTTACAAAAATTCTTACGGAGGAGTTGGGATCACGGAAATACGACTATGTACTATGTCTATATAGTTTTGGACGCTTTGGATGAACTTGATGGTGACGGACGCCGGGAAGCGCTCGTTAATGCCCTGAGGGCGTTAGGCGAGCAGATTCGTCTCTTTGTGACTTCGAGATACATCCCTACAACACAATCATTGCTCAAGGCGGATATCAATTTGGAGATCCGACGAGCGGATGATACTGATGTTGAAAAATATATCAAGACCAGGATCAAGGAACCTGAGGGTTGTCTCCGGGCACATCTCCTTAAAGATGAGGAAGGGGGTGGGAATCTGCGCCAGGAGATAGTCAAGACAGTTGTGGAGAAGGCGGATGGCATGTAGGTTTCCGATGATACGTTCCCTCCCTTGTCGGCTGATAGAGTTTACATAGGTTCCTTTTGGCAAGGATGCACATGAATTTGTTGACTGGTTGTATGACTCGTGCGCAACTTAACAAGGAACTGCATGCACTGCCAACTACCCTCGGCCTGACGTATAAATTTCTGCTAAAGAGGATGGACATTCAACTGCGCCACCTTCCTAAAGAAGTCGCCGACCACTTGCAAGGTCTCTCTGCCTTCGACCAGAAAGCCCTCGCCTATCGCGTATTCGGCTGGATAGCCTTTGCTGCACGTCCTTTGAATGTATCGGAACTGCAGCATGCATTGGCCATTGAACTAGGAACAAAGCAGCTCGATCTTGGAAATATTATTGACGAGGACATTCTTATAAATCTTTGCGCGGGATTTGTTGTTATTGACGGCAATAGAGATATCAGATTTGTGCGTGAGTAGTACTCAGATATCAACTTCTCTCTTCATCAGCTGAATACTTTATTAGACTATACTACCCAAGAATATTTCATTCTGCACCGGGATGAACTTTTCCGCAACATTCACGAAAAAATCACACGCACCTGTCTTACGTACATGTCATTTGACACTTTTGATTCTCTCAAGGGCTTTAACCAGTGGGACTTCTGGAAATTGGAGAAGAATGCCTTCTTTGAATATTCATCAAGGAACTGGGCCTACCACGCCAGGGCTTGTGGACAAAACACCGTAGAACAGGAGATCCTTGATTTCCTGCGAACTCGGGCAGAAGTTGCACGGTGGTATCTGAGTCTAGACGACAAGCTGTATGCCAAGGCAAAAATGCCACCCACCGCTGCATGGTTTTCTGCCTATTATGGCCTGGTACATGTCATGAAGATCCTAATAGCTCAACGGGTCAACCTGCAGAATGAGAATGTGTTGTGTATTGCAGCGTACGCAGGTCACCTCGACATAGTTGACATGTTGCTGTTACGAAATGACGTGGATGTGAACCAGGTTGCCTCTGAATCTGTTGGTCGCTTACATTCCTACACGCCTCTCATTGCCGCAGCGTCCGAGGGTCACGAAGAAATCGTCAAAAAACTACTGCAGTCCAAAAGCATGACATCGTTGAACAAGCTGTCTCCATATTGGGAGTGCACAGCACTATCAGCAGCCGTGCGGAATAACCACACTGAAGTGGTTAAGCTCTTGCTATCGCAGCCTGACATTGACACTTCCATCGGGTTCTACAACACCCCCCTTATTGATGCTTCACGGTTCGATCATGACGAAATTGTGAGGGTGCTCTTGGAGTGGGGAAAGGATGATCCTAATGCTTCAGGGAATGATGGGATGAATGCTTTACATGACGCTGTTGAATATGACAATTTCAATATCCTCCGGATACTCATGAACTCGGACCGGGTGGACGTGAATAGGACAGATCTCAAAGGAAGGACTACCCTTCACTCTGCCGTGTATTGGAATGAACTGAAGTTTGTCGAACTGTTACTTACACACAAGGGTATCGATATGATGGTAAAGGATGGTGACGGCAGAAGTGCATATGATATAGCGGTTGCAAAGGAATACTACGAGATAGCAGCACTGCTTGCAGAGCATGGAGGGAAGGCCCTAGGACCCCATGAGTGATGCGCTCGGTGTATACAACTCTGTTCTCATATATATATATCCTGTATTCATACTGGTCATACAATTCACATATATTCTGTCCTAATGACATTGCAACTCTTGTTCATACTCATTCTTCGAAATTTTGATTGTTCCGCGGATCCCATTTTGAAGTCCATCGAGGAGGATTCCAGTAGTATCGATACACTTTGTTTCTTGAGTCGGTGTGTGAGAACGGAGGGAGAGATGGCAAATGCACCCGTTGCAGATTGAGCGCCAGTTGTTCAGCGCCGATCCCAGTTCTAGTGAAGGAAAAAGGTTGGTTTTATTAGTCACTGGTGAAATCAGATCAACCATTGTGTAAATTATTGCTCCATAGAGTTACCGTCAATTACACCAGGGATTCAAATCGCGCGACGTAAGTAGTCTATAGCGAAGAAATCAAGGACCAGATACGTGGAAATAATACTAAGAGTGACCGAAGAGAATGATACAAATGACACATGCGGTATGAACAGTAAGGGTTGCAGAATAAACAAACGAGACAGCAAGCGAATAGTACACTCATTTTATACAGTCCGGTCGACCACAGCGACCGCAACGCGGACAGGGAGCGTCATGAGAGAGAGAGTACCGTAGAGGAGCCTCGCACCCAACCACGTAGGACGCTCCGGAGCAGGTTTTCGTAAATTTAGCCTACCATTTTCGGGTATCGTTGGTAGGCGCTCTGAGGGTGCGAAGGAAGATGACGCCGTAGAAAACGAGGGCGAAAGCGGGGGAGGATACTTCACAGATGGACGTGGGGGTGGAGAGACCAGCCATGTGGGCAAGATGTACGACAGCAATGAAGGATTCACGTTCGCATCCAGATATCGTCCTCGAACCTTCCTCAGCGACTCCACAGAAATCTCAATGTCCTTGACCCTCTGATCCTGCTTCTCACACTTCTTCTCATGCCTCCGCATGCTCTTCTCGACAACGTCTACGGCTTCGTCCACGTACTCATACATCGCCTCCGCTCCATCATCCATTCTCCGCCGAACCTTTCCCAGGGTGTGCTCGACCCTCTCCATCTGCTGCTTCAGGTCCGCTAACTGTTGCCGCAGATCCTCGGTGGTCTGCTCAGGGCTAGGATAGTGTATGACATCATGGAGGTGCGATATTCTGAGGGTGAGACGTTCAACGACATGCGTCCACGGACGGATGCCGGTAGCGAGAAGGAAGAGGCCAGTGCTGAACCAGGTAAGGACGTCTTCGCCTGCGATCAGGGTTAGGATGTAACGAAGAAATGAGGCTCCGAGGAAGGGAGACACCGTCGCCAGAATCAAAAAGAATATTTCCATTCTTCGGAGTTCTGTATGGGCGTTTTTCTTGGGAATGTCGTCGGGAGAAGGATCGGGGGGTAAGCGTGGTGAGCGACGACGAGGTCTAGCACTCTGATACATCGACCAAGGAACTGTGCAAAAATATTAGGGGAGTGAGACTTGCATAGGAGCAGTGGAACTCACCTTCAATGAGCTGGTGCAAGTAAAATAGCAGGAGCAATATATACAGCAAGTTCTTCACGAGGTCGCCTCCGGTAAGAAGGTTTCCTACTGGTGAAACGAGGGCAGCGACAACGGCAAGATCGAATTGGTACCAAGCGCGATTACTCGATGTCTCGTCCTCGGTGTCTCTGGTCGTGCGAGCATCCCGCTCCGAACGTCTCGTAGACGCCAAGGGCTTTCCAGACATTTGCGGCAAGTCGTCACTGGATTCCGTACCCGTCTCGTATTCCTGATCCGTCAGCGACGTGTCCTCCGTATGATGCCCAGCATCCGTATCCTTCGATTTCTTCGACATTTCAGAATTCGCACGCTCAAGTAGGTGCATTCTCTTTCTGAGTGTATCCTGTGAAAGATCAGAGCCCATGGCGGTAGATATAGGAGAAAGGACAGTACGGTCATCAGCCATGCACATTACGCGCCTGTTGTGCACGGCTAACAGTTGTGATATTTCCAAAAAGAATTTTCCTTTCCAAGGCGGAATTTGTCGATACCGGCGTCGACGCTGTGGTGTTCGTTGTCGTCGGCAACGGCGAGATGGTTGTCAACGATGGTGGTCGAAGTGGAAGCTGTCGAGTCGCACGGCAGGTCGCGTGACAGAAAAGCGTCTGACGTAGCTAAGCTTATTTATAGCGACTCAACTTGACATCATTTTAGGAGTCTGACAAGCAACGACGCTTCGGTTTTCAAACTTTCATTACGTAGTTTGTGTCATTCGTGAATATTTACATAGCTAGTATACCATCCTACATTTGCGGTTTATCGACATCGGATTAAATTTGTACGAATCCGGCTGACGTTCGCGTGGGTCACGTCGAATGCCAGACTCTCCTTCAACAGTTTTTGCAATCAATAACCTGAGAACGAGATCTGAGAAGAGCTGCTGAATAGTGTATGCGAGGTTCATCTAAATAACCGAGTCTTTTTGCGAAAAGCAGAAAATGTGCGGAAGAACTGGTTACGTTCAATCCTTTCTCAGTAAAAAAAAAGGGGTATGCGGTACTGAAAGTTCCGAATCAGGAGAACAATCTTTGGACCGTCCATAGATGTCGGCATCGGAATCGAGGCCAGGACGTATATTGATGAGCAACGTGAGGGATTGAGAACAATAGAAAAGCCCACGGAGCCGTAAGAACGTGTGACATCGGCAAACGTATAGAAGACCGTCTGTTCGGAGGCGTCCAAGAGAACACCGGAAGTTCACACTGGCAGCGACAGTCGTGCGTAAAGGCGTTCCGCGGGAAACACCTATCTTCTCTCCCTTTAAGATTCAGCGACGGCATTCAAGTCCTGGATAAGAGTCAGCCGACCGACATTAACAATTAAACACGTTAGAAGCTGCCAAGAAATACGGTCAGGTTGCGGGTTGCTCAACCTTGTAAAGGACTCACCAAGATCTGGAATGCCAGTTACCAAGATGGCTATTCTGCGTCGACACGCAGTCGACAAACTCGCAACTGCAGAAGGACTGACGAAACAGTCTCAATTTCGGTAACCACCTTAGTTTGCCAGACCAGTCCTCCGTGATTGGTGGATGCGAGTAAGTAAGGGTAGAGCCATATCAGAAACTCGTCCGGTTCAATGATCCACCAGCCGTGAGTACGCGATCAGCTTGCCTGCCCGTAGAGCTGATAATAAACACGTACAGACTGTCCGCCAGGATGTTGTTAAACACGTCTAAAGAGCCAGGGGATACCTACGCGTTCCAAGTTGCGTTGAGGAGTCTGGGGCTGAAGATCGCCGAAGCTGTATAAAGGAATTCTCTGGAGGTCAAAAGAGATTCAACGGGCTGTCGTAGTCCCTGATGCTAGACTGTTGTCAGCGCCTCCCCGTCGGCGTCTGATCGTGGTAACCGTTGAGCCGGGACAAGCAACAATCTGTCAGCTTAAGAGAATGAGGAGACCTACACAAGAACAGTAAGACTTTAAAGTGGTGGCAGGAAACGACAACGCGCCATGGTGTTGGTGTTGGTACCGGTACAAGGTCCCAATAAGGAACGGCCGGGTCCACAGCCCAAACATGGCAAGCCATGCGCTGTGGCCACATGGTAATGATCTACAAAACTCAGGAGATAACAGCATGCAGCTGGTAGGCACTAGCGTATCCTTGAAGAGAGAAGTACCGGAGCCCAAAATCATTTGGTGTGAGCCTGGGCATTATCCTTGTCAAGAGCGAGATAAGGGAGCGCTACTGAGCAAAAAAAATCTGCAACGAAAACATGGTACCCCAACATTGACAAATCACTAACCTCGTTCTCAGAAGATAAAGGAAATTTTATTTCAGCGCTTGAGGAGACATATTTGCTTGTAGCTTTCTTTGCGGCCGAGGAAACTGGAAATAAGCCATGGTGGTGAATGGAAGGTTTTCGCATGACCGGTTTTCTCCGAGAGTGGGCTAAAAATAGAAGCCCCAATGGTTTCAGCACGACGTTCACTACAGGCCTGGGGCCCCAGGGCCATCCTTCACTACACCATGAACGTTGTCGTGTGTGTTACCGCTGTTCTCTTCTGCGAAGAAAGAGCATTCTAATCACCAGTAATTCTGGCTCAGGCAGTTTGACACGGTTGGTTACCGTTGAACCTGTCAACGAACAGCGATTTTTCGCGACGTTGGAATGACCTATCATTTTCTCTCAGTGAATTATTTCCCCGACCATCCTAGAGGAATAAAACACGTATATGTGTATCTGTGATCGTCTCGCCAGACGACATTGACGCGCTTGAAGGATCATCCCCTTCCTACATTGTTATCAAGACGCGAGGCTACTTGATAATCCGATCAACCTCCATTTCTTCGCAAATTTTCTAATCATTCCGAATACTTGGGCGGTAATGAACGCATGGCCACATGCAAGGAAGTTTTCTTATTGGTTGCTGGCACGTCGTCAATTGCAGCGCCGTGTAACTGTGTCCGGGTAATTAACTCTGCTGTAATCCGATGATGACACTAAGCAATATGTTTCACAGGTTCTGTACGTACGGTGCAGAGGACTGATTATCTATCCGAATGGTAACACAGGACCGACACGCTTGCATCGACCTTGTATTATCACCAAGGCCATGGCCATAACCGTGGTGACGATCATCCTTCAGAGGAGCCGTTACTTCCTTTCCCATTTTCTAAAGCTCAAGCGATTTGTATGATGTGACGGGAAGTATGATTGTAGTACATCCAATGATGGGGGCTAATGCCAAGTGTAGAATAACAATAAAACTGCCAATCGCAGACCGAAGGTCGAAGATGATCTGCAATTACACCCCTGGCGACTCTCAGTGCTAAAGCGCTTCCTCTTTCCACGCGTCAACTCCCCTCCGTCCAACTCCATTCTCCGTGACATAGGGCGGCAATGCCGACAATACGAATGATACGAATGTAAACGCGAATACTCCACGTATTAGTGTGAAAAATATGTCTACAAAGACTACAGGTGAGTCTCATGTCGTCGTATTGAATAACGGATGACTTACTGCAATATAAGAGTTCGTAACAAACCCGAAGGTAAATCATGCTACAACGCATCCACTGGTGCCCGAAGAGCCGGACGCCTCATTGACGGTGCCTTCCAAGGCAGAAAGTTCGTCATCCTCGACCGTCTTCTCCGAAACGATAGTTGCGACCCACTCGAAGGAATCCATTGATAATGAAGAGGATGAGTACTTGTGAAGGTACGAGAGAGGTATGATGTTATCGCAAGCGGGGGCTGGAGATCAGAACCTGGCGTTACCCCCACCGCCCTCACCTCCTTTTATACAGCCCCACTAACGTACCGGGCCTGTCTCTGTCTCATTTTCACTTTGCGCGCTTATTGTCTTTTTTCCCAAAGCGCAATTAGACAACCACTGATTTACGATCGGAAGGTGTGACCTTCCTTTTTCGGACGTGCCGCTTGGCTTCACAATAAGAGGTGGGTTCCTTATCATCTAGAAACATTGTAAACAATAAGGCATCTAGACAGATTGACTTTTCTCGGCATGTGGTCCTTCCAGACAAAAAGCCAGGGCTCGGAGTGGTGCGCCGCGATGATCCTGACTAGGAATTACGTTCTCGCAGTGGGCGTCGGGTGGCCATTGTATGATGTATCTCGGTATGTGTAAGCGCCTCGTTTCTTCAATATCTATTCAATTATCCTGCAGCTGATTTCCGGATCCTTGGAAGCTCCTACTGTTCTACATTGTTATCAAACCGCTCCCGCACACATAACTTGCTAACCGTTCAGTTCTAGCTCCAGATGCAAAACACGGGCATCTTGGATATGGAAAAACCCTGCCCGTCCAATTGTCTGCTGTCGGTACTTCCAGCGTACAATGACGAAGTGACATGGACGTAATTTGCCGATCATCACTAGGAACCGCGGAAACGCTTTTCAGAAATATCATATGCTCGTGCCTTACGCCAGCTGCATCTTCGAAGCGCTTTTAGTGGCGTGTGTAGAGATCATCCATTGAGTCAGAACGACCCCAGATCTACAAAGGTACCCTGCGTTCAGTGACCGTTTACCGGTTAAGGCCCACTTGTGCTAATCACTGTTTGCAGTGATACGAGACCCATTCGTCCATGAATCTTCCTATTGTCTTCATCGCGGGTAGATTTCCCATTATCCCAGGCCGCTCCTCTCAAAATGTCTCAGTTGAATTTTCGAACGTGTGGCTTATCGGAGCATCGGAGAAACTGCGCAAGTCGTGGGCCATGCACGACCCAGGGCAATTTTGTTCTTGATCCGTGAGTACCAGAACTTTCCGTCCAGAGCCTCCGTTAATTCAAACTCAATGGGTGTAGGGAAAAAGCCAGCACTGCGAGCATCGATGTCCTTCTATCACAGGTAACCACACCAACACGACCTGTTTGCCGCTGACGCATGCTTTCCGATCTGCGCATCACCGCAATTGCTACTCTAATTGTTCTCGCCACCCTAGGACCTGTCTGCCTTGCATTGCGACACTCTTGACTCCTTCACGGCTAAACCTTATTTTCAGCCCTTTCTCGCCGAGACGTGAAAGTATCCTTTTTGTTGCAACGTATCCGAGACTCAGATTCATTAGCAGAAAAGGCGTAATCTCCCTTTGCCAGTATCCCATTTTAGCCTAGATCCAAGCCTCTTAAACGCAAAACGGGAATTTTTATTGTGTCGAATTTCAACGACCGCTATCTACTGTCAACTCTAGAAGTCATGCAGTGCGCAATTTTGTTTTAAGTTTGATTCACGGTTATAGACTAGTACTTCCACTGCATCCAATTCGAGCGAAACAATTGAAATATACCCACAACCCAACATCTATGACTCTACAATGCAGCACGCACTTATGGCGTTTTTCGAACTGCTCTTGGAGTTAACGTCGTCTATCACTAGGCAGGCATCGAATCTATTTTCTCACCGGCCCACCGGCAGAAGGAGGAGGTAATCACATTCCATCAACGGTATGAAAGAATGTTCGATTCCTAAACAGTTCTCTGCAATCCCAGCATGGGACTCAATATGCTGGCATTATGCGTATTCACCCGGAAACTTTCGTTGAACTGCATAGTTTCCTCGCACGAACCTTCCGAAAGTAAACTTCACTGTATCCACAGACTTGCGTGACACTTCTTCAATGTCTACCAAAGTTCAGGTCGAGATTCCAACGCGTACTACCATTGTCGGGTCACGTCTCTTCGGTACGAACACTCCCATCGATGGGACAGAAAAGATAGCCGAGTCTGTGAATGAGATTGATAACACGCTCCTCCCCATACAATCCCACGCCTCATCTTATCATGGACCCACAGTACAGGGATGTGAACCAGACGCAGTTGCAACAAAATCCTTGTCTCGCGACTGGCCGCTCAGTGACCTACACATCCACCGACGATGATCTAAACCAAATTCCCAACGGGAGAAAATCCAACACGACTAGTGTACTCGTGTCCCGAGCATCTGCCAAAGTAAGGGTTTCATGCCAACTCTCAGATACGCGTGAACCTGACGATCTTCCTTAGAAAGAATGGCCGGCTATAGCTAAAAGACTTGGGCACAAGGGCCGCGACCACGGGGAAATTTGGAGGGACTACCAGACAAGGGTGCTTCAGAATCTGGGTTCTCACCTTCTCAAGGGTCCCAAGCGCCTTCAGGAGATCGCTCGATTAGCGATGGATTCCGGAGAGTATGCTCATATGGTTGCCATCCTCGATCTGACGGATTACGGAGCAGGATTGAAGAACCAGGGAGAACCAAAAACATGGAGGATCGAAAACGCTGATCTAAGCGCCTGGGGAGTGGAACCAATTCAGCGCCCTGTCCCAGTAAGTTCTCTTCCCAAAAATTGGATAATAGAAATCCCATTCAGTACTTGAAATCTTCTGGTGTCAACGCTGCGCCGATGTAGGAATACCATGCATGTTCACAAATAACCACCGACCGAACAACGAAACTTGCCGGCTCTGTTCCGTGAAATTTTCACGATGCGATGGCACAACGCCGAAACGCAAACGCCCAGTTGCGAAACAGCCCGACACAACAGACCACAGGGTAGGCTCGGCATCGTCTGGCAAGCGGAAGAGCGAGGTGAAACCTCGCAGGATACTCTTACCTCCTCCAAGAAGCACAAGTCAGGCACCGAGGATGTTATCTGGGTCAGCGATTCTTCTTCCTCCTCCACACCAAGCCTACTGTTGTCTGCTACTACAACCGCAAAGTCCATACCCACCCTCATCGGCGAGTTATGGGACCAGGAGACGAAGCGGTACGAGGCGCGTATCCTGGAACTTCAGAAGCAGGAACATAATTCGGCGTCACTCCTCGAGGCATATCGGAGGGAGGTGCAAGCCGCGAGGCAGCAGAGCGCAGATTTCAAGGCAAAAAATGAATTGCTCGAGGGGGAAATCGCAACATTGAAAGCCGGGAACGTAAGGCTTGAGGAACGGGTGGGTGCTACGAGGAAGGTGTTGGAAGGCTTGAAGAGCAAATTCCTAGTGAAAGTGATCCAAGCGACTGATGAAATTATGACGGATTTTGATGAACTAGGTGCTCAGTAAACTTGGGCAGAAACTTTGTACGACGAGCGTTATACCACTTCTTGAAATGTATGTTTTGTAGGTCTGACTGGATCAAAAATGATCCGGTAAAAAAGAATGGAACGCGGGGGCGAAATCGACGTACATAATGGGATTACTCCGTACTTTGTAGATGCAAAGTAAGCATAACAAATCAGTGTTTGGCTATTGAAAACGGCTTCGATCAGACCATCTTCCAGTGTCGCTCCATCCAACTTTACGGTAGGTCCTGGCACCGGCGACGCTCAATTCCCAACATGGATTTTTTGAATCTGACAGTCGATGACATGGACTCACAGTCTGGTTCTGATATCGGGGAATCCGTGACCAACAGCGAAAACGCATCTGAACCTGGCCTTGAAACAACCGTTCCTCAAGGCCAAACCAAGCAGAGCGTAGGCCCATGATCTCGCACGAATCGACAGGTAAACTAAAGCTCGCGCAATGCATTACTCTCATAATTTACTGTCTTCCCCAGCAAACCTGGCGAACACTCTCCGCCCGCTGTGGATACCGACCCCGACCACCCAACGAAGCCTGGTCAGAATACATTGATCATTCTCTCCGTAACTTCGGGAAATCTCTCCTCAAAGTAGCAATTGAGGTAGAACTCGAAGCCGTCCGACTTGCCATGAACAAGGGCGAATATGCACACCTTGTCCTGGCCATTGATACCACAGACTATGAGACCAAACTTGAAGAGCGCGCAGGTAACTGGGTCCTCAGTAACACCGATTTGGGAGATTGGGGCCTAAAATGCGTCAAGCACGAACCGACTGTAAGTGCGCGATCTGGTACAATGGAGATTTCGTCAACTCAACAGAGGACCTTTATATTGTAGACGGTGCATCGAAGCAAATATTGAATGCACTTATATGAGCAGCCAGCATCTGAATAGCGGTGAATGCCGTTTATGCGCCGTGCAGTTCGCCCATTGCGAAAACACTGCTATACGAAAACGAAGACATCTGTCCGACTCGACAGCCGAAAGTACCAATTCTTCGCGTCCTCCATCCAAAAGGCGCTGGACTGAGGCAACTCACAAGCCGGACCCAATCCGCTCGCTCCCAGCCCCCGAACCATCCAGTCCCCATTTGACTGAGAACCTTTGGAGAATTGGTACCACCAAGTTAGGAAAGGAATTGACAGCTCTACGACACCAACTTGAATCAGAGAGAGAAGCTCGGCGAGATCTGCAGAAGAGAAATTCTGCGTTGGAAGAGGAGGTGGTGACTCTGCGTGCACAAGTTGTCGTGCTTGGAGCCGAATCAAAAAGTCTGTGCGGCATTGGAAAGGATACTGATTCGAAGGGATGGGACGGCAGAGCCGAGTGACGATTCCAAAGGACAATACCTTATTCACCCTTTCAGTGACTTTGGCCAGCAGTGTAGATGTTAGGAATATCAAATAAATCTGTCCGAACCCGAAGGCCGGCACGGAAGGACCCGTTTGACTGGAGGAAGTTAGCATCACGGCAGGTGAACTTTCAATCCCTAAATGGTTTCAACAATTCCCACTTCAGCTCAACGCAAACATAAAGTGACTCGGAAACCTACGTGGAACTATACATCTTACATTGCACGAAGATTGTCCAATTCGAACTCACCACTAGTACCTGGTTCCCCACTCGTATATTAGCAAAAGGAGTAATCTCCCTTTGCAGTATCACGTTTTTAGCCTAGATCCAAGCCTCTCGTACGCGAAACGGGAATTTTTATTGTGTCGAATTTCAGCGATTGTTATCTACTGTCAACTTTAGAAGTCATGCAGTACGCAATTTTGTTTTGAGTTTGATTCACGGTTATAGACTAGCACTTTTACCGTCCAATTCCAACGAAACAATTGGGATATGCCCGCAACCCAACGCCTACGACTCTCCGACGCAGCACGTACTTATGACATCTTTTGAGCTGATCTTGGAGTTGACCTCGTCTATCACTAGGCAGGCATCAAATCTATTTTCTCATCGACCCACCGGCAGAAGGAGGTAATCACACTCCATCAACCGTATGAAAGATAGATAGATAACCGGTCGAGGTCCCAAAAGGGAACGCCGGGGCTTGTGCCGATACAAAACGAAAGAATGCTCGATTTCTAAACGGTCCTCTTCAATTCCAGCATGGGACCTCATATGCTGGCATTATGCTTATTCACCCAGAAACCTTCGTTGAACTGCATAGTTTCCGCGCGCGAACCTTCTGAAAGTAAACACCACTGCGACATTGGAACCTAAATTCGTACTATGAACTCAGGACGAGCATAATCGTAGGGATATACATTGTACCCAGACACAGCCGTAACAACACGGCTGTAGACCGTACGAAAATTCCTGCCTAGTACGGTACATTGATGGCAAATCCGTACCGTGACGGTAGCGCTGTCCGCATATGGACAGTTTGGCGACGAAGACGAATATCTGGAGTCAAAACGTGAGTGATACTCGTTTCATTAAGATTATATATACTTACCTCGGTGGCATTACGTTGTCCCCAACCACCTCAACAACCGTACTTCCACTGTATAAATACGGCCGTATTGTTATCGAAGGTAGCCATGGTACGAACCCGTATCCGTATCCACCACGGTACAGATATGGTGCACATCCCTACTGTGATGATCGGGTTGATATGTCAAAGTTCGGCCCACCCTCTACAAGTATCTTAACGATCTTCTCAACAATTGGGTCTATGTTCGCGTCCTTGAGATACTGGTCTGTATGCGCCTCCACTTGGGATAAATGATCCCACTGCTCCGGCATAATTTGCTCCATACCCCGCTGGACGTTTAGCCGGAAGTAGACATCTGGTATGTCACAATACTTCTTGGCAAGGTCTTGCGCCGTCTCCTCGCAATCTGTGGCGATGTCCATGAGCGCTTTGCCGACATCGTCAACCGAATTACTCAGGTGCGATCTCGCAGCGGCTCGGATCGCGATCGTCTTGGGATAGCCAGTGCCGATGCTGAGTAGACACACGATTTCCCTGGCAGGAAACACATCCCTAGCCTCTTTCAGCACCATCTTTGCAGGATTGTTGCAGCCCACCCCGCCGTCGATATATGACTGCTTCATGTACTGTGAGCCAATCTCAATTCGTTTGAAGAGAACGGGCATGGCACATGTAGCACGCCCAGCTTCCCAAATCTTGCAATCTCTCGGGGCTTCTTTGGGGTGATAGTAAGTGCGGAAAAGAACAGGAATCAACGCGTTCATGTTGTCCGCGTTCATAGCACAGACGAAGCTGGGAACGTTTGATGAGTTGAATATACTGCGCTAGGGAAAATCGCCCACGCTTTGCATGCCGCTGCACTTTCCTCCATCATCTCGACTTCGGGGTTGTGAGACTCAGTGTGGTCCTTCACAATTGATTTCAAAATATCTTCGAAGCTGCTAGCCTTGTATTTGCCGTCATGTATTCCGAATCCCTTCGTGTCATCAAAACCTTTGACAGAAAACTGTTCCCAGCAGGCGATCGCTTCCTCGACGGACATGCTTAGGCAGCCCAACATCAAGGCGATTAACCTACAGTGAGAAGTTAGAAGTGAGCGCGGATGAGCTGCACGACGAAGACTGACCCCCCTGTGTTCGTTCCGCCTATCAGGTCGAAGTATTCGCATGGCCGCGGGGTGTAGTCGAGATCATTGGCCATCCTGATCCTCCACATCAGGTTGCGGAGAATGAATAACGGAGACAGTCCCCGTATACCACCCCCATCTACATGGATTGCCGCGATCAGTGGGAGCTCTGCTAGTATGTCAAAGCATAAGGTAATAACCTATTGAGAGCAGTCTTAAGCCCCGTTCACTAAAGTGTGATTCGGCCATGACTAGCTTTAGCTGTGATGATAGTAGTCCGGTGCAGGACCACATGAACCCGGGACGAACCCGAACTGAACCCAGGGCCATAGGTCCAGGTTCAAGTTTGGGGTGCACCCGGACCGAATATCAAACCTTTGGGGGTATTTATTGATGGCCAAGTCACTGTACAAACAGACGTCGAAGTCAGGACTATTGTATAGATGTAAGTATAGTGATATAGAAGGAAGAGATATAGATATACGTACTCAGTCGAACACTGATAATAGTGCAAGACTGAGGAGGAAGAGCAAGAACTTAACTGAGTTACGTCAAGTCAGAGATCACGTGCGTGAAACGTGTAACAAGTCCGAGTCGGTAAGTCCGGTATCCCATCACCGGCCACCCTCCCTCCCATCGGCACGACTATGAACGTCGAACAAGGCCAAGATATGCGATGCCCTGGTTACAGCAATCAGCGCGAAACATTAGCAAGGGCGATCGGAGTCTCACCAACAAGACTGTCGATAAGGCACATCCTGACAAAGAGGGCGAACCTACCACACCTCATTAACTATCTCAACGATACAAGGCGATTCGAACAAGTATTCGGGAGGTTCCCAGAGGTAGAGATAGCGGATGATGATAGACCATGATGGAAAGGAACAAGAGGATGATGACAAAAAGGGGGAAAAGCGACCGACATCCATCCCCGCAAGCCGAGATCAGATGGACGCAGGTAAAACCTGCAAGGAACGATATTACGTTCGCTAGTTGAGGTTCAACTCAAGCAGAAGGAAATACGAAGCAGGGACAAAGAAGAATGGGATATCCGGACATACGTTTACGTGCAGGATACGGTACACAAAGTACGACTTAGGATACAAAAAAAAAAAAAAAGGCCAAGATAACTCGAGTGTTTTGCATGTGGGTTATACGCCAACGGTTTGGCCATGATATCTGCAGTATTGTCGAGGGACGGTATCTTCATCGGTTGCCTAGCAAAATCAGGATCAACGAATACAGCATTTTGACACGATATCATCAGGACCAACGAACTCGGCTCCTAGATCACCCCCCACTCGATGGTGTAGTTGGAAGTCGCAGCAAGATGGCATAGAATGTTCTTTCCAGCGAGTAGGTGCTTCCGTTCTGCACACGAATTGAATGAACTTGAACCTAAAGCCATTGCAGAGTATGCAATGTCTGGACAGGTCGTCCTTCATCTTATCGCAGGCCAACATCTGAACGACGGTGAATGCCGTTTATGTGCCGTGCAACTTTCCCATTCTGAAGGCATCGTTACGCGAAAGCGGAGACACTCGTTGAACACGCCAGCCTAGAGTATCGATTCTTCGTGTCCTCCATCAGAGAAGTTTCGGTCTAACGTGATCATTCACGATCCTGGCTCAAGTCGCCCCCATCCAACTCACGAACAAACCGCTTCCCAATTGACTCAGAATCTTTGGAGAATTAGCACCACCTTAGGAAAGGAAGTGACAGCTCCACGACGTCAGAGAGAGAAGCTCGGCGAGATTTGCAAAAGATGAATTCTGCGTTGGAAAAGGATGTGCTGACTCTGCGTGCACAACTTGTTGTGCTTGAAACCGAATCACAGGCAGATAAAAGATCTGTGCGGCTTTGAAAGGGATACTGATTCAAAGGGGCGGCAGAGCCGAGGGAGGGTTTTAAAGAACTAAGTATGACCATACCAGCCTTCTTCACCTTTGCAATGATTTTGGTCGGCAGCATAGATGTTAGGAATATCAATTGAATCTTTCTGCTCCCGAACGCCGGCAAAGAAGGACCTTTTTGACTCGAGAACGCTGGCATCACAGAAGGTGAACTTTCAATCCCTAAATGGTTTCAAGACTTCCCACTTCAGCTCAGCGCAAACATAAAATGACTCGGAAACCTACGTAGAACTGTACAGTTGACATTGCATGAGGTTCAAGTCTAATTCGAACCTCACCATCAGAACCTAGTTCCCCACTCATATTCGAATTCCAGCGAACAAGCTTTCTGGACCGCCTTTCAATACCACAAGCGCGTCCACCGCTAAGGTTTCCGAGAGCTCCAGCTACATAGCCTGAGGCAAAACTTCGTTCCTACTCGTCTCCTCTCTCATACAGCAGCAAGAAACGCCAATCGGGGATGACGACTGACATAGAAGGCCTTTTCTCTCTCGGTGATATGGAAAAATTCACGGATGACGAATGGATCAGCAAAGAGAAGAGAGCAGCCACCAGTGTCTCAGACTTCCTCATTCCCCGCGCAGCAGCGGAGGTGCGTTCCGTCATACCAACTCATCCTCGCCGCACCTGACACCTTGAGCAGACTGAGTGGCCCGGCACTGCCAAAAATCACGGATATGAAGGAGGCACGCTCCCTAGACCAGCAAACGCTACCCGTCGGCTATGCTCTGTAACGATTCCTAGATATGATGGTAAAAGGCTAAAATGTAGGCGGCAGCCCACTACATCCGAATCCAAGGGTAAAATGAAGAAGGAAGGGAGTAGCGAAAAGCGCAAGAATGTGGAAGTTAGGGAGGACACTCAGTCGAAGAAACCGCGTTCAAACCCTTCAACCTCGTCTGCATCCGCCCAAGTCGCCATTATCGAGTTATGGGATAAAACGATGAAACAATACGAGGATCGTATAACCCAATTACAGGAGCAGTTGTGGGAACAACAAGAGAAGTCAGAATCGCTCGCTGGGGCATACAACGAAGAGGTTCGGGCGGCGGGGCAGCGTATCGCAGAGCTCGAGGCAAAGAACGCGGCACTCGAGGCGAAGGTTGGCTTGACAAGGAAGACGATGAAGGGGCTGAAGACCTTGATGGAGCTGTGAGTTATATGGCAGTACACATGGATTTATAAGGCTTACCGCAGATGACAAATGAAATATTCGAGCGTCCGACTGTTTGTACCACATGTTGAATTCATAATAACTCCCACCGAATGCGGACAGGCTGATTGTAAGATACACCTCGAAAACTCCAATAAATATGTTTGATCTGAAGCGTCGTAGTGAGCGGGATCAGGTTCCATGGTCTACCTCCCAACAGCGTTCATGATGTAGAGATGTAGAGAGTTCCACACGTTAGTACTGCAGCTCGTTCGTTGTTCAGTATGCAACGCGTCATAATGTCAGGCATTAGTTTCGATAACCAAGATCGGGTGCAGTGTTCAGCAGCATCCTCGTAGAGCTTGAATTGATCACGAGAACCACCTGCGAAGATCCTGGTAACAATGTTGAGAATGCCTTCGAATTCCAGAAAACAGAATCCGAAGCACCGTCAATTCTTTTATATCTTTTCCGCTGAACCTAAGTTCAACCTTTAGTATCACTGCGTCCGTGTCCGTATCTATGCCTGCGATGAAGACCAACGACATAAGCTCATCCAAGCGCGAAGATTTTTCGGATGAGGCGGACAACTCTGAGTCTGAAACACAGAGCCAGAGTGAATACGCTGACGCAGGGAGCTTACCCGGCCATGAAGCCGAAGATGAGGATGAGGATTCTTTCTCACTAGCTAATCGAGGATTGGAAAGACACAAGGTAACTGTGTCTCGCTCAAACCGACAGGTGAGGACTCCCGAAGACGCTCGGCGTACCCCGCCCTCACACTCCACTAGCAAACTTGGAAAGCCCTCTCCGACCTCTGTGGGTACCGGCCTCGCATGCCAGGCGAAGATTGGAAGCATTATTGCAAGCGCTCTCTTCGGAAATTCGGGAAAACCCTCCTCAAAGAAGCTACAGATGTAGAACTCGAGGCCGTCCGACTAGCCATGGACAAAGCCGAGTATGCCCACCTCGTCCTAGCCCTCGACACCACCGACTACGAGATCCAACCTGAAGAACGTGCAGGGAACTGGGTCCTTAGTAACACCGACCTCGGAAATTGGGGGTTGAAGTGCGTTAAGCGTGAACCAGCAGTAAGTACAGGACATCCTCTTCATCAATTCCATCGATTTACTAAGACGCTCATAGTGCCGAAGGTGTATTGAAGCAGACGTCGATTGCACCTACACGAACAGCCAGCATCTAAGCGATGGTGATTGTCGTTTATGCTCTGTCGTATTCGCACACTGCGAAGGTACTGCTGCACGAAAACGTGCACGCCAATCCAATGCATCCAGTGGCATCCATTTCCCACCGAAGAAAGCCCGGACCGGCACCGAACCTGATTCAAGTCCTTCGCCGCGTCAGGACGGAGGATTATTGTCCATGCCCCGCTTCACACAAAATCTCTGGAACACGAATGGCGTCCTGGGAAAGGAGGTGATGGCTTTGCAGCACCGACTTGAAGCCCAATCAAAGACTCAACAAGCTCTAGAGAGGGATAAATCTGCGCTGGAAGAAGAGGTGCTAGCGCTGCGTGCGCTGGTTGTCCAACTTAAAACCGACGCAAAGGCAGATAAGAAAGCTTTGTGGGCAGTGAAGATGGTGTTGGCGGAAAGAGCGAAGGCCGGTGATGCGGAAAAGGTCCGCGATGGTGACTAAGAATATGTAGTTCAAATCAGGTTATTACGACCTATGTCAAGGTTCCAGCTTTAATGACAGCTCGATACTTGAATATCACCCACATTGTCGTGTAAATCTGTTTGAGGTTGTAATATCTCTAGTCGTGAAAAGGAAATCAGAGTACTGACAGCTAAATTTGTGTCTCCTTGAAGCCTTGAGCTTGACGATGAAAAGATACTTGACGCCTGCTACTCCCAATTCTTGTGGTACCGAAACAAAATATATAATAATAATTCGAGTAGCACCCAAGCCAGACCGTCCTTACAGGCGATAATGCTACATTTACAACGAAATGGAATAACCGAACAAGGATTGAAAAGGTTTAAAGAATGTTAACGTGCGGGAATACAAGGGCTGCCGCAGAAGATGGGGGAGTGTATAACACGAAGACAGGGATGAGATGAACGGGTAGCGTGGATCTAAAGGTTCCATCGAGAGTTCTGCCTGGCGAGTGTTCCGCTCAGTGGCAGACGAATTCAATAGCGTGGTGATTGTCTTGAAGATAGGAAATCAGCGAACGCCCAGGAGAGCAGAGCCAAAGTTGACGTACTAGTCAACCAACGACGCTCCAGTCAATGGAAGCATCATGACACTACGCAACCTGTGTATGACACTGACCCATCACGATATTCAAAATTGACAGGTACGTCGAGGAGGTCCTCCCCTTCTGGTGAGGATGACGAGGATGAGGAGAGAGCAAGCGCAAGCTCGAGCTCGAGTTCAGTATCGAAAGAGTCCATGGAGGCTGGCAGATATTGTCCTAACGACAGAGATGTTGGTTTTGTGGGTAGGCGGACGAAGTGCGATAAATGGAATTGAGGAAAGAGAAAAAGGCCCTTTTCCTTATATTCGGACTTGCCACGAGCGGCATTGAAACACAATAGGGAGAGCAATGAGACCGATGGACATTGTTCAGTGACAAGCTATTGAACAGATTGGGCGATGAATGGTGCGGAGTTCGAAATGGATGCCATGGAACGCGATCCCGTGATTTGATTCTTCCCATTTTTGGGTGCGCGTATTCTTGACCTTGTACCGAATCCATAATCTCGAGTATGTAACCATTACGAAGAGTTACAAAGACATGCGGCAAACTCATGGGCCCAACGCATGGAACGTTCTTATTTTCGAATTGCGAGCTTCTGTCCTGTCATGTCGAACAATGCCTGATCAATTGTTCTGGGCTCTGGGATCCTCGGTGTTCCTTACTGCTCGCTCTCACACCTTGCAGTTTCTGCAGTCTGGTGATGTGTCCGACAGAAAGTAAAGATAAGATAAGACACCTCAAGTTCGCGAAAAAGTATGCCTCGCCCTATGATTAATTATTGTGCGTAGCAAAAAAAAAAGGAACGTCTTCTTAATTCTTTTATATCTAAAGATACAACAGACGAAATGCCGAAAAAAATCATGTACAAAATTCGAAAAAAAGAAGGAATAAAAGAGTGTAATGCAGTGCTCATGAGGAACGATCAACAGTATTCGTATTAATGTCCTGGTGAGACGCATCAGACGAAGGATATGTGAAGGGTCTCGCAGAGCCCTGTCGACGAGGATGGCGTGGAGGCGGCGGCAGGGGTATGGGCATAGGAGGCAAGGGCAATTCCACCACGATCGAGCTCGGACTCTCAAAAGCCGTCGCCGTCGACGGGGTAGGCGGTAGCGACTTCTGAGGATCCGTCCCGTAACATGTCGTATCATCAGACTCTGCATCATAGTCCAAATCATCCAGACTACTCCGGTACTTATACGGAGATGGCGGGGTGGGAGTTTGGATGCTTGTAGTGGATGTATTGGTGAGATTCGACCTTGGGGATGATGGTGCGATGCTAGGAAGGGATATCGCACCGTTTTTGTCTGAGGACCTGAAGTATGGGTTAGACAAACAATCGCTCAAGAACAAGACAAGACGAACCCGGCCCACGACCCGAACGGATTTTTCTTAGCGTCGGTCTTAGGAGTCTGCCTAAGGACATTCCTGCGGAACCACCAGAACCACTTCTTGTAGTCCTCAACCGCCTCGCGTCCAAACGCAAAGAAAGCGACGAATATGATTGTCGACGCAGGAACCAACCACCACAAGAAGTAATACGCTCTTGCAACAAGTGGAGGGAGAAGGATCGCGGGGTACTGATCCACACGCAGAAAGTCAGAATGGACATGCTTCCAGTTATCCCAGGTACGTATAGGAATGCCAATTGTGGTGAACCAGAGCGTATAGCAAGTAACAGCCAACGACCAGACCATTTGCATGATGGACATCAGCATAAGTCGGAAGTATCGCGAAATTGTGAGTGCCGATTGGGAGGAATTTAGATGGGCAGCGAATGTCATGCGTCGAATCATGAAGTGTCGGAGGGCAAGGCCTGTGGAATGAAACGAAACGATGAGCTCTTCCTTTGACTGCTGAAAATCATAAAACATACCAGCAAAGACCAAGCACGCAATGGATAGGAGAATGGGAGGTATCCACACGATGAATATCGCAGGGATCGAGAAATAGGTGGTAGGACGACAGCCGTATTCTTCAATGATATCGAACCTATGTCCTTGCACAACATAATCTGTCCCTCGAGGTAAGCATCATGTCACGATAAGTCAAAGAAAACTACATACGCAGCACCATAAAAATAACAGGCAAGCCCCAGCACATCCCCAACTCGAAAATCCTCCTCCTCTTTTTATCGGCAATCGTCGTCTGCGCATTCCTCACAGACGCGACCTGCTCGAGATGGATACATATACACAAACAGGCAGCCGGTAGCGCAACATTTGCACCAATGATCAATTTCGTGGCTACACAAAGTAAACGTCAGCCTTCTTCTTTCACCCCACCAGCTGAGAAGACTCGACTTACTGATATCACACCACACCGGCACGACGACTTCAACATTATTGGCCCACACCAGCGCGTCCACGCCATAAACCATGTTCATAACGAACAACCAACATATAATAGATAGCGTGGCGACGTTACCTACGCGCCAGTGCCATGGCAAAGGGAGAACGAGGGACAGAGCAGCGAGAAACGCAACAGGAGCGAATTCGCGATGCATTGGTGGAAGAGAAAGATACGGTGAAAGAAGGAGGAGGGAACTTTTCTTTTTTTCATGGTGCGTTTGTTATAAGAATAGAAACAAAGACGGAGAGAACAATGGTCCACTGATTGTGAGCCTAATGGGGACACGCCGGGCTGATGGAGCCCTCGGAAGATGCCGGACGACACCCAGCTCGGCAGTTACTTTGTCCAAGGCTTCAAGGGACCCTGACTCTCTCAAGTACGGAAATCTCGAGTATTCGAGTATCATCCTTGAAGGGATGAATAAATATCAAATATAGCTAGACTCGCGACAAATTGCTGGACCCTGATTTGTGCACCCGCCTGTTCCTAGATTGCCAATCACTTGCTCTGAGCCTGTATTTTGTCCTACTTTGCCCAAACTTTATCCAGTCGTTTCCGATGCCATATTTCAGAGCATTTGGTCCGTCCTGACGTTTACTAATTATGTTATTCACTTATTTGCAACTCTAATCAGATATCGGCGCTGACTCCATTCATTGGCATTGCTAACACTGGATTATTGGAATGATACTGAACTCGTCAGCGGATCCTAACACCAGGTTTTCACCATGTACAAATCGGAACCCCTTTGTGGTCGGAGAAATTCATGCAGCCCTGAAGGGACAGGCAGACGTCAAACACCCTGACCATACTTAAAATTAATACCCATCATCTCCAAGTTCTCGAGAAATAGTTGGAATTTTTTAAGTTGGCCCAGTCGAGTCCACTATTTAGTACCAGCGTGTCGAACCGATTGAGCTCTCAGATAGTTTGACCCCAAAAACTCTTGAAACTCGCTTCCAATTTTTCCACTTGAGGAGGAGCAATCGTCACTGCATCAACTGAAGAGAGTGCCACATACGTAGAAACGACCGCCGATGTGCCGGTTACACTGAAGTTGCGTAATCCCCACCGACTTGAGCATCCACGCACCCTTCATTCTCTGGATTCACGTCTGAATCGAGACCGCTGCCATCTTCAAAAGGATATCTAAAATTGTCATCCAGGTCACTATTTCCGGCATCGATATCAACACTACTACTGCCGCCAGTCATGTCTATCTAAGTTGTGAGAGTAGGAAATAGACGGAAAGAGAAACGAAAGTGGACCTGCAACTTGCTCCGACCCTTCAAGGTTCTACTTGTCTGAAAGACAGTCCTAGGGGCGTAGACGCTTCCTTGCTTAGAGCGCGGCCCGCAAACAACACAGATTTCGTGTTGTCCAGAAAGTCACCATCGAGAAAAGAGTAACTACATAAATGGTCTTTGGTTATGCTGGGGATTCGTGATTTTGTCACCCCATTCGCGGTGAATAATCAAGGCAACAGTCACGTCAAATGAGATTCTTGCACGGTGTCTCTGCAGGCAGTTTCAAAGTATAGGCGAAAGTCTGCTCGCTTCCACGACGAATGAATAATGACACTTCTCAACGCCTCTATTGAGCTGTTCGACCAATGTGCCACGAATAACTGCCGGATTTGATGAAATGCAGCGTGCCAGTGTGGCATCAGCCCAAACCACAAGCCTCGGTTCGAAACCGCCCCGAACGCCGCGATAATACAGGGAAAGAAGACTAGAGTTAGAAAGAATCGCTAGACCGTTGATCAGGATGTACTGCTTTGACTGGTTCCTAGTTTATCGTGGTCAGTAGTCGGTAGAGGTTATGACCAAATGCTTTGTGTACACGTGAGGGGGGATGGTATGCTTCCAATGCCATAACATTGACGAGGCCAATCAGGTAAGCGCGCGGCGTAGCATGTTTAAATCCTTGCAGTGGGCAAGTGAACGATATAAGGGTTCGCCGAAGGCAACGGCCAGCCAGGCTTTATCCAAGGGATGTAGTTCCAGCAAGACATCTCGAAGATCCTAAAAGCCTCGGTCGCCTAGGAAGTCGGGATGATGCAAGTGGATAGGCCGATCAATGCTCATAATTAAGATTCTCGAGGGGCAAGTAAAAACATCGACGTATAAGACACTATATGCATCCGAGCGAAGATAGTCCTCACATGGAGGCTCCCACCGGAATCTGATCACAATCCTACAAATCATTAAGGAAACAACCATACTGCAACTGGGGAGACGACTCACACTCCTCACTCCACCCATAAAACTCACTACTGGGAACAACATCCTTGAACCACCTGGGTTCGCATCCTAAATGCTTCTGGAATAATCGCATTTGCTTCAGCGAAGGCCGCCTGTAGAAAAACTTCATGTTCTGGGTGCAAGCCACCGCAACTATCCTCAGCATCTTTTTCCCATCGATGTCTACGATCAAACCGGGTTCCTGCATGGCTAGATCATCGACTTCGCCATTGACAAAGTGCGTGTCCTCATAACGAACAAGTTTCCTTTGGAGGATATGGAGTCCGAGAGCAGCGTGGATCAATAGTGAAGAGCTGGTACACCGTCCAACCATATGACTATGCTTGAAAAAGATGCTCTGGAGGGTTTCCTGAGTCGTAGCAAACCCGTAGAAATAGACATAATCGCCTCCAATGAGGATGTCGCTTGGGAGCCCAGGAAATGTGGGGATGTACTTGAAAATGCGGGGCGCATCGTACCGATCGCAGTACAGTACCGTGCCTTGAGGAGCGAGCCGGGACGCCTCGTCGATGTCTTCTTTGCGAGGCTAGCAGAGAGTATCAACGATACTGCAAAACGGGTGACATCTTGGCAATCCGGCACTCACAGTCAGACCGTTGATGCGTTGCAACAGTTCTTTGGGCGTCGGGACGAGGTCTTTGGGTGTCGGGGTGAGGTCGTTGGGCTCAGTTTCAGTGGTGGCTTCGGAGATCGACGACATGGTGGGACGACAAGATGTGGTAAGAAAAGAACCGGTTTTGGGTAAATTGGGTTTGTCGGTGCCAGTTGCCAATGTGGTGCTGAGAAGAGAAACCATCACGTGACTCAAACGCTGCCCCTGTCAGGAGTACTTATCACTGTCAGGAGCTGCAGGTGCGACGCGACTAGCCCCTCAAGTCTCCCCTGGAGCCCTCGGTCTTTGACTGAGACGACACAATGAGCTAGTCTGGCTCGCTGAACAGAGTCTCATGTGTCATCTTCATAGTAATTATCATTTCGAACCCCCATAGACCCCATTCAAGTTGACCTGAGTTTACCTAGCGTTAACCCAAGGATGGGATTATGAATAGTTACGAAATTTTAGTCGCCCGATGATCCTACGAATATGGGAGCCCTACTAGTACCCTTGAGTTATCCTTCGTTCTTCACACCAGCCTGATTGTGAAATCAGGCAATGCGCGTTGCCCTTCGCGAGTCTTCCGCTTTATCATTATTTTGAGCTCCGTCACACTCACCTCCGGGCAGTACTACTGACTCGTCTCTATGACTAGGAAATCGGAGTCTACTGGCATAATTTCGAGAAAGCAGAGGTGGAGATTCCGCCAATAGACCGGCTTCCTCTTGTTCTCATATTCTTGAATTTCGCAGCCGTCTTTTGCTACTGCCTCCGGGCTCAAAGTCATAGCAGCCGTCTTGGCGTCGTCCTCGCACTAATCGTCGAACGCAATACAAAATTTTTGAATTTCTCTGTAAGTCCCTGTGTTCTGGTAATACAACGGGGTATAAGCAGCGAGAGAAAAGTGGGGAAGACAAATCGGAGACGAGCAAAGAATGTAATGTAAAAGAGAGAACAGCCAGAAGGTTTACGGTGGTTCCAGTGAATATCCCAGAAATGAAGGAGAAGGGCGCGCACACTATCAAAGTGCCTATAACGCATCAGCGACCGTGGCATCGGAATGACGGGACGGCGTACGATGACTCTAAGAAATATAACGCAATTTGACACAGAAGTAAAGACAGTTGAATTTGGCGCTCATTGAAGATGGGTTTTCTATGAGAATCATCGGTCAGTCTAGGGCGGACACGTACACTCCAGAGAGACGCACGAGAAATCGAAAGCCTCGCGACATAATTTATGTAGGCTCAACCAAGTTGGGAGCAACGAAAAGCCTAGAAAAAGATCACTTAGCACCTCGAACTCAGCTGCGTAGAAACCAAAAAACCAACCTGCGCCCCCGCGCTCATGCAATGACACAAAATGCGACAGGGTTGCCGGAGTCGTACTGCTCCAAGTTGATAGGTACAGGAGCAAGCTCTTCGTAGCTATCCGGCGAGGTGGCAGGTACGTCAAGAGCAAGAGATGACGCAAATTCGGGGTCGATAGTGAGGTTGATAAAGGTGTCCATGGGGTGCTAGTGGTTAAGGATATGCGGCCTATTGCGCAAAGTGGGGGATAATCAGTGGCTTTGGGTGAATGCGCGCCATGACCAGCCAGGACCTTTATATACTGGAAGACCGTCCGTCGGAACCAGACTAGGTGAACAATTGGTCAGTAGACAATAGCGCGTAAATACTTTGTCATTGGCAACGACATTGTAACGCGTGGACAGTTGCAAGACTTTGTTCCCAAAAGGTGCAACAATGTGTTGCTGCTCAATGCGGAGTTCGATGGAGTGATCGGAAAGTCTGGTGCCGATGATAGCCGCATCTAATTGGGTTCGGGCCGAGTGCCTTTGCCATTCCATCGAAAGATTCTTTGCAAAAAAAAATTCTAGGACGGTGTTTCGGTGGCCGGATTTTTTTACGGACTTCAAACGAGTCGCTTAAAATTCCACGTCTTATCTTAGCCGAAGCACCAATAGATGTTGTGGGACTTTAAAGAATGCATGCCTCTCCATAAGTACAAGTTTATTTAATTGTCTTGTCAAAAGTAAAATAAATGTACAACATTGAAGTCGAAGAACAGGATACAGTAATGAAGTATATTATCATACTGCGTGGTACTGAGATTCCAGATCACCAGTAAGTTCAGGTTCCTCGTCGAACTCATTCTTCTCCTCTTTATTAAAATGGGAAAAACGTGGGGACTGATGCAGAGTCGAAGACCCGCATGTTGATATCGTGTCATCCGCAGTCATGGTGGTAGTTGGCGTTGTGGGTGTTGGGGGAGTCTTGACATCGTGCAGAGGCATAGAGTCTGTGGTGGCGGACTCAGAAGTGGAGTATTTTGGCAACGACAACGCAAATGTTTGCGGTGGTTTAGGTTTTTGGTACCTTTCGTAACCGTCAATAAAGCGATCAAATCAGTCAGAGCGAGAGAACTTACGAGGCATCCTTCGCAGGAGGTTGGGGCGGTCGTTGGTATCCGAGTCGTTTAAGCGCGGCATTGAACAGAGCACGATAGTGCTTCCTCGCTTCGTCTGCGAACCCGAAAAATGCGAAAAACACCAAAGGACACAAGACAGTCACCCATCGTGTGGTTTCATAAGACGCCACGAGCATGCTGTTTGAGCGCCAGATGAGCGCAGGGACTTGGACGATGCGCGAATATTGATAGTGCGTATCCGACCAACTCCGCCAAGGCTCAATGGGGGCTGAGGTTGCACTAAGACAGAGTACGACGATAGCAAGTGGCGTCGTGCAGCAGATTTCCGTTGTGGCTAAAGCCATCAGTCGGAAGTATCGACTGACAGTCAGAGATCGGTTGGAAGAGAGGAATTGACTGAATTCCAGACGGCGACGATGAAAAGCGCGAAGTGTGAGAACTGGCAGGTGGTATCAACACTTAAATTGCTTGCGTAGGTATATGAAAGACTTACCACAGTAGACCGCTGATGTGAGCCCAATGGCGATTGGCCACATCAGATTGATGAAATACGTGAGCAGAGTATTGTAGATCGCAGGAGCGCAACCAATATTCTCATATATATTGAAACGATGACCTTGGACAACGTATTCTATCAAAGACGTGAGATTAGACTCATTTGATACGTGAGTAAAGTGATACGAACGTAGAGCAATGAAACACAAAGGAAAAAGAATGCAGATAAGACTGTCGACGAGAATAGCGCGTCTTTTCTAGATGTACCGCATCAATATGTCAGCAAACACATCGCAAGAATAATTTTAGTGACAAACCTCGGCGCGAGTCACGGATACCGCTCGTACGCTCGCGATTTGGTATAATCGTCTTTGAATACACATGCAGGAGGCGGGAACAGCAACGGAGGCACCGATTTGGATTCGGATGGCTAGTAAAAGCGTCAAAGAACGCATAGAAAAAAGGTAGCGAGAGATGCGCACAAATTTCGCACCACCACGGCGCCCAGTTAGTAACATTGTCGGCCCATACGATGGAGTTTATAAACTGGTTAAGACTTGCGAGAGAACTCCATATCATAAAATAGCATGTGCCAGAGTTCCATGCCGCGAGGTGCCATTGAAGAGGAATGAGGGGAAGGATGAACCCGAAGAATGCAAAGATGGGAAAGAGTGGATAGGTGGGGTCCGAATGCATAACGAGTTTCGCGCGAAGACGAACTTGGATGAAGGAATAAGGGAGGGTCCTTTGGATGTCGCACAAGAGACCTTGTATGTCGAACGAAAAGAAACGCAGCCATCCCTCCTCGCCTCCATTATAAAGGCCCCCATTGTCTTTCAGCAAGGACAATGCGGAGTTTCAACTCGCCACCGAAAGAGGAAGACCTACTTCCGCATTCGGACATCCCATTGTTCCTTGGACACTGAAAAATGCACCTCCCTCCCATCGGTACCCTGATATTTTTTTAATTAGCAAAGTAAGGACTTGGGTGTCGCCCCCTATTCACGAGGGCGGAACTGTTGCGACCCTGTAAACTCGAAAGCCTGCGGGAAACTTGAATATCAAAATAAATTCTCTTTCCTATTTCGAGGGTAAGTAAGGCTCGTCGCATCGAATTTTGTACTAGATACTAAGATATCAGCCCTCCTCCATTCGTTCCTAACCGCAAATAATATCCTAGCTGGAAAAAAAAAACAAGAACGTCGGTGTTCTCGGTATATCCATGTCCCTGGAGCAGCGTTCCCCGTAACGCGACTTGACCCTCCCCCTATGATCTAACAAGGAATGCATGAAAACAGGTTCTCCGTCAAGGCAACGTTTGAATGAGATCCGACATCCAAGCCAGAGTGCAAAGACGTTGATATTGAACCCTGCAGATTTCAAGTTATGCCAGGATCCATTGGCAGGTACGGCCACCGGCGGAAAGAGTACGTTGAAGACGACATAACTTGACAAGCTGCAGGGAACCTCAGCAACGCCAACATCAATATGCAGGTGGGACCGGTTACTGCGCGGCGTCCGGACGAACAATGCAACTTTAAAATTACTAACAAACCACCAAATTCAAGTTTCCCACGTGACACCCACCCACCCCGAACGGTCCAACAATGCACATCCAAGAACAATAAGTTTATCGCCCACACGACCGCTATAAAGCACCGGATGCCCAAATATTATGAGCCACTAACCAACACACACGCACGCGTAACCCCCCTACCATAGCCTCCTCCCCTCAATATAACCTCCCTCCTACCCATGGACGAATTCGCCTTCCTCTCGCTCGACAGCGAACTCTCAATCACCCTCGAACTTGAACTTGAAGAGCCTTTAAGTTCCAGTGACCCACCAACTATGGTCGTCCCCGTTGACGGGGACCGCCCCATCAACGACTACGGGAGTTTCTGCGTTGTTGCTTGGTTCGTCTTCAAGTTCTCCTCCCTCCCTTGAGTCCGCTCTTATCATGCGTGTCCTTCTAGATCCTAGACCTTGCTCCCAGAATTATAATAAAACCGGTCGAGCCTACTTGAATAAATTATCACTTCGTCTTCTCGTGCGTCTTCCAGTCCTCTACTGTAGCGTCTACTAACTGACGACACCTCATAGACACAACCCCCATTACAAGAACGCCAAATTCCACTGTCCTTACTTCTCCTTCTCCTTCAAACTGCGTTACCCCTCCCACTAGACTTAGTATCGGTATCGTACGTCCGCGCCACCTCTTATTTGCCTGCCACCGTCACTCATCCTCCCTACTTTCAGGCACTTTGACAGCGCGTTGGTTTTGGAGTCCTCTTCCCAACCCACCCCACCTTTCTTCCATATACTACCTTCATTTTTTTATACCCTCGGCTGTATTACCAGAAACCACAGGTAAAAATTTCAACAGAGTTTTGTATTGCGTTCCGTCGAAAACTTCAAGGAGCGACTATGCAAGAATCAAGACCCACCGCCCTCTCGACATTGAGTTCGGACCCTCTAAACAAACTCGTGCTTCAAGTTTCTTACGCATTGAAAACCCGCTCTGAGTCTACGATGCTTGGTACTATGGCGGGAAGCGACTCTTTTTTTTTTTTTTTGCTCGTAGACAATCGGGATACGGCGTCGTCTCCGAGTCTTCGAGGGACGCCATAGGCCCAGAAGTTAGTTAAATAATGAGGCTTTTTTTTTACCTCGGCGCGAGGGTGAGTACTACCATGGTTCTTGCAGGTGTGGGATCCAAGTCCGCCGTGAGGAGCGCCACACGTCGAAGAACATAATTTACTATTCATTGGACTATCATCGGTGGCGCGTCTAACGCGTTGGTTGACTCAGACTGCTACCGGAAGGTGAAGCTAGGATCCGGTCACGGCGCAGCGGAGGGACTGGGAAGTCACAAAGAAACCTGAGGCTAGCACGGGACTCGGGCCGAAATTTTGTCATCGCACTTTTCCCCTTAGCCTTATTTTCCAAGTCCGTTCTCTGCTTGTGAAAAGACATTTCTTATTCAAGAGACGGAATTTGCTCGCGAGATACGTCCATGGATGTCTACTACCATGACCACGAGAACTCGCGGGCCTTGTGGCGCGTCGTAGGTACGTGTCCGGGTGTGCGTTGCTCTGAGAAGGGACGCGGCTGTGGCAAGGGATGCGGCATAATGGGAGAAAGGGCGTATTGGGCCTTGTGCTGAGAGCGGGTATGGTCTGATACCCACTCGATGGCAGGAGGAGTGTCGGCGATGGGTGGATAGCACCGAGAACCTACGCAACAGTCGAACTCTATGGTGATACTGTCAACCTGCGTACACCAAAAACCGCGTCTCTACCACCCCGCGTCCACCCAGTCTGAGGCCCATGCGCCTCCTTTTCGCAACGCCGTCCTTGAGTAGACCTGTGCTTTCTGGTGCGAGCGGACTTTTGCGCCGCTACCTTGTATTAGCGTCCCGTGAGCCAAAGAGTGGAGATCAACAGACGTGCGTTGAAGCTAGGGAGGACTATGAATGTGCATGTCGGGGACGGCATGGGTACACCTTCACATCATCCCGGCTGAACCGTATTCAACGATGATGGCGCCGACTAGAGTTGTGTGGGCACTTTGACCTTCTCTTACTCTCCCTCTCATGGACCTCTCCCACAGAGACATAATGCCCGCCATCCACACCGCCCTCAGCTCGGTCCAAAAGCAGCGCTCAGCAGACAACCCCGTTTATGCCCCTACCTGCCTTCCATGAGACTCACCCGCAGAGCTTCGCGGACCCTCCGACACTACTCTCGACGCTTCCAAACATAGAACGCTTTCCTTGTCCCACGCCCTCCTCATTATACGGCAACCACGGATTGCGGGTTTTCTTACATTGGAAGGGCGCGCGCGCAGGTATCAGAGCTCTTCACCACAGTGCAGACCCACTCTACACTGATCGCTGCACTGCTCAAATTCCAATTCCAATCTTCGCCTTCTACAACGCCGCGCGCTCAGTTGCGGCTCGACTACTTGTTCGTTCCTCCCAACCACTCGACTTGCCGCGAGCTCACCGTCGCACGGGAACTCAAACGCTCAGCGCTCGTCTCTGCAGCTGCAGTACTCCAGCGCGCCTCTATCATATCTACATCCCACTCGAGATCTTTACTCTGCATGGCTCCCTCCCGCCATCATTCGGATCCAACACCCGGATCCTCCCCCCACCCACCCCACCCAAATGGGTTCCCTCCAAGCCTGGGACCCGAGTGTCGATATCATAACATACCCGAGTGCCCTCGCGATTCTACATTCACCCCCTCCCACTTTGAAAGCAGAAATGGTACCGAATCTACCGATTGCCCTCTCCTGCATATGAATGCGCATAGTCTAGGTCCGCACCCTCGCAGCATGACGCGCGAAACCCGACCAGCTTGCAATTCCAGGTAGCACGAAATGGACACTCCTTTGCGAATAATATAATTTAATTCCAGGGTCAACAGCCTGAGTAGATCAATCTTAGATCGTTCGATCAGGGTTAATCGAAATCCATACAACACAAATCCAACGACCTCGCGTACTTCTTAGAACCGCATCGTCGTTAACGTTCGGCTAGCAGGACTACGAGTCAGCTCGGCGGCACGTCCGCATTCCATACAACGCCAAGTCGGATAGCACAAGACAACGATAATGCTTCCCCGGCTCCAGAACCCGCTATAGTCTATTTTCCACTTGATTTTGAAAGACAGTACCACGCGGGAGTAACGATCCCTCATATCCTTTACGTCCGAAATTCAGGGGTTTGACTCGGAGGAGGAACTGTCAGGCAAAGTAGATTGCTCGAAATTCGAGGTCCTCATCCGTACCCCGCCCATATCAGGGGCCTGAGGTGTTCTCTATGCGGAGACGTGTTAGAGTAATAGGAAACGACGGCTGAGCTTCTCGATTTTGCCAGGCATATCCATGACGGAAGACTTTGAACCTGAAATTCCGCAGTTTTTACAACAACAATCATTTCCGACGGGTCGACCCAGCGTCGATGAAAACTTATTCAAAGACCCGCCTTTTCTGTTTTTTTTTGTATCGGACCTTGAAGGGAATACGAGCTAGAAGGGACTGAAATTCCACCCTGTTCAAAGGATACTACTTATATCCCGTGGGGCGTATCACCGGTGAGTCTGATTCTACTTTTTGGGGGGCGATGGTAGTTCCCGGGTCCCCTGCATTTCGGACGTCCAAGTAGAGGGCGCAGAAATTTTACAGATGGCGGCGGGTCTATGTTCTCTGATCTCAGGCTTCGTGGCTATAGCGAGGTGGTTAGGCGACCACTAGGGTGGATGTGAACCATGAGTATGGGTGTGGGTGTGGTACTCGGCATTAACGGGGTGGCAGTACCTGTATCTTTGCGAGTTTATTGAAACAGGATAGAAGGACAAGGAAAAGATCTAACGAGTACTCCGCAAGTCCACGCAGGAAGAAAACGAAAAGGTATAAGAATACACTGGCAAAAAAACAAGGCGAAAATGAGATAAAAATCCCCCTCCTGGGACATGATAGTTCTAGTAGCGGTGTTAGAAGCGCAATATATAGTGAGTAACCCTCACCAACTGCAGATTCGGGCCTATGCGATGACGCAGTTCCCTGAATGAATCGTGGCTTGACGCTCAAAGTCGCAGGGAGGGGTGGCAGTGGGGTCAGGGACGAAGGTGGTTCAAGAGGGTGGATGGGTGGTGGTTATTAACTCGGTGCCGCCTTGGGGGTCTGATTCTACTTTTTCAGGGGCTGAAGTAAAAGGCTCCCGCGTAATTCAAGTTCTATCCTCTTTCCACTTGAAGGACTCGGAATGCAGAGTCAAGTTCCAGACTCCGGGATGCGAGAAGACAGACAACACGGAACGGCCGGCCTATGCAATGAATTCAAATTTCAGCGCACTTGTCCCTGGTGCTGGAGCGGTGGGTGAGTTGTATTAGGGATCCGAATTTTTTTATCCGGCGTAGAGATTTACATCCCAGAGAGGATGGGGGGTTGTTGTGGTTGTCGGGCTTGATCTCAGACATCGAGGGCTGGATCTCTGCAGTTTTCAGTAAGTATAGCGAGAACGGGAGTTCCGAACTGTAAAACAGAGACCATGTGGTACTCGGTCAAGGCGCCGGCCCTGAAGTGATCGTAACCTCACGTAGTACTTGGAAGCTTCTAAAAGTTCTTGGCCGTACAATGTCCATCATTGTTCGTTCACGATGCTAGCGGCCCGTCGCTCGACCTCTAAGTACTTAGTGTTAATGTCGACATATCGTTACTTCGAGCGAGCGATGCTGACTTCAAGAACTTGTCGAGTGGCACATCCTCAGGCTTTACGCCGACAACCAAGTCGGCTTGAATTACGATCAGACACCTACTGCTACTTAAAGCCGGGCCCGCCGAGGTCATTGTCCGCTCAAACAAGTACAATGGTAACCCCAATGCTATTGTTCGCAGCGCCACTGTATAAATTGACCTCAAGCCATGACTTTGTACACCCTAGCACCACCCCACAAACCTTACTTAGTGATACCTCGCACTCCCCCACTGCGAAACCAACCACTTACTCATCAATGGATAACTTCGACTCCCTCTCCCTCGGCCTCGAGCTCGACTTCGAGCCAGCAGAACTCTTTCCCCAACAAATCCCAGCTGCAGAGTTGGAGTCGCCTATACCAATAGACTTGGAGCGGCAGGACGCTGTGATACACGGCGCGGGCTGCGTTATTGCTTGAAAGAAATCCAGAGGTATGCTAGTGGCATCTCTCTTTCAGTAGCCATTCGAGACTTATCGATTCTCTCCAGCAGCCTGCTTTGACAGCAGCACACATTCACATTCACACCCACAACCACGCTCCTTTCGCGTATATTCATGACAGGTCCATAGTTCTTTCGCCGTCGCGTTCAACTTCGTCTTCTCTTAGCCTACTATGTCCCTGTAGTTTTTGAACCTTTTTATTTTTATTACTACAAATTGTACAATAAGCATGCTACGTACACTGTAGACAAATTCGCAGAAATTTATTTCATTCGTTTGCATTTTAATTAGTCCAATTGCATGCGCAGTCTCTATGAAAAATAGCAAAGTAAACAAGTAGGGGGCAGAAAAAGAACAGGGGCCCAACCCCAAAACAAGACAAAGTCACACCACGTGGCGTGACATCAACCGCGTCTTTGTCTGCCTAATGCGGAAGTCCCTTTCACCCATTGTCCTCGTCCTCCCTTTTATCTCTCGCTTAAAAGAAAAAAAAATGATGCATCCTCTTCTTCTTTCCTTCTCGCACACCCTTCCTCCACCAATCTCTCCTCACGATGAGGTACCCCGCTCTACCGTTCTTTGCCTTTCTCACCGCCTTCCTCGTCGTGGTCCCGGTTCCATGGCATTGGCGGGCACGTAATATCGCCACGCTCGCTATGATGGGCTGGCTCTTCGTCGTTAACATGATATACGGCATCAACTCTCTCGTGTGGGCTGGTCATGTGGATAATCCAGCGCCGGTGTGGTGTGATATCTGTGAGTCCTAGTTCTACTTGAGTATTCCCCCCCCAGCTGATTGTGGCGTAGCAACAAAACTCGTGGTCGGTGCATCGTTCGCGATGCCCTTGGCGACGATATGCATATGCAAGCACCTCGAGATGGTTTCGTCGACTCGTGCAGTACCAATGGACGTAGCTGACAAACGACGGAGGATGGTGTTTGAGTCTGTGATGTGTTTCCTGTTTCCATTGGTTTTTATGGCTCTTCGTAAGTTCTTCTTCATTAATCTATTTTGTAACCAGCGACTCATACTACTTCCAGACTATATCGTCCAAGGACACCGGTATGACATCATCGAAAATATCGGCTGCCAAGCTGCCCTGTACATTTCTCTCCCGGCCGTATTTCTGTTCTACTTTCCGCCTCTGCTCTTCTCCCTCATAACATTTGGATATGCAGGTAAGCTCGGTCCGCTCTCCCTCGAGCCTTCACTAACCCTTCTCCAGGTGCAGCCCTCCATCATTTCGTCGTCCGCCGACTCACCTTTGCCGCCCACCTCCAAAATGCCAGCAACTCCCTAACCACCTCACGCTATCTCCGGCTCATCGCCATGGCTCTCGTCGAGATGATCTGGGGCGTCACTCTCACCTCGCTCAATCTCGCGAATAACGTCGCCGGTGGCCTCAGGCCGTACACCTCCTGGGCCAGCGTCCACGCCGATTTCTGGAACGTCCCGCGCTACCCGGCCCTCATCCTCCCCAAGGGGTACATGGATCGCGTCATTTTGATCTGGTTCACGATGCCCGTGACAGGACTGATATTCTTCGCGTTCTTCGGGTTTGGCGAGGAGGCTAAGAAGGAATACAGGAGATTGTGGACATGGGTGAGGACAAGAGTGTTGAAGAGAAAGGATGATGTAAGCAAGGGCGGAAAAGGATTCGGACGCGTCCGAGCTTCACGCGCACTTCGTCTATCGTCCATCGCCACGATTGATATCGCGGGTAAGAAGCTCGATGAGAGTGTCTCTAGCCCTGCAACGACTATCAGTCTCACGCCTATCACGCCCACGAAATCTGAGCCTGAACGATCACCGTCATTGCGTAAAGACCCCCGCTTGTTTGATGAAGACGTCGAATCGCAATCGTTCAGGAGCACGCTGTCGTATTATGCGAGGGATGAAGATGATGGCGATATCGATTCGATGCACGTTGCACCGTCTTCGGTAGATGGCACGGTGCCTACCCCAAGACCATTTAGCTACCCCATGCAAGCTGTCCCCGCTCACCCCATACGAATGCCGCAGCCGTTTTCATTTACCCGGCAGCCAGCTGTGCCGTACCCAGAACCACCTTCGTACGGCAACGGCGTGCAGGTAACGATACACCAACAGACGTCTGTTGATCGGATAGTCTGAAGACCGTTCATTAATATTTACATATCTTCGTCTTCTGCTTTTCTCCCGTTAGTATATCTTTTCGCTCATTTTCATGCTTCTATTACATGATTGTACTTGTAGACATTGAAATAAAGGAATACGTCAACTTTTCGAGAATGCGATTGGAGACAAGAGGGATGGAGATGTGCCTGAGGCCTGACGACATTTCCGCCAATATGCCGGATGCAACTACACCAATCCGTAACAATACTGATGCGGCACATTCCAATGACGGTGACCTGGCTCACAGTGTTCTGACCCCAGCACCTTCATACAGGCCCCGGCGATCCAATGTTAGGCACCTATATGGGCATCATAGTGTGTAAAAAATTCAGCTAGACCCAAATGGTTTTTTTTCTGTTTGCAATTTAGTTGTACCTTTTAAAGAGCTATTTTTCTGGATAGTATTTGAACTCAGATAGTAGTCTTGAATTTCGAAGACATCCGTGATTTATGTAAATCTCTGTCTGGCGGCCCCAGTACCTAATCCTTGGTTTAGGCACCGTACCGATACCAAATTTCTAAGAAAGAATAGAGTACTACCTACGCATTTCGCGAACCCTTGAAGGCCTGAACTCTCTTCATCAGTAAGTTAACATCCGCATGGCACGCATGGCACCATGCGAATCATGCAAGCTATACAGTTATACATCCGCATGGCTCTATAAAGTATCTGCGTAAATCCATGCACCCCGTATGGCAGATTATATGCAGTATAAAGTGGGAGTTCGCCCTCAATGCTCCTTACGAAACTGAATTTATTACCCATATACAGATGACTTACATCTGTAGTTGACTATCTGGATGATGTCGAAAGGTATGTCAGCTCGGAAATAAACCACGACAGATTCATTGGAAGCCTCGAGGGTATCTCTGCTACGCGGCACTGGTAGGCCATAGATTCAGCTATGGTATTTTTGTTCACTTGAGGTGTATCGTGTATCATCATGAAATGTTTTCCTAGACCTGCAACCGGCCCCTACAGTGAGCAAGCGTAATATATGAAAGCGGCGGCGGATAGGCAATAATCTCCTCCGAATCACTTTTCACTGGACCTGAGGACTAGTTCCGCAATTGCAGAACACCAAAAAAATTTCTAGAGAATTCGCCTGACCCTGGTTTCACATAGAACCTGCTGGAAGCCATGAGGTAGGAATGCCACGCCAACTGGTTCCGAGAGAATGAATTCATTTCCCAGTCTTATTAAGTAGAGCACCCCTGACTCTAACCTTCAGGTAACTTGGCCGCAGTCTTTCTCTTCATGCCCACCCCACCGCGAAGGCTAAAACCACGCAGGACAGCTTCCCGCAGTGCCCCACTTATCGCCAACGTTCTTTGTTTGTATGCTCGATTAGTTTATGGGCGTGCATCAGATTTGGTGAACCGTGAAAGGGTGTATCCAGCACAGTTCAGAAATATCTCCAGCTCGTGATATCGAGTCACGAGTATTGATTATTGTGCAGCGTGCTAATCGGGCACCAACGCTGGTGACTGGAAAAGCGCCCCCCCCCCACAGACGGTCCTTGTCATCTAGAAATTCCCATGATCCACGATGGACAGGACGAGCAGCATCGTGTAGGATCGGCGATGAGTGAGGAGGCAAAGGTAGTAGAAGGGGATTAGAAATTTGAAAGATGTCGATGCACTATACAATACGGAACCGGTTAGTAGGGATAGTAAAGAACAAAAGAAGAGCAGGGAAGATGGGAAGGACGATAGCGATAAGCTGGCGAGATGTCATCAAGCTTCCTCATTGCTGGTGCAGGGTCCTCCTGATCGAACTGCTTCCACAATGCCATGCGTTGGCGAGAAACATGGCGAAGCCAATCAAACCTGGAACAGCAGTGTAGGAAAGAAGGGCGTGGACTTCATCCTCTACGGTGACGTTGCAGAATCGTCACTCGTGTAGAATCATGGGGCAATAACATTGCTCCCAGTGCAGGACTTCGATGGCAAGGACCTGGGAAGACGAAAAGGGCGTGTGAGAGCCTTGAGATGTACAGGAACCATGGTGGTGAGATGGTACGACGAACTAACAGTTTCCGACGAGGGTGAAAACCGAGGACTCGAGGATTATGTTCCATAGACAGTCAAAAGATGGTGACTTTTACAATCTCTTCATTTATATCATCGAGACAGTCAGATGCAAGCCACAGAGAGGTCGTGTCCAACACAAACATTGCGAGCGAGGCGAGTGATAAGCAGTTATCGAAGATCTCCGAATCAGGATGGATAGTCATCCGGGATTTACCGATGATCGGGCTTTACGGGCAAATTTATTTAATTCAGCCAAGGTCCGCCGTGTAGAAAATTTCCAAGCCGTACCATCTGATACATCTTCTGATCCAAAGGATGTAAATGGAAAGAACCAGCGTGCAACATGCATACTTCCATGAACCAGATGGGAAATCCGTCCGTCGCATGGAAGCCATGGGGATCCTGGGAGGACTTTTTATCCCCCTCGAACGCGTTGGATCGTCCGCTTCCTGTCTGTATTTTAATCTTTACGGCATTCGGCAAAAAAAAAAAGTGAGCGTCAAATTCTTGATCATTCTCATTTTTGAACGGCACGGTACCACACACATGCGGACAACATTCATATCGTAGGTGAGACCATTGGTCTACGGCCAACTTTTCGGACCGCCTTCTTTCATATTTTCAATTGGCATCAGCATCATGATATCGATGTAAGGAATCGCGCAACAAACAGTTTGTATAACTTTTTCTTTGTTCTAGAGGAAGTGTGAGCAGTTAGCGGTGGTATTCAATGACCTTGTGCTTATTTGCCCATAGCAGGAAAACCAAGAAATGAGGTGACTTCGGATGCGAATGTCATTGCGGCCAGACCCCCTCATGTCAGACTCTGGCTTGAGACACTTGCATGCCAGAAAGAGCGCTCGACATTGAAGCGTCGTGGCTTCGCACAGGAAACAGCGAGGTTACGCGCCAAAACAAGGTCCGCGCTTGACACGGACTCTGGGCAGTTTCCTTTCCAGGGATGTCAAAGAGAATAAATATCTGGCCTTCCACAGCAGACGCCAATCCTAATACCACTCGAACTCCCTGCTGCTTTGACAATGTATACTATCGCCATACTGCTTCTCTTCGTTCTAGTCGTATCCTATCGGTACTTCGGGAGAATCAGGACCATTCGGCACCTTCGCGGCCCACCGCGACCCTCGATATTACTAGGCAGGTTTTTCTTCTTTGTGATTCTTCTCCGACACATTAACTCTCTACCCAGGCCATGAATTCGAACTACGTGCCCAATCCACAGCTGGCGGCCTAGAGGCGACCTGGCAGAAAGCATACGGGAACACGTTTCGTATCGGCGGATGCTTCGCTGTAAGTGCTTCCTTGATTGGATTCTGAGTTTATTCCCTGACCTCGGCTCGGTACCGTAGCAAGACATCCTGATGACCGCCGACCCCAAAGCCATCCAACATATCCTCCGAAATTCTGGGTATCGGTACCCCAAAACCAAGGACATCGTGCACGTGTGGGAGCTGGCGGTGGGAAGAAGCGTCGTAGCTGCTGGAGGTTCTGCGCACCAACGCCAGCGAAGGATTCTCGGTCCGGCTTTCTCACCTGGTCAGTTAAAGAAGTACGCGACCGTATTCAAAGCCACTGGTATTGAGGTTTGTCGTTCACACTCTCAATGGTTTGCTGACAATGTACTTTGAATCAGCTCTGTGGGAAGATCCGTGAACTCGTTAGTCAAGGCCCGACGGAAATTAACATGCTGAAATTGACCGGTCGTGCTGCTTTGGATAATATTGGTCTAGGTATAACTGTCGACTCGGTAGGTAGAAACATCTCTTCTCATCATTGCTATTAGCCTCTCTGGGATGTAAATTTGGCGCCCTCGACGGCAGTTCGTCGGAAATGGCAGACTTGATTCGACGTTCATTGTAAGTTAGATCAGACCTCTACGCATGAGCTGTTCTGACATAGGTATATCAGTACTACCCTCTCCAGCATACCGCCAACTCCCCTTATAGTCCTGGCTCCGGCTCTCTGGAGATTTCTCCCAAAATCGATGTTATTCATCCTTGATAGGATACCTACTCCGGAAATCAAGATATTCCGGAAGTTCAAAACGATATCAAGAAGAACCGCGCGCGAGACGATCAAGACCGCTCACCGTGACGGTTCGAGGGATCTTGCGACCCTTCTGGGTGCATATATCTTCCTCTGCATCTGACAATCTACTGACTACTATGCAACCAGCCGAAGCATCTGACAAGAATTTATTGGACGAGGATGAGGTCCTCTCCCAGCTGGCGTAATAACTGATTATCCTAGGCTTCACGCTTTCTGATGGGTTCCACGTTGCCTATTGCTTTCAGAACGTTCACTCTAGCTGCTGAAGACACTGTAGCATCTGCGATCTCTTGGACGCTCTACGAGCTCAGCCGGTGTCCCGAGTATCAAGCTCGTGTTAGAGAAGAAATAATCCGCTTAGATGATTATGAGACCATGCCTCTGCTTAACGCCGCCATAAACGTACCTGTCCCTTCTTTTCCTTCCTTTCGAAAAAAACAGATTCTCACATGAGCCTATAAGGAAACACTGCGTCTACATCCTCTCATGTTCACTTTTTCGCGGTATGCGGCTGAGAACGACGTTATCCCATTGAGTGATCCGATCACTACACGAACGGGAATGACGTTGAATGAGATCCCCGTGGAGAAAGGACAGATGCTGATGATTTCGGCATATACGTATAATCGGTAAGCCTGAGGTATCCGCTGAGTTCCGAAGCTCATTCATTTTTTTGGTAGGCTTTCCAGTGTTTGGGGAAAAGATCCTGACCACTGGAACCCCGAGCGTTTCCTTCAGGAAAGGAGCACAGTTTCGGTTGGTCTACATGAGAATCTGTAGGCTGGTTTCATTCTCAAGTCTTGATTGTATTTCGTACTGAAAAGCGCTTTAACAGCCTGAACTTCAGTGAGTCACCATCATTAGAATATGCTTCAACGTTTCGTCCAGTCTAACTGCTAACTCAGGTGACGGCGTTCATGGATGTATCGGGTACGTTCTCTTTCTCACTCCCTCTCTCAGATCCTAACTTGTATTCCATAACAGATGGAAGTACGGGTGTGTTCAGACCACTTTCAGTAAATTCTTTCAATGCTGACGCGACGGTGTCGGTAGAGTGATCCAACTGCAAGTTATCCTAGTGGAACTTCTCAAGTCATTCGAGTTCCTCAATTCCGAGGTTGAGATCCTCAACGGGAGTGCTTTTGTGGGTTTGATACCCGTCGTCAAAGGACGAGAACAAGAAGGGATGCAAGTGCCCGTGATCGTTAAGGCATCGAAATATTGATGTTGTCACTTTCGCTGGAGCATCGTCACTTACACGAAAAGAACGATACCATGTACATGATATTTTGCATGCCTTTAGGTTGTGGAGGAGGTACAGTGCTACGCCCTCTTCAAAAAAGTCTATATAATCTAACATTGATGTATACTGCACGTGCGCAATTGTACTTCAGTTATGTAGTTCGATAACGGAACAATAGAAAGTCGGTTATTACGCTAGGGACTCAACGCCCGAACAATGACGGGAACTTGAACTCCCTCTTGTTCTTTTCCTTTAACGATGGGCATCAGACTTATGGCTGCTATGCCATTAAAAAGCTCTGCCCCCGAGTCGATGAATTCAAATGATTTGAGGAGCTCGAGTAGGATGGCTTGGACTTGCAGCAACCCATATTTCCATCTGCAAAGTTTGGCAAATTTTAAGAGCAAACAGAGAAGCCAGAAACGTACCCGATACAGCCATAGACACCGTCACCTAGCATGTTCAAAGCAAGTAAAAAGTGAGCATTCGTTATGCGAGAAAGGAAACTTACTGAAATTTATCCTAAACATATCTTTTGTCAGTAGATATTATGGCGCGGGATATAGATTGACTCACAAATTTGCGTGGAGACCAACCGAAATCCTATCTTTCTCCTCCGCCCTAAGGAATCGCTCGGGTTCCCATTCATCCGGGTTGTTTCCCCACACACTGGAAAGTCTGTCGCCACGCTTAGATACCCTTGGCAGTGTTGAACGGCGGAAATCATACATACCGGTTGTACATATAAGCAGAAACCATTACCATTTGTCCTTTTCTGACGGGGATCTCGCTCCACACTTCCCCTGTCAGAATACGAACTGGCTCGTTCAATGGAATTACATCGTCGTCTTTAGTATAACGCAACATCGTATGCAGGATCGGATGCAAACGGAGGGATTCCTATCAGGTTTATCAGTCTCAAGTTGTGAGAGAAGTAACACGAGTACATTGATGGCTGCATTCAATAGCGGTGTAGAATCATAATCGACAGGCTGAGACCCTTTCTGAATTTCTTCTCTGATACGAGCTTGATAATCAGGTCGACGACTCAGCTCATAGAGCGTCCAAGCTATTGCAGCAGCAGTAGTGTCCTCCCCGGCTAGAGTGAAATTACTAGAAAATCATTGGTAACAACGCCCAAGGTGTTAGAAGAATTAGTACGCCAGCTGTGATAGGACCTCATCTTCCTCCAGAAGCATGTCGTCGGACGCAATAGCTAAAGGCTCTCTTGAGTAATGATACACAGAACGGACTCGGGGGGGGGGGATCACACACCTAGAAGATTAACGATATCCCTCGAAGCGTCCCGGGGGATATTCGTGAGTGCCTGGCGCGCGGTCTTCTTCGCTATACTTCTGAACTTGCGTAGAAGTTTAATCTGTTCACTGGGTACTTTATCGATGATGGACAATATCCTATTCGGAAAGAACCTCCAGAGAGTAGGAACGAGAATCAAAAGAGGCGTTGGAGCAATTTTTGAGAGCGCAGTGCTAAGATTGAGGATAAGAAACAGATCACGTAGAGTAGAATAGAAGAAGATGGAAAGTTTACAATGTAGATTTGGATATATGAGCCATCTCAGATGAATTACCGTCAAGCGCACCAAAGTGGCATCTAAAAGATGCTAAAAGTTATGAGTGAATTATCACCTTGTATTTCGAGAACATTTACTTAGCCCAACAATATCCAGCGCAGCCTGGTTGGTCCATTGCAATAGGTTTATTTCCTTCGGGCCCTGACTGACGAGTTCGTGGAACTTTCCGCGGAGCTATTAAGTGAATTGTATTAATAACGACATGTTCCATTGAGCAAACAAGACGCTAACTTTGACCCCGGTAGCTCGAAACACGTCCAAGTACTCTCTCAATTGACTCGACGAAAATGCTGGATTGAGGATCTTCCGCTGACGTTGATGGACCGAGTCTGCAGTCGCGAGAAGTCCTTTTCCCACCATCATCTCCCATAGGTGTGCAACATCCTTCGTTTTGGGGTATCGATACCCAGAGTTACGAAGGATGTGTTGTATAGCTTTGGGGTCCGAAGTCATCAGGATGTCTTTCTACATCAAACGAAGATTAGCACGAAACATGAGGTCAGAAGATAGATTGTACTGCAAAACATCCCCCAATGCGAAACGTGTTCCCGTACATCTTCTGCCAGGTCGTCTCCAGGCCGCCGACAGTAGATTGCGCACGCAGCTCTAATTCATGGCCTATTATAATACGTAGTATGGGTTATTTTAGGTGTGTGTCATACTGTTGGACAAACCTAGTAGAAGAGAGGGACGCGAAGGACCTTGGAGGTGTCTGATAGTTCCAGACATGCGAAATTTAAAAACAAAGAAAATGGAAACAATAGCTATAGCAAGAAGGGTCAGAGCCTCCATCGTCAAGTTCGTAGCGGCCTTTTGCTGTTGTGGGGGGATGGGTGAGGTCGGGAGGGGGTAACTCGTGGACACTCCACACGTTAAATCCTAATTCGAACTCTCAGACGGATTAAATTGAACACGTAAAAAATTACTTTCTTTCAGTCTTCTCGCAGCTCTGGTCCGAAGGCCATGACTCATAAGGTATTCGGGTCGCAGCTGTATTAGTCAAAGGTTCAAGTCGTCTGACCGATGGACCGAAGTTCAACAATTCAACGGTGAGTAGAAAAGCAGTAGTACACGCAAAAAAAGCTGGCTAGATTTGCTGGCACAGACTAACAATCCTGATCGTGGAATCACTATCGGTAACCTCTAGTGAAGGAGATCAGAAATTTTACTCCACTATAGGGAATGGAAGGGCACAGTCAACCGAGTACTCAAATGACATTATTGCTTTCGTCCGAGTCCGTCACGTCCAGTTGTCGTCCGTTAGACTTTTCTAGCAGGTAGATGTGCCTTAACGGTAACCTAATAACATGCCACCAAAGATCCCTCTAAGCATTTTCGAAATGGATGAAGAAGTTTCAATCACACTCGAAGTTTGAACACAGATGAAGACAATTGCAAATTTCCCTCCAGGGCGAACGCATAAAGCTTACCCGGCGGGCCGGCGGCAGCTCGCAAGAATCCAGTTACTCGTTCGAAGATTACTACCCATAGGTGCGTTAATACTTGCAAAACGGATACGACTAAGCTCTGTGTTGAAAGAGACCGGGAGCTTGACTAATACTAGGAGCTTAGCGCCCGGACAAGCACGGGAACCTGAACCCCCTCCTGTTCCCTTCCTTTAACGACGGGTATCAGACTGATAAGTGCTATGCCATTGAGTACCTCTGCGCCTGAATCGAGGAACTCGAGCGATTTGAGAAGTTCGACCAAAATTGCTTGAACTTCGAGCAACCCGTATTTCCATCTTGGTAAGAGTCTACGGTTCAGAAGAGGTCAATGAAGAGAATGAAAGGACCGCACCCGATACATCCGTGGACACCATCACCTGATCCGACATGAGATACAACGCAGATGAGAGAAGCAGGACTCACTAAAGTTAACCCTAGTGTCTATCGGTACATACGTCAAGATTGGGACACAGAGAGACTCACAAATTTGCGTGGAGGCCAACAGATATTCTGTTTTTTCCTTCCAAGTGAAAGAACCTCTCTGGTACCCAGTTGTCCGCGTTATCACCCCATACGCTTGAAAGTCTGCAACCATCAGTACAAGCTTGGATGGAACAACGGAGGAGGTGAAGTACCGATTGTATGTATAAGCCGAGATCATCACCATCTGACCCTTCTCCACGGGGATCTCGTTCCACGTCTCTCCGGTCCGAGTCCGGACTGGCTCGCTCAAGGGAATAGCGTCATCCTCTGCTGCATATCGCGAGAATGTGTAGACAATGGGATGTAGACGAAGGGTTTCCTATCAAGGTATGAATATCAGATTGAAGTTGAGGGTATAAGACAGTACATTAATGGCGGCATTGAGCAGCGGTGTGGATTCGTACTCGGCGGGCCCTTTCTGAAGTTCTTCTCTCACACGAGCTTGGTAATCAGGCCGCTTGCTTAGCTCGTAGAGTGTCCAGGCTATCGTCGCAGCCGTGGTGTCCTCTCCACCGAGAGTGAATGTCCTACAGGACAGTAAGCAACTAATTGGCAGATTGCAGGGATATTGATACGCCAACTGCGACAGTATTTCATCCTCATCCATGAACTTTTCGTCGGAAGCCTTAGCTAGAGCAGATGTTTCAATAATAAATTTAAATTTAGTGAGGAGATACCAACCGAGGAGAGTCACGATGTCCCTTGAATTATCGCGAGCAACATTTTTGATTGTTTGACGTGCAGTTTCTTTGGCCACTCTTCTGAAAGTTCGAAGGATTTCACTTTCCTTGTTCGGTACTTTATCAAGAATTGTCAGTATTTTTTCTGGGAGAAATCGCCAGAGAGCAGGAACAAGGATTGCGAGGGGGGCTAGCCGGATTTTCGATACCGCAGTGCTAATATCAGGAATCGGAATCAGAACACACAAAACAGTGGTATGATAAAACCATACAATAACATTTGGGATATGTCTGCCATTTCAGATGACCCGCCGTCCAGAGCGCCGAATTGACATTTGAAAGATGCTAAAGAGCGTAAGCGAACTATATCGTCTAAGATGCAAATACGGAGAACCGACTTAGACCAACAATGTCCAAGGCAGCATGAATGGTCCATTCCAACAAGTTCACTTCCTTCGGGCCTTGGGTGACAAGCTCATTCAACTTCCCACAAAGCTGATAATCATAAAGTGCGATGGAAGTCATAAGTAAGATTCCTAGCGCAAATGGCGAACCGACCTTGACCCCGGTAGCGTGGAACACGCCCAGATACACCTTCAGCTGACTCGATGAAAACGCTGGACTAAGGAGCTTCCGCTGATGTTGATGAACCGAGCCTGTGACGGCGACAAGGCCTTTTCCCACCACCATGTCCCATATGTGTACAACATCCTTTGTTTTCGGATATCGGTATCCAGAATTACGAAGAATATGCTGTATTGCTTTAGGGTCGGAGGTCATCAGAATATCTTGCTGCATAGAATTTCAGTTAGTATGGCATAATCTAAGAATAAATCAACCTCACGGCGAAACATCCCCCGATACGAAACGTATTCCCATAAGCTTTCTGCCAGGCCGTCTCTAGCCCGCCGACAGTAGGCTGGGCTCGTAAGTCCAGTTCATGTCCTAGAAAATGATGTAGCGCATACTAATTCTCTCTCCCTTGGAAGCATACCTAGTAAAAGAGACGGACAAGGAGGGCCTCGAATTTGCTGTATAGGCCGCCTGTGTTTGCGATATCTGAAAAAGAAGAAAAGGGATAGAACGATGATCACAAGTATCGTCTGGATGTCCATCATCGTAATAGTGATTTTGTTGGTGCTTTCAGATTATTTGCAATGGGATTCGAGGCCACAGTTCAATATAAGCAAGTACGTTCAAACTTCACCCTGGTCCTTCCACGTGATGCACTTCTGATAAGAACATCGATCTCGTAGTAAGTACGTAGGCGCCACTCACGAGTCGTAGATTGGGATGGTTTTGAGCAGGATGCCCGGCTAGTTCGCCACAAGTTAATGTTGAATGAAAATGGGACCAGGGTGGTTAGTAGCATCTAGCTCAAATCGACGAGGCGGATATCCTGAAAATCGGACGCGAGAATGTTGAGGCGAACGAATGCCCGCTGATATCCGAACCTATTTCTGAGTAGAAGTGCTGAAATCAGTGCGGTTCACTGGTTTGTAGAATAGAAGGATTGATACCTGATATATGATACACCATTGCCGTTATGCGTCAATGCCATACCCCAGACCTCCGGCACATTTCGTCGAACAAGACAACCACAGTCCAGAAGACAACAACTTCTCAGTTGTCCGGTCGAATCGATGAATGGGCTGCCTTAGGGGGAAAGCTCTTCAGTCATACGCGAGTTCAAGGCGAACAGTATTATATAGAGGATTCAGAAGACGTTTCTTCCATACTTAGCCTCTCGCAGAAAGACGCACAGTAGACTACAATGACGAAGAGGTTGTACCGGGGTTTCCGAGCAGCCCCCGAAGAACGGTTTCACCGGGCCGCGATATCGGACTTTGCCGCTCAAGCGACACGCACTTTCGTCGCCTTCGTCAACGATGATCACGCCAGTTCAACGCCAGTTTGTTGAGATTAAGTAGAAAGTATTTTCTTACGACGCTTAACCTGAAGGCCTGACATCTAAAGGCGAATTTTAATTTGAACTCAATGCCTTAATCACCACAGGAATTTTCACTCCCTCCTCCTTTCTTCCTTTGAGGAGGGGCGCCAAACTTATGAGTGCTATTCCATTGATAATTTCCGCTCCGGAGTCGATAAATTCAAATAATTTCAGCATCTCAGCCAGGATCGCTTGGGATTCGAGTAAACCCTATTTCCAGCTAGGATGTTTGAATATTAGAGGAGTTATGGGAAAGCGAGAAAACAGAGACGTACCCGATGCAGCCGTGGACACCATCGCCTAATATGAACTCTAATAAGACATGTATAGCAAGAATGATATGGAGGCAGGCTCACTGAATTTTAGCCTGGATTAGTAGCGTCAGCACACCAGCCGAGATTTTGGGAGAGCATCTCACAAATTTGCATGAAGCCCAACCGAAATTCTGTCTTTCGCCTCCGGAGCAAAGAACCGTTCTGGTATCCAGTCATCCGGGCTATCTCCCCATACACTCGAAAGCCTATAAGTGACTGTTAAATAAACTTGGAGGAAACGAATAAGGCTGGGTACCGATTATAAGTGTAAGCAGAAATCATAACCATCTGTCCCTTTTTCACAGGAATTTCGTTCCACGTTTCTCCGGTTCGAGTATGGATCGGATTGCTCAACGGTATAGCGTCGTCCTGTGCTGCGTACCGCGAGAATGTGTAGACGATGGGATGTAGACGGAGCGACTCCTAAAAGATTGATGAGTATTGCATCGCAATTAAGGTGAGAGAAAAAGAACAAGTACATTGATGGCGGCATTGAGTAACGGCGTGGAATCGTAGTCGCCGGGCCCTTTCCGAAGTTCTTCTCTTACGCGAGCTTGATAATCAGGTTGTCGACTGAGCTCGTAGAGCGTCCAGGCCACTGTAGCTGCTGTGGTGTCTTCTCCGCCAAGGGTAAACGTCCTAAATGGTAAATAGTAAACAAATAGAAGCTGCTTCGCATTCAGGGAATTTCCCATACGCAAGTTGCGATAGCACTTCATCCTCGTCTAACAGCTTGTTGTCAGAAGCGTTGGCTAGAGATACACCTCAGTATGAGCAGAACATTTTCAAGGAAGGTATCCGACCCAGGAGAGAAACAATATCCTTTGAATCGCTGCGAGAAACATTCTTGACCGACTGCTCGGCAGTCTCTTTTGATACGTTCCTGTATTTCTGGATGATTCTACTCTCTTTACTCGGTATTTTGTCAAGTTGTCAAGGATAGACAATATCCAGTTCGGTAGGAACCGCCATAACGTCGGAGCAAGTATTATTAACGGTGTCGGAGGAGCGCAGTGCTGGTTCAAGCGTCAGAGATGAATCACGCGATGCTAGAAATAAGAAATCACTATGTCAACTTTGATATGCTGGCCATCGCAGACGAGTCGCCGTCTAGGGCACCGAACTGATATCTGAAAGATGCTGAAACCTTGAGTTAATGAAAGTATCAGCCTCTGCATATGGAAAATACTTAGACCAATGACGTCCAAGGTAGCATGACTGGTCCGCTCCAGCACGTTTATTTCTCGCGGGCCTTCAACGATTAGTTCATGGAATTTTTCACAAATCTAGTGAAGGATTAGGAGGGCAACGCTTTTGATATATAAAGCGGAACAACCTTGGCCCCTGTAGCCCGAAACACACCCATATACTCCTTCAGCTGACTGGCCGAAAATGCTGGACTGAGTATCCTCCGTTGACGTTGATGAACTGGACCTGTGACGGCGACAAGGCCTTTTCCCACCACCATGTCCCATAGGTGTGCAACATCCTTTGTTTTTGGATATTGGTATCCAGAATTACGAAGAATATGCTGTATTGCTTTAGGGTCGGAGGTCATCAGAATATCTTGCTGCATAGAATTTCAGTTAGTATGGCATAATCTAAGAATAAATCAACCTCACGGCGAAACATCCCCCGATACGAAACGTATTCCCATAAGCTTTCTGCCAGGCCGTCTCTAGCCCGCCGACAGTAGGCTGGGCTCGTAAGTCCAGTTCATGTCCTAGAAAATGATGTAGTGCATACTAATTCTCTCTCCCTTGGAAGCATACCTAGTAAAAGAGACGGGCGAGGAGGGCCTTGAAGTTGTTGTATAGGCCTGTGCTTGCGATATTTGAACAGGAAGAAAAGGGACACAACAGCGACCATGAATATCGTCAAAATCTCCATGGCTGGCGGAGGTTAACTGTGGAGTCGTATTGTTGGAATGATAATGCCTATGCCGCTGTTAAAAGCTGGGAGTCAGGATCGATCTCAATGGAAGGAAGTAGGTGTTATTAGGTGCTCCTAAACAGAAGTGTAGCGAATAAGCAATATGACACATGTCTTAGCGGTAATCGCGCTTAAAGATCACTAACTTTACTGAGATTTTCCTGGCGTACGGTGGCGAAGATGCTCATTCTATAGCAGTTGACAGAACAACCAAAGACTCGAACAGAATAAAACATTGACTGGCACCTCCGCTGGCGCAGCTATACGCGACGCATGCCACAATTCAATTTCAGTGGGAGAACCTTCGAAACGATCGAACTAAGACCTTCCTGGCGAAGGAACGCCTGAAAGAAACATTAACTCCGAGTTTAAGCAGTATCTTTTTCGCTGTAAAGTGTATCAAGACCTGATAAGTGTTCATCAATGCGCTAGTGACAAAAATGCGGGGTAACCTCACTGATACCAGCTAACAGTGGAACAAGAGATGGTGTAATCAATCTCATTTTGCGTAATTTACGTCTCCGCACGTTGCAAGAAGACTCACGATCTCGTGATGTCCATTTTCAACTGCAAGATCGTATGCATTCCTGCCATCCTTTGCTATAGTATCTATGTCAGGGTGCTCCAACAACACTTTGACGGCCTGGATTTGTCCTTCTTTGGCGGCTCCAGCAAGGGCTGTGAATCCATACCGATCTTTGCCGTTGACGTCCACCCTGCCTGTCTTCAACAACATCTTCACGATTTGCTCGTGCCCAGTATCTGCAGCATACCGCAAGGCCGTTTGTGGTGTTATAAACGAGGGTGCATCCAGATTGATATCTTCCTGCTCTAGAAACATCCTGACAATCTCGCTATGACCTCTACCTGCAGCGACCATAAGCGGGGACTCGTAGCTTTCATCCCACGTAGTTACCTTGATTCCCGGCTGTGCAAGGAGGATCCTGACCACTCCTGAATGGCCACCCCAGACGGCCCAGAATAGCGCTGAAGCACCGTTTTCACAGGCAGTATTCAGCGATTCCATGCGACCACACTCCAGAAGTGCCCTGACAACCTCTGGATGACCATTGCGCGCTGCTTCCATGGGAGGCGTACGATATCTCCTTTCCGGATCAGCCTGATTGTCATCGACATCGTCTCGCGACAATAGCAGCTTCACCATCTCGAGGTGTCCTTCTTGTGCAGCCACCCCCAACGGTAGGTCTTTGCGCAGATCAGCGCCTTGATTCAGAAGAACCTTCATGACTTGCGCCAAGCCATAATACGCAGCAAACAGAATGGGAGAAGGAGCAAAAGGCCGCGTCCCTCCGTATATCTTTGTGAATCTCCCCGCGACACGTCTGTGGTGCTCTACGCCCAAAAAGGTAATGATATCATCTTCCATAGAACATTGGACGGATCCACTCGCATGGTAGCCCCAGTTGCTGGACGAGTAGTGAAGAAAAGGAAAGCTTTCAGGCCGTTTTCTGACGTCCTCCGAAGCACCGGGAAGGGCAAAGATGTCGAACGATAGCCTGGCAAGCCGTCTTTATTATATACTCGCGGAACTCGTATCTGTATATAAAGCCTGGTACCCGGGGCGGGGGTCCATAGAGGAACCCTCAAATCTCAACGGATTTCAAACTCAGACGTGATCCGGTTTTTCGGCTCACTAATCCATGATGACACATCACTAAATTTCAGGACTTAGAACTTTGCACCGTCATACCCCAGCATTAAGCATTGATTAGAACATTGAATACCATGTAATATTTAACTATGGAGGGGTGGTATAGTATCAGATGTCATTTAACTGAAGAAAACTTTCTATATGGCTCAAAGAGGATGATGCTGTTGATTATTTGTCCATTAGTGCTTCCGTTTCACTATGCTATGTAACTAGAGTAATAATGACCTCATGGAGCGCCTGAAACAGGTGGAATAGCGGTGTAAAGATGATTTGGCGACGCGTCGCGTTTAGAGGCACGCGGAGCACGTGCCGGCTTGTCGCCGGCATTATTTCGGAGTTGGAAAATCAGCGAGATTGGGGGGTTCCTCTATGGACCCCCGCCCCGGGTACCAGGCTAGTCGAACGACAAATACGTCAGGCAGGCACGTGTGATGGTTTCTTGAATATAGGGGAAAAGCTCGCCCCGTCTAGAGGCGAAGTATTCCTGTGTGGTATAATCTAGTGATTCATCTTCAGCAAACGCAGAAGAACCAGAAAGTTGTCACTTACGTACAAACCTCATTACAGGTCCTTTCTCCTGGCCAAACGCGCTTTCTGTGATCACAAGTCCAGCATAGACACTTCCCAGAAAGTCATCATCAAAGAGGTTATCCGGATCAAGGGCTTTTGTACCCGGTTCCACAGCCAAGGCATACCGCAGCTCCAACACCGTCAAAGGGCGCGTAGCAAATGCTACCCAGCTGTATACGCGATATGCAAGGTCTCTATCATACATGCCTTGACTATCGACTCTCGCCAATGTCTTGTCGTACGCGCTCGTCATAGTTTCTGGCAGTTTAACGAGGGCTTCGCGAAGTATTTTTGGATTGGTTGTCTGAGCAAGTAAATCCATGTGCAAGCCTGCCAGAAGGAACCTACAGAAAGTCGTTCAGTAGGCGTAACAAGTACGATTGCACGAGTAACCCACATGCCCTTAGCCTTCTCTGCTACTCCAGCGTGTATTGCCTCACGCAAATCTTCTCACCCCCTGATGTGGCGGGCAAGACGGCCACGTGCGAGCTTGTTCGCGATATACGCATCGATATCTTTATCGGCAGCTCGGATATCGAACCTTGTATCTTCCTCGAACAGCGTTCCTATCGTGGCGATGTCTCTCGACGTCACAAGGAGATGTATATTGCCGCCTAACGACTGGATCATATCAATCAGTTCTTCTCGCCCTCCATAATTATCAGTGAACTCGTCCAGTGCGTCGAGAACAATATATACGCGGTGAAGCAATTTGAACTCTTGTGAAAGAATTTTGTGAAGATCGTCAAGGGAAGGTCGTGTTTGGTCACGAAGACACTGCTTATAAAGCGAAGTGATTGGGACCGAAAGACCGGTATCTTGAACCAATTACTTCACGAGGCTGCAGAGAAGGGCGGCTACGGTTTGAGATACTGCAGACTGATAATCACAGAAGATGTTCAAGACAAGTATCTTCTCCTGGTTGGCTAGTGTCCGCAAATGGTCGGTAATGATGGAGGCCAAAATAGTCTTTCCGACGCCCGCTAAAGAATTTTAATTCAACGAAGCAATAGACATTGATCGAAATCACTCACGGTTTCCGGGACACCACAAGCAAGCTGACTCTGCAGAACCATGTATCCACTCCTGGATCTGCTGGCACTCGAGGAACCATCGCCCAGTGTCACCCACTCGCTGGTTCAGCTTCTCAGCTTGCACGGACTTGAAATTTAACGGGCTGAACCAAGCGGCTACACGCAAAAGCATTTCATCTGTCTAGTCATCAATAACAGGTCGCGGATGAAAGGAAATGTGCGCACCATCCTGAACCTTCTGCATTTGTGATATCCCATCATTCATACGTGTTACCTGGCCACCCATTTTTACAATGCCTCTGTCTATGCGGCTTACGTCATATTTGATGCGCTTCGTACTGTCCGAGACCGTCAACCTTCGAGTCAACCGTAGCCAACATTTCGTTGATTGCACGAGATAAATTCCTGTGTATCATACTCAGTATGAGCTAGCAAAAGTACGAAGGAACTCACGTATGATCGTGCTGTACGGATAATGACCAAGGACTTGATCCTCTCTATCTTCTTCAGAGTATCCTCCACACTCTCTTTACTGAATTTCCACCGCAGTCTCTGCTTCATCTTTCCCATACTGTCCGACGCAGGCTCCAACTTTTTCTTGAGATCACTGAGGAACACACCCAGTTGGGCAAAAGTATCCGACAGCCTTCGCACTGTAACGAGCCAGGGGTCATCTACTGCCGTCGCCTGGGTGAGCTGATTCACCGTCGTCAGATAGATTGTGAGATTCGACAGCTCCTTGGAAAGCTCATCGCGTTCTTTGGGCGCCTCTTTCACATCTTTGAGATACTTGACAATGATGTGCGTAAGTTCCACCAAGCTGACAATCGCCGACGCGAGACCCACAGCATCCATGCGTGACAGGAAAAAGCAAGGTTGCCAAGGTTGAGCTCAGGGCCGACCCAGGGTCAAACAAATTTCCACGGCCACATGCAACTATTGCCGGGTTGAATAAGTTGAAGTCGAAACACCGGTAGATACATCCTCAAAATTTCAACTTGGGGGAGAATCATGAGCTACATGAACCTATGATAATGTTCAGTGTTGTGATACGACTTGAATGACGTGATGACATACGGGGGGTGACTCGCTAGGAAAGTGGTGGGACTCAGCTCTAGAACGCTGTTCGAGCTCTCGTCGGTGTACCATATAAAATCATCTAGCCCTATGCCAGTGTGCTTCCTCTCTCCCAACAGGCCACAGTCAGCCTAAAAGGTCATCAAGAAAATCTTCCATATCGGCTTTCGGGTCCTTGGGTGTAGCACCTTCCGCCAGAGGTAATGCTGGGGCATTAACATAGGACGCTTCTGCAAAGTGTTAGCCCACAGCCAATGATACAATTCTCTGACCTGCCTTGCTTTCGTTCTCGAGCAGTGGGAGCAATGGGCTTCTTTCGCAGCCGTTCTGATTTTGCACGAAAACGAGATTTGAGATCTAAATAAGGCTGAGTGAATGTATAGCAACAGTAAAGGGAAACCGAACCTCGATTAGCGTCAGCAACCGCCTTCTCCCTTGACAGTTCGTCAAGCTCGTCGTCCCATGCGATCTGCTCGACTTTTCCTTTGCGTGTCGGTGCCTCCGAACCTATGCCACGGGAGGATATATGCGCCAGAGAATGATCTACATCCTCATCATCGCCAGACGATGTCGCTTGCAGCGCCGACTCTGGATTGTCGGACAACCTTTGTCGCCCCAGGAATGATGATAAGTCTACCTCTGGTTCGACTATTGGTTCGCCTAACGAAAATCAGGACGCGAATCAAAGTTATCTGAGGCGACACACCGTCGGAATCGAACTCTGGCTCCGGTTCAGCATATCTGTCTGCATTGGTTCCCAAATGTCTCTTCGAAAACTTGCGCTCTCTCTCGGCCCTTTCTTCATCATCCTCTTCGACCAGTGCCTCGCCCTCTAGGACCAGTCGTTGGTGGAATTCTGCTGGCCGACCGTATCCGCGACCTCGGCCACGAGCTCGAAAATATTTTCCTAAGCCACCTCGTGATTTTCCCCGACCTCTGCCACGACTAGTACTGCTCGACGCGGACGGACCAGGTTCTGACATCGGTTATAATTCGTGTACGTAGTCGCGGTGGTTGTGTGGAAAGAAGTAAAATAAATAAATAAATAATCCGAACCTCAATATTGCGTTTTCCGTCGATATTTCCAAAATATTTCTGCAGAACGTTGAATTTCATTTTCATGGGTTAGTGCACAGCGCACACGAGCAACGACTCTATGCGTGTCGTTTGCAGTATTGTGACGAGACTGTGATTACAGTGCCATTGAGGAAGATATTGGAGAGGAGGCGGGGGAGGAGATAAACGCAGGTGACGTGCCCCGTATTCTCTCGCATTAGACAAACGCTACACTACGTCCACCAATACGGTAAAGGCGAGCTTGTAGTGCGATTTCAGGCCGCGATCTCGGGCTCTGAATAATTGTGACATTAACACAGGAACGCCACCACCGCGATGGCACTCCGTTCTTCGAGGCCACTCAGTTTTCCTCAAGCTCAGCCAAGCGCCTTCATTTCGTCTGTCACAGTCTGTCACTGTTAATGTGATGAAACGAGAATTGGCACCTTCTTCCTCAATGCGATTACGATATGCTTTACCTTCCGCGTTCAACGCTTCCTGCTTGAGGTACGCTGTAATCCATTGCGTCCATAGCAAAAGCAAACGCACATCGTCTTGCAGAATGCAGTGGTATTATCTTCTCATGAATTTTCAACACTCACTCAACACTCACCTAAAACGATGCCTAGAAGAACTTACCTTGACCTTACCACATGTCTATTTTATGTACCCTGGCGCTCATTACTTCCCTTCACCATTGTCCGCAGCTCACTAATCCTTGACAATCGCAATGGAAGACATGGAAGCTTTGCGAGCGGCGTCTTGACCTGGACTTGTCACTGGGCATTGAAATATTGACACCCAGCATCCAACATTTATGTCATCTCATTCTGTTAGGTGATCAGCTGAGGAATATAGGAATCAGCGCCGAGCAAAGGAAGGGCGCACTTCTGTCACAAGATGGTGTTTTCCTCCCTCCCATGCCTGTACCATCGGTTGTACGTCTACTCCTGAAACTCGAATGGGGATCGTCTTGTCAGATGATACACCGCCTTTGACAGGGTTATGGGTACTGTCGCGTCTCCGAAATACCGATTAATGACTTGATTACTGAAGCCTTCTCGACAATGGACATACTCAGCGCTCTGAGTGAGAATATAAAAGCTGACCAAACATCCCAGGTGTTTCTCATCGGCCAACTGCCATCTCCTGTCCACATACACACTCCTGCACACAGTCAGTCGTCACTTAAAACCACAATGGAAAAGTCAACTAAAAGCTGACCCCCACAGACCAGACCTCGATGTACATCCCACCCCAAGGCATCTACTTCAGACTGGTCGGCCATGCCAGCCAGCATGTTCTGTTTTCGCGTAACAGCCCAGAGCCTGAAGTCTGGCACTACAAAGGGCCGGAATACGAAGACCAGCTTTTTACGCTTATCCACGGTACGGGCTCGCGTGCGGGACTCTACGCTATCAAGAGCAAAAAGACCGGGAAAGTCCTCTTTTCGCGCACCTCCCAGGAGCCTTTTGTTGGACACATCAGCGGAAACGGCGCTTACAATGACAAGTACGTCTGCACCGTCGTGCACTCGAATTATCATAGATTGTGCTGACCACTACCTCCCAGCTGGTTCAACCTCGAAGAGGGAAGCGGCACATACGCGAAGTTGTTCCGCCTCCTGTGCCCTGCGACAGGAGTCGTTATCTTCTCGCGCACGACGTTAGACCCTCAGGTCGGGAACTACACCAAGGCTAACATCTATTCCGACCAGTACTTCAGTTTCGCTTTTGAGGACATGGTTGTTAAGAGCGTCGAATATGATGTCGCGCTTGGCAAGATCCTCAACGTGACTCCGCACGTTCTGGCGAACCAGACGCTTAGGAACAACTCCGACCACGAGCAGGAGATGGCGTTTGACTTTTCAGAGAACGTCACTCACACTTCGACGTTTGAGTACACCACCGGGTTCACGATTACGGTTGGGACTGAGTTCTCAGGTGTGTTCATGCTTTTCTTTTCCGGGCGTGTGTATGTCCGTCTGTCAGGACCGAACGGTTGCTTCATCGACGCATATCCGTCGTTCTGACGCACCCAAAGTCCCATCCGTGACACATGTTGCACCATCGTGAATATCCAACCCTGTTCTGATACACTTCTCTTTGCAGCTGGAATCCCTTTTGTCTCCGAGGGAAAGATCAGTATCGAAGCGACCCAGAGCAACGAATGGAAATTCGGCACACAGAACACACTCTCGAAGACCTACACAGCGCATTTCCCTGTGAAGGCGGGGCCCCACCAGACTGTTCACGCAGTGTCGACTGTTCAGCAGGGCACGCTCGAGGTGCCGTACACCATCCACCTCGTCTCGAAGAGTGCGGGGGTTGAAGTGGTTACGAAAGGCTTATGGCATGGTGTTTCGTCGTGGGAATTGCATCATGACATTAATGTAGTTTGAATAAGTGTAGCTGTAGTAAGCATGGACCGCGCTGCAGCTCGAGAATGTTCAATCGATGTGTTACTAAGTTCGCTCGTATATGATCCATGTTCGAAATAGTTGAATTATGTCAGAATGATAACGCGTCAACGACTACAGAAAAGGCATGGAATCTTCAATCTCTCTCTTCCTAGCTTCTCTAAGATAAAGCACGATCACGAGCATTATACTATTTTTAGAACAGCCTATAGTGCATTCGCGCTTGGGTCCGGTCATATTGGACCGAATTCTGGCCCATAGGTTTAATGGTGAGTTCGTCGTGCATGACTTATCTGGCTAAAGTTGAGGTTAAGGCGGGTGTGATGATCGTGACCCATGTGCAACCTCGGTATACCAAGTTAAGCCAATAAATTCGCGAACGTACACTCCGTATTGGCCTGTCATTATACACCTTGCACCACCAAAAGTTCCTCCTTCGAACCCTTCCCTTTTGGCCAGTGCCATGTCGGGAATAGAAAGCACTTCCACAATTAGCCTCCTCAGGAACTTCGCACACGGCACAGTTCAAGGAGTCCCTCTTCACAGCTACCTAACACATCCACACGACTATCGCCTTCACCGACTTCACGTGAAGCCTCTCAAGATATTTCTAATCCTACGAAGGTCACCCTTCTCCATGCGTAGCTACAACGAAGTCCAGATGGACACTAGCGATTCTCAAATTTGCACATCTCCCCTTCCATCACCCCGAGTACACCTTGTCATCCACAGCGCGACCCATTCTCCTATTGAACAATCAGGATCACTATGGCTGTAGCAGAAACCAATACTCCCTCTCACGTACAATAGAATTATCGTACTTAGCACAAAAGCAATCAATATCTGGTCTGTAGCCAACTTTGATTTTCATTTTCGTCGGTAAAATCTATGGTGTCTACGATACCTGCGGAGGATTTGGATACAGAAAGTGCTACTGATACAATACCGAGAGACTGTGTGTTGTGTATGGTTGGATAATGTAATGAAAGGAGAGAATAGCAAGTAGTCTATCGAGGAGTTAATATTGCGGGAAGTGGTGAAAACCTTGGATGTGTTCGAGGTAATCCTGTTGATATCTAAATAGATGCTCTGATAATAAATTGGATAAGACAACGAGAAATAGTGGAGGAGCAAGGACAGTCACAGTCTGAATGCAAGACGTCCAAGCCTGAAAATGAGCTGGAAGAGAAATATAACGGAGAATGATACAATCGACCAGTTTAACACGACGATCAGCCAAAGAAAGTGGTACCAATACAGCTCTGCGTCCGCCTTCGCGATGGCCTGACGACGACGATCCCACAGAGCAATGGTTTCTTTCCAATCTCGCAGAGCAGCCTCTTGTTCCTCCGTGAGAAAAGGAACTTCTTCGATGGTCGTCGGTGGCATGAGCTCCCGCCGACGTGCCGGAGTCGGTTTGTATTCTGCGAGACGAGCGCGAGCGACAACTGTATCTGCGTCGTTTACGGTATTGCGCCGACGGGGTCGCGATGGTGGAGCTCCATTGGTGGGAGATATCGAGGAAGAAGCAGAGGAGACAAACGCAGGCGATACGAGCACAGAGTCGATGCTACGAAGAGGTTCAGAGGACGGCTGGAATATCGTGACCATCCTGTCAGGGGCACTCAGAGTGCGACCACGTCTGGGCCTCTCGGGAACATTTTGGTCGGAACTGTTGGGGGACTCGGAAGAAGTCTAATCGAAGCATGAGCTGAACGTCATCGGTACAAGTATATAAGGATAACGCACCGCGGCCGTATCAGGATCCACTCTGGATTTTCGACTGATGTCAATGAAAAATGACACCAGTGAAGAACTGGACAATTTCCTGATCATTGACATCGATACTGACCGGCGACAGACCTGTGACCATATTTTTTTCGGCAACTTGGTTTTGGGGAAATATCTACGCCAAGCTGAGGAGCGCGAGGAGGAAGAAGAGAGCGTAGATATTGATACAATGAGACCCTCGTTGACAGGATCTTCAACAACTTTGGCCAAAGGTGGACGTCGTAATCGCTGACGGGGAAGGAGACCTATATCGACGTAGAACGATTCTACGATCTGAATATAATTGTCAGTAAAATCTAGCTGCTGTGTAAAAAGCTGCTTACTCGTTGCGCTTCATTTGGACCATAGGCAGGCTAATGATTCTTCAGTCGACTGTAGGATCGAGGGCTCGAGGGACTCACGCCTTCAGGAAATTCTGCAACGTCTCCACACTTCTTCCTATTCTCATTCCAGTATTCTCTAGCTTCCATGTAGTGGCCAGCGATCTGTTGCTGAATCTCAAGGATACATAAGGCTTCGAGGCGCCCTACAGGATCAGTCCATGGGTGACGCTGCAACGGGACAAGGCAATGAGTACACGGGAAACGTTTTAGGAAAAATGTACGCACAGGTCCGGGATATGAGTAATTCATGGCGCGTCCTGTAAGGAGGGGTTGAACGTGTTTCGTAGAAATTAGAGAACGTTCAGTAGTCCATCAAGCCAGCACTAGCTGCCAGCAAGTAAATAAACGAGCGGAGTGTCCAGCGTTGATAATTTTCACAACTAGGATGAGGTACCCCAGAAGAGAGGAAGAGAGAGGTAGCGCAAGGTGGAACGAGAGTCTCACGAAAACAGCTATTAATGAGAACAAGTGTAGCGGAGTTCGAAATGCCACCAGTTTGCCACGCGGGAACATTACATTGTTCGTTGATGCCACTCATCCGAGTTTGGCGGGGCTTGCTCTGTTGAAGTTCTTATGGGGCGGTCTCCCGAAGGATCCCGAGAGCCTTTCTTTGTTACGAGTCCTGCCAAGGGAGACGTCAGCACAGCAGCCAAGTCAATATACCAAGATCCGCCCGGCGCCCATGGACAAATTGCAGGCGGGGTCGAAGCACTGATGTTGCGATGAATATGGAGGAACAAAGGAAGGATTCCGGCATCCGCTTCCGATCAGTGATATCAGACTGAACGTTATTGCTATTTCGGGAACTCCCCCTCGATAGTGTCACACCCGCGTGAGAAGACATGGATACCGAAATTGATATGAAGCCTAAGCAATCGGACAAAGGAAAGACAAAGGCAGATATAAGCTAAAAGACCCAAGTCTTGCTAATTAGGATGACGCAGTGGAGACCTGTCAAATAATTTGTTTATCATGCTTCAGTAAGTACATGCAAACCAACTATAAAGGGTTGAGAAATTTTCGCATATTCCTACACAATAAATTACCGTTATAATGGAAGATTCAGGGTCGCCACATCAATAAATTTTCCCGTCTTGAAGCTTTCATTAGCACACACTCCGACGGCGAGCGCCATTGCGCCATCCCTCTCGTTGGCCGATTGCTTGGATGCATCACCTATATCGACCTCTTGGCCCGGCTTCGCTCCAAATAATACACTGAGCATACGAGTATCACCTCCTCCGTGTGCGGAGTGATCAATATTGACAGGAAGCCGTTGAGGCTTCTCCCACAATCGTTGGAGGGTGACGGTCGCACCTCCCGCATGAGGTAGCGAGTTGGTGCCGTGAATAAGTCCGCCTAAGCCCTCTCCATCACTGGGAAAGCGATATTCAGACTCGACGACATCAAGTTCGAGGCGACCTTCGGAACCATTGAACATGACACGGTATCCCTCCCAGGGGGAATAGGCTGTCTAGAGGCTGTTCAGTGACTATGGCAATATAATCAAGAAAAAAAGAGGTACCAGGTGGTATGTCAGAGTTACGCCCGACTTATAGCGCACCATGACGCTCATGTCATCCTCGATAGCGATGTCAGGTCCGAAGACCTGTCAATGAGAGGGGATGTTAGAGCGAGCACCGGCTGATGAAATGCACACCTACATTCATATCACGATGATAGCCGTCCTCTCCCTCAGCTTCGGCATAAAGCTTCTGTAACGTCTCGTCCATCTCCATATGCATGGCGAAAGGATCCTTCTTGGCTTCGTCATCTCCTCGAGCTCGCACATAATCTTTTGCCCAGCCATTTATCGTTCCTGCCTCCTTACCATAGAACGCGGTTTTACCCATTCCAGCGACAGTTTCCGGTTCTGAGTCGATCCACCAGTTCACGAGATCGAAGTGATGTCCGGATTTGTGCACCATAAGCCCGCCCGAGTTACCTTTCTGTCGATGCCAGCGACGGAAGTAGTCTGCGCCATGGACGGTATCAAGAAGCCATTCAAAGTGGATTGAAATTACTGAAGACTGGTCAGCAATAGCTTTCGACGTCTACAAAAATAAACCCTACCTGTCCCAATCTTTCCCTCCGCAATAGTTCGTTTGACAAGTTCGTGAACGGGGTTATACCTGTCTCTGAGTCAACAAAGGTTACCCATATCGAAACAAAACGGCTGACCGATAATTGAAAGTGACTGTCAGATGACGACCGGTTCTTTGCACTGTTTCCAAGATAGCGCGGCACTTATCGGCATCGGTGGTCATAGGCTTCTCGGTGAGTACTTGAACTGAGATGTGCCGATTAGTAAAGTCGAAACTGTTCAGGTTGCAGTTCTTACCTCCGGCTTCCAGTGCTGGAATGATGTATAGGTGGTGCAAAGCGTCTATACAAGTAACAACGATGGCGTCCACTCTTTCCGCCGTCAGCATGTCTTTGAACTGGTCCGGCTTATACACAGGAACAGTCGGGGCGCCCAAGAACTTGAGGAGATCGTTGTAGTAAGCGGCGCGGATAGCATTAGGTTCAAGGATAGCGACCACAGCGCTGGTAGGACGCTCAACGATGCCCCGGACGAACATCGCTGCGCGACTTCCGGTACCAATGATGGCCACGCGACCTCCCACTGTTTTTTGTTCGGAATTGTTGCCCATCGCAGCGCAGATGCAGGCTTCGCATCGCTGGACGAGTATATGTAGGTTCAAGGTGCGGCAAGCGGTCCGAACCGCGGACCGTGGAAAGTAATTTGAGACATTTTTGATCTCTGTCAATTTTGGCCCTACTACATCCCTTTACCAATCAATACATCATAATGATGCTCAAGACTGCACAGAATCGACCTGTTCTGTCACGCAGCCTTAACCCCTACTCGTTGCGCTATTTATATAACATAGGTGAATGTAGAGGCCGCAGGGGATTTTCAGTGACTCGGACATTTCCTCTTTTTTCGCGTCATGCCATCCCCAGCGCCTTCCAAAGAGAGACAACTTCACCTAGAGAATGTCTCGTCTCCTACAGACCTGGAAAGCCAAGCGCCACGCGTTGCCGATGGTGACGCGGCCCTAGCCATCCTGGGTGATAAAACTGTTCACAAAGAAATCACGCCCGAAGAGAATAAACGAGTACTCCGAAAGATCGACTGGTGGCTCATGCCTGTCATTCTTCTTGTGTACTTTTTGCAGCAACTGGACAAGTAAGCGGTTTTGTCCTGCGATTCCGTCTGTACTAATCCCGACTAGATCTTCGCTTTCTTACACTTCGGTATTTGGGATTGTTGCTGAAACAGGTTCGTGGCATACATTCTTACGCGACTCGATTAGCTTACCTTAATTTGTCTAGGACTGGTCGGAAGGCAGTACAGCTGGCTCAGCAGCATTGTATACATAGCTCAGTTAGTATGGCAGCCCGCTTCTTCGTACTTCTTGGTCAAGCTGCCGATTGCCAAATATCGTAGGTTGTATACGATTTCTGTCCGCTCATATTTTTACGCATATTTCCTCAGTTTTCGTTAACGTTTTCTTGTGGGGAGCAGCAGTACGTTTAAGCAGAAATCAGGAAGGCTTCTGGGGACTCATACTTCGAGTAGGTTGCGTGTACTGCGGCGGCGCACGATTTTAAGGGCCTCCTCGCAGGTCGGTTTTTCTTGGGTATATTCGAAGCTACAGTCGGTATGTCAATCATCATGCCACAGTGGATATATGCTACCAATAAACCCAAATATGGTCGCCTAGCAGGAATTCTTGCTACCCTTCAGACGATGACTCATACTTTTTAATCCTAGCGCCCTGCTTCATGACGATCACTCAAATGGTATAATAGACTCTTCCAACTCGCGAAATGATCTCATTTGAATTTTAGTGGTGGCGCCGACGCCAGCAAACGATGAGATTGTCCATGTGGATGGCCATGAATGGAGGAACCGGAATGGTCGGTTCTTTGCTTTCATGGGGTCTTGGGCACATCGGCGGAAAATTGCATACATACCAGGTGTGTATACATTTTATTATGAATGTACGAGCTCACAAAGTCAACAGACTATCTTTCTTTTTATTGGTCTCTTGACCTTAGTCTGCTCCCCCGTTGTGTTGTACGCAACTGTTGTTATATCTATAGCCCATTCCTGACGTTTAAACCAGATTTGTTCTCCCAGACTCGCCAACAAAAGCTCGGTTCCTTAATCAAGAAGAGAAAGTCATTGCAATCGAGCGTCTTCGAGCCAACAACCAGGTATCTATACACGTTCTTGATTACTCTGAGTGATGTAATGCATGCCCGACTACAGGGTACCGAGACCAAGGTTTGGAAATGGGGACAAGTGCTGGAGGTATTTCTCGACCTCAAGACGTACTTGTGGTTTTCCCTGCTCTTCCTTTGCGCGTAAGAGACACTTCAACGTCATGTTGTCCCTTGTCTTACTCGTATCCAGTCTCCCAAGCGGCGGTATCAGTGCCTTTGGCCCACTGATTATCCGTATGTTCTTTTAAACTCGCTTCGATAATCAGCTTCTCATATGTAACTTCAGAGGGTTTCGGCTTTGACAGTTTCAACACCATTCTATTTAATATTCCCTTCAACGCATTGCAAGTTATCGTCACCTTATTGGCTGCGGAAATTTCGACGCGACTTAGACTGAAATGGCCTGTAGTTTTCGCTTTGACACTGCCCCCCATTGCAGGTGCTTCGGCGCTCTATACACTGGGACGGGGGGTCGAATATCGAAATTCTCTATTGGGATGTTATTATGTCGTACGTATTGCCGTTTCTCGTGCTGGTTGACGATGTTGATTTGCCATAGCTCTCCTTCTTCACCGCTCTTCGTCAGTCATTTGCGTTTCCTTATGTTTCTCGCGCTAACGCTTATTTCAGAACCGATGTTATATACCTGGAGCTCGCAGAATACTGCTGGTCACACCAAGAAGCTATGTAACACAGGTATAATCTTCGTAGCACAGTGCGCCGGAAATGTAAGGACATTCCCGGACTCTGGCCTCTCATCGAATTCAAGACTTCTCCACAGATTGTCGGTCCCCTTTTGTATACCACAGACCAGAAGCCCTACTATCATAGGGGACTTATTGCCAAGTGCGTCGTCATAGTTCTCAAAATGAGCACATGGTACTTTGCTAATTCTTGTGATAGTATTATTTGCTGGATATTGCTTTCAGTTCTGACCTTGTATGTCTTCTACCTGGTCTATAACCATCGATTTCTCTAAGAATTCTTCAGGATAACTGCTGCCTATCTTGCGTTCCTTAACCGAGGACAGGCCGCAAAACGTCGTCAGATGGGAAAAGCAGAGAATGTGACGGACAAGTCTTTGCAGAAAAACGACGAGTACGATGTCAATGAGGACAATGAGGGAGAGGCCAGGAATGACAAGTCTTGACGACCTGACGGATAGACAAAACGAAGATTTTATCTATGTCTTATGAATTTGGATCACGCATGTATTCTAACGATAGGGCGCCTTGTGTTTTGGAGACCCAAAGCTTGACACGGCTTAAAGATAACGTTAATATCTGCAAGTAAATTACTAATAGTAGTGTGAGAATTATAGGCCTACTTCTACTCTGAACGCCGCTCTAGTTAGTAATGACCTGACTGGGCAAACAGTGATTACATTGATTACAACGGTGGAAATTGTCTGTCTGGACAGCATAAATGAGGAGGTTGATTCCAAAGGCTAATCATACTATCACACTCTCCCATGGGGCACTTATCATTGACTGTGATAACCGTAAATTGTCCCCGTGGCAGTATCAAACCCGTGAGACGTTCCCAGCTCACAACCGGTGAATATCACAGCGGCACGGTGCTTCTATGGTCTGTGACACGTTTCGTGGCAGCACAGAACCCCGGTGTTCCTTGTTGGGACCGAATACCGATTTCCTAACCTCTGACCGCTACGAGCTAAGGTGCCACAGGACCATACCAGACATTGAAGCACCTTGAAGGACACTGGGCCTGGTTTACAGAACACGAACAGATACATTTGATCATCCTGCCATTATTCTCGCGGATTCTACAGTAAACATTTAGTAAAGGACAGGGGCAAGTGCATGTCAATCTCACTACCAATTAAACGGTTAGGGTCGTGGTTGATGACGTCGTCCGGAAGAATTTGCGCGACTTCCTTCCAAGTAAGGATAGTGCCGACATTCCCGCCTTCTATGACCATGATATGACGTATGTCCCGACCACCCTCCGACGGGTATAAAAGGCGCGAGTTTCCAGCAACGTTCCCCAAACTATTCTTTCTTCCTTCTTTCATCATTTCAACTCAGTCCGTAGTCGATCCCTGTTGTCGTAATCACAAATATGTTGCCGACCCACGCACAGACGCGTTGTCATCTGCTATTCCTCTGAATTCTTTCCCACGCCCCTTCTACCTTGCCATGTCTCCATGCATCGTCAAAAGGCATCATTCTTTATTACGGCCGTTCGTCGACAGGAAAGTACTAAACGCCACGCGCGGAGGTTTATGCTTGTGCTAGAAACACGGTCATCAAGTGATTCGGATTTACGAGCATTTCTTTGCTTTTGCCTTCAAGCGGTGCAAGGATAACGCGATCTGTCTATTCCGAAATTACGGCAGCGGTCGTTCGGCCCTCCTTCATAAAAGTGTTCTAAAGATCCATGCCACGCCCAACCCCTAGGATTGAAGCTGGCAGAAGAATTCTTCAGCATTCAGAGAACCGTAATAGGAAATCAACGCTATAATGAAGACCCCTCCACAATACGTGGGTAGGACGCGCCGTAGTCCGAATGAAATGGGGAAGGAGCATAGTCCTATTCAGCTACGCTGCGTTTCAGAAAGGCTGAGCGTTAGGGCTTCGGGAATCGGTACACGACGTACTTGCCGTCATTTTCACGCAGCATCCATTTTTACTGAGCGGCCTTTTCTCAACCTGGTTCTTCTCCGGATGCAATGAAGGGCGATATCAAACTTTCATCACTCTGATGCTTACCTGGAAGCCCGTTCCTTCGTTATTGTTTAAGACGCAGCCTAGCTAGACGCCGCTCCCTATCCTCTTTGACGAACGTTAAGGCTGATTGAATAGCCGCCCTAGAAGAAGGCTTCGATGTGGTGTACGGCGTCGAGTCGTATTTGGGGGAACTATGCGGGGACATTCGTATGGTAATCCATCTCTCGCTTGCTTCTTCCTGTCCTGGTGTCCTGCATTCCAGTGTATTCTGTGCACGAGTCCTCCGGGCCCACCCCCTTTAATCGACATAGAGATTTGGAACGCCACGAGTATGTCCTCGGTTCCTCAAAGAACCAGTCTCAGCGGGAGCCTACGCTTGATCGCGAATAAGTAGTGCTTTGTTCAGGATCGTGGAACAGTGATAATGGTATATGCAGTGAAAGAAGAATCAACATTGGGATAGTCCGAAGGGCACAAACGAACAGGAGGTAGCTCTTAGCTTAAGCACACCAATACCGGAGGAATATCATCCCAAAGTGGGTAAGATAAGACTTTCCCTGAAGGCAAAGCGTACCACCGGCTGGGTCAAAACCGTTCCGCACCCTGCGACCCAAATGTATCCAACGTATCGCCAAAATTGGTGCTCGGGAATACCTAGCCGCCGTCCAAGGGAAATGATCACCGTTTCCAAGGTGACAACACTTGCTTGCGCGAAGAATACGATGAAAACGTCTACTTCCCAGGTTTTGACCCCTCCGTAGGTCATCACAAGATGCAACGCAGCGGAGAGAAAGAACGCCGAATAGAGTTGAATCAATGAAGAAGCGCGACTTCCTCGAGGAAGTTTGAACACTTCTCTACTCAGATAACGACCCGGTGAGGTAAAAGGCTGTAAGAATAGTCAAACCGACTACCCAAAGGGTATAAGATGGATTCTGCGTACTCTTCTGAATACCTGATGCCATACAAGCCTGTGACAATCAGCCATAAGACGCACTTCGATGAAACAACGGAACCCACCCCCAAAATCTTCGATACGTATACGCGTCGCGGAAACGGCCATACACCCATGGACATTCTTCTGGTCTCCACAGGCCAAGTCCGACCGCAACGATCGTCAGGGAACCATACGCCATTCCAAGGGTAGAATACGCCGACAGGCCAATCAACCCCCCGCCTAACACTGCTCCACTCCATCTTGAGACAATAGCATGGTACGGCGCAAGAATTGCAACCATGTCCGACAGCACAATGCAGCAAATCACTCTGAATGACTGCTCCAGAAGGAATCGCGTTCGATTGCGTGTTACTGGGGGTAAAATGGGCTCGTGTGTCCATCCCACGCCCCGAGGACTGCACACCAAGCTGAGGCCCCATGTGAGGCGCTTGTAAAATGGTGCCATCGAGATATCCTCATCCTTCGGCTGGTCTTTATGCCTCAGGACCCGCTGAACATCCGTGAGGATCATAAAATCAACACTTCGCAACGCCAAATCGAAAACGATGATGTTCACGGCCATCGCATGCGAGCCTTCATCGTGGGAGACGATATACGTGGCAAGGAGAAGCACAGGTAGCACGAACAGAAACCGAAACTTGCAGGGTTTAACCGAAATGGAGAGTACGAGGGTGGTAAGTATTCCGAGAAGCGCGAGCCATGTGTTTAGCGGGGCCGCCGTTGCGAGTCTAGGATCGCTGTGATAGAAAGTCGATGTTCCACCCATTGTAGCCACGCAACGCCGTACAATGGCCACAAGCGAGAGTACGTTGACATTGCCGCTAGTTTGTGGCGGCGTTTGCCCCGGATAGAAGCAAGTTTTAAACCAGAGAGCCGCGTTCCCCGCGCAGATAAGATTGTGAAACGCGCTAGTTCTTGCTTCCTTGCTCGTTCACATTGGATGGCATTGATATTCAATTAGGAGCGAAGGTGCAGTCACGAGATAATCATCTCTGTGAACGTTCGAACATCGCACCTAATCTGAGATGAGAACCAATGAACATTCCAGAAAGCGACGAAATAGAAATACAGCAGTCCGTATGTAGTACACAGACACATAAATAAGCAACCGACGTACATCACAAGTCATTACCAGACATTTCCATCAAGCTGAAACATGGGATCCTGTTACGGTTACTCGCTGGTGAGATTGTCAATATGAGATGAATGACAAGAGACGGAGAAACTCACAAGCGACGACCGCTTAGAGTCGATGGCGGGTACCAACGTCTTATTCTTGTTGCAAAGGGCCAGGATAGGCTCCGGACCTTTAGCGTAGTCCTCACGACTCGGCGAAGTAATTGACAACACTTTGCTCCACTCCTCCGGCAGACCCTTAGAGAATGATGTTAAATAATTGAAATAGACATCCAAGAACGAGCAACCTACAATCAAGTTTCCAGTTATAGGATCAAACCCTACATGAGCGTTGTGCGCAAAGTCGTACGGACTGCCGACATCAACCTGGGGCACCGGCTTTCTTTTGATCTTGGAAGGCGTCGATTTGGCTAAATCCTTGTTCCATTCTTCCGGGACGCCCTAAACGATGAATGCGCGATTAATACACGTCGCTCATAGGTCGGATAAGAAGAAAAATGACATACTGTGAACCCCTTGGTCACCGGGTCAAACCCTACATGGACGTGATGCTTGACATTGAAAGGCTTGCTCACGACAATCAAGGAACTCCGCGCCTGGACCTGATCCTCTTTGGGGTCTTGGGGAGTTGCAGGCGGCGGCTCTGCCAGTGCCCTTTCCAGTTCTTCGGTGAGGCCCTAAGACCCACGGTAAGGACGAGCAGCGGCATAACATAACACACGTACCGTAAAGTTCCCAGATAGAGAATCGAACCCAACGTGTTTGTTGTGCACGAAATTGAAAGGAAGGCTGGCACCTAATGGGCTGCGGTTGTAGATGTCGTCCTGCCACCCATACAGCTCGTTATCTGTCTTGAGATCCAGGAAGTACCGCTTGTTCTTGGTCTCCAAAAGGATGCAACACGGCTTCAAGTCGGTACGCTCGACGGTTTTGAGTTCCTTCAGCTTGATAGTACCTTGTGGGCGCGACGATTTCTGCAAGAGATGTCAAAACAAACTCAAAATTATACTACTAATCCGTACCTGAGATTTGCATATCTCCAGCGTCTCTTGTTTCAGCACCAACCACTTTCGTTTCCAGATCCAGCTGGTGAAGATTCCCCTTGTCTTCAAACTGACATAACCTGACCGTATCGTCGAATTTGAATCACTGGATGTAGCCATGCCACTGCAGATGTACAAGCTCAAGAATGAATGAATGAATGAATGAGAGACGCCTAGCGCTACCTAGCGCGATATCGTCGTGATTGACCGGGAAATAACAGCGTAGAGAAGGTGGCCACCGTCGATGATGGGAGTAAGAAGAAAAGGGGTCTTAGTGGCACCGAGTTAGGACGGACTTGATATTATATATATATATTATTGTTTGATGCGAGATCAAAAAAGTCACTAAGGGAACAAAGTATTCCATGAAACTCTACCCACTCCAAACCCCAAGTACAGCTTAATCTAGGTGCATCGAGACGCCGTTTCATCTCCCCTTACACATTTGCATCGATAGTACATTATTTCCAGACTTGAGAACAGGAACTGTAAGAGTAAAAGAAAGAAAGAAATGTGAGGGTTAGGAAGGAGAATACGTGGAACACGATGTCAAGGTTGAGATAAACAGGAAGAGTCCAGGACTCGGAGAGAAAGGAGGTGCGCAGAAGGTGGATCATTTGTCGTGGTATCGTAACAGACATCGTGGTGGGTCAGGAGGATTTGACAGCAACAGTAAGGATGATTATACGATAGGCGCAAAGAATTGAGGATGCGGATAAAGATAAACCAGACCAGCAGACTCATGAGGCTTGCTTATTCCTGAATCGCAAGAGAGGTGCAAGCCCAGGTGACGTACACGCTTTCTTCAAGAACTCATGCTGTGAAAAGTATACAGCATCAGCACCCCATCACGATATAAATATGCAAAAGCACATACCTCAAGTAGCTCATTCGCCGTTGCCCGACTGCTCACGTCCACACACAAACACACAGCCAAGAATCCCTTCAGCTCCCGACTCAACGCCTCCGGCCTCTTTAGCGTCGGCGTTCCATTCGTTGCAATTAAGTAAAGGGCCTTCAAAGGTTCTTCATCCAGGTAAGGTGGCTCGTTCTCAATCATTTCAATAGCCATGATCCCCAACGACCATATATCCACCTTGGCCCCATACTCTTTCTGCTTGACGACTTCGGGCGCCATCCAGTACGGCGTCCCGACCATCGTCGCCCGTTTCGACTTTTGATCCGTAAGTTTGGCACAAAAACCGAAATCGGCTATCACAGACAGACAGGAAAAGTCAGTAAGTGAGACTAGAAAATTATATGACAGGTGAACGCACTGATCTTAACACGTCCTTGGGCGTCAAGAAGGACGTTGTCGGACTTGATATCTCGATGGATGATGCTTTGGCTGTGTAGGTGACCAAGTCCCTTGCACGTCTAGTTGGAGCAAATCAGTCAAAAGATGTCAATGAGGTCAGGGCAGAACAGACCTCCAAACAGATGCTTGATATTTGATCCTCCTCGAGGGTATTGTTCTCGATTATGTCAGTCAACGCTCCTCCCTCCATATATTCCATGACTACCCACAGCTCTGTACTCTTGACCAGATACGACTCCAAGAAGTTGACAATATTCGGGTGTTGCGACTCCTTCATGACCAGAATCTCATTGACAATCAACTCCTTGCGCGGCTGATGCGACAGGTCCATCTCCTTGATGGCCACCTTCTTTCCGGAGGGGATTGTCTTAGCAACGTAGACATGGCCAGAAGCACTTTACGAAACAGAGTATTAGGAAATGGACCCTAATTTGCGAAACAAAACCACGTACCCTTGTCCAACCTTCTTGATCTTGCTATACAGTGTCTTCGGATCTTCCTGCGACACGACTGACCTCAACTTCTCCATGATCTGCACCTCGGTCATCGTGCTAATTCGCTTCTCCTTCTCCTTGGGCTTCTCCAGAGCTGCCGCAGCAGCTTCAACGCTACCTGACGGCTTGGGAGGCTTGTCCTCTATCTGAACTTTCTTAGGGTTCAAGGGTTTGACAGGGGGAGGACCGACTGTCGCGCCGGCGGGACCTGGCGCTGGGTGAGTTGCGGGTTCAGAAGTTGCTGGAGCAGTCTTGCTGGCCGCAAGGTGCGGTCGTGAGCCTGATGCCTCGGGCGTCTTGGATCGTTGCTGAGGAGGAGAGGGTTCACGGTGGACTTTTAGAGGAGGCTGCTGGTTCGATTGTTGTCCTTGCAGTGGATCTTGCCGCGCTGGTACTGTCCCGGTAGCCGCAGGCGGACCTTTTGCTTTCTGACGAAGCTGGAGGTCCGCGGAAGAGGGTGTATGTTCTCCAGACGGTCTAGGAGCGGAAGGAGCAGTTCTATTGGTCGTTAAGAGCGGTCGAGGAGGAGCTGGACGGGATGCCTGCAAGTTGCCAACAGGAAGTTGGGCCCTGGAGGAGCTAGCTGATATTGTGCTGTATGCTCCATTGGCAGTGGCTCTGGGAATATCACCATTGGTAGGAGACTCAGATTCTTGCCTCCTGATCCCAGGGCGCGAAGACAAGTCGGACGACAAGGACGGCGGGAGAGAAGAATTAAGTTTTCCCATCCCGCCGAGACCTGTACCAGCATTGAATCGCGCGGGTGCACTTGTATCCGGGTACGACGACATGGATGGCCCGGCCCTCGACATGGCGGCATTCTCCTCCATCTCGCGCTTTTGATGATCTGTATAGAATTCGAGTACCTCTAACACAGCTTGCGGATCTTTGGCGTAATCTTCCCGGGTGATGGCGGACTTGGTCAACAGCTTGCTCCATTGTTCCGGCATGCCCTATGTCAAGAGAGATGAGAGCAGCAGATGAGGGAAAGGGAAGAAACGCACTGTAAATGCTCCAGAGACGGGGTCGAATCCGACGTGTACTTTATGCACAAAGTTGGTGGGGTTGCTCACACCCATCAAAGGGCTCCGCGAGTATATATCGTCTTGCCAGCTGTATAATTCTTCATCATTCTTCAAAGAGAAGAACAATCGCTTCTCCTTGGCTTCCAAGATCAAGCAGTACGGCTTGAGGTCGGTCCTTTCGATGTTAGAGATGTCACGCAACAATATCACGGTCTGCTGGGGCGATGTCTGCGAAAAATGAGTCAGATCGTCGTCGTCGAGCAACAATAGCGACACGCACCTCAGATTTATGTATCGATAAGGTCTGCTCCTTCAGCACCAGCCATTTCTTTTGCCAGATCCAGCTGGCGAACGTGCCTTCCTCCTTAACGCTGACCGATCCGCTACGGACCACCGAGGACGCCGGCCCTGTTTCCATGGCACGATTTGGTGAGCCGCCGATGCCAGAATAAGATGGGGTATACGTCGACGTCGAGGGCGAGGTGGGTGTGTAGGTGAACGAAGAATTGTAGCCTGAAGAGGCGAGCGAATTACTGTACAGCTGTGGGCTGTCGGTTCCCCGCCGTTGTGGAGCCTGGGGAGCTGGCCGTGTTGGAGTCAGCGACGTCGCCGTTATATTGTAGGCCATGCCACTGGATTGGTTTCAAGAATATCTTGATACAGGGTCCTGTATGGTACTGCTTATTCAATGCCAGCAAAAGTTGACGTTGGTAGAGGAAAAGAACCTGGTCGTCAAAGTCGTACGACAGTCGTCGTCACCGTCGTGGCCGTTATCCGCAACGACGATGAAATATGTTTAGGCGCTGTCTGAGATGGCGAGGAGGACAAGGAGGGCTTTGTTTGGCATTGGGATTGACGGCGGTAAGGTCCGGATAGATCCGGGCATGCCATCACCTAGGTAACTCTTCTTTTCACACTAAAGTTCTCTTCGAACGTCGATGTACATAATGATAATTGTCTCTTGACCAGTATTCTACGCTCAATTATGGCCCCATGTCCGGAATTTTCGTGGTAGAGTTGCCTTCAAAAAGGCAGGGCCGTCAATGGATTTCCGTAAGGGATTCCTTCAGTAGCAACAATCATTTCTCGTCTAATTCATGAATCGAAGAATGAATACGCCGTTTGACAGTGCAATCATAGAGGAACGCCACACTTCAATTTTTTCGGGGGGTTTACACCAAATCCGATGGTTGATTTTCACAGGCATGTCAGGAACCGCATCGAACTAGCCTGGCAAGCCGCTTTATTAGATACTCGCGGAACTCGTATCCGTATATAAAGCCTGGTACCCGGGGCGGGGGTCACCTGACTGCTGGCGAATGTTTTTATTGGCCGTCGGCTCGCTCGGAATTGTCAGAGGGTCGAGCATATACGTTATTGGATCACATCTAAGTTGCATTAGAGGTCCTGTGGACTTTGAGAAGAGAGTAACGGCCTCGAAAGTGCTGAACTTTTGGGTGGAGGATGCGGATCGCTCCCTATAGAAATTGAATCGGAGCTTTAAAATGGCCAACATTGGTGGGCAGACGGGTTTACCCCCGCCCCGGGTCTCAGGCTAGCATCGAACTAAGTCTCGGTCAGCTGGCACCTGATGTAGAGATGGGTCGAAGGCCACCTGACGCAACGACTGGAGAGTCTCCTCTGATTGTTTTAGTATACCGACGCGGACTAGAGTTATTCAACCCGTCGGCAGAGTCGACAGTATCGATATCCCGGCGAACTTCGGTCAGAAGAATGGAGTGCATAGTGTTCCATTCTCTGCGGAACTAGCGATAGTGGACAAAGGAATGAATCAGAACAATACGTTGAAAGCGTACGAGTCCTTCGCTCATCCCGACTCTTGCAAGTGGTCGGAAAGGTTTGTCGAGATATAAATAACGTGTGCCACCACTTAATAGGCCTAAAACTCTAGAACGAAGCATTCGGGGGAGTGACAAGACGCATGGCCAGAGGAAACACCACGTGTTAGACTGAGTTAGCGCAATACGTAGGAGCATGGAAGAAGGCCACGATTAAGAAACATCTTCTCAACATGCGTATCTGGAGAAATATTAGCCGCGGCGTGATTGAGTGAAGCAGCATGATGCTGGAAGATGCTGGCATGCTGGCAACTTTAATTATCAGTATACAGGTAGGTAGTATACGCTGTCGGAAGCCGCCAAAGAAAGATAGCTTTAGATTAGTCCACTCTTAAAGAAATACAGCATTAAAGTGACCATGCAAGCGAGATAGTCTTGGAAAATCTTAGAGTAATTTTGAACAGTACTGTGAATGTAGAATAGCTGGTAGCTGATCCTCATCAGAAAAAGAATCTTGCGACGGAATAACACAAACCCTACACATCTCAAGAATTGCTGCTGTCGGTACTCACGAGACTGGGCACTCGACCAGTCGGATAGCGTGAAGGAAAAGTAAAGGAAAATGTATCTCTGCTCGTGAGCTAACATGGAGGGTGTTAAACGTTCATCGTGGAATGCACATTCGGTATGTTCATAGGCTCGGAAGGCAGCAGGCGGTAGATAGTGTTCACAAGAGAAATGTCGCACTTTTCATGCGTCGAGGACGGAGATGAAAGTTTGGCGAAAAATGAATTGCAGCGTATAAAGACATGGTAGAGTGGTCGACCTATCACCGTCTCTTGGAATCCTTCGTCATTTTTTGTCTGTCAAACGTAAGGTCAGTGTTAATGTGAACATCAAAGTAACTCACTTTGTCGGATTGTTCTTCCTCGTGTGCGAGAACTCGCCAAGCTTGTGACCCACCATGTCTTGTGTCACTAGCACGGGAAGGTACTGCTTGCCGTTATGAACAAGAAATCGGATCCTGTGTACTTTTGTTAGCCGTTTCTCAACATAGGATCCCCAAACAACTCACCCAACAAAATTGGGTAGAATCGTGCATGCACGAGCTTGAGTCTTTATCGCGACATTGCGTTGGGAAGCTTCTTTGAGGTTGGAAAAGGCCACAAAATACGGACCTAGCACGTACAATGAGTAAGGAAAATATAAGAAACCAAGCAAGAACAATTCACCTTTCCAAGCAGATCTCCCCTTGAAGAGGCTAAGCGTCGGCCGCATGAGGGAAGAAGAGTAGCAAATATTTGTCCCGTCAGGGATGTCAGCAGGCACGCGACTTTCCCGATATGGACGATCTGTGAATTGAAATTTCCGAGTTCACACGGGCACCACTCAAAGTCACATTCCTCTTCTTTCCAACAGGCGCCTTTGGCACGAGTGCCAGCACCCCGTTCCAGAGGGATTTCTCTGTATATATAATACTGTATTCGAAGGAAGGGGATGCCATCATGATGATTGTTATTCGACAAACTACCTCCGGCCCGACCTCTACTGCTGCGGCGGAGGCGACCAATGGCGCTTCCCTTGGAATTGGTCCTTCAAATGGCGCCGCAAAGGTACGCTCATCATCAATAGTTACCCCCAGTCAACTCAAATCATCATCCGCAAGTCAACCTTGGAATGGCTTTTTGTTGCTTTAGTCTGCCTTCTCACCTTGTCCATAATAATACGGAGGTGCGTTTTCACCTCAGTCTTCATTCCTCCGATCTCTTTATAATTATGCTCTCTACAGAATGATGCAACTGAGAGCACGTCACATACCCATGTCGCATTTTTTTAGGTCCCATAGACCTGTGTCTCCTGCTCGCGGATACCCCGTTTCATCACCACCAAGATACACGCTGCCCCGATTATCAGATATACCGGTGGCTTATCACCCTCCAACGCGCATGCGGGCAGCGGGTCCTGTTCCAGAGGGTCAGAGTGACAAGGATGCTCTCCCAGCTTACGATAAGGCTGGTAGTCCACCCAAATACGTCGAGGCTGAGTCGACGTTCATACCCCGGGTGGACTCAGAGAGAGCACCACCGGTTGTGATTAATACACAACCGACAATCGGGTCCGAAACACTCACTGCAGACGCGAGAAGTTAATATTCTCCCTATATGCCATGTTCATTACTTACGATATTCCGTCACTGTATCTTTACCGTCCTGTTTGCTCCTCGCTTCTTTCCCCGCCTTCAATGGCTTTAAAGGCCGTGGCGTTGGGGATAACATATGAGCCCTTGTACATTGCAGACGTTAGCGGGACCGAAATGAAAAATGATTTAACTTGAAACGGAATAGAAGAAATGGGCACAGTATCGAATATTAGTCGTAACCAGACGCCGCCAACTGCGAGCTCAGGATCGGCGATAACTGTGGCGGCAAATAATCTCGCTGCTGCGGCTATGCAGAGCAGTGTATTCCCTCCTCCAATGTAACCCCAAATTAAGTGAAGCTGAGGCCAGGGGGAGTTACAGATTGGGTGACATGCGTAGATCCACCTTCTCCCCTTTACTCCTCGAAAAAGAACAACTTGTTGGCCGGATATTCCATCAGATGTTCGCCCTGATAGGAGATTAACGATTCTAGATATGGGTGAATCGATGACTAGGTCCAGGGAAACGATAAAGTAAGCCAGAAAAGCAGTTATGGAGGACAGATACTGCAAAATAGCACAGCCACTAGTGTGGCGAGGATACACCGGTACCCACACCCACGTGAAAGTCACGCTCTCGCGACATAATTGGAATTTTCGCGTCTTTTCCTTCACAACCACTACTCATCGAGCATGAACCGCAAGGTAGGTATTGAGCGTTCCACAGGCCTTGCAGGAGGCGGAGTAGTGTCAGCCGAATCGCAGCGCAAGTGAGCGTTTCCCTTTCTCTCCTCTGCCCATTCCAAATCGTTTTTTTAGCTACGAAATCGGCGCGGAGCTCTGTCGCAAAAGAAAGCCAAAGGAGGCAGCCCCATATCTACTGAGGGCAATACAGGATCACAACAATTTGGATGCTTTCATTGAGCTTTCTTTCCTTATGCCTGACTCGGAGTCCAGATTGGACGTGCTAGCTACTGCAGCTAAGGAGGGTGCGTCGATTTTCGCTGTGCAGACGTGTCGTCTTACAAAATTTTAGGCCAAAGATTACTCAAATCGCGTCTTGGTCCTAACTGCTTCGACGATAACGGTCCCTATGCTGGCAGGTTCTGGGAGATCCTCGATACGCGTCCATATATGCGCGTTTTGCAAGCACAAGTGCGCATGTTCTTCGAAGGCGAAGAGTACAAGTCGTCTGCGTAAGCTTTCCGTTCTCGTATCTTCAAATCAAATGTGATTTTGACGCATTATCAGTGAGACCATCATCGAGATGCTTCGTCTTTGTCCAGGAGACAATCTCAATCAGCGTACTTGGCTCGGACCTCTTCTTTGTCGCCTAGAACGCTACTCGGACGCGTTATACTTCGCTCGTTTCTGGATAGAAGATTTCATGGCGGACCGTCGGGTCTATGTCCCTCCCTATCGCGGCGGAACTGTGTTCAAAGCCCCGGAGCGTGGATTATTCTCTCCGGAAGACGAGAAAAACGCTATCCCCAGTCCGAGTTCCATGAGTTACACCGCAGCCTTTGCGTCGTTTAAGCTCTGGGGCGATTGTGAGGAATCGCGCCAATATCTGAGGATCGCGTCCAAGGGTAACCCTCACGTAATGATCAAGGTGCTCGGTAGAATCAAACGCCCTGGTGAGCACTTCCTCTACTCCGTCTCTCCTCTGTTGTGACCGCGGTTTTATAGAACAATTGAACTCGAGTGCGCGAGGCTGGAACGGGCCAGAAGTTGCTCACGATTATCTCTGGCTGGTGCAAGATTTGTGGATGAAAGACGATGTCTGGAATTGGGCCAATGAACATCCTGATGCGAAAGAAGCGACTTTTAAGAAATGTGGAAAGCCCTCTTGTGGACTGAAAGAGACCCGTGCTGCAGAATTCCAGCGGTGTTCATCATGTCATCTGGTAGGCTAATTGGTCTCCGTGTGTTATAGGTTAAGACATCGCATTCCCAGGTCTCGTACTGCAGTCAAGCGTGTCAAAAAGATGACTGGAAGAGGCACAAACCTGGTATGTCTTTCCAGTTTGTGAGGTCCCTCTCTGAAGTTCTAACACTTTTTCCCCTAGACTGCCAATATCATAAGATGCAAAAAGCGGCGGTCCAAGCGTTCAGTGCCGGGAAAGCTCTACCCGAAGGAAGTACTATTCCTATTTTCGCCACCGACTTCTCTGGCGGCGCAGTTCATCTTTATGACGGGGAGCAGGCGACTGTCAATGGTGTGCCGATCCCAAATTCCGACGGTATGGCTTCAGCTTCGAAGAAGAAGAAGAAAAATAAGAAGAAAAAGAAACCTGCTGAGAGCAACTAAGGCCGTACCTTTTGCTTCTTGTTTCAACTTTCTTCTATTTTTCCATGTGTTTTGTCTTCTTGTGATACGTGTCCTCTGCACTACTATGACACTCTGCCCTGTAATAACAAGTACATCAATAGTCCTGAGCAGTGCGTGGAACAAGTGCCTTCGGCCTTGGGTCCGCAGGGTCTCGTGATCCTTTCGGATTTTCGGGCTGAACGAAGCTGAACTTCAACTCTACAAAGTTCTTACACTGCCCTTCGAAGCTCGTTGCTCGTAGACCACTTGTTCATGTCTGGATGGCGTCCCGGTGCGTAACGCAACATCGTTGCAGGACTTGCATATTATTGACGCCTTTCCAGTTTACCGATGTCCGCTTATCAAGACGCAAATTTGCTTTCCTCATTCCTTCCTTATCAACATCGCGACGACGAATACGCCACTATGGCACAGTGGACTTTCGGCTACTGCGAATATAAAATACGGGGAAATAAATGATCAGTTGCAATTACTACCTGCGCTTTGCTTTCGACCATTCATTGAAACATGTTACTTCTCACAACTCGGTCCCAACATCAGAAGTGATACTATACACTTCTTGTTTCAAGAACAGATGAACTGCGGCGAATTGAATAGGAACGAGGAAGAAGGTTGGAACAGGTCAGCAACCGTGTGCTTAGCGTGTTGGTCGCGGTGAATTTGATTTGCATGCTATAGTCATAGCCATTTTGGTGGATCATGCATTCGAGTCCGAACGCTTATGATTATTCATTTGCGGTAGGTGTAATGAAATCTGGTTACCTTCGTATCTTTACCTCAGTCTGACACGCTGTGGCGGCTCTTGTCAAACGAACGCACAGTAGACGGGTCTATCAGCCGCGGTAGCGCTTTTCAGGTCGTCGGCGTCTCAGAGTACGTTAAAAAAATGCAATAATTCCGTACTAAATCTACGGTGGATCTTGGAGCCGGTGCCTATCCAAAGGCCTTCGGGTTATTGATGTCTCCCAACTTCAAGAGATACGTACTTCGTGGACCTGACAAAATGCATTATAAACACCATGTGGGTCATTTGGTCCGGTTTTCCAAACGTCGTCTAATTGCTCATTAGTTCAAAGAAATTAGCGTTGGACTTGGTTTTTGCTCATGAGAACGTGCAAATTAAAACGTGTTGTCCGTTGGCCGGTCCCTTCTGACTTCTTCCATGCCAGACGAATTTGAGGGTCGTATGCGACAAATGCCCATGTTGTTCTACTCCTGCCGTCAGTGAAAGCATGATACACGGTTGCAGGACCGGTGTCGGTTCACTTACCGACCATAGCCCATGATGCAGCAGTAATCAGATTTCTACAGCTAACCGGATATCGGCCACAATGATAGGAAGTTGGGTAATAACATATGGTCTGTGAGTAGTTCTCGCATCATGCCGCTAGACACATAGCGCTTAGATTTTACTATCCATATGATCCAGGAACACTGCGAACACACAAGGAGATGTCATTTTTCTACATCCTCTATTCAATGGAGTGAGTACAAGCGTTTATGGTGCGGTCCGATAAGAGATGGATTGAGATCATGACACAACCCTGGCATCGTATCACAAACATCTAAATTATACCCTGACATGGGCAACGATATGGGTATCTTTACCTCTATGGTAAGCGCCCTCTTATTCATCATGGGGTTGCTGAAAGATTGTTACAATCATGATTTCTAGGCGCATCTCGATAACAATCGAGACTTTCATCATCCATCCATTACGGACGTTCGTACCCGTCCTGCATAACTCTGATCATACTCAACGCTTTACAGACGTAAATGGCGACATTGTTTCATCTTGTACTCATGTCTAACTCCCGCAGTCCGCAAACTTTTCCGCGGAGCATCATCAAGGATACTGCCGAGAGCGGGGCGGTTCGCACAAGGTCCTTTTCCGGCGCTATTACCGGCATGAACAAGTTGGCGGAACTTCGTAGGTGCCGTAGATGCACAGTGTTCGACGCCGGGCTAGATGAAGTCGGGGATTGCATGGAGCTTTAGCCTCGCTCCGAATTGTCAAGACATACTTCAACGTTATCGTAGGGTCTATTTACGACTTGACTACAGATGAAAATATGTCGTCATTAAGCACGTTTGCGCACAGTGGTAAGGACGTATCCTGTTGGTGGTACGGTCTTCGGGGGAAAGCGGGCGAGGACGTGCCTTGCGAGTCCTTGGGGTGGTCACCAGACGCGGTTGTCACCGAAACAATGCATGTCCTGCGGGAAGGTTCTTGCAGCCAACTGTATTCAAGGTGAGTTATATAGCCATTCCTGGCCCAACTCAATGTTTCGGACTCTTTAGTGGCGTTAGAATTGGCTAAGGTGCCCGAATTTTCCACTGCGAAGCGCGGTTCAAGCTTCGTTCAACCCGTATTAATGACATGATATGACCAGTATACTGTTATCGAGATGCCTATCTCATGAATCAGTATTCTTTTCAGAGTAGCTACCTCTCTAGTGTCTAGTCGATATCGCGGATACTTAAGAACATTCGAGCTACTAAGAAAACCACGATTTGATTGTGGAGTGATTATGAACACATGAGCAAATACTTCAAGTCACTGGCAAATTTCTTCCAGTCTTCTCTCAGGCTTTCAATTATTTTTTCTCCCATGATGGTCTCAAGTCTCCTATAAAGACACTTCCTCTCCCATCTCTGACCTCTTGGATCTTAAGGCTGTCATAGTTGACTTTTGAGTTAGATGATAATGATCCGGTCCGGTTGATTATCGCCTGCCGACGGCCGCTTCCGCATGCATCTCTTTTCTTACCATCGTGTTCGTTCGTGCATTCCATCTCACCTGAGGCAATGTTCAAAAGGCCCAGGTGCCTAGTTCATCTCGACAAATCATATAGAAGCCCGAGCACTGGTACGAATCAGCCCGTCACACCGAGTCGACGAAGTCGGATCCGGAACCCACCCGCGAAGCATGATTGAATATCATCATTGTTCGCCCTCAGATTCAGTCACTAGAGTAAGTACACGTCTTTCGGAGTACCGTGCTTCCACTTATGCAGTTTTTTTTCGGTTCCGCGTAGACATAATCATTACCATCAACCTGATGAAGTGATAGAGATCCTAGATCGGAAGATCAGCCACAAAACATTTTGAAAAAAAGAGTCATACACGGAATTGGGACTCAGAAATTCTTATCCTGTCCGTGATATGACTCGTGGAGAGCCTCATGGTGTCATGGCGGCTAGATTGGTATAGGTTGACGTATTGATGGCATCTCAGCTGTGCTATATTAGAGCGGCCGAGGAAGTTGGAGTTAAAATTCCCCTCCCGATCCTTCTCCCTCCGAGCCTACCATGGATCCCATGGACCCCATGGCCATATACTCAGCTCCTCCCTCGATGGAATACTCCCAGGCGGGTATGAACCTGTCGTCTGGTCCATCCTGGATCAGCCATTTCATGGGTTTCTCGTCGCTCTTCGGTCTAGGAGCGTTGTTCACCACACATTCGTATATATGGGATAGCTTCAGGCTACTGGTGTTGGGGTCTATAATTGAAACGGGGCGCAGACTATGCCAGTGGCTCATGGAGCGTGTTCGGTTTCGTGAGTCTCTCATTTCGCGAACCATTAAACCTGACCTCAATATGTTTCAGAATATTCCATAACGGCCAGATTTGACCAAGGGGATCCTGCCTATGAGTGGATCGTTCTTTTTTTGGTACGAAATAATCTCTGTTTTTGTTCTGGGAAGAGCTTGATAGTCAAGCGGATTTCGAACGAACGTGTATATTTTGGACCTGCTCGATGAGTTGTTCCAATATATACTCCAGTTTCGATGGAATCACGTTTTCTCGTCCAACCCAAGCACAAATCCTTAATCTTCCCATGGAATGTCGCTCACATTTTTATTAGACCCAAGAAAAAGTCTGGAAACGATCTCGAGATTTCCGAGTAACTGCAAAAAGCTCAAAGCGCGAGTGGTCTATCGAAACAGGACCTGAAAGTGTACAAGGGAACGCAGAGTATGTACCCGAATATGCCAATCCCCAATTATTCCGGTGGGAAGGTTACTGGCTGGAAATCAAGCGTACGAACGGGCCATTTGCTGGTAATCGTACGGCAGGCGGACCTCCGAGTGGTGGCACAATATATGTAACGTGAGTCCAACTCTCTCTACCAACGCGCCGAATTGATTGATGTCTGCAGTGTGTATACAATGGAGATGAGCATCCTGTCGAGACTCGTGGAAGAGGCACGACGTCAATATATCAACGTCAGCAAGCCCAATGTCATCGTCCATTCTACAGAAGCCGTGGTGGTAGCCGTCGTCTCCCGTGTCATATCATTCAGCGCTAATCTCATGTTTAGATGGGGCACAACTATGGGAGAGGCGGCATGTGGGCTGACGTGAAGCGGAAGCCTAAGCGCCCCTTGGAGTCCATCATTCTGCGGGAGGGTGTCTTACAATCACTCATACAGGACGCGCGGGAGTTCATCGACTCCGAGCAGTGGTACAACAAGGCTGGAATCCCACATCGGATGGGTATCCTGCTCTATGGTCCCCCGGGTACTGGCAAGAGTATGTGGTGCCGTTTGTAGATCTTTTGATACATATTCTGACGCTGACCCAGGTTCGACAATTTACGCTTTGGTGAGGCTGCGCGTCTATACTTGGCTAAAGACATCCTTATCTTATCATCATATTTTCTTTAGGCAGGCGAATTGGGATTCGAGATATACTCACTTTCATTAGCGTCAAATTAGTATGTGCTCTTTCCCCAACGTATGATCCTTTGAACTCGAAGCATCTGACGGTGCAAAACAGCGTGGATGACTCATTCCTTCAACGCGCGGCCTCAGCCGTACCCAAGCATTCCATATTTCTAATTGAGGATATCGACTGTGCCTTCCCGTCCCGCGAAGATCGAGAAGAGGACCTCTTGCATAATCAATACATCGCATATGACCCTTACTCCCAGCCTCCGCATCGTCGACGGTCCCTCGTTACGCTTTCTGGATTGTTAAACGTTATCGACGGCGTAGGTAGCGAGGAAGGCAAATTGTTTTTCGCTACGGTGAGTTCCCTTAAAGCACCTTAGACCAATTGGTGACAGGCGTCTAATACCTTGCTACGAAATCACAGACAAATTACATTGACCGACTCGACGCCGCTCTCCTTCGGCCAGGACGCATCGACCGGAAGGTTCCCTACTCCCTCGCGACGCGCGAGCAAGCTGAAGCTCTTTATACACGATTTTTCCCTGAAAGCCGCTTACCGGACCTTGGCATCATGGTCGAGAAGGGAGACTCGATAGAACAGTATGCCAGGAACTTCGCGGATCAAATTCCCTCTGATGAGTTCTCCACGGCCGAGCTACAGGGATACCTACTAGCTCATAAGAAAGAACCTAGGCAGGCTGTGGATGACGTTAACTCTTGGATTGAGAGAGAAAGGCAGGAGCGGAGGGAGAAACGAGAGAGAGAAGCTAAACGCTTAGAGAAGATGCGAGAGCAGGTCAAAAAGCGTTCCAATATGTATTCTCCTATGCCCGTCGTCCCTACGATGGCACCTGTGATAGAGAGTGATTTTTGATGTCTTGATATCTCATGATATGTATTCATTTAGTTGCTAATAGCTCCTTTGACGATTGCTTATACCGGCAGCGTGCCTGAGAGAACTTTAACAGATTTGAAGGAGAATGATAGTTGGACATCATTAAATGGTAACACCAGTTCATTGCCACAGATAGTAAGAGATGTTTATTAGAAGCGGGAATAGTATACATGCCATTCATGTCTTGATGCAAGTTTATTCGCAGGTGATATAATGAGTGATGAACGAACCGAAGGGGGAACGGCTGCCAAGTATAATACATATTTCTTCTTGGGAAAGTTGCGTAGAAGATCAATTCATTAGAGGAGTAGCTACACTATTGAGTACCACGAGATATATCGATAAAGATAGAGCAAAATCCTGGTGAGCGTCTAGAGCGAAAGCATGAAGGAGAAGTAGACGTAAAAGGAGCGGTGTGATATAGCAAGAACGACAAAATGAAATCCAATGAAGCAGAATAGATTGTAATACTAGTACATGTAGGTAATTACTTGTAGATCAAATGTGTGCGATTGTATGTGTATGAATTTGCGAAGGAGTCCCAAAGGTATCTATGTCATGCGAGGGGGAATAAATTTCATAGCGTCATAAAAAACTATCAGTACGTAGATCATCAATGCTTCTAGATGTTCCTTGCTTTGGCACCTTTTGGCACACGAGCGAGCCAATAGAAGAAGAGTGCGCCAGCGATATTTACGACGATGTACACCCAGAAAATACCGAAGTTCCGCCATCGGTGATCATACGATACATTGATCTGGGTCAAGAAAGCATTCGTTGACGTGACGGAACAGAACTGGCAGTTGGACGTCGCGTTGGGATTCGAAATATGGCCTCCGGCTATCTTCATGTAGTCCGCGAGGTATTCAAAGCAAGTTGTTCCGTTCGTAGGGTTGAACACCGAAACCTCGATATCCGAGCAGGTCGCCGCCGTATTGGCCAGACCCGTCGATAACAGACCGTCCACCAAATAGGTAAATGGGGATACGCGGTACATGAAGATCCAGAAATGGGGGAATTCGTCTGGACCGGCAAGGACACTAGATAAAGATATGTCAGTCAGGCCGCAATCCCGAATCTTACGGAGAAGAGATGCTCACCCGCAGAACACTAGTGTCAACGAAAATAGCATGTTGGCAAGGTTTCCTCCAGTCTCGGCTGTTTCAATACCAGCAATGATCATGTCCGTAAACGTCGATGTGAACATGAGGAAGGACCAGACATAGAGGAAGAACAAGGCGCCGCGTTCGTGTGTGGTGTCCGTCTCATAAGTGTTGGCGTACAACCCCACGGGGTAATAGTAGCAGAAGAAGATCAACACACCCATCAGCGAGTTCCAGGGCAACTCGGCTGTAATATTTGCCAACATGAAGGCTTGCCATGAATAAGTCTTCGACGGACGTTCTCGGACCTCGTACAGCGATCTCTGTGTGACAAAATGGGGCATGATTTGATTGACCAGATTACCGAAGATTGTCATCAACATGAAAACGGAGAACATCTGGTTTTGAAGACCTTGAAGAGTATTATCGGCTTTGAAGAATGAGAAACCGATGAACAGTGCCTATAAGACAAGACCATGAGCAATGATACCGAAGCCAGGCACAAAGTGACTTGCCGTCAAAACCGAAAGAGCCGTTTTGGAATAGATATACGAAGGAGTGCGCCAGTATTGTTGGAAAACCCGATATGTACAAATAAGATATTGAGAGAAGAAAGGAGCAGCGAACTCGCGAGTCGCATTAACGTCGGTGACAGCCATCGGATCGACAGGTTTAGCATTCTCACGTTTGCGTGCCAACTCCTCTTTGATAGCGACGAGCTCCGGGCTTTGGTTCCATGCCTCAACGAAGTCACGGGTGGCAACGGCTCCAGGGGCGGCACCAATAACTTGAAGCATCCATTCAGCCGGATTGGCGTCAGGGGGACACCGCGGGGCACCGTTACGCTCAAAGTAGTTGATTAACGTCTGCGAGTTCTCACCAATATCGCCATAGTAAACTGTTCGCCCACCACTAGCGAGGAACAATAGTTGATCGAATTCCTGGAAGAGAAGCGCGGAGGGCTGGTGGATAGTGCATAGAATGGCTTGTCCATTTTTCGCCAGTTTACGGAGAAGCGTGCAAATTGACCACGCGGTTTGACTAGAATCGGAGTATACATTAGGCCCATTCATCGTGACCAGAGATTGGTGAATTGTACCTGTCTAGACCCGAAGTAGGCTCATCAAGGAAGAGCAACAGCTCAGGCTTGGCAGCCAATTCCACACCGATAGTTAGACGCTTGCGCTGTTCGACGTTGAGACCTGATTGCGTTCCATCAGTCACTGAACCAACTTCCCATAGTAATGAGCTCATACCTTCACCAGGAACACCGACGACAGCATCAGCATATGGTTCCATCTCTAGCAAACGAATGACTTCTTCGACGTATGCCACTTTCTCGGCGTCCGGGATGTGCTTTGGTTGCCGTAACCTAGCACTGAACTCAAGAGCCTCCCGAACAGTCGACGTCTGGAGATGCAAATCCTGGGAGAACAGTCAGCATCGTTCCAGCAAACGTATTGAAGGGGACACCTACCTGTTGCTGAACATAACCTGTCTTACGTTGGAATGAACTGTCCCGTTGATGACCATCAACCAACATAGAACCCGTGACAACACCCATAGTAACACGACTCGCCAGCACATCCAACAATGTTGTTTTACCAGCACCAGAAGCACCCTAGTATCACAATTAAATTTAGCGATAGCTCAACTTCGCTGTGAAACGAAGCCTACCATGAGAGCAGTCAATGTACCCGGTTCGACCCAACCATTGACGTGATCCAATAATCGTCTCGGTTCACCCTTGATTTTAATATCATAACAGACATCCTCCCAATGGAAGATAGCTGTCTGCTTCTGAAGCGCCCCAACTGCCTGGTCTTGCTGACGAACCAAAGAAGTCTTATTCTCGTCAAGTGCATCGCCATCAGCCTCTTCGTCATCAGCCTTGCTGGGTTTGGGGGGAAGGTGCCCACGTCTGAACACGAGAACTTCGCCCTTGGACTTGGCTGCGGTGATGTATTCAGTCGCCGTCATGTATGTGAAGCAGAAGAAGCAAATGAAGCCAATGATGATGCCAAGGTTCCTGAAAGACTGACGTCAGAATATGGAAGTTCATCAGTCGCGCTAGATTTTACCCACCTCCAGAGATGCGAACGACGGTACTTAAATGTTTCTTCGAGATACCGGGTGCCCAACACGAAGCCTGAACCAACGTCGGATCCTGTCGTCGAACAGATGTGATTTGTAGGGCCGACATCAGAGTACGATGGTCCTGATGGTACGTAAGCGGAGCAAGGATATTGCTGGCCATCGAATTCGTTAACCATAAGACTCTCAAACGCATAACCAATGGGATCAATGTAGTTGATCCATCGGAAGTATACGTGCATTCCGGATGTAGGGATCGTGAAACCTGTGTAGATAACCAATGCGAGAATGAGAATAGCAGCAGGAGCCATTGCCTGGGAAATCGTCCGGGACAGTGCACCGATAGTCCGGAAGATCATGGACATCGCCAAAGTACACATAAACGAGAACAGGAGGAAGACAAAGAATCCGTCCGCTGCACGACGCAGGTTGGTCATAAAGTAGAGAACCGTATTAAAACTTATGGCCGTGAGGATCTTCGAAGGTAGATCGCAAATCATGGAAGCTATCGCTTCAGAAGACGGATGATAGAATGCCATACGCGAATGTTTCTCGACGATAGGGCGTTGTTCGTACAATGTAAGAATCTGATAATGATCATGAGATCGGACGCTCCCGCAAAAGATAGAACTGCAAACTAACCTCGAGAGCGGAACTAAAAGCGTTCATAAGGATTGCGAAGAAAAGCAATGCCCCACGACTATAGAAACTGCTGGTGTCCTTGGGAAGGTTGTAGAAAATACTAGAGATGATCAGCGACATGATAAAGTTTCCGAACACGGCAGTGAAGAACAAAGTCATGTCTCCACGCAATCTCTGGAAGCCACGGTGAAGGCATAGCTTAACTTGCATAGGCGTAGAGAGAGTATACGGGGACTTTGCACGCCTACGGGCGGAAGTCAGAAAATGGCGAACGCGGATTTATCCAGGACCCACTAACATTCCCTTTGCCTGTTGAGCCTTCCGTGAAACTCGGAATTTGTCAAGCTGATCGCCGCCAACAGGGTATTCCCTGTCAAATTCATCGATCTCCTGTAATAGACGCTTTCGCTCGTCACTCTCCTTCCATGCTCTAGCAAACTCGTCAGGTGTGCGAGGAACCTTTGACTCATACCCTGGTCGAACCTGACGTTCGGCGGGATTAGTGAGGGAAGTCAAAAAGTCTGCAGTGGTCTGGCGTTCCGGACAGTGGAAACCCATCTCAACGAAGAACCGCTTCGCAGTCTCCGTACGGCCGAAGTAAATTTGGCGCCCTTCATAAAGAACGACGGCCTTGTCGAAGATCTGGAAGACGTAATTAGTGGAGCGGTAAACGAGAATCATGACGTTACATACATCGTAGATGTCCTGAGAAGCCTGGTAAATCGCGACAACCGCAGTAGCGCCCGCATATTTGGTAGATAGCCGCACAGTTTTAACGAACTCTAATGCTGTTGCACTGTCAAGACCACGAGTACTGTTGTCCCAGCACTGTAGGGGACTACCGCTAAGCGCCACCTCGGCGATACTGACGCGTTTACGTTCTCCACCAGAAACACCGCGAACAAAGTCATTTCCGACCTTAGTGTTCAACGTATGGGAAAGACCAAATACCGCCATTACGACATCCCGCATGTGCTCGGCCCACATGTCCCTCGAGACACCAGGGAAACGGGTGCGGGGCGTACGAGCACGAGCAGCAAAGGATAAAGTTTGCCCAACAGTGAGATTAGGGAAATGGACGTCGGTCTCCGCGTTGTAAACAACTTCGCCGCGAAAATCGCGGTGCATTGTCTTCCATGGAATACCTGGAAAGACACTTAAAGTAAGCTCACACGACTAAAAAATGGAACCAACCTTGATAGTTGATCTTGGCGTCCTTCTCGACAAAAAATCCGTGGGTTTCACCAGATATGGTCTTGAGCAATGTCGTACAACCACTGCGCGAAAATACTGTTACCTCCAGTTCGATGTGAAAAAAATAAATTGGCGCACCTGCCAGGACGACCCAGAACAACCAGCATCTCGCCATGCTTGAGAACGCCTTCAAAATCCCTCAAAATATCTATCCTCCGACCCTTGCTCCCAAATAGACCCCGAATCATCTTGGGCAAGTCGAGCAGCACGTTCCCGACGGTCTTTTGGTGGTCAGTGGGCTTCCCGTATCCATATACATTTAAATTCTGAAAGCTGACACCAGCTGTACGACGAGGATACCGTTCGGGATCACGCGAGGTGATCTGAAGAATAGAGCGAGTCCACAAGTGGTAGTCGAATTTACCGGACCGGGGATCCATCCGTGGGTCCGTGCTGCCCTCAAATGGATTGTCGTCGTCACGAAGGCCCTGTCCCGCTAGCGAGGCATTTGTCAACGACCTCGCCAGTTGTACAACTTCTCGCTCTGCAACCTCTGGAAATGGGTCGGCATCATAGGCTGTAACAGCAGATTCATGGTCGCCTGAGATCCTTTCCGTCAGTTTTTCGTTAGGATCCTGTGTACTCATCGTCGGGAACAGCGACGGAGGGGAAAGAAAAAGAATGAAGGAATAGAAAGGTTGGAAGGAAACGTAGCGCCGCTCATGCTTGTTGATTTATGGAATGTGCAGTTGTTCAGGGCCCCGCTGACATATGCAGAATTTCGTTGCCTTTCTGTAACACGGGGCCCGTCCATTCGGCGTTGTCAAGCTCTTACTTTTAACTCAGATCATACCCGATGGAGCCAAAATACAGGCCGAAATTTTTCTCCGTTCATTTCTGTATGTAATTCGGCCACTTACACTTTAGATGTTGATTGAACGATGGTGGCTTCCTCGCCTGAAGGAACTTCATAAATGCTTCAATAGAAAAGTCGAAGGTCGGAATTGTGTACTAGTCCAAAGGCTCACTAGGGTTGCCGAGGTGTCTCAGGCAGGTTTTCGATTTGCATTGTGAGAATCGCTCTGTTCGGCTTGAGGATGCGCCTCCCTCTCGGGGATAAATATAGATTTGTCGTTGTTTCTAGGAGAAAATGAGCGCTTTTTATTGTGGAAAACATGCATTTACACAGTATTCACATTCATAAACATGTTTTCTGCTCTCACAAAGACCCATAATAGCGAGTCGCTGATATTTTTCCCGTGAGAGCTTTTACCTAATAAAGCTAAACTTAACTGGCATTGATCAAAATGTTCCGCGTTACGGTGGTCCGGATCCGGGGCCGACGGGACCAGGAAACGACAGGTAGAGACGCGACATTAGGATTGGGCATTTATGCCCCAAGAAAAAGGTCGAAAGCAACAACAAAAATGTAAAACTAATGCATAAAAATCAATACAGGCTCCTTGTGCCTGTTGCTGGGCCAATGGAGTATTCAACCGGTAGCTCGAGGGTATAACCAAGGGATATCAGAGTGAACAAACCCCGTTAGGACTTTTTGAGTCCGAAGAGCAATGGCCTCGCGCCATGAGAGTATGGCCCATATACGGCCGGCTTGAAATCTAAGTTGGTAATATACAGAGGAGTTGGTACCATCATTATTCCGGAAAGAAGACACAGGTCAATATATGCAAGGTAGTACCGAGCAGGTATGTTTCAAGTTACGGCTTTCGTCAGGTGTACTACTTCCAATGTAATGATGGAATTGAACGATAGAATTTAAGGGGAACATTAAATTTGAGTGATGGTCATTTCTGAATTATCATGAAGCCAGATACTGCGTCAAATTTTATCTATTAAATAATACTGGGGCCACTTGAAAGGCGACAGTATTTCTTGCCATACGACTTCGGCTACTGTTACAATGCGCTACAAAATATGCGCTCTATATTGGGGAGAATACACACATTCTAACTTCGTTCCCTTTCGCCCTCAGTTAATCTTCATTTCGCATCTGTCTACGAGAGTTGTAGTAAGCGCGAAAGTAGTACTACACGCTGCGAGTGAACTTCAAGTTAAGGATCAAATGTTGTGGCACGAGCTCCGCGCTATACGTACGGCGGTCCGGCGGTGAGCAGCAACCGGTCCAACAGTCTTTACACGATATAACACCTAAAACATACGGTATTATCTACCTTCAATGCGATATATACAGTTATTAAAGTACACCAGACCGGAGGCGGCGCTAAAAATAGGTCTATAATCCGGACACGGAGCCGTGCCTTAAAGCCGCTCAAACCGATTTACGTTATGCACTGTTACGCAAAACGAAAACCTGCCTGAGACAGCTCGGCAACCCTACTCACACGCCATCCTGATGCCCTGTTATGTAGAAATTTTCTGGTACAAGTTACCCTAGATCGGCTAGGGTGTATGATACGACATGGATTCCCCCCTCAGATTCAGGTTTCGTGACATTTCATATCGAATATTCCTGAACCTGATTTTGCTGAAAAGAATGATATTCAATCCATTCGTTTCTATTCGTTCCGCATCGTGTGTAGAACGGACCAGCCACTCTACGTGATCGTTCCGGCATGTTGCTTCCTTCGCCCCTGATAGAAGCGGCAGTCATAATAACTGCCTATTCCTCCTGGCCCGACAAACAAGGCCAGAATTGCGTGGCGCTCTTCAATTCGCATTGGGAGGCGGCCAACTGCAGGACCATTCCAGTTTTAAGCATCATTCCTTCCTTCTGGTTACCGAGTGGTCAGTTGGCAGCTCAGTGCCGCGGTATCTCCCGGTCTCCGGTGCCTGACATTCAGTCATTGGGCAATCACTGGGACAAAATACCCGACCGGAGGTTTTTGTCTGGCGACCCTTGCAACCGTCCTGCAAAAGGAAATTTCCCCGCCATGTCAGTAGTGTCACTGACATTGGACAACAATTCAGACCAGATCAGACCAGATCCAGCCCCCAAACTCAATCGCTGGTGACATGTGCTCGAATATGTATTGCTTCAAATCTACATTATCTCTTCCCCCCACTTTCCAGGAACTTTTCAAGGTGCGCTCTGGGTACATTCCCGAACGGCCCGGACAAAATCGATGGCTCGTGCTATGAGAATGGATTGTACGAATTTCTGGTTACGAGATTCCTTGGGGGTTGATAGGACTAGTAGAGGGGGCTCGGGCCGTGTTCAAATATCGGTATTACGGGCTAGCTCGTGTAGTCTGCATGGATGACATGCTATTCAGAATCTATAATAGAGTGAGAATAAGCGAACCGTTTACAGGAAAGAAGTTAGCGAGAATTATATATACTTGACCGATTACAATGGATCTGATTCAATAACACGCCCATCCCGTTGTTCTTGTCACTCGGTTTTCGTCCTCTCTTGCTTCTAATGCTCAAATGTAAACGGACATCGGTAATTCAGAGCACTGTGGAATCATAAATATCACACGCTCTACCAATTAGACCTGACTCATGTATAATCCCGGCCGGGAGATAATCAGTAACAGTCAGTGGTACATTTATACAAATTCTGATTCGCAGGGCCAAGTGTGGAATGTTCGAAGAGTAGCAGAAGCACAGGCGTACTTCGGATTCCGAGATGAAAGTCAGTTTGACGGCTGTACTCAGGACTCCCGTATTCTAATGCCCCCGCCTGCAAACTAAGAGGGGAAAGTGCTGATGGATTAGGTCCACAAACATGCGGGAAACGGTCTGATACCACGGCAAATAATGCAGCTTCTGGGAATTTTTCAAGCACATTTCCGTGATCTGTGTACCCTCCATCGGTCTGTCGTATTTTTTGGCTGATTGCGTTGTTGGAATCCAAGTGACCGTGCGTGCATTGGGTACACAGCTGTAGATTTAGCACTGAGGTAGTCAAGAGTATGACAGTGAAAAAGTGATCTAGACAAGAAGGCAGCTGCTTGACGGGGGTGGGGTAAAGAAATGGACCCACATCCGGAGCTGAGAAGCAGCTAGTAAGTATTCGTTTTCATGCAAGTAGCGGCGTGTTTTCAATATGCTGCGCTTCGCCACGACACGACAGCTTTTAGAAGATCAGCAGCACTGTCAGAAGCGGTGTGAATGGTGAAAAAGAACAGGCTCAACAAAATGAATGAGATCCAGCTTCTAAAAACGTGTGTTTATCTGGAAGAACCTCAGGTGGCGTTGATATGACGGATTTCCGTCGTAACAGGCTGTCATGTCCAATGAGAGACAGACAAGGTGGAGATGAAGGGCGGTAAAGAGTGCTTAAAGCCATAGTCGTTTCCTAAGTACCGACATCCGGTCCGTGGCGCTGTACGCCACGACAACAGATTCAAATTCGAGCACGAAAATGAAGTCTAAAAGAGCCATCGTCCATTCCGATTCAATAAAAAATATTGACATCGATCTTCGTGATACAGCGAAGCACATCAGATTCCTCGCAGTGGTCGCAGCGCGCCTTCAAGCCATCCGGACAAATTTAAAGCCTCGACCCTTTGTCAAGCTTGTGCGAAAACTAGAGAAGACATAGAACCGCAGCTGGATACGAGAGCTTCAGTGCCGCCAAAGCCCCCTCCGGACAGCAGATCTAGAATACAGAGAAATCGAGCTCAAGGGACGTTCGCTCGTGGTTCACAGTGAAGGGGTTGAGTCGGGCCGAAGTTCCGAATTTCGAATTTAACGCGCGTCTGTTGGGGACCTTGGAATACTCTACTAAGCTGGAATTAGGGAGTGGAGGGAGAGGTATAGAATTAGCTAGGGACATGTAAATAGTGTAAGAACAAATGGTATTTCAAGGAGCGTTGTGACTCAGCGGAGGGAAAGGTTTCGAGAAGAAATAAGGTACTATGTTAGTAACAAAGAGTAAGATGTCTTAAGGTGAACCTGGCGAAGTGCTCAGAGGTACGCAAGCTCGTAGGATTGCTCCGAGAATTGCGCTGAGCTCGCGGAGTCAATATTCAGTCAGTCTTTGGGAGGTAAAATCAGATAGATTATGGGTTAGTACTCAACCTGTTATATAGGCGGCCTCGAAGCATGACAGCTATGTTGGGAATAGAGGTCGGCAAAGAAAGAGAACGTGGTGGTATTGACTAAAACGCTCGCGTTTTCGGTGTCTGGCACGGTAATGGTCGCGGTACAGAGTCAAGTAGCGGTAACGATCAGCACGAAAATCGAAATAAAGTCAAACAAAACACGGCTCAGCCGTGCCGTTGGTGACTGTGAAACCCGATCCTCAACAAACTAGTATATTCTACCGCATCATAGGAGTTTCGAAGGAATGTAGAGGTTCATTACTATCAAGAAATGTGAGGTAAACGATAAGGAATGTGCTATATTTTAGCAGAGGGAACAAAAGAATAAGGATAAGGAATTTCGGTGATCCAAATCGTATCGGCTTAATAACAGTGTCGTCTTTGGCAGTCTGACCTTTTTATTCTACCACCATGATGAATCGTATTCCCCCTTTAACTGCCAATTACTGCCAAGCTTGCTACTCCTGCTTCAAAACAGAAGGTCCGAATACAAAGATATCACGCTGTACGCGTTGCAAACGTGTGTCGTACTGCGGAACAGGTATGCGCTTTCGCCTTGATGATTTTCTTATTAATGAGACATGTTAGACTGCCAAAAAGTTAGCTTTTGTCTCTCAAAATCATGGTTTATCTAGGTGTAACAGCCCCCTTTTGATAGAAGGATTGGCGTCAACACAAAGCGATCTGCAAGGCACTGGACGCGGTAGAAAAAAGCGCCCTTGCCATCTCGACTCTCACGTTCTCTCTCGCTGACGCACCGTCGACCGATATCGACTATCTCAATATGCTTGGTGATCAAATAGTCAAAAATGAAATCAGTCAAATTATGCTGCCCTTTAGCAAGGAAGGCCGTCCATTGAATACCGCAGAACAGAATTTGCTGGCGTTTCAACCCCGTTGCATGGCTTGGTATATTACGAATTTTCGCTACAGAAAAGTCTCACCTTGACATCTTTTCAGTGCCAGGACGGATCGACTCCTACGAATGAAACCCTCCCCCCTCCGCTCCTCCTCTCTTTCATCTTGTCCAGACTGTAAAATGGCTTTTTATTGCTCCAATGAGCATTGGGAAGCTATACGCTATATTCACCAGGAACAGGCCCGCGAAGAGGGGCCGACGCAGTGTCAGATCAATCAGGAAGTACGCGCCGATATTCTTTTTGCAGATATCATGAGCGGAATGAACGTGCCGTTTTCTTGGGCTCCTGAGCGTGTCAAGGATGCTTGGCATACACTAGAAGGTGCAACATGGGAGAGCGAGTATCAAGAAGACGTTCGGCAGGCTTTCGGTACCGATCTGCCTGCATCTGTGGTGGTGCGAGCGACCTCGAACCATTTGTCAATGCCTATGACGATTTTATGGGCATTGGAACACCTGAACGAGGGCGACGCGTGGACCACGAAGGAGACGTTGACGATTCATGTGAGTACCCTTCGAAGAAATTTCAAAATTCATTCTGACCTCTACCTAAAGATCATCGGTGCGTATGAGGCAGAAGTCTTCGCTGGTCAAGCCTTCGAGGAGATCCTTCATAGACTTCCTCGGGTAAAGACTCTCAAGGTCAGTTTACATTTGTTGCCATCCAGACTCGTGTTGATGTCCCTACAAGCTCATCCTTTGCGGTCCACAACTACCGAACCTGATGAAGCCGTGGTCGTCCGAAGTGATGGTAATGGACACATGCTCGTGCGGTGTATTCACCCTATCTCAGAGTTGTTGTCTGACTCTCCCGCAGAGACTGTAAAAGCAAGACCCGCGCCCGTATCCACGAGCATCGTCGCGAGTACGTTTGCCGCATCTCGCCTGGGTTATTCTGACTCCGACTTTCCAGATTGTACCATGAGCTTGGTGTTCAGTCTACTTTTGGAAACCCTGACCTTGCGGTCGCTTTCAACTCTGGTCTATCCGAGGAAAACGCCGGAACGTGGCCCGACACGATCAAATTTCTCGTCAAGCGGAAGATACCCTCGATCTTCACTGTGAGTTAGACCTTATGACTCTTGAACCTTATTCATAATCTGGATATGCAGGCATTTAATCGTCAAGAGGCGGAAGCTGACGCCAAGATTCTTATCCGCTGTGGTGCGCAATTGGTATCTAGCCTCGGACCTAGGAAGAATCTGTGGGGGAGTCTTCTAGCCAAACCCGAGCCGTGCAAAGTTTATGGATTCTACTTTGTGAATGGTTGGGTGGCTGGAGCGTTCCATTGACGAGTGTTTGATTTGCTTAGTCGCTGAATTCAATGTAAGAAGGTTACTCCGATTGTTTGCAGCGCCTTGATCCGATGTTCGAATAGAATCTGGGGTTCATAGTCTACAAGGCATTTTGGGTCGGCCTGTGTACGTCAAAAGTTGAAGAGAGGAAAACACCGTCTCAAGGATCTTTGTCATCAAGGATGAATTGCCGTATGGATCGGTGCGGGAGAATGCTCGTCCTGAGAAATTGTCTATCTTTGATTCAGGCTTAATTAATCGCCGTTATCAGAGTGCACACTGTTTCATAACTGGTCAGAATAAGTTCTTGGCGATGCTCGGATCTATCTTATGGGTCACATCTATCTTGCAGGGCAGCAGCATCCATCTTACGGGCCGCATCTTTTTCGAAAAGAACATGATGAACCAATGATGGTTGGAAGCGGTGAATTATAAGTGCTGTTCACTGACCTCTACGATAGCCTTCGCTTATACGCTCTCTATGCGACTTCTGGTCGTCGTGAAGACAGTCATTCCCTTAGGTATGCAATCAAATGTCTTGATTAAAGGTTATTGACGCCTTTCAAGTCAGACGACAATTATTTTCTCATCACAACTGTTGTTCCATGATGGAAAGAATGGTTCATTAGTGCGTTCTTGATGCTTCTAAGGCGGCTACAGAACGAACAAACATCTTTTAGGAACGGCGAGTTGATGTTCGGATTGCCATTTCGGCTCAAGATGGCACTTAGAGTATATAGATACTCGAGGCTCTTGGACATGCGTACGCCCCCGAACCTTGGTGAACGATAAACACTGCGAGGTTGAGGCAAAAACCTGATCGGGTAACTCGGTCCGGCGGTTACAAAACTTGGAACCATCCATCCCGTTGCCGATCTTCTTCTCTCTGGTCGTTCCCACCATGCTGTTTCGACCCGCCATTTCTCGCAGAGACCCCATTCTGCTGATTTTGGGAGCGTCGTTAATGCATTTCCTCACTTTCGTTCATCCTTCCTATCTATCCGATTCGAATATCATTACCATCAATACCCACCACCTTGATCGCTTTGAAGACGCGCCGTTGCCACCGCCTATCTGGACAGAGGATATACCGCCAGATGTTCAGATGGTGAAGCAGCTCGATGATGTTGCAACTATGGCTCCAGATACTTCGATGCAATTGCAACCGGTCCACGCCAATCTACCACACACTTCCATCGTTCATCATGCTCCTGGATGGACGCTCTTTCGAAATCTGTACATGTCCAGCGGCACGCTATTCATTCTCTCTTCGAATCGCTCTTTCCCCGAGTTCCGTCTAATGACAAGTTCAGGCCTGCCCGCTGAGAACACACCAGAAAACGGCGCGCTACGCGAGCCGACTTCACAGCACATGGATTATATCACACCTTTAGAGGCTCACCAACGCTGGGGAGGAGAGATGAAAAATCGCGTATGGACAGTGGAAGGTAATACGGTATGTCTCTCGAACCGTGTGCAGTGCCCACCTTCATGATCTTTTTTCTCAGCTCCTCGTCAACGAACCCAGTCAATTTCTAGGACACTTCTATCACCTAGTCGCTGAGCTCTTGTTCGGGGTCCAAGCCTTCTGGCACGGGGCCTTCTCGGCAGCTTCTGTTGCTGATGTCTACTCTGCGAAATTCACCTACCCTGGCCCGCCGGCATTCGACCGAATGATATTCTCCCAGAGCTATGGGGATGGATGGCGTGACTACCCTGGATTCAACGCATATGTTTTGCGTGCCGCATTCCCCTCGCTTACCATTGAAGACAAGCAAGATTGGGAGGACCGAATAGCCGCTACCTCGGGATTGTCTGTTGATCGTGCATGGCATTTCCCGCTCGTACTTCTTACTGATCGGAGTGCTTCTCATCGTGGTGTGCTGTGTGGGACCCACACCCAGCGTATTGCATCTGAGGCCTGGGAATACATGCGCGAGCAGTCCCGCCTCATGGGGATCAAGGTCGGCGGGTGGTGGGAGCCTATTCGCGCGTCCGTGTTGAAGTTCTCTGGTCTGGATGTCGTCAGGCAGGATGGAGATGACCTTCCAATGCCAGACAAGGTCGTGATAACGTATATCAGTCGGCAGGGTACGTCGAGGAGGAGGCTCACGGACGAGGCGCACGATTCGCTGGTTACGGCTCTAGAGGAGCTCGTCGAGAAGAAGAAAGACGAGGGCTGGGAACTTAATGTCATGCAGGCTGAGCGCATGTCGAAGGATGCTCAAGTGCATGCTGCTGCCCGGACGACGATATTGCTTGGAGTCCACGGAAATGGACTGACTCATCTACTTTTTATGCCTCCGACGAAGGTGTCCACGGTGATTGAGATCTTCTATCCAGGAGGATTTGCGCATGATTACCACTGGACGACGCGAGCTCTTGGAATGTCGCACTTTGCGGTCTGGAATGACACGTTAGTGCTAATTATATTTTCGTTCTCATTGACTCGGTACTGATGTAGTACTAGTTATTACACGCACCCGAATGAGCCTGGCATTGACTACCCCGAAGGATTTCAAAGGGACTATATTCCGGTCCATGGACCAACCGTCGCGCAGATAATCGAGGATCGCATTGCAGGAAGATTGTGATAGACAGCATCTTGCAGCCTGTCGTTGAGCTTATTATTACTAATTACTATGTCGTGTATCATGTCCGTGTATTCTTGATTATCTTGCTGTACAGAATGACTTGACTGAAAATTCAATTCTTCACTAGTACATATATCCTCCTGGCTCTGGAGTTGAAACTGGAAGGCGCAGCTTTGTCACTTCTGAGGAATGTCAGATATCATGGGAAGAGAGGATCAAAGAGGCATATTTCTCACCTTTCATTTTCGGGTAGGTTGGCGTTGTTAGGCGTCTTTACTGCCCCTTTACTTATTAGACGAGCCCCACGGACATTCAACACGTCTTGACTCTACTGAACGACGCGACAATGGCTAATGAGATCTTTCGGACCGAGGTGCCGACGTGTCAGATAATACCGTATCTGTTGCACACGCTGCAAGCCAAATATTTTCAACGCAGCTACTGAATTTCCGCATTTTAAAGCACTCAAGTTCATTGTTTTTCGATATCTCCGTGCTGTGCGATAAGGTTTGTGATATAAGCAGGGTTAACCTTCTCATACCTTCTGCTGAACCAACTTGAAAGCCGGAATTGTCTCGTGCTTCTTTCTAATGTTCATCCCTCTACCAAGTCGGCTCCGTCGCGAATAGAGTGGTGAAAATCCTGCTCTCTCAGAGATCCCAAGGCTTCGACCACACGGAATGTCAGGGTCCGCGATTTCAAGGCTAAGAAAAAAGCACTTGCCCCTGTGCACTGCAAAATAATTAGATAATAATAATAACAATAACTCCTTTCGCTACCACCATCTTCGCAACCACCTTCGCAACTTCGCCCAGCGACAACGCAATTTTCAACCGATGTCAGAACCCGGTCCGTCCGCGTCGAGCAGCACTAGTCGTGGCAGAGGTCGGGGGAAATCACGAGGTGGCTTAGGAAAATATCTTCGAGCTCGTGGCCGAGGTCGCGGATACGGTCGGCCAGCGGAATTCCACCAACGACTGGTCCTGGAGGGTGAGGCACTGGTCGAAGAGGATGATGAAGAAAGGGCCGAGAGAGAGTGCAAGTTTTCGAAGAGACATTTGGGAACCAATGCAGACAGATATGCTGAACCGGAGCCAGAGCTCGATTCTGATGGTGTGTCGCCTCAGATAACTTTGATTCGCGTCCTGATTTTCGTTAGGCGAACCAATAGTTGAACCAGAGGTAGACTTATCCATCATTCCTGGGGCGACAAAGGTTGTCCGACAACCCGGAGTCGGCTCTGCAAATGACATTGCCTGACGATGATGACGATGTAGATCATTCACTGGCGCATATATCCTCCCGTGGCATAGGTTCGGAGGCACCGACACGCAAAGGAAAAGTCGAACAGATCGCATGGGACGACGAGCTTGATGAATTGTCAAGAGAAAAGGCGGTTGCCGACGCTAATTGAGGTGCGGTTTCCTTTTACTGTTGCTCTACATCCACTCAGCCTTATTTAGATCTCAAATCTCGTTTTCGTGCAAAATCAGAACGGCTGCGAAAGAAGCCCATTGCACCCACCGCTCGAGAACGAAAACAAGGTGGGTTGGGGAATTTGTATCATTGACTGTGGGGCTAACATTTTGCAGAAGCGTCCTATGTTAATGCCCCAGCATTACCTCCGGCGGAAGGCGCTACACCCAAGGACCCGAAAGCCGATATGGAAGATTTTCTTGATGACCTTTTAGGCTGACTGTGGCCTGTTGGGAGAGAGGAAGCACACTGGCATAGGGCTACATGACTTTATATGGCACACCGACGAGAGCTCGAACAGCGTTCTAGAGCTGAGTCCCACCGCTTTCCTAGCGAGTCACCCGTATGTCATTACACACGCCATTCAAGTTGTGTCACAGCACTGAACATCACCATAGGCTCATGTAGCTCATGATTCTCCCTGAAGTTGAAAATTTGAAGATGTATCTACCAGTGTTTCGACTTCAACTTATTCAATACTGAAGTGCAACGAGTAAGCAAAATTTTACACAGCAACTAGATTTTACTGATCATTATATCCACATCGTCGATATAAGTCTCCTTCCCCGTCAGCGGTTACGACGCCCATCTTTGGCCAGAGTCGTTGAAGATCCTGTCAAGACTCAACGAGCAGCTTCACTTAGTAGAGTCAAATTACGTTACGTAATGTCATGATGTAATCCCCACGACGAAACTCCATGCCATAAGCCTTTCGTAACCACTTCAACCCCCGCACTCTTCGAGGCGAGGTGGATGGTGTACGGCACCTCGAGCGTGCCCTGCTGAACAGCCGACACTGCGTGAACAGTCTGGTGAGGCCCTGCCTTCACGCCGGGGAAATGTGCTGCGTAGGTCCTCGTGAACGTGTTTTGGGTGCCGAATTTCCATTCGTTGCTCTGAGACGCTCCAATGCTGATCTTTCCCTCGGAGACGAAAGGGATTCCAGCTGCAAAGAGAGGAGTATTAGAGCAGGACCAGTCATTCATGATGATGCAAGATGTGTCATGATTCATGAATGGGACTTTGGAAGCGTCAGAACGGTAGATAGGTGTCGGCGGATGAACCGTTCAGTCCCGATAAGTGGATACATACAAGCCCGGAAAAGAAAAGCATGAACGCACCTGAAAACTCAGTCCCCGCGGTAATCGCGAACCCAGTCGTGTACTCAAATGTCGAAGTATGGGTGATGTTCTCCGAAAAGTCAAACGCCACCTCCTGCTCGTGGTAGGAGTTGTTCCTAAGTGTATGGTCCGCCAGAACGTGAGAAATCACGTTGAGGATCTTGCCAAGCGCGACATCATATTCGACGCTCTTAACAACCATATCCTCAAAAGCGAAACTGAAGTACTGGTCGGAATAGATGTTAGCCTTGGTGCAGTTCCCGACCTGAGGGTCTAACGTCGTGCGCGAGAAGATAACGACGCCCGTCGCAGGGTACAGGAGGCGGAACAACTTCGCATATGTGCCGCTTCCCTCTTCGAGGTTGAACCAGCTGGGAGAAGTGGTCAGCGCAGTTAAGGACAGCTGGGGAGTGCACGACGGTGCGAACGTACTTGTCACTGTAAGCGCCGTTTCCGTCAATGTGTCCAACGAAAGGCTCCTGGGAGGTGCGCGAAAAGAGCACTTTCCCGGTCCTTTTGCTCTTGATAGCGTAGAGCCCCGCGCGCGAGCCCGTACCGTAGATCAGTGTGAAAAGCTGGTCTTCGTATTCCGGCCCTTTGTAGTGCCAGAATTCAGGGTCTGCATGGTTCCGCGAAAACAGAACGTGCTGGCTGGCATGGCCGACCAGTCTGAAGTAGATGCCTTGGGGTGGAATGTACATTGAGGTCTGGCCTGTGAGGGTCAGCTTTTAGTCGACTCTTCCATCGTGGTTTTAAGTGACGACTGAGGAGTGTGTATGTGGACAGGAGATGGCGGTTGGCCGATGAGAAACACCTGGGCTGTCTGACCAGCTTTTATGTTCTCAGTCAGAACACTGAGGGTATGTCCATTGACGAAATGGCTTCTGTAATCAGGTCATTAACCGGTATTTCGGAGACGCGATAGTACCCATAGCCCTGTCAAAGATGATGTATCATCTGACAAGGCGATCCCCCTTCGAATCTGAGGAGTGGACGTCAACCCAGGCCGAGAGTCGAGGCATGGGAGGGAGGAAAACTTCACCGTCTTGTGACAGAAGTGCGCCCTTCCTTTCTTGACGCTGCTCCCTATATTCCTCAGCTGATCACCTAAAAGAATGAGATAACAGAAATACTGGATGCTGGATGTCAATATTTCAATACCCAGTGACAATTCCAGGCCACGACGCCGCTTGTAAGGCTTCCGTGTCTTTCATTGCGATTGTCAGGGATCAGTAGTAAATGCAGACAACGGTGAAGGGAAGCAATACGTGCTAGGCACATGAAATAGAAAGGTAAGATGTTCTAGGCATTGTTTCAGGTGAGTGTTGGATGAGTGGTTAAAATTCATGAGAAGATGCAAGACGACGTGCGTTTGCTTTCTACCTGTTGTGGACGTAACGGGTCAGAGTGCACCTCAAGCAAAAGGGTTGGACGTGCGCGTAAAAGGTAAAGCGTACACACATAATTGTATTGAGGAAGAAGGTACAAATTTTCGTCTTATCACATTAACAGTGACAGACGAAGGGAATGTCAGGGTTCACCACGTTTGACTAAGAAAAAAGCCACGATGTAAGATAGATAGATAGATAACCGGTCTAGGTCCCATAGTCGGCCAATCGTAGCATCTTTCCACCTTTCCCTCATGCCGATGTGATATCCTCAGTCGCCAGCCAAGAACGTCTCACGGAGTTGAAGCAGAGAGAAGTGAATATATCACAGAAAATATGCATAATATGTACCAGAAGGAAAGACATCGCAGTGAGATAATTCCAGTATAAGAACCCTACATCAGGGACACCACGGCACTTGTATAGAGCGTCGCGAGCGTAGCATCATATACTAGGGTGTGAAATGCGGAGGTGTGCGATGCCTTCGTTCTGTGTACAGTGAAAAGGCTCAGCAACCTTCAACGAGCAAAGAGGAAAAGATAGCGTCAAAAACGACAGCAAAGACAGGGTCATTATACGAGTCCTGTCGACGAAGCATACGATTGAATGAAGAAATAGCATCAAGAGACGACATCTAGCAGGAAGAGGTTAATGAGGTTGATTGCGAGCACAGCAAGTAGAAAGAAAGACTAGTAATTGACCGAATTTCCATTCACCCCGCTCAACGGGGCGAGATGAGATTCAAAGTATGTGCCGATGAATATAAGGACGAACAAGGGAGGTATTCGTACTGAAGGGCAGACATATGGGTATCCACACCATGACAAGGTCTTGAACGAACCCCTGCCAGTAGCGGAGATATCACGACGGGGTCATTATACGAACCCCCACCGATGAAAGACATAGTGATAGGGTCATTAAACGAACAATGAAGAGATATAAGGACGAAGTCATTGTACGAACCCCAGCCCAAAGACACCAGAAAGAGAAAGAGGAGGCCGAAAAATGGGTGAGAAAGGAGAATGGTAGCAAGAAGCTCCGAAGTTCAGGCGAAAGACGCACCGGCGGGTGTGCCGCAAAATAATTAAATAACAATAATAATAATAACTCCATTCGCTAACCACCACCTTCGCAACATCACCAAGCGACAACGCAATTTTCAACCAATGTCAGAACCCGGTCCGTCCGCGTCGAGCACTGCTAGTCGTGACAGAGGCCGGGGAAAATCACGAGGTGGCTTAGGAAAATATCTTCGAGCTCGTGGCCGAGGTCGCGGGTACGGTCGACCTGCAGAATTCCACCAACGACTGGTCCTAGAAGGCGAAGCACCAGCCGAAGAAGATGATGAAGAAAGGGCCGAGAGAGAGCGCAAGTTTTCGAAGAGACATTTGGGAACCAATGCAGACAGATATGCTGAACCGGAGCCAGAGCTCGATTCTGATGGTGTGTTGCTTCAGATAACTCTGATTCGCGTCCTGATTTTCGTTAGGCGAACCAATAGTTGAACCAGAGGTAGACTTATCATCGTTCCTGGGGCGACAAAGGTTGTCCGACAACCCGGAGTCGACATTGTCTGGCGATGATGACGATGTAGATCATTCACTGGCGCATATATCCTCCCGTGGCATAGGTTCGGAAGCACCGACACGCAAAGGAAAAGTCGAGCAGATCGCATGGGACGACGAGCTTGATGAATTGTCAAGAGAAAAGGCGGTTGCTGACGCTAATCGAGGTTCGGTTCCCGTTACTGTTATTGTACATCCACCCAGCCTTATTTAGACCTCAAATCTCGTTTTCGTGCAAAATCGGAACGACTGCGAAAAAGGCCTATCGCACCCACCGCTCGAGAACGAAAACAAGGCAGGTCAGAGAATTTGTATCATTGACTGTGGGACTAAGATTTTGCAGAAGCGTCCTATGTTAAAGCCCCGGCATTACCTCTAGCGGAAGGCGCTACACCCAAGGACCCGAAAGCCGATATGGAAGATTTTCTTGATGACCTTTTAGGCTGACTGTGGCCTGTTGGGAGAGAGGAAGCGCACTAGCGCAGGCCTACCTGACTTCATATGGTACAGTGATGAGAACTTGAATAGCGTTCGGCTTTGAATCTAGAGCTGAGTCCCACCGCTCTTCCAGTTCCTAGCAAGTCACAAGAAGCTACACTACGTATGTCATTACACGCTTTTTTCTCATATAAGTACTCAGCATCACTACAGCATGGCTGTCCTCACAAGCTGTAGTGCTCGCGAGTCCTTATCTTATCGAATGTTTGAACTCGATATGCAAGGAAACGTTCCACGCTCGCTACTACTACGACTAGTACACGGCAACAGACGCCCGTGGCTGTGCGCTTGACCCTGGGTCAGCCTCAGCTCAACCTCGCCTTCTCCTGTCGTCTACGGATATGGGTCTTGTGTCAGTGATTGTTGGTCTGATGGAACTCGCACAAATCATCTGTCAAGTATTTCAAGGATATGCAAGAGCTAGAAGGAGCCTTCTAATCTGACAACGTTAAATATGACGCCCTGACTTGCGACGGTGCAAAGGTTGTTGAGTCTTTTCGCGCAACCTGGTGTGTTGCTGAATGATTTCAAAAGGTTGGAGCTCGCATCAAATACAACTGTTGTGAAAGATGGACATAGAGAACGCACTGAAGAAAACCTAGAAGATGAGATCTCTGGTGATCATCGTTGTAAAGCACCACTGCATTTGCGTTGTTCGCAATCTAAACAATCAATGTTGAGTGCGATATATCGGTCTTTATTTCTGGCGATACATGAATCATTAGCCGACGTCGGCAGGGAGGCGGACGACGGTTATCTCTGGGCTGGAATGTAGCTTTTTGCTGCCGCGACAACATTGTTGCCATATCCACCAGGAACAAGCCTGCGAAGAGGAGCTGTTCCCACGCAAGAACCATCCGCAAGTGGACATCAATTCTCTCTTTGCAAGAGACCGCGAGTAGAATTTCCGCGTTCTTTTCTTAGCGTGGGCCGCACGAAATGTACAACGATTGCGTGCAGCCCACCCAAGCGTACGTCACATTCATTTCTTTGCCGATAACTCCTCTGCAGTTGACTCCATTATACGTCCCAAACGGGGACCAGGTCAACAGCATGCAACAGTGTTTTTCAAGATAGCCACGGAGCTCTTGGAAGAGGACGAAGAAACATCGCTGGAGGTAGCATGGGCACCCGGCCACCAGGACATACCTGGAAACGAAAAAGCGGACGCTTTGGCGAAGGAGGCATGTACAATGTTCGACATGGGACAGCGCACATATGCAAACGCAAGGAGAAGGATGCGAGAACGAGTACAGAAGAAATGGGTACAGGAGTGGGAAAGGACAAGCCCTACTGGCCGCTTTGGACTCGCAAACCGACTCAAACCACAGCTAAAACCAACCCAGAGGTTCAAGGAGACACCACGCGAGGTGTTCGGAAGGCTCGTACAGTGTAGAACAGGGCACGCCCACATGGGCGAGTTCTACGAACTGTTTAACATCCCAGAGGCGACGGACTGCGAATGCGGCGAGCGACTACAAACGCGAGATCACATCATACGATCCTGCCCACGATACAACGACCATCGACAGATCCTACGCGAAGGATCACAGAATCTAGTGATGTGCGACCTTTTGGGCACGACAGAGGGCATCGAAGCGGTCACAAGGTTCCTAGCGGAGTCTGGAGCCTTTACAAAGACCGGAACTCAAAGGCGAGAGGTGGGAATGCCGCTCTGGGAAGATGAACCAGAGCCGCATGAAGAAGAGGATGATGGATAGAACACTACATCGCAGCGCTACCGGGCCCCCCCATTGTTTCTTTTCCTTTACTCTTTTTCTATTTGTATTTATTCCCTATCTCTTTTCCCTAGACAATGATTTTCGCAACGAAGAATAGACACCTAAAACACACGAAGCTACATAGAATTTTACCCGAGAGTTTTACATACCATAGAGTTGACAAGTAGATTAGTATTACAACGAGTAGCGGTACAGTCATACATAGCAGTAGAGTACTGTACCCCCGCGTCTTCGCCCACTACGAGGCGTGTTGCGGGTCACCAATCCAGACCTTCATCATCATCATCCGCGTTCTTTTCCTGGACGCACAACATGAAATGAGTGTGAAGAAGACATTCGGAGCATGTTTGGTACTGCACATCAAATTTCAGATATCCTCGATCTTCACTGTAAGCTAGACCTCATTATTTGATAACTGGTTCTAACATGCGCATTTAGCCTTTAGGCGTACACAGTCATGAAGCGAATGCCGAGGTCTAGGTCTTCTGCGGTGCGCAACTAGTGCTTACCCTTGACCCAAGGCAGTGTTCGCGGGGAAGTTTTCTAAGCCAATCCGAACCTCGAGCCCTGCAAGGTTTACGAATTTTACTCTATGAGCTAGTGATTGGCTAACTGGGGCGCTGCGCGTCTGAGAAATGCGTGTTTGTATTACTCAATTTATGAATTCAACCTTGGTGAGTCAATGTTTGAATGGAATATAGGCGAGGACTCAGCTCACACACGTTTAGAAAAGGGGATACGCTCTTGAGAATGTCTCTTCATAGATAGTTAGCCAAGCATGGATGTTCCTTTCTGCTTCGGACTTGGTTAATGGGAGTGGCCCAATCCCCCAGCACAGGCGTCCGGACCGACTCGATGCGAGTACGGGTGACGGTTTTTCGAAGAGGAAATGATTAGCCGATGATAATACGTGCTCGGCTTTTCCTTGGTCTCCATGGCGTTCGTCCATGTGCTACGTAGTCGCCATCTGACTCCCTTCAAGACATGGTCGTTGCAGGTATGCCCTAGAACCCAGTACGGATAGCGAATAATGCTCATGTGTTCGTGTAAACAGGTTACAATGGTTTTTGGGCGTTACGCTGTTCCATTATCGAGAACGGCTCCGTGACGCGTCCTTAATGCTATGACGGGTATAGAACGGCACGGACAAGTCTCAAAAATAACGGGCTTGTATATGCGAAATACAATTTCGGTTCAAGAGTATGCAGAGGCTTTCGTACTTGCACAACGCGAACCTGAGTCGGAGAAAAGTCCTGACCGGAGTGCCTGGTGGTGGAGCAGTACAAAACCGCCTCTGCGTCGTCGTTCCGGCCCCTTTGCCCTGGTCGCATCCACCATCATGTTCTTCCGACCTCCTTTTTCTCGCAGGGACTCCATTTTACTAATGCTGGGAGCATTGTTGACACATTTCCTCAATATCATTCATCCTCACTCTTTCTCGGACACAAGTATCGATATCAACACCGTCAAGCGCGTCCACGATGTTCTCTGGAGAGAAGATGCGTCGCCTGAGTTACAGATAGTGGAACAGTCTGACGAGATTGCCACGGATTTGACTCCGGAGCCTTCCATACCACTGCAGACGATCCACGGCGACCTACCACACACATCCATCGTCCACCATGCTCCAGGATGGACGCTTTTCCGAAATCTGTACATGTCCAACGGCACGCTGTTCGTTCTCTCTTCAAATCGCTCTTTCCCCGAGTTCCGTCTAATGATCAGCTCTGGTATTCATATGGTGAACACACCCGAAAACGCCGCGCTGAGCGAACCTACATTACAGCACATGAATTATATTACTCCTCTAGAAGCTCGAAAACGCTGGGGAGGGACTAAAAATCGCGTATGGACAGTAGAAGGAAATACGGTATGTTTCTCGAACCGCGTGCACTACCCTTTCTCATAGCATTTCTCTTAGCTCCTCGTCAATGAACCAAGTCAATTTTTGGGACACTTCTATCACCTAGTCGCTGAACTCTTCTTCGGGGTCCAAGCCTTTTGGCACGGAGCCTTCTCGGCAGTTTCTGCTGTTGATGCCTACTCCACAAAATTCACCCACCCTGCACCGCCAGCACTAAATCGTGTGATATTCGCGCATAGTGACGGGAATGGGTGGCGCGACCACCCTGGATTTAATGCGTATTTTATGCGCGCTGCGTATCCTTCGCTTGCCATTGAAGATAAGCAAGAATGGGAAGACCGAATAGCCGCTACCTCGGGATTGTCTGTTGATCGTGCATGGCATTTTCCGCTCGTTCTCCTTAGTGATCGGAGCGCTTCCCATCGTGGTGCGCTGTGCGGAAGTCAGACTCAGCGTATTGCATCCGAAGCTTGGGAGTACATGCGTGAGCAGTCACGGCTCATGGGGATTAAGGTCGGCGGGTGGTGGGAGCCTATTCGTGCGTCCGTATTGAAGTTCTCTGGCCTGGACGTCGTCAGGAGGGACGGAGATGACCTTCCAATGCCGGACAAAATTGTTATCACGTATATCAGCCGGCAGGGTACGTCGAGGAGGAGGCTTACAGACGAGGCACACAATTCGTTGGTAACGGCTCTAGAGGAGCTCGTCGAGAGGAAGAAAGACGAAGGGCTGGGAACTCAATGTCATGCAGGCTGAGCGTATGTCGAAGGATGCTCAGGTGCATGCTGCTGCCCGGACGACGATATTGCTTGGAGTCCACGGAAACGGACTGACTCATCTACTTTTCATGCCTCCTACGAAGGTGTCCACTGTAATTGAGATCTTCTACCCGGGAGGATTTGCACACGATTACCACTGGACAACTCGAGCCCTTGGAATGTCGCATATTGCGGTCTGGAATGATACGTTAGTACTAATTCTGTTTCCTTCTCTTGGATCGATGCTGATGTGACGTGTACTAGTTATTACACGCACCCGAATGAGCCTGACATCGATTACCCCGAAGGATTTCAAGGGGGACTATATTCCGGTCCATGGACCAACCGTCGCACGGATAATCGAGGACCGTATTGCACAAAGATTATGATAGACAAATCCTTTGACCTTCATCGAGACCTACTTATTTGTTAACTACCACATCTTGTACCAAGTCGATGTATTCTAGGATTCCATGTCATACAAGGTGGTGTGTTTTATTCGACGACTTAGTGATACTACTACTTTTTGAGTTGGTGAGCCTTGTGTATTTTGTGCTGCTCCTATGCTCTCAACGATGCTCTAAGTTCTCAAATCCAGAGTACCATAGTATGAGAAACTTCACTCTAGCAGTTGTTTTACGTTAAGCGCCTCAATTCCTAGAAGGTTAGGATAAATATTACCTAGCGCTTATGTGTGGGAAACCTGGCGGGCTTCTCTCACGACTGCCTTGCCATCACCTTGCCATCAGACCAGCATTAGGTAGCGTCTCAACCTCACGGATGGCTCCTGTCTAAACTGACTGTTGGACTGTATGCAGCTTTCTTTCGCAACTATGCAAAATACTTGTCTCGTCTGCGACACTCCAGCTAACACCCGCTGCGCCAAATGTACAAGCGTCTATTATTGCAGCAAGGCGCACATCGCCCAAGTGCGTCTCTTTCTCGTGCGTCGCCGCGAAATTCTAAGGAGAACTTCATCTAGGACTGGCCCATGCACAAAGCATATTGCAAGCGAGTCCATGCCGCCACCAACACCTTTGACGCTATTCTCTTTGGCGTCAATGAAATTAAACCTCGGGTCATCAAACTCCCTTGGTCATACGGTCCTGTTGATGAAGATGAGCCTGGACGCTGGCAGATGCTGGAAAGAGAGCCATGGCTCGGTGGCAAAGATTGTTGTCCCTATTTTTTCTATGTTGGGACGTTCGGGGTCAATGGACCATCGCTTGGTCGTACTCTCGCACTGTACTATGACGAGAACTTCTTGATCAACGGGTCCCCGATCAACCGCTGCATTCAGAGTGTCACCAATGGCAAAGCCCCGCACCCTTGGGCAGGAAACGTTCTAGCCCTTAGGTCGAAGGGATTGCGCTCGCTGGATTGGTACAACGACGCAATTATAGAGGAGGACTTGGCGCCGTTGGTTCGGTTTTTCGAGGATTATGGGAAAGAGGATAATCCGAGTGTCCGCGTCAACAACGCGGTCGGCTCAAAGAAAAGGGAAAATGCTCAAGTTGCTACTGATATTGATACCGCCAGTGCGAGCGTGACAACCGAACCTAGCACAGCTGATCTCAAGCCTTTTGCCTTCGTCTTATTTGTTTTCCTATTCTTTTATGGACCATGCTCGTTTAAATGGCTCAATAATACTTAGAAAATATTAACCGACAGAGGGCTTTTGGGACAAGTATCTATTTTGTGTCTGATATATGGCATGAATGAAGGAAATTGAAAAAAGTGATAGACGAGGATGCCCGGAAGCAGACGACATCGTGAATATACTTAAGCGCCAAGGAACGTGTTATCGATTAAAGCATATAGACGACCCTTGAGATCATCGATTTCCCCAACACCCACCATGATAGAAGACATAGACGAAGCAACATCTGCGCTCATCGCTCAGCTCACTCTCCAAGATATTACAGAGATATCGGGTGCTCGCAAGGGAAAGGGGCGAAGCGATGTAGCAAAGAGCGATGAAGAGTATGCCCTCGATCTTCAGGCAGACTATTGGCGCATGGAGCTGGATCTCCAGCTAGCCCAGAGCCTGAGCCGAGCCTTAGAGACAGATGCCAACTGGCTGGCGGTGGAACAGGCGGCCGAGGACGATCACAGATACGCGCTCGCACTATCGAACGGTGCTGAGCTCCCCGCTCAGTCTGCGAATCAAAGCCTCTTGGAGAATCCCGCCTTCGTGAGAACACTCTTCACGCCATCATCCCCCAACATGGCAACCAATGCTAATGTTACCAACGAGAGAGATCTAATTACGACGGGCACCTCGACGCCTCTCTCGACCAGACCGCCTTCACCATCTACCTCGTCCCAATGCGTTATATGCGGAGATCGTCTCAGGGCACAGCGTAGCTTCCGTGCTCCGTGTGAAGATCAGTACTGCCATGGCTGCCTCCGAGATCTCGTCCAGGCTAGTATCAACGACGAATCACTGTACCCTGTCCGATGCTGCGGCCGACCTCTTGTCGAGAGAGATTTCTTACCACTCCTTCCTTTTTCCTTACGAACACGTTTTCAAATCAAGTCCAGAGAGCTAGGAACGCCAGCCATGAGCCGCGTTTACTGTCAGAACCCTATCTGCTCGGCTTTCCTTGGTTCGTCAGAGGGAAGAGACGGCGAACATGGTATGTACGGCATGCGGGACAGCTGTCTGCCCTTTATGCAAACAGAATGCACATCGAGGGAAGAACTGTGTCGAAAACGCTGCGATTCAAGACTTGCATGCGCTAGCCCGAGACCAGCGATGGCAGACCTGTCCAGGATGTCATTCAATTATTGAGCTCAATCATGGTTGCTATCATATGACGTGCAGGTGCCTCACGCAGTTCTGCTATGTTTGTGCGGTACCGTGGAAGAATTGCCACTGCCCGCAGTGGGATGAAGATCGATTGTATATCACTGCTCAGCGAAGGGTGGAAGAGGAGATGGGTCCTCGCGCCACAGCAGCCGCACCAGATATTTTCCAGAGAGAGGTGGCAGCGAGAGCAGAGCAGCTGAGATCCAACCACGACTGCGTCCGACACAGCTGGAGAAGAAGAAATGGGGGAGCGAGATGCGAAGAATGCAGTTGGTATTTGCGGGAGTATCTTCTTGTAAGTTATCGCCATTTAGCAGGTCCTATTGCGAGCATCCTAACACTGTACCAGGTCTGTACCCACTGTGGATTAGCGGCATGTGTTCGCTGCTGTCGGAATCGGCTGCTGTGATGGTCTTGATAGCCGAAGAACATTGAAGTTTGAACTCGTTTGTGTCTGGTAGAATATTCCGTGGCGCTTGGCCTAAATGAACAGTAATTTTGAATGACTGGTTGTGTACTGTGACTCAATCTGGAAAAAATAAATTAGAGAAACGGAGAAAAGAAGAAAACCGGGTAGGGTGAGCCGAGCATGCCGAAGCGCCATGTGGTTCTGACGGCAGTGACAAACATAGAAAGAATTAATGACTTCCCAAGTTCTATTTCCCACGCCGTTTAGGAGTCAGTCTGAGTTACGTCGACGGCACCGAATCAGTCTGACTACTTTTATACAACTCTTCCACGAACCATGAGCACCAAACTTCAGAATCCCGCAATTGAAACAGTGAAGAATGTCCCTAACCGAAAGGAGGACTTTCAGTCATGGCCAACTCGAGGTGTCCTCCGACAAGCTCCTACTCTTCTATTCCAAGCAACAAGAGGGAAAGGAAGGGGTAGCACAGTTAGTATATGATTCCACGCCACTGATTTCCTCTAAATTACTCTTCCAGCCTCTTGAATCTTGCTGACGCCTCTGAGGAATCCCTTCGCGACCTTTGTGACGCCGCTGATGCTGCAGGATTCGGTCTGGGTAATCAGAATACATTTGATGAAACGTACCGCAAGTCCAAGAAGCTCGACATCACCCAATTCTCTTGCAACTTTGACCCTCGAGCGACCAAAATCTTCGACCAAGTACAGGCTGATCTCATTGAAGGCCAGGACGAAATCCAGAAGGTCCTGCGCCCTGAACTGTATAAGCTAAACGTCTATGGTAGGAAGGTCCTGTGGTGAGATAGCAGACACTAATCATTCTTTTCAGGCGAAGGAGACTTCTTCAAGGCCCATAAAGACACTCCTCGTGCTGAAAACATGATGGGATCTCTAGTCGTCATTTTTCCTACGGTCCACAAAGGTGGATCCCTCGTTCTCCGCCAAGATGGCCAGGAATGGACTTTTAGTGCTGAGAAGATGCTTGCGGACAGTACGCCCGAGGCTCCGGTGATCTCATATGTCGCGTTCTACAGCGACACAGAGCACGAGGTTCTCCCCGTAACCTCGGGTGTTCGGGTAACTTTAACGTACAATTTATATCTTGAAGACAAGAAGCCGACTGCCCCTACCCTCGTTGTCGAAGCCTCTAGCAATCCTACACCAGTTGATGTTCTGAAGCCGGCGCTGCAAACCCTTCTAGCAGACAAGAATTTTCTTTCCGAGGGAGGCTTGCTGGGGTTCGGACTGCGGCATCAGTACCCCTTCGCGGTCTCTAAATATCGCAGTGGAACGAGCTCGTTCAAGATCGACGGCAACTCTAACGACGATTTCAACGATTACATTCGCGACGGCGAATTCATAGCGCAAGGACGCAAAAAGCTGTCACAGTTGGCAGATAGTCTCAAAGGTAGTGATGCCAGTATTTTACGAGCCTGCCGCGAGCTTGGCTTGGACGCCAACATCCGGATCCTCTATCGACCTCGAGGCTGGGATGTCATCTACATGACCGACCATATTATACCTGACCAGGAAGATGGATATTATGAGGACGACGAACTGGAGGAGATGTTGCTGAAAGAAAGCGGGACACTTGTGTCGGCATCCGACGAGTATGTGAAGAATCAACTCAAGTATAGTGGAAAAGCCGTGAAGCTGCCAGAGGTTGTTTGGGTTACTCCGATTACGACATTCAATCGGACGGAAGCGAGCTACATGGCGTATGGGAACGAGGCTTCTGTCGGTTATCTATACGGCGATGTTTGCCTCATTGTCAAAGTTGGACTGCCCGGAAATCGGATGGATTGACAAAGCTTAAAGAGGATGTAGTTACTTATGTGCATCGGAAGAGGAAGACTCACGACTTTGGCTCGTATACAAACTCCATTATGTTAATAACATTGACATATAATTGACGTTCAGTGAGTACATGAGTACATGGGTGCGTGGTGAGTTGGAATACAATCTTCCCTAAATCTGATAAAGTACAGTATGAGGCGACGCTAGTCCGGAGACATAAAACATAAGCATAAACCATAGTCATAGAGTAAAGAGACGACAGAAACACAGTTCACAGCATTCCGGTAGCCAAAACCCGGTAAAGATGGTTGGCTTCTTCGAATCGTGAGTGGCGTAAGCTAAAGTGCGCCATTTCGGCAGTATCGGCATCCAGTGCGGCGTCGACCAGCGAGAGCTTGATCAAAGATGTGTAGAATCGGCAAAGCTGTTCTGCGTTAATATCCTCATGCACAGAAGAGGAAGCGACCTACATGCTGAACACCCTTGGCGAAGCGGTCATCACTGACGAGCCCCTCTTTCTCCTGCAGCTCCGCCTGGTCGAGCCAATTGATGCATTCGTGCACAAACCTGCCAAGTGCTTCGGTGCGGACAAGGTCAGCAATGGTAATGGAACCGTTGGCGGACATGGTGGGTTCACGTAGAAGACGACCCATCAAGTCAAACGACGGAAGGGTAGGAGGGAGAGAGGACAAGATGTCAAGGAAAGGCGAAGGTAGATTACTCTCCGAAGGTCCGGTTGAAAGGAGGGCGACGAAGAGAGGGTGCGCAAGGTTAGGATTATTAGTAATAATAGGTGCAAGGTCCAGGGGAGTGATCATTTGTGAAGAAGTTAGTGCATGTATGGATGGAGTCACAGTCTGCAGCAACAGATGAGGAAAGTGACGTCTTCGGGCGAGTTGAGTGACTCACCCGTTGCTCAGACAAAGTCAAAACTCGTTCCCGGGCATCGAGCAGAAGCTTCATCGCGTGTGCTATGCCCTCATTGGCAGCATCCTCTTCGGCAGTGATCACTGTCGTATGTGTCGTAGTCGTGGTAATACGTTGTGATTTGGGGGTATAATCGTCTCTATAAAGATGATCAGAGACAAAAGAAGGATATAAAATGTCAAACGCACATTTCGGATTCGCTATTGTACATATCATCGTCGAGAAGTAAGTTAGTAGCTCTAAGTTTGGGCGGCAAAGGCGATCGCGCTAGCGTGCTTGGAGAATAAGGACCAATCTACCGCATGATCAGCACAAGCCTCGCCCTATATCACTGGAACTTACATCGTTTCCGTCACCTCTGAGAATCTTCCATAGCACCCAGACCAGTTGCTCATTGACTGAGACGTCGCCCCGGCTGGCAGCAGCGACGGCCTTCTCTCGTTCATAGACAAAAGTGACAAAGAGCACCGATTTGAACGGATTAATGGAGATAGGATGAGGCGCATATAGAGAATACAAGATGTAAGAGACTAAGATCCGCTGAGCAAGCTGAAGAGGACGTTCGTCAGAATGTATCAAGGTCACCGACGACGCCAGACGTACCTCCGACGAAGTGTTTGGGTCCAGGAGAGGTAACAACACGTCGAGAGCCAGCTGAAATCGTGAAGTTGGCTGCACAAGCTGAATGAAAGCCTGTGCCGCAGTCGAGCAAGGCAGCGAGTACGCCCTTGAGAGTAGATGGCCAACAGAAGCACGGACCGGGTCACCAGAATTTGTTTGCACCGACGATGGCAATCCCATCGTGGGCAACGAAGTCAGGACGGTGGACATCGAGGACGACGACGACGGCGTCGAAGACGAAGTATATCGCGGCTAGATTTCCATCGTGTGTCGGAGTTTGTTGCGGAGTATCAAATTTTGTATATACCGAAAATGCCGGAATAGACTCAATTTGAGCTACGATCAAATGTGACCTTATTTCCGAGACCAAAGCTGGACGCATTGCAGAGATCCTAAGGTGATTATTCTGTGGCATCAGCCAGGTTGGGAAATAAGCACAGTACGTCCAAAAGGTATGCTTGTGTACCGAGACATGCCGTGCCGCTTCAAGTTCAGAGCTGGAGGAATCCGAGGAAATTTGACGCAAGCCGTGAATGAACTTGATTTCTGTGAGTGTCTTCTTAATTGTCTAGGCTTCAGGCTGTTGTAAAGCAACAGACGTATTAATTTATGGAGTAAACGATCACGTTAAAACGTGTGAACATGTCAATGGTTCAGATGCTAGTACTACGACCGGTACCGAGACTATTGATGACTACATCTCTCGCTTAGGCATGAAGCCAAACCGCCGTAAAAACGAGTAAAAGGATAAATTCGTCCAGCCAACCCTGAAATATTTTGGGAATGTGGGAACTTGAAGTAAAAGGGCAAAATTACGATGTAACTAAGTAAACAACAACGTTGTGGGGACTCTCCAATGTTCGAAGGCATCAAGTCGCTCGGTTTCCGGGTTTTCCGACTTTGACGATGAGGCAAATATCGCCGTATAGGTAGCCCATAGAAGCCTCGTTCCCATACCGAATATAATTTGAATCCATACGGTTAAACGTCGTAAGTGGGGTGACCCAAACGATCTCAGGCAGTGCCTCGCTCCCCTCATGAGTGCGCGGTGGCCTGGCCCAACGCTCAGTGGTCGATATCAATGTGCCAAGCCTCTGCAACTCTGTATCAAGGTAATCGAGCTCCAATTCCCCTTGTGCGTCCAAATTTTGAATGACATGATCCAACATGTACACGGCGCCATAGCCTCGAGGACGGTAGATGATGTGCGGAGTAGGTTCCAAGGACAGGCCTTGGCAAGCACGAAAAATGCTGGCGTCACTACCTTTCAGGAAATCGACTATCTGACTGAGCTGCTCTTTCGCCCTCTTTTGAGAGTCACGAGAACCCCAATTCCTCGGATGATCAAGGTTGGGGTTTCCATAAATTTCATCGACATTCCCTTTGGAGCTTGTCGACGTGGCGAAAGGATACTGATGACGGAGACCAAATCCTAACATGCCTCCTTCGGGAAGGAAATCCGAAGCTGCCAGAAGATTTTGAAGGGCGTCTTTGACATGGTCAGTGACAGGATTTTCGGTAATCGAGAGTAAGCTTGCAGGAGCCGGAAGTTTGTCCTCGAGGTAGAGATTATAAGTCAAAGTCACTCGGACGCCCGATGTGAGTGGGAGAACTTCATGCTCGACATCGCTATAGAATGCAATGTAGGAGATAACGGGTGTCTCAGGAGTACTTTCAGCAAGCATCCGCTCTGCGCTGAACACCCATTCCTGGCCATCTTGGCGAAGGACGAGCGACCCTCCTTCGTGGGGAGTGGGGAATACAATGACAAGAGACCCCATCATATTTTCAGCACGAGGAGTATCCTTGTGGGCCTTGAAAAAGTCTCCTTTTCCTAGCGATCCAAAATGTCAGCCTGGTCTTCATTGTCTTAAACACGAAATGTTCTTACCATAAACATTCAACTTGTACAACTCGGAGCGTAAGACCTTTTGAATTTCGTCTTGGCCTTCAACTAGGTCAGCCTGCACCTGGTCGAGGATATTCGTAGCCCGAAGGTCGAAATTACTAGAAAATTGGGTAGTGTCGAGCTTTTTGGACTTGCGATACGTTTCGTCGAACGTATTTTGGGTACCCAAGCCGAATCCCGCGGCATCACAAGCATCGCAGAGGTCGCGAAGCGATGCCTCGGAAGCATCACCAAGATTCAGAAAGCTGGTGAAAAATGTTAAACGACGACAGTAGCCTAGCGATGCCCACATACTGCGCTGCTCCTGCCTTTTCTTCCTGTCGTTTGGAATAAAACAGCAACAGTTCATTGGAAGACACTCGGACTTGTCCTTGACTGAAGGTTCTTTCTTTTAGGGCGTTTTTCACTGCCTCAATGGCGGGATGTTCTGGTTTTTCAGTCATGGTCACAGTTGAAAAGCCGGGTAGCCCACGTGCCTCGCGAGGTCTGACTCCAAGTCTTTCGGAGCCGTTAAGAACAGTGCAGGAGAAATCAGCTTTTGTTAATGATCCTCCGAAGTGCATAAAATCTGCTGCGATTCCATATCATTGAGGCGTCATAGAGTCTCGCTACATACTATTATGCTACGGATACCGAACCTTGCTCTCGACTCCCGGGCTTTCCAACATTGACAATGAGACAAACATCGCCATATAGATAACCAACAGTAGCCTCGTTCCCATATGCAAGGTAGTGCGACTCGGTTTCATTCAACACCGTAATCGGAGTAACCCAGACGATCTCTGGTAGTGATTCCGCTTCCTCATCTCTCAGCTCATAATCAGGGTCCGATACTCGAGTTCCGTGCTCATCGAGCAACACTTCCATGTCTTCAGCTTGCTCGTTTATCTGTTCCCCGGGTATGACATGATCGGCCATCCAGACACCATTTGAGTATCGAGCTTCATAAAAGATGCGAATATTGGCGTCCAAGGAAAGATCTCGACAAGCTCGCAGGATACTAGCGTCGCTGCCTTTGAGCCTATCTGTCAATTGTTGTAGTTCGTTTCGACTTTGTTCTACCCCGCAATCCTCAGAGATCGCATACTGGTGTTGGAGACCAAACCCCAGAAGGCCTCCTTTGGGAAGGAAAGTTTCATCTTTCAATAGTTTTTGGAGAGTCGTCTTCAGAACATCAGCTGGTGTAGGATTACTAGAGGCTTCGGTAATAAGGGCGGGGGCAGTCGGCATCTTGTCCTCGAGATATAGATTGTACGTTAGAGTTACCCGAACACCCGAGGTTACAGGGAGAACCTCGTGCTCTGCGTCGCTGTAGAATGCGACGTATGAGATCACCGGGACCTCAGGCGTACTGTCCGCAAGCATCTTCTCAGCACCAAAGGTCCATTCCTGGCCATCTTGGCGGAGAACGAGGGATCCACCTTTGTGGACCGTAGGAAAGACTATGACCAGAGATCCTATCATATTTTGAGCACGAGGGGTGTCCTTGTGTGCCTTGAAGAAGTCTCCTTCACCTGAAAGGCATGTCTCAGTCTAGTATCTGACATTCTAACACCGAAGGTACATACTGTATGTGTTTAATTTGTAAAGTTCAGGACGCAAGACCTTCTCAATTTCGTCGTCACCCTCGATGAGATCAGTCTGTACTTGGTCGAAGATCTTCATAGTTCGAGGATCAAAGTTACAGGCGAATCGGGAGGTGTCGAGTTCCTTAGATTTGCGGTACGTTTCGTCGAATGTATTTTGGTTACCTAGACCGAATCCTGCTGCATCTGCTGCTTCGCAGAGGTCGTGAAGAGAGTCTTCAGAGGCATTAGCAAGATTCAAAACACTAGTCAAATAGATTAGAAGAGAGCATGAGCTTGGAATAGTATACCAGCCGTGCTGCTCCTTCCATCCCCCTTTTTTTCATGGAATAAAAGAGTAAGAGCTTGTCAGAAGGCACCTCGAGTTGGCCATGACTAAAGGTCCTTTCAGTCAGAGCGTTTCTCACTGCTTCGACTGCGGGATTCTTGTCGCTCGTACACATGGTTCGAAGAGCTAGATGGTTCCATGTCCCAAGTCCTTTCATCGAATGACTCGATTGCGTTCGTAAAAGACTTTCGGAGAATAGTCTGAGTGCGTTCATTGCGGTGGTGGTCAGTCTCAGAATTCCGGAAGAGTGGAGAATTGCCGATAATACACAGCCACGGTGAACAACTTTCTCCGGGCCGGCCGGCCGACGCTTCAACGGTAAGGGCAGAACTTTGCACTGACGCGATGGTTCGTATTCCTACAAGCGAGTTGTAGGATCACCTTAGACGATGATCGATTGATTGATGAAGGGTTTCCACTGCTTGATGGGATACAGGGCGCCGATGCATGAAGGGCCCGAATACTCAATCATATCCATCCACGCAGTCCACTCTTGCACACGTCGCTTTCGTACGTCTTTTCTTTCTTATTCCATTTGGACTGCGTAACCACGAGGTGGGAACAGAAAATGCGTTTATAAGTTCGGGTTTTGAGAGCTGGATGCCCCGCAGCGAGCAGTAGGAGCCGGAGATTTTGGTGGAAACGGTGCTGACTTTGAGATTCACGCACGAAGACGAGCTCATCGTGAGAGAGTATTCTATTCCTCTTTGTGTTTTGATAGTAAAGATTGAGCTCCAGGTCCTGCCGGAGCGATACCTTCCTCTCCTCAAAACCTCTTGATATTGCGAGGAGACGTATCGCGTTCCGATGAGCATGAGGACACACAAGGAGAACGATGACAAGGATAGGTACACCAGCGGGGACAACTGTGACGTGGACGACCTGGCGGACTCTCACATCATTGGTGAACGTCATGCGTATATCTATGGTCGGTTCTGACGCAAAACCACATCCTTCCAGGGTCCCGTAATCCAGGTGTCTTCGATGCTGATACTCCTGGTGTGTTCAGTCTTTCTAATTTCCTGTGTTCGCTTACGTTGCTCACCTCAGGAATCATTTACGATGCATACACTTCAAGCATCATTTATTCTCTTGTTGCAGGGAATGCGGACTGAATGTGCGAGTATCCCCTCTTTCATCCTCTAGCCAGCCAGGACGAATGCTGCGCCTATACAAACAATGCTAACTAGCAGGCAAGCAGGTTTTATTTTGTAGATCCTACGACGGTAAAATACATGATAATTACTAGCATTGTCGTGTCGTCACAACGTACACTTTTCATATTGTACTTTCTTCAAGATAATAAACGCATTCCATCAATTAGGTTCCGAGGAAGTCGTACAGCATGCGTGCCCTAAACTATACCATGAGTACAGTCTCTGAGAGCATCGTCCGACTCCGTGGGACTCGGGTATAATGCTTTCCTTTCTGCCACAGATTCGATACTAGGATCTTCTGAAGCACCCAAGGTACTCCCAAGGCCTCGATCTGAAGAAGCTGTAGTTGTAAAGTCTTCTAACGATCCTTGTGTTGGAGCAGGAGGCCTTCGAGTCCATGACTGGCTTTGGGTCTGAGTATTCGTCTGAGTTTGATGAAATGTTTCGATGGCGACATCAAGGGTGGACTTAATGCAAACAAGGGTAATGATAAGAGTCGGATACATAGCCTATTGGTCTCCTGTTAGTATCTCCAAAAACATTAGAATTGCAACAACCGACCGTCAGTTGGGAGATTGTGTCTATCATGACATAGATTGCATTACTTGAGGAAATAAATATGACGATGACGATGAGCTGTTGGGATTCAACGTCGTCAGACAGAAAGATGAAGAGGAGCATGAGGCATACCCATGTGCAGCAATATAAAGTGCCAGACTCAATCAGAATAGGGAGAATCGCACTTTGCTTGCGAAAGCTACCCAGGATGGAGATGCCGGTGAGATGACGGACTAGCTTGAAGTGCGACCTTCCGAATGGTTTTCATATTTAGTCGGTGAAAACTTTTGTCCAAGACAAAACTCACCATGTACGATAGGCAACAAGCGCCGTCGTCCACAGATTTGTTGAAAACGTTGAAATGATGAATGCAATGGCCCAGCTCTCAACACTGGAATCAGTGAAAGTGGCACCTGCTGGTGTCATTGCAACGGTGTATACAAGCCCACTTCCTGAGCCTTGAGGTATGCTAAAAATCAGCATGAACGACGACGTCTAAATACTGAATACTTGCCTACGGTTACCAGAAGAAGAACCACTGATGAGGCGATAATCCACCGCCTACGATTCCATAAAATCCATGCTCTCCATATCACGATCCCATCGCCAAAAGCTATCTATGTTAGTTAAGTTAAGCAGAAGCTCGACAATCAACTTCTGGAAACTCACGCACATTCACAATTCCTAGTATAAGTTGCGACCACTGTATCGCAGACGAGGTATTATGGAATACGCTTGAGGCATTGGCATTGTTATGATATATCGAAAGGAATGCTGACAAGTCCTGTTTGAAATTGATGATCAAGTGGGCAGTAGCCACAATGTACATGAGGATATTAACGAGAGTCATGACAGCAATGACTCGACTCTTCTTCTTCTTGAACCTAGAAACAGAACAATGGTCAATAATGTTGCTGGTGAAATTCTGTATCCTTTCGCACAATAGAAGATATGTTGATGTCAGGAACAGGCCGGTGTAAAGTCCTGAATTATCGTGAATAATACAGCAAGTATAAGAACACCAAGGACATACCGTGCAAGAATATTTCACAGCCAAGGCCGATAAAATATGATTCAGGTATTGGGAAAGAACCCATGGTTGATGTCGACAAGAACTTGAATTCTCTCAAGCAGCTTCTTAAGTGTCTACAGTATCACGGGAGTCCAGTGGATCTGATTTTCCTGTGTGGTTGATCACTCCGCAACGGGAGATCCAACCAGCAGTCGGGCAGGAGTCTTGTTCCGATCATTGGGAGGGAGCGAAACCAAGGGACCAGCGTTTCAATATGAAGCTATCGATTGCTTGTCGCACACGACGCGAGCGGCGACTGAATGCAAGCTCCATCAGCATCAGTGAAAGTGCAAAGCACTGCGATTCGCTAGTCTGTGTTGGGTTAGTCCGGCTACACTTTATTGCCGTTCATGCTCGGCTCTCGAACGAGACTACGAAAGACGCAATTTTAATTCCCTGGTTTCATGACAAGACTACTCACAGATACCTTTATTCAGAGTTCATATAAGCGTGCTGCTGTATGTTTGTATTGGGCGAGGACATTGACCGGATGTACCGGAAAACATCATAAAACCATGATTTGGCACCGGGGTCCCCCACATACGCTGTTCATCAAGGAATCTAGCCCATAGTATCTGAAAGGAAGTTTCAGTGATCGAAGAACGAATAAAACTGGAAATCAACATTCACGATTCGTAGTTGCCAGATGGAAGACTTTGTATCCTTCCTCCTTTACGACTAATACTATTCTAAACCAGAATCAACGATCCGTATGAAGATGAGTCACTCAATACAATAGCTTTTCAACGCTCTAGTGATGGTCAGAACACATGATAGCATCACATCTTAGGCAGTACAAGCCCCACAACAGAATACTCAACGAAACACTTTGGGAGCTTTCTTGCAGTGCATTGTTCATAGGTGGAGGCGGGCGTAACGTTCGATGTGAACAAGAGTCCGTGTCCGTCTTCGTTATGCTAAGTTCTTGCGACGAGACGATATCATTCGGTACGCCAGATGGCCACGAAAGTGTTACATACCTTCGATGGTACTTCGCTGAGAGTGGTAGATAGGTTCCAGAGCAATACTTAACTCCCGGTAACTGATGATCCTCAAGGAAGGAATCAAAAACTTCAGTGATCACCGGTCAAGGGCTGAAAATAGAGCTCGCTTGTTTGAGAAAGTCCGGTCCGGAATGGCTGTGTAAAACGGCGAATGCCGAATGCCGAGTCCTTCCGTTCCTTATTGGGTCCTGGCGCCGACCGGCACACCAAACGTGCTGCGAAAAGACAACTTCGAGGAAAAGGTCCAGCTGCGTTTATTCTGGTGTCCTTGAAAGGTATCTTCAGAGGCGACTTTCGAACCTGAGTAAACGAAGTGCTCGGAAATATTTTCCGTTCTTCAACAAAGCACCAATACCTCGCAATGGTATTGTTCTCGACAAAAATCTAGTTTTTTTTTTTTGGATATAAGTCCATTTCTGATCTTTTCGAGCAGATTCTGATGTGAAAGTGAGGACTCCCTATCTGGCATCGTATCACGGATTCAACGACGAGAGGTTACCAAGATGAACATTGTGCATTCTTAAAGAAGAACGGGTTTCCAGTGAAATCAAGTGACTAGGAGATATGAAGATGCCCGTCCTTGATGAACTCTGGGGTCTACCACATCGTTTACTCCAGGATTTCTCTTGGAAAGGCACTTATCACACTTCGCATGCTTCGACGACGTACATCCTTATCGACAACTGACTCTTATATTGTTCTTGAGCAAGGCCATTCTGGCTTGGATCAGCTTAGATGATTACCCAGCCGGGTGATACATCAATCAGTCATGGACGAGGGTACACATACCGATCATGATTATCCTATTACACGACATGGATCGCTGTAGAGATGAGGGTACAGATAGTCACGTCACCCGATTCTATCTTGAGGCTGATACATTGAGTAACAAGACGCAGTGCATCGAATGTCCCTCGGATACGTTATCTGGCAACGGCGTCTTTAGAAGATCTGTCATTTGGCCCCGAGGGACCAATTTAGAGAAATAGGACATCGATGACCTTGAGTCTGGAGTTGGTAGTTATCTCAAGGTGAGGCCACTGCTCCAAGCACGGCATTGCAAAACGGTGGGCATAAATGTCAGATAATGATATTATCGGGCATTAATGGCCCATAAACTCATACGTCTCGCTATGAAAGAAAACCTTTCTCAGCCAGATACGTACGATGCTCTTGTCGGTGTCCTTTGATGGTAGAATCCACAGACCGTCGCCAAATAGGAAATCCCACCTATGGTACATCAGCGGGATTCTGATGGTGTCAAAGTAGATACGTACCCATCCAATGAAGCTATAGATATTGTCTAGGAATACATGATTCCGGGGGGTCGCGCCCCTAGTCGAAGAGCGGAAGATGTTCCCTAACAAGCCCGTCGATATATGGAAATGACCGCGTTGGATACCTGACCCGCACTGAGCGCGAAGCTGATGCTAACAGTAATCGGAACCAACCTTTTAATAAACCCTCGGCGGCCTTTTCGGGAGTCTGACCACCGTCGGTTTCTTCGATTTTAAGAGTGATCTCGGGTTTGCATTTATTTTCCGCTTCGTAGCCTGGGCTATAAATTGTTCCGGGGAAGAATATGTGGACAGAGATTCCGTAGAGAAGCATTTCCGAACGAAGGGTTTCTGCTAGACCTGAGGAACATGAAGATTAACAGCAGTCTTTAGGGAAGTCGGGATCGAGAACCTCGTAACGCGTGTTTTGCAGGGGCATACGAAGAGTAGCCAATCATGGACATAAAACCGAGGAAAGAAGAGACAAGAACAATCTTTCCATTCTTATTGTCTCGTACCATTCGCTTTGTACCGGCCTATTCAAATCAGTCAAGGTAGTTCGGAGAATAACCGAAGTCACTTACCAAAGCTGACCATGCTTGTATCCAATACACAGTATCCATTCCTCTTTTCATTGAAGCTTCATCTTCCTCCACAAAAAATCTTGGTATTGACGTCCCAGCACATAAGAAGAGAGCATCTGGGCAACGACCGTCGTGTCCTTTGGATGCGGCTTCTAACGCAGCTTCCGCTGATTTACATTGCGTGAGATCGTAGGAATACCACCTGAGAATTTGACTGGGTAATTTCCGTGCTTTCTGTGTAACTTTAGACGTACATTGGGGAAATACAAGCAAAGACACAGACGCACCTCCATTTCCACAAGCGCATTACGTAGTTTTTGTTCATTACGAGCAACGATAGACACATCCGCACCGAGCTTGACCAGAAGAAGGGCGACTGCAAGCCCTAGGCCTTGCGATCCGCCGGTCACATAACAATGCTACGTTCCAAGGGAATTCAGTACGACGGTCATGAACATGTTACATACTGCTTATACCTTCCCTTTAGGATCCCAGTTATTGTGGTTGAAAAGCAATCCAAGTATGAGGACCAGCAGAGGAAGGGCAAGTAACAGCACGGTAAGAAGCATCGTGGTCCGAAGCCGAGGGGAATTTGAGTTTGTTAGCAGCCACGTGGAAGAAATTGTCGCCTGCGGTAGTAAGGCTTACGAGGTCCCCGCACATCAATGGAGCTTATAAAACTTATATATGAGCTACGTACAACATGCGTCTCATACTACTATCACGGCCCTAAGTGGAGCGTTGGCTCACTTAGGCCAACGTCCGTTTGGCGGGCGTCGTACTGTTGAAGCCAGGATTGAGCACCTTAGTGACGGCCAACGAGATGTTAGAATCGAACAAAACGCAAAGAAATAGAAGACCACTGTTGACGCTACGCTTGACGCCTCATCGTGGTCGAGGTCAAAGCGAAAAACAAGGCAACAAACGGAGCAGAAAAGGGAATGATGGCGGTCACGAGCTCGCAGCCAGCTCGGCGCAACTCCGAGTCCCCTGAGAATCGCGACTTCGGTTCCAGCACTGTCTACATAGCCAACATCGTAGCTTGATTCGGTCCATTTCAGCACCGTAATCCGAACAACCTCTGGCAATTCTGACTCGGACCTATAGTACTCTGTACTCCACATCAATTTCGGGAGCCGCCATAAGAGTTCCGCCCCTCTGAACAGTATTTCTTCCACCTGGTCGTCCGGGAATCCCTGTACTGACCGTGCTGCACCTTCCGTCCCTCTTTTTTGCTTGAGTAAAAGAGAAGGAGTTTGTCAGAAAGGACCTTGAGTTAGCCACAACTGAAAGTCCTTTCAGTAAGAGCGCTTCCCACCGCCTCGACAGCGGGATCCTCCAAGCCCCAGTCATTTAAGTGACTTATGCACATGTTTCGCTGAAGAGCTAGATACTTCCAAGTATTTGGATACTTGAGTCCACACATCAAGTACCACAACAGTCCGTGTCCGCTCATGATGTCCAGATCTCGGAAGTGAGAAAATCGGATATTCCGCAAGTTACAACGTGCTTTGGGCCAACTACCGCTTCCTTCAGTAACTGTGAGAGACACTAGCATACAGCATGGATGGAATGCCTTGATTCAGGTAGCAACCCAGCTCATGCAGCATCCTCGTTCTGAATCATCACAATTTGTTCCATCACCCTCTTGATGCTTGTTGGAGTGACAGGGATAACAGTGGAGAAATGACAGGACCAGTTGGAAGTTTCAGGAGAACAGATGGACGTGGAAAGATGTCTCTATTAAACAGATTTCTCGTCCGTTTTAGAAGGTTCCTCCTTCTTTTCTACAGCCTTGACGGCATCTAATACCTTGCTCTCGACCTTTTCTGAGACACTCTTTCCCCAGCCCATAGCCTCCCTAAGCTTCAAGCCTGTTGACTCCTGAATCTTGTCCACGGCCGTCTCCACGCCTGCGTCAAACTTCTGTTTTCCGTTCGCAGCAGAGTCCTTCAGCATCTCCCAACTCATCCTAGTGTGTGCATTGGCGACGGCATGCTTCTGTGCAAGAGTAGGGAAGTAGGTGTCTTCGAGCGCACCAAGATATTCGGAGATGTTGGCGGACGTTTGTGGGAGGAAATGGTTCATGGAAAGGACGAGTAGTGTAGGCGGTAGTATTAGCCGAGTAGCTAGCAGGCGATTTCGCGCTATTATGGATCCGCTGAGGGTGGCAATTCCCACATAGAGAATTCCTGGCGTTATGGATTCCGTTGGAGAAATGAGAGCCTTCACCCGACCTTCAGAGATCACTCAGCTATCGTCAACATTGAAGGAAAGGTTCTACACACTTTCAATAGCATGCTCGACACCAATCCATTTGGAAACCACGTCCTGAACTTGCGAATATGCGTCCGAGTATGTCTTGGTGAAGGTCTTCCGAACCGTTCCGATTCGTGTCTCCAGTGTTGAAGGCGTGTCCAAGAGTACGATATCTGGGGTTGAGATAGGGTATATTGGCAGCTGAATGAAACTTGTTAGGCTGAGAAGATACAGAGAAAATACAACGACGCACCCTGTCTCTTTCTTTCTCGACCAGTACCACCGCCGTCCCTGCGATTAAGGGTGCAGCCTTCAAAAGCGACCTCCGGGCCTGCATATACGTAAGTATACTGCACGAAAGAGACAAGCAACAACGTACTAGCGTGGCATACATCGCGGGTACGAAAGTCGTCGACGATGGACGTGACGGTTACAGGTAGGGAAGGTCTTTGTGTGGTTAGGATGGCGATGGCAAACAAGGTCCCGCCGGACAAATCCGGGCCGATCCCTCTCAGCTTCCAACAGTGGTGGTAATTTTCTTACAGCAGCCTGTTTGCCATTACACGAGCATCTACGAGGATACGCCGCAAGTGACTGCGTCCTGCTTGGATCCGACTCTTACTGCCACCGTCCGCACTTTGCCAAATATCCATTTCAACAGCCGGTAGCCTTTATCACCCTACATTATTAGGAATTATTCTACTGTTAGGTGTCAGTCTGAGACTTTAAAAAAATGCTAATGGAAAGATGTAGCATGGATAGCTCATATCGCCAATAGTAGCGGAAAGTCGGTCCATCTCTCGCAATATAGGCTCGATCTTGGCCACTGCTCACAACTGGTACGTAGCAAATCATTTGATTTCAATCACGTTTCAAGGGCTACCTAAATTTTCCGTTTCGTTCAGAAGAATATCCGAAGACAATTCATACTTGGTTCCGAATTTTTTTCTGTCGGCTCAATATCGCATAATAGCCTCACTGGTTTTGGCTACGCTGATCAAACATGGTCATCCATCACCTCTGTTGCGGACTCCCAAGCCTTTTTGTGCCTGAGAAGGCTTGGAAGTTCAACGTCATCGTGAATAGGATGCGATTTCTGTCACTACGTACCTTATGTGTTTTGGCTTGTCGGCGGCCCGATGCGGCCTCCCAAGGCGGTTGAACTTCGCAGGTGCCCTATGCAACGACCAGCCTTCTAACAACGTTATCCATCCCGCGGCCTCCATGTCGCTCAATACAAGCCATCAGAACAGGCCCTCACAATGATCATTTTTTCCTCGTGGTTTTTGGCGCCACGAAAGGCATAAAAGACTCGTTGAAAAGGTAGGTCAATGTAATCCTCCTGTGCAAAACGCGTCATGTTCAAAGCAACTCTTGCAGCCTCACTGCTAGTCTCTATCGCTTCTGTTCGCGCGCATGGCTATGTCGAGACCATTGTCGCGGACGGTACAGAATACAGCGGTTATCTCCCATATTCTGATCCATACTATGATCCTGTACCTGACAGGATTGTCCGTCCAATCCCAGGCAACGGTTCGTATTATCTATTTTTTGGTTCAGCAGCGACATTGAAGGAGTTTCAGGTCCTGTAACTGATTTATCCTTAATCGAGTTCGTCTTCTGTTTAATATATGCGTTAAAACATTAACGGCAATTCTAGCGTTCAATGCAACGGCTACACTGATGGAGGTGTAGAAGGTTCCTCGCCCGCTCCAATCTACGCGACCGTTGCCGCTGGATCAGAGATGGCATTGACATGGACGACCTGGCCGGACTCTCACATGGTGAACATCATGTGTATATCCATAGTCAGTTCTGACGCAAACCTACATCCTTCCAGGGTCCTATAATCACGTACATGGCAAGGGCACCGGATGATACTGACATAACCGCTTGGGAACCTGGCACTGAGTATGTTCACTTTCTCCGAAGATGCAAATGCTCCATCTGAACGAAATCACAGTGCCGTATGGTTCAAGGTCGACGAGCTCGGGAAAACCGATGATGGTTTATGGGCAGCCACCGATGTGTTGTCCGCCCAGGACAGCGTCTGGACATTCACTATCCCTGCTTCACTAAAACCCGGGCAATACATTATTCGACATGAAATGTGAGCGTCCATCACAGTCGTAACCTCAAGTTTTACTGACTTCGCCGGAGTATTGCGCTCCATGCAGGTAGTCCCGTTCCGATGTAAAACCAGTCGGATGTAACTGACAACGCAATTTTCTGACAGCATACGAATACCCAGGTAAGAATTATCCGCCTATTTACACACACGCTTCTGGTCTAATGAGGTCTAAAGGAGCGCAGGTTTACCCTAGTTGTATCCAGGTCGAAGTCACAGGTGACGGAACTGCCTTTCCTACGGAATTTGTCTCTTTCCCTGGTATGTAGAATTTCTTGAGACGTTCCGAAGTAATCACTCATGTGAGTTCTAGGTGCTTACGATGCCGACACTCCTGGTGCGTTCAATCCTTCCGATTTTCTGCGTCCACACTTATGTTGCTCTCCTTAGGAATCGTTTACGACGCGTATACTTCAACCGGCGTAAGCATTATTCCTTTTTTCGTTGCAGAAGGCTCACATGGTGTTCAGGATTATCCGATCCCTGGACCGGATCTGTGAGTATCTCTCTATGGACCACCGTCACCCTCAATTGACTTGCGATTCGTAGCTGGACCGCCTAATATGTTAAGGATGTTTTTTGTCCATCTTACAAATGATAGATCTTGTGTCAATCAATGAAAGTGTGCCGGAACCGAACACTTAAGACATCGATATCTGCAACTCGGGAGTAACAATGAATCCGAAGATAATTCTCGCCTCTCTCGCGGTGTGGCGGAGACAGTCGTCTTTTGACCTGCTCACATGTCAGTGTTGCATGAACTTGGCCTATGCCTATGTTCCGAACACCCTGGTGTTGCGTCATGCGACAAATGTGGTATCAAGAAAGTTAGAGACTTGATCACGTTCCTTCGACTGTCTCTCGCATGGAGCAGCCAATTCATTCATTATATCGGTTCATCTTCGCGTTGTAGCAATCCATGACCGGTCCGGGGCGCGCCGTTTAGAAACGCAAAAGCTCATGTTTCTCTCGAAGAAACGGTATAATAAAGAGAGTAGGTTTCGAGTCGAACACAAATTAATTGCACGATGTTGACGACGGTTCTTCCTTTACTTCCTGTACTCTTGAGCGCCGTGAGGCTCGTTTCGGGCCATGGCTACGTTCAAGAGATCACTCTGGGATCGACCAAATATACTGGATATCTCCCGTATTCAGATCCGTAGGCTCAGCTTCATTCTTCTAATAACACTGTGCTTATGTAGCATGTTTCCAACAGGTATTACAATCCGGTTCCCCAACGCATTGTACGCCAGATTCCAGGAAACGGTGAGCCCTCTACACTAGTGAAGTCTGTCCTTCTATTAATGCGATTTGAATTGTTTGCAGGCCCTGTTGAGGACCTCACGCTAATCGAGTAGGTATTGCTTACGATCTACGAAAACTAGCTGAGACCATCGAACGCAGTCTCCAATGCAACGGCTACACAGCCGGAGGTTATTACACTGCGCCTGCACCAATTTACGGGACTGTTGCTGCCGGTTCCAAGGTAGCTTTGAACTGGACGACGTGGCCGGACAGTCACAAGGGTCCAATGATTACCTACATGGCTCGCACCCCCGACAACGTCAACATTACTGCGTGGAGTCCTGGTACTAGGTGAGAACTATGATGTATCTGTTCTGAGGCAATACACTGATATAGTTCGCCCGCAGTGCTGTCTGGTTCAAGATTGCTGAAAGCGGGAAGACTTCGGCTGGTCTTTGGGCGGCTACCGACTTGCTCACGGCATCCAACAGCGTGTACACGTTTACTATCCCTTCTTCCCTCAAGCCCGGACAGTATATTATCCGTCACGAGATGTAAGGACTGATTCAGTCATTTCATAATACTCTCACGATTGGTCTCTAGAATCGCACTACACTCAGGTACCTCCGTTCCAGTTCTAGCTCATAAGTGTATTGACGTTGTGCAAAATAAAGCCTTCAGCTATCCAGGTGAATTATTCCGCGCTACTCGTTTTGACGTTCGTCAATAACCCAAAATAGGTGCTCAATTTTACCCAAGCTGTATCCAAGTTCAGGTCACAGGATCGGGAACTGCTTATCCAACCTCGTTTGTCTCCTTCCCCGGTGCCTACACTCCTTCTACCCCAGGTATGATACTTTCCGTTCGTTGATGCTTTAACTCACCAACGAAACAGGAATTGTCTATGATGTATATACCAGTGCGTGTCTTCTATGCTTTTGTGAACTAGTGTAACCACCAAGCTTTCTACACAGACACCTCAGTGAGTAGTACAGCCCACAAACTCCCCGAGTCGTTATCTGATCAACATTTCAAACAGGCCTACCCTATTCCTGGCCCCGCGGTGTAAGTCCCACCAAGGTGCATGAATTGATCTGAATTTACCTGTCTTGTAGGTGGACTGGTTGAAATCTAGGCAGTACGGTATTTATGTCTTAACGAGAAACTGTCTTCGTAATTCAGCGCTATCTGCAAGTATGCATGCCTACCACACCACAGCTCCTTGAACGATGTTTAGATGCAGTAAGACGTGCAATGAATAGCGGTATATGTTTGGAGTCACCGGAGCTGCCGTTACTTTCCATTCCATTCGCCTTTGGATAGGTTCGATTTTAACCTTAGCAGTGCGGCTACTATCCCAAGTGTCCAATTCTCAATCCTGGTGCTCATTTGCAACGAAGTCAAGCTCGTTGAGATCGGGTCAGAGAGCTTTCTAAAGTGCTGGTTCAGTTCGGACCATGAATACTGTTGTGTTGATAGTATGGCGGTGAGGCTTAGAGAACACCATCATAGGCGTGCACATAACTCGCAGCGCACATTCGCTAGCTATACAGTTTGACAGTTTATATCTTCAATTCGTGTACAGGCTGAAATCTTTCGGGACGCAGGCTAAGTATATAATCGAAATGAGCATCGGGCTGTTCACTGACAATATTACAGAACTCGAAATGGCTATAAGTGCCCATTCTCGAAATCCATATTGGTAATATATGAGTCCCATGCCGCAAAGCTACAAGTTCGTATATCAGCAAATGTTGTTAGAGAGACTGGATGGCTCACCTAAATCCTGGAGGTGCAGAAGTCCACATGTTGATAGCCTCTAGCCCACCAGGTATCTCTGATTCTGAAATATCGAAGGATAACGGCTGGAACGAACTCGAAGGGTTCTCATTCGTCAGGTCTAAGGGCAAGTCTGTGCCTAGGTGGGTCGGTAAAGAACTGTTCAAGTACGCTAGATCTGTAGAAGCGGACTCGTCAGCAGACATCCAGACTGAAGGAGGGGGGGACACCGGTACCAGATTGCTGGGCTTGTTCATGTGGGGCGTTTGGTATAGCCCAGTACGCAGCCCCAGGTGGGAAGCTGGTACAGGAGCGGCAGTTTCCCGGTGATGTGAAGCGTGAATCAAAGTGCCATCTAAAACACCGGCAGTCTCAGAGGAAGCCATGCCCTTGAACATCTTCCTAGAAGTCCCTTATGGTCACCCCGCCGCAAAAGTGATACTTCGAAGCGGCTACTCACAGTGAACGACCCGCAATATTCCATCTATCAACAGACCAACGTCAGTTTATTATTCATGCTACGAAATGTCCACACGCACGTATCGGAAGCATCTATGAGGGTGGCTAGACACCGTTCATAGCCAGTCAGGTCTTCTGTGTTTGGGGAATAGCCCGCTCGTTTGCTACTCCAGATGTTCATAGCCAGTACAGCACCTGCCATAAAGGCTGTTGTCTAAACCGACTTCGAATTAACGCATGGCGAGGTAGAGACGTTCGGCTCACCAGAAGGTGGGGCGTGATAATCTTTATTCTTGTCAAATGAACCTGTAGGATTCGAGAACTGGATCTGGCTGCCGCCGTAGATATAATGAGAGAAGGCGCGGACAGGGAAGAATCCGTGCGTAGAAAGGGTCGATGTGCGAATATTTGGAGCACATAGTAGGTGCTATATAGAACCGCTGATTGGTGCAAGAACAACGTATCGTCACATTCGGGATCCCAGCGTACTATAATACGGTCAGCAGAATGTTGGAGCGACATGCTGAAAGGCATACAATGGTCGGGAATGGAGTTCGTCCAAGCATTCATGGAAGAATCTATGTCAGAAACGATGTGCTGCTCATCGTTCCTTGTAAAGCCCAATCTGTCTCGGCCTTTCTTGATAGAATACAAATTCCTCGTAACAACGGCCATTATCCCGCTTAACCGTATTTGCGCGTTGAAATAACTGATTTTGGAAGGCTTGTTGGCCGGTTGGCAAAAACAGACTTCTCCATCTAAACGAATATCCCAGTATTCGTCATCACATTCAACTGGTAGCTCTGCGTCAATACTGTGTCAAAATACGTATGTTCAGCAGGGGCAACGTTATATAGTAAAACGACGTACTCTTCCTCATGCATCATAATAGGCCGTCCATCGCATAGATTGAATAGTCTGTCAAGTGTTACAAGTGCCCTAGAGTATATAGTACGATCAGCACCACCCTAAAAAACAAAATATCGCAAAAATACCAAAAGGATCGCTTCTTAAGTTCATCATCGAGTGTCTGCTTATGACCCTTGGGCTTCTTCCGATGCAATCCGATTTCTACTGCGTAGCGTAGTCCGAGCCCAACTGCCGTCGAGCTAAAATCAGGGATGGAAGTTCCTAAAGTGTATACCACGGCGAGCTTCCGAAGACACTTTGAGCTTGTCCGGGAAATGTAAGAAGATAAACTTACGACAGTCTGCTGAATGTCACTCAAACAGGGGGGACGCGATACCACTTTCCTGAAGACAGGCAATTGGCTCGATGAATTTCCATCCTGCAGAAAGCCTCGAGCTAGGATCGGCCAATACCCTCTGGTCGTCAGAATGACGCGACGCAACAGCTAACACAAAAAGTAGTGTAGCACCAAAGTTTTCATCCCGTAGATGTAACCCATTCGTGATGTCTTTCGTGAATGTAGGTCGATGCAGGATTGGAAGAATTGGATGGATCGTTTCGAAATATATATCAACGAGGCTCATGATAAGATCGTCGTCAGGAAAGGAGTAACCTGTTTCAATAGTTTCGGTGTGGGCTGTAGCGCGCTCCCACTGGTCATCAAGATTGATCAGTGAAAAAGTGACCGGCCGATAAAGCAGAACGCACAGGATATAAATCGGAATAGTCTTGTAGTTGCATCGTATTCAAGCTACCGGTCACCTTCTTTTTGGTAGAAAGGGCAGTCATAAAAAGCGCCAAAGCACTTGAGGGACCGAAACACCTCTCGCTGAGAGCTTTGTCGCACTCCAATGATAAATTCTTCATTTTTGCCCCAAGGTCCAGATGAGTAAAGTCGTCGTCAAGTTCGGCCATCTCGGAAAGACTTCCTTCAGGTAAAATGATATCCGGATTGTGCTATAATGATTGAGAAAGGACGCGGGCAGGCACAATGTTTCCAAACCTTTTTAAGCACGCACTCCAAATAGTCGGCGCGTCGTTCCAATTCTGCCACGTAGCTGATCAGAATCATATCAGTTGCCTGCCATAGAGTTACAGCAATTGTCACACCTAGCATTGTATCTGCGTCCCGGTAAGTCTGACGGTACCCCAGTCAAACGTTGCCTGGAGAATACTGAAATCAGGGTTTATTTGAATGTTAAGACAGGCAAGACTAACGCTGGTTTCGGACCCCGTTTCTGAATGACAGTTGTCATAAGTTTGAGCTTTTCACAGTATAGGAAAAACTGGCCTTCATCGGAGTCATATACGTGCATTCAATACCGAGCACGGTGCAATTTAAGCAGCGGATTCCTTGTCCAGAAATGACATAACCTATACATTTTCAAGGTTCAGCCATTTCCATTATCTGCCTGAATAAGCGGACAGGTTATACATTTCGCTAGAAAGAAAGCCCATGTTAGAAATAGCCACAAGAAAAACTTGGTCTATGAGAGGCTTACTTTTCCGCACTCGACACCTATCGCATGCACGAGTCATTCTCCTTTTCGTGATGGATGCTTCGTCCTCCATGATGGTTGAGATACTTGAAACGGGGTATAGTCCCCGATGGTCATGGTTGGGAACATCTGCCGGCTATCGGTCCTTGGGACCGACAGTTCGGAATTTTAGGCCTTTCCTCGCTGTTTTTCGTTTTCTTTACAAGAAACTAGGCAACCGTTTTCAGGGAGGGTGCCTGGTGGTAAGCCGAGCTATTTTTGGACCTGATTTGGGCCGCTGTCGTCGCCTTTATTCATCAAGTAAAGCTGACACGCCACGGAATGATATTACTTTGTTTCGAATCAATCTTCCTCGAAGCATGACTGCGTAATTAAGAATTTGTAGGATCCGCGGCTTCGATACCATTTGACAACTGAATGAAAGGAGGTTTGAAAGGTGGGAATGTAAACAACGTAGAGCGCCGGCGCTACCTTACATTTTCAGCTTTGTAGTGAGGCAATGTTACTAGTACCAGTCGGTGTCAGTTTCAACAGGTGACAGCAGAGGTTTGAGCCGCATATGTACAGTACCACGTGCAAGCATTTAGTGCTGGAGACCTCTGGAGACTCGGAAGGTAGGCCCCAATAGGGTGAGTTAATCATCGCTTTGCATCGAGACCAGCAAGTGTGAGGGAGGGGTAACGATAAGAGTGAAAGATCATGGTGCTTGTTTTTACCGAAAGAAGGTCAAATGACAACAACACGGCTGCTAGCCATACCTTTGATATCATCACTGCCCATCGGTACTTCATACCTTATATATGATAGCCCAGGTAGATTGCTAGGCAGCTGCGGGTCACAGTGGTAGAGCCATAGGATGGTGATACGTAATAGCCTCATCAGCGTTACAGTGATATCAGAATTGGTGGTGGTTAATTCTCTGGAGAGAAGAAATCAAGGGCTTCATAAATGCGATTTCCAGTATTTGAGCAGGGTATGCAAGCCGAGAAAGTAGAGTAGTCCGCTTGTTCAGAGAGAGTCTGATCCAGAGATGGTCATGACTGCCGCGCAGCAAAACGGCGAATGCCGAATGTCACCTTTACTTAAACGTCGATGCCACCTTATAAAGGCCAGCATAAGCGCACCATTTCTGTAAAATTGACGTAGGTAACACTCCATAGCTAGAGATATTGATATGGCAGAGTCTATGCTTTCTTCCTCTTACTTATTCGCTCTGCTAGATAACTGGTTCAAAAAGTTCTCTGGCCGAACAAGATGGGATCCTGCAGGAAAGATTCGTCACCTTCAATTTCAGACAGAAATTCCCCGTCTAATGAAGGATATGCTCTGGCATTGCTATATTACTGGCGGGTCCTCAGGGCTCGGCCTGGCACTAGCGATCCGCCTTGTGAAGCTAGGTGCACATGTATCAATTGTGGCGCGCAACAAAAAGCGACTTCAAGAAGCACTTGAAAAAATGGAGGTAGTAGCCTAATACAATCTTACTATTCTTAAATTGACTATTCTTCCACCATACCAATGAGCGGCCTGAATGTCATGCCATAAAGCTAATCACGAATGGATGAACTTCTTTGTCCCTTTTACTAACAAACAGAAAATTAGACAGTCCCCGGACCAGACCCCCGCATCCTACTCATTCTCGGTTACAGAATCACAATCTTCTGCTGCTGCATTGGACGCTGCATCAGAACCACATGGTGGAAGATGTCCAGATGCAATATTTCTTTGTGCTGGTGGTCCGTCGCCGAAATTCTTCCTTGAACAAGATGAAACTTCCATGAAAAAGGAAAGGGAACGGATGATGCCTATTGGGTTCAAGCGTTGTCGACTCTCGTAAATGCGTTGTGTTATACAGCGTCGGCGTTATAAAGACTCTATGTTCTCTCGTTAGGAGGGCGCGAAACGAATGGCCAAGGAGGACATTCAGGGCAAGATCATATTTATCTCTTCATTTTTGGGATTTATATCCATGGTCGGCTTCTCTTCATATGCCTCTGGAAATTTTGCCTTGCGAGGTTGGGTGAATTCCAGTCTGAAATATCATTCATGTCTGACGAGTATCTCCTAGGATTAGCAGAGACGTTGTGCTCTGAGTTTCTTCTCTATGGAATTACAGTTCACATCTTCTTTCCGGGAAACATGCTCACTCCAGGCCTCGAAGCTGAAAACAAAATAAAACCTAAAATTGTTCTTAAACTGGAAGAGACTGACAGTGGTCAGACGGCTGAACATGCCGCGGAGGGGCTTCTTCAAGGTAAAGTATGACCGGTGTTCTGTGCGAATTTGTTCTGATGTTCTTGAAAGGTATTTTCAGCGGCGACTTTCATATAACAAACGAGCTACTAGGAAATATCTTCCGTTCTTCAACAAGGGGAGCAACACCTCGCAATGGCGTGATTCTCGACGTAATCTACAGTTTCTTCGGCTGGGTAAGCCCTATTTCCGAACATTTCGAGCAGATTCTGATGTAGAAACTCTAGATAGGACTTCCCATCTGGCGTCGCATCACGGATTCAACTGTGAAAGGTCACCAAGAAGATCATCATACATACTTAAAGGAGACTGGGTTGGTGGTGGAGTTAAGCGACTAAAAGATACGAAGATGCCCGTCCTCGATAAACTCTAGTACCACATCGTTTACTCCGGGACTTCTCTTCGAATGGCGTCTATCATGTTTCTCAGACGATGAACATCCTTATCGACAACTAACGGCGACTTTTCTTGTGTTACTCTAGACCAAGGCCATTCCGGCTTGGATGGCTTAAATGGATTGTCCAACCAGATGATCAATCCGTCATGACCGAGGATCCATATACCTATCATGATCACGGTTCTACACGACGTGGGCGGCTGCAGAGATGGTCGTGGTATAGAGTACAAATAATCAGGCGGTTCACACGATTCTATCTTTAGACTGATGCTTTTTGAGTAACGTCCCCGAGGGAAATTGATGCACTACGATTAGACCTGGAAACGGTCTCTTTAGAAGAACTTTCGTTTGACCCCGAGGGGTTATTTTAGTGGAATGGCTCATCGATGACCTTTAGTCTCGAGTTGGTACTGATCCCAAGTTCATAAAGGAGAAGGCTCCAAGGTGTCTAGTTAAAGTTTAAGCACGGCATTGTAATCCGGGGGGCATAAGAGACAGATAACGATATTATCGGGCATTAATCTCATAGGCTCATACGCCTCACTATGAAAGAAAACCTTTCTTAACCAGATAGGCACGATGCTCTTGTCGGTGCCCTTTGATGGTAGAATCCACAGACCGTCGCCAGATAGGGAATCCCACCTATGGTACATCAGCGAGATTCTGTTAGTATCAACGTAGATACGTACCCATCCAATGAAGCTATAGATATCGTCTAGCAACACATGATTGCGGGGACTCGCGCCCCTAGTCGAAGAGCGGAAGATGTTCCCTAACAAGTCCGTCGATATGTGGAAATGGCCGCGTTGAATACCTGACCCGCACTGAGCATGGAGCTGATGCTAACAGTGATCGGAACTAACCTTTTAATAGACCCTCGGCGGCCTTTTCGGGAGTCTGACCACCGTCGGTTTCTTCGATTTTAAGAGTGATCTTGGGCTTGCATTTGTTTTCAACTTCGTAGCCTGGACTAAGGATCGTTCCAGGGAAGAATATGTGGACAGAGATTCCGTAGAGAAGCATTTCCGAACGAAGCGTTTCTGCTAGACCTGAGGAACACAGAGATTAACACCAGTCAGTGGGAAACCGCAACCAAGAACCTCGTAACGCGTGTTTTGCAGGGGCATACGAGGAGTAGCCAACCATCGACATGAAACCGAGAACAGAAGAGACGAGCACTATCTTTCCAGGCTTGTTGTCTCGTACCATGCGCTTTGTGCCGGCCTATTCAGATTAGTTCTAAGGGGGTTGAATCTGGAGACACTGAAAGCCACGTACTAGAGCTGACCACGCCTGCACCCAGTATACGTTATCCATTCCTTTTTTCATCGAGGCTTCATCTTCCTCCACAAAAAATCCTGGTACTGAGGTCCCAGCGCACAAGAAGAGAGCGTCGGGGCAACGGCCATTGTGTCCTTTAGATGCGGCTTCTAATGCAGCCTCGGCAGATTTACATTGCGTGAGATCATAGGAGTACCATTTCAGAATTTGACCGGGAAGTTTCCGCACTTTCTGTGTTGTTTTAGATACACCATGAAGGAAAGTAGGAGCAAGACAGACGCACCTCCATCTCAGCAAGTGCCGCTCGTAGTTTTTCTTCATTACGGGCCACTATGGATACATCTGCACCAAGTTTGACAAGAAGAAGGGCAACGGCAAGCCCCAGGCCTTGTGATCCGCCGGTCACATAACAATGCTTCGGGAATTGAGATATAACGATATTGCCATCAAAGATTGAGATATTATTCACCTTTCCTTTGGGATCCCACTTCTCCCGGTTGAACAAAAATCCAAGCATAAGGGCTAACAGAGCAGAACCAAGCGCCAGCACCACAAAAATAATCATGGTGGGGTGGAACCACAGGGACCCGGATTTTAAATGCACTCAGAGCCACGTGGAAGAAATCGGCATCTGCCTTACATCCCTTAAAATGAACTTGGCCTGGAGTACGGAGTTCGTATACAACTGGGGATAGAAAATAAGCAGAAATTACCAAAGATAACTCGAAGAGAATTTTCCCAGATGGAGGGGATGAGGGTATACGGACCAACACGGGCCGCGCCAACGGTGATCAGCAACAGTCAGCAACTCCCGAAATATCTTTATTCTTCACCATATCCGGGCTGGTGGAAAAAGCAGACTACTCCATAAATCTTCACTTAATCGTGGATAGTATTCTTATTTGAAGAATACATATGGGTATACTATGGACTCACCCGGGCCCAGAACTGTAGTGATAGGTGACGGTTTACTTTCTTCGGCTGTCCGTTTCCAACGCCCGAGGCTACCGGTACCCCAATCGTTCTCTTAGGTTTAATTAGATTGCTTGATTCTCTTAGTGCTTGATCGATGATCTCTGTAGAGATCCTGTGCTGCTCCTGGCTATAAACCTCTTGCGAGTCGCAGGTATCGTTTCCGCAATAATCGATCATTAATGGCAGACGGTAGAGGAGCGCAAAGTAAGCACAACTGCTATCAGTCATCCCTGCCCCTTGTTTCGTTGATGCACACTTTCTACACGCTATAGATAATGATCTCGCAGTCGAATGCGGTGAAATCTGAGCCCTACCCGCGAAAATTTGATTAATATTGGACAATAATGGCAACACGGACATGGCAGAAATGACGCACATACTCGTTGTGAACACGCATCGTGGCAGTTCAAGTGACTCTGGATGACTCGATGTTTGGCATAAATCGACGTCGAACCAGATATGTTTGTTAATCCTACGTTACGGGCCTCGTGCTGGCGGCATGTCGAGCACAGCAAACCCTACAACGTGCACTTCGATTTGGGGCGATGATAATCGGGGTGTAACATTTGTTGCTCCCAGAAAGATTGCCGCAGGAAAGAAGTGAGGTCCTATCGCTCACTTGGCATGCAAGCTCGGCATTGAGGGAACAGAACGCACTACAGACGAGGGGCAAGGCGGACAGAAGTTCAACAGCATCACTCACTGAGGGTTGTTACGAACTCCTTTCCTAACGCGGATGAAACGGAACTTTTAATTGTTCGATCACGCACGCTAGGAAGCAATATGTATGCCTCGTGTAGGTCAGCTTGCTCCTTCCTTATAACAGCCATCGTCTCCTCTCGCTTTCCATCATACCCTACTAAGCTCATTTCTCTGTGCGTTGAACGCCAATGGCTCTCGATTTACCGCCTCTCCGGATTGCTCTGTACTTTACTCTCGTAAGGTCCATCTCATGAACAGAATGCGCTAATTCTCATCATGTTGCGTTGCCTTCTCACAGGGTGTATTCTCCATAGTCCTTCTCGGGCTAACCTCCGCACGAGTACACTATACCACCCACATCCCAGCAGGTGATCCTCTCAATGGCGGTGTCAATTTCTATGGTGAGCACAGTATATCCGCGATCACCGAACCAAGACTAAAATATCTCTCAGACCCTATTGTTGTGGAGCTGTTGGTTACCACCCTCTTAACGTTGGCGTGGTGCATCTATATGTGCGTCTCTCATAGCCTTTCCTATTCTCTTCGCCTAATATCCCGAAAGCGTTCGTACAATCCACAAGCGTATTGACAACGGTTACATTTCCACATTCCGCGGAGAGCTCATCGGTCTCTTCGTTCTCTGGTTATTCTGGATAGTGGGTGCGGCAAAATCCAGTGTAAGTGACTTTCTCTCTTCCATTTCCGCTCTAGCTCATATTTCTTGTTACAGACAATATGGGGCGACCTGGGTTGGTGCCAGCAGTATCAGCCATGCCGAATCCTGACCGCCATGCTCGCATTTGCTTGGCTGGGATGGATCATTCTCACGGTCATCATGATTTTGAGCATCATTTTCTCCGTGGTGAATGGTGCCTTTAGGGAGCCCCTGCATGGCCGGTGGGATCCCAGGGCAAGCGTTTACACCGGAAACATGTCAACACGCAACTCTACCACCGTGTAGATTTGTGCATGTTCCAAGACGTAAAGGATGCTTCGCAGTGATCCGTATTTTCTGTTGTATCTCGTATAATCATTATTGTCCTCGAAGGGAATTGTAGTACCTGATCGACCGTAGCACAATTCCTATAATATTAATTGAAATGTTATTCAGGCTCTTCGCGAGATGCAAGCTTCACTTTGAGCGGCAGTTGGACGCCTTTCTCCACATCACCTTTCATTATACCACATGGTTCTCGCCGGGTTCGCTCTGCCTCTGTGGTGAGTTCAGCGAAAAATGCGTGCATCTCTAGTGTGCCGGAGGTAAAGAACGTAAGGGTACCTGGCTGAGGGGAAGGCACCGAAATCCCCAGAAGATACATTCCCTTTGTCCATCCACGGGAGTGAATCTATGTGCAATCAGTCAGTTTTAGTTTACTCAAATAGAAGAGCAAAGACGTAAAAGTTACTATAAACGCCGACACATCCTTCTTCGTTGAGCGTCCGTCCAGCCGATGCTCGGGATCGAATACCAAACGTCCGTGTTCCTACGGGTCAAGATGAATAGCCACTCATACCGTACCACTATGATGCTCTTAAATCACCTGTTGTAGCCCACAGTGGAGATTGAAAAGATCGTTTCCTTGGGAATAGGCAAATCCATGCATAGATTCGCCCATAGATGTCGTGATTGGTTTGTTCAAAGGAAGCACATCATCCTGGCAAGCCATTTCTGACGTCTTGCAGGTCACTGGGTATATACGAGAACCCTCTTAAACGCCGCACATGCATTAGCAGGTTGTAATGGGAAGAAACCCTGAGTCACCTTCACCACGGCGCTCATGTAGGGCGTGGATTCCCATTCGATGCCGTAGACTCAGAATCGCCACGCTCGATGATTGGTCGTTCGTGCTCCTCAGGACGGAGCTTACTTTGGATGTACGGATGCTGGACGAGTTCGAGAAGGATCCAAGTCAGGCTGTTAGCTGTCGTTTCATCAGCCAAGATGAACGTGTTGGTAATGCCTTCGTTAGAAGACACCGGAAGGAACAAGATGGACACCCTCACCTCTAGAGCCTTCTACCCCAGAGCGAACGCGCTCCTTTTCGAGGAAATCGACTTTCGAGCATGTGCAAAACGATTTGACGCATTTCGCGACCTGTGCGATCAAAATCCGAGGCTCGCACTACTAGTGAAAAGCGTTCACGTCGTCCATCAAGGAGAGGACGACAGCTTGTGGTTATCTGAAACCCTCCGCAACCCGTCTGCCTTGACACTCATACAAGGAGCTCTGGAGGATCGCACCCAATTCCCATCATTCAACAATTGTCCACGCTTCGATTAATTGGGGTCGAGCTCCCGCACGTGCATCAGTCCCAGGAGCCTTTCAAAAGCATTCCCTAACTAAAATGTCTCGTCGTAGAAGACATCTCGCTACCCGAAAAGAAATACCTTGCACCATCCAAGACGTTGCCACCGGTGTCTGAGCATTCTCTGGACGACATGGATTGTACAATCCACCTATGCGAGCTGGTTTTACGTCCGGACCAAACGCTCGAACAAAGTTCGTCGTCGTTCGTACGTCGTAGCCGCGTGGGCTATCCTTTTCCCGGCTAGAGAAATTGACGTTCGAAGGTGTCTACAATATGTACAGCTATCAGACGCTGGAGAGAATAGTTGACGCCGCAGCCGAATCTCTTGTCAGCTTGGATATAAGCTTTTCCTATGATGTCTTGGGTTAGTTGTTTCCTTCAAAGCTGGATAAGCTCTGCTGACCTTGGAGTCTGGCAGAACATAAATCCAGGCTCGGTCCTACCAGCTTCATTCATACTCCCCACGTCCGGCATATCGCATTTACGCTTAAAGACTGCAGCTGGCTGCACTTCCGGCAAGTCCCTGCGCTTGAGTGGTGGCTCGGGAATCTCGAACAGCTCCTGCATCCATCAGACGATCACTATCTTGCTCAATCGACTCGGAATTCTCCCAGATCCACGCTAGTCGCGCCCATCCCATTTGGAAAGCACTGGATACCTTCCTTCAGGGTCCCTGAGCGCCCAATTTTCGTTGCTTGATGGTTTCGGTCGAGACCTATCATCAACCTAGCCAGGAAGCAGTAAAGGAGCTCCTGCTGGACTCTTTCCCGTTGCTCAGGAAGGAAGACAAGTTGGTCGTCACGATTAAGCCGAAGGAGCCATTATTTGACTGCTTTTGTCCCTGTCTCAACTCGTAGAATTGCCGTGCATTACCATAGAAGAGGACTGTAAATCATGCGTTAATGTTGTACTAGTCATCTGATATTCGATTTTTTCTGAATCGGCAGATCTTCGTGTCCTAGAATGAGGATATCCTCTATCTGCTATTGCCATTGCCATGGCTGTCTGCTTTGCTCTGAGGAAGCCGCATCACTAGTATATCTTTCTCCCAATTGGAAATGTGAAAGTGCTCGAGCAATGACATCTTTGGAAAAGAGAAAAATATGGATGGATGGAAGCATTGTTCCTGTATCTGTACTACGGGAAGGAAGAAGGAAGGATGAAAGAGTAATTAAACTCCGCCGACGCGCTGCCACCGACGCGTTGGTCAAGCATCACGTGCTTATGCCGTCCTCGGTGGCACTTTGTCCAAGTGAGGACTACTGCTGAGGAATGCCAGCCACCGGTTGCGTCGTAAACCATGTTTTGGGAACTTGGAGACAAGTTCAAGTCTACGGCTGAGGTTTACGGAGATCTCGGCGATCTCGGAACCCCTTTGACGCGTCCATAACCACGACCGCCTTACACCGCCTTGCCGCCTATACAATCCCTATATAATTTCACTCACCAAACACATGTACTGTTGTCAAAGGCCCAAAGATCTTTCCCAGGTCTGATAAGAGCTGGTGACTAATAGATAATGATGGCCCGACTCAGTTGATGGAAGAAAAACATATGCTTGTATGCAGATCTGTTTCGAGTTTGCTTGCAACAGCCATCGAAGTACCTCGCAAAAACTGTCCATCTCATTGATCTATCATATTAGTACACCTCCATAAGCCATGAAAGTGGGTTTCAGGTTCCTTGAGATATGAAGATAGTCAGCGGACAGCTTCAAATTCTTCAGTTCCGTTGTCCTAAGATTGTTTGGAGATATCGGTAGTCTGTCCGCTTGTGTCCGAGATGATGATAAGACTGATATGCAATATGGATCATCAGACGCAGATCAGATAAGACGTCGACGTCCTCGTTGCCAAGAGAAGCTAGCCTGCTTGTCGGACACATACATAGCTAGTCAAGTGGCGTAGCCGTCATTAGTAAAAAGAATACTGTATACAAGTACAAGAACAGAACAATCTACACATTATCATCCGCCGAACTGCCGATGCTCTTGACATGGTTGCTCGGGTTCGAGCGCGTGTCGTCTGGGGGATATGCAACAGGGATATCTGCAGTGCCAAACTCGAGATGGGGCAGTTCATCCTGCTGTTCGCCGTAATGCTGTGATGGCATTGCAACCAGAACGGACACCCGTAATGGTCCACCAGAAGGATCAGGGAATAGAGGTGCGTCCGGCGCTGTGGATGCAAGAGGTGGTGGAAGAGGGGAGGCATCAACGTGCGACCATATCCGACGAAAGCGAGCTCTAGCTGAATTGTCCTGCTGTGAGGAAGGCGGCGCAGGAGGCGGTGTACGGTTATGAGCGGCAACCGTGTATGATACAGAGAAAGGCTGTGCGACGCGTCAATAATAGAAATGGGGATAATTAACACAGGGTCCCACCTTGCATGCCTCCCAATCATGACGGTTTTTTTGGATATTCATGGCTGCTTCGTACATGATAGGTTTTTGCGAAGGGTCAAAGCGCATACCCCGGCCATTGGTGGGTGGGATCCAAGTGCCATTTCGGATAGCTTCTTCGACCATGCGTCTGTGGCGCCTTCGAAGAATCAGAGACCGAAACACGATGGCTGCTGAAACGCCCAGTAGCAATATGAGTGTTGCTGAAGACAGTGATAAACATTGGGGTTGACAACAAAACTGGAGGAGTTAACAAACCTAAGAAAGTATATACTATAATATGATCAGCGACATGACGACAATCATCGTGGGAGCACACGTACGATACAGCGACGCCGACGAGTTCAGACTTCCACCATCGTTCCCTGCCCCAGTCCCAGGACTATTATTTCCATTGTTGCCACTAGCCGTGCTACTTTGGTCGCTGGATGTCGAACTGACTGGATTTGACCATGTCGACGAGGGTGTGAAAGGTTGTGGTATCGATGTAGGCGTGGCCGACGACGTTAAGGGTGGGCCCTCAGTACCACTCTGAGAGGCAGACATGAGGGAACAAAGACAAGAACTTTAATGGCAGAGAAGCTGTGAAGCTGAAGATTGTGAGGCCTTTCAGGATGTACCTTGGATACGGCTTACCAAAAGCAAAAGAGCAAGGCGATTATTGATTTCTGCCACCAAAATGAACAAAGAAAACTGGCTCGGTAACCACCCTTAGGCGGGTCCAAGTGGTGGTCAAGAACAAAGAAGGAATGCCGTGGATGACAAGCACGTCAGTAATAAGCCGCCGGTTGCCCTGCCCCGCACTGACATCACAAGGTCTCGGATCATCCAGTATCTAATCTTATCTGGGAAAAATTTCCCTCTTTGTTGCACTTTTGATCCATTCCGTGATACAGAAGACCTTTGAATTGGCCAAGTTGGGCTCCAGAGGTCGTAACGGACTTCCTTCACGGCCTAGTTGAGCAATCACCGTTCGCGAACTGCTGGGTAGGGATAGTAGGATCCGGGAAACTCCGAGTTATGACGCTCCAACGGAGACCTCCTATTCTTTCGATCGCGTTATTACGATGGAAAATACATCCGCTATTCGAGGCTATTCCGTGGCTCCCGGTACGCAAATTGGAGTCATGTTAATTACCCGGGGCAACACATCATGCATCTGTTCCGTTCAGCTTGTCAGGGCCTGGCCATCGACAATTCTAAGAAGACTGAGACTTCCCCAATAGTGATCCCATGCAGAGGAAGCCAGACCACAGTCTAGATGCAGAGATAAGTGTTACCACTCCTATCCATCTACACACCGTACCGAATGCTTTGTAGGAAGTGAAACAAATATGCGATCTAATACTCAATGGTACGTACATCAAGGTATCATATATCATACCTCGCATGAACAGGGAGCGACAGGATCAGTTTTCACATGCCACAAAGAACCGAAAGACATGTAGCCCGAGAAACATGGGATCATGATGATCACAGGCCCACAAACTGAAGTGGTTTGAACCTTGTTATGACTCATAAACCAAATTTTGAGAGTTTAAGCTGACTTTCGCAGTCCCAAAATATCCGTTCAGTACCAAGTCCCATGCTTCTTTTCCCATCTACAAATTTACCAGACTGCTTATGAGCTGAGACGACGTTTGCATTCACTCTTGCACCGAGTGATCGACTGGCAGCTTGGTATGATAATGCAACTGATAGAAATCAAACCCACCGACTTCGCGTTACATGATCTCAACTCTGATTCGGTTTCATAACCGCCGTTCTGCGAATATCCAAGCTGTGCTGGTATGAGTGGAACAGAAATTTAACCACATTTCACTTTAGATTTCATTGTTAATCAAAAAGCAGGGAAATGACAGAATCTTTCCAGGTGGTCAGAGGGTAAGTAATCCTGTTTTGATCGCGCCCCCATGGCGCTTGACTTCACAAGCTGAGCTAGCTGATATCGGCCTGAGGGATTTATTTCGGTTCCCGCTTCATATATATCTCGGCTTCTCCCTGCCGATCCTCAGCAAGTAAAAAGTATTTGGTAAATATTGAGTGCCTTTCCTCCAGTGTTAGGTTTTGGAAGTGTGGAGTCTTTTAAATATAAATTTGTCGTTTGTAGATATCAGGTGCTCAGCATTCGATGCTGGATTGGTTTCTAGTGAGCCGGACTTAATCTGCCGCAAAGTTGCATTCATCGGCAACCTGTCGGCAACAGTCAGTCAGCTAAAGAACCCGTTTCGTGCCGTGACTTCGCCAATCACCGACTCGGTAAATCCTCTGCCCTACTCAAGGCCAGTTAGTATCATGCTGTGCTATAACCCTCTGTTGTTTCCTCATCCTTCGAAAAGAATCGGGGAACATCCTCGGCTCACTAGGAACTGGAAAGTAACCATCAAAGATTCAAGGTAAGTATTCGAACACTCCCAGGTGTGATTGAAGTTTGAACAACTGATTCAGCACCCCCCGCGTTCTGCCGGCATTGGCAGATTGAAAAGTGAAATCTTGCTGTTCAATTTGAGTAGACGATGACGGTGTAGCAGGAGCCACTAGTATTGATAAATAGCAAGTGTCCTGGATCACGGCTCCGATCCGGTCAGGTTGTGCGTCTGTCTATCACCCGTCATGACTCATTTTCACATCCTCACCGCCAGTTTTAATAGTTGTCCACTCCCTTCCTTCCTAATGCACCGTATATATGCGCATTTTATACTTTGTTTAACCACTGAACCACCTACACAGTTTATTTTTGTCGCCTTGCCTGGAAAATATTATTCAACTGTCTGCTCCCATGATGTCATCATTTGGTCATCATGTTCTTGTCATTCGGGCAGAGCCACTGAAGGGCAAAGTAGAGAGCAAGTAGAGAGTTCCATAATCATGATTGTACAGAATTTAAAATAATTTGTACACCAGTAGACTATGCAGACTAACCCTATTGGAGCAAATTGGAGGCGGAGGAAGTGTAATGGCTGCTGAAAATACGCTACACGACAAAAATCAGTGAAATTTTTCTAAGTCCTAAGTCACAGAAAGCGTGACCCTCTAAAACGTCTCGGAATTGACCAGTCCGTTCGCAAGCTCACCTCTTCACGTCAAAACATGTCAAACTTCACCAAACAACGAACAACCGTATACGGAATTTGCATTACGAGGTGTAAGCTTGCGAACGCCGACTGGCTAGCGAGTCTAGTCATGACTCTTCGGGTTGTCTGAACGTTCCCGGAAATCCATGCTTTGTTCTGTGATCCGTTCTGGTCAAAGCGAGGTCTTCCGAACACTAAAGTAACATGCTCCCTGTACCTTGCCGTCACTGCCCGATCATATTGATCTTTGTCGTTTTTTTTTTCGCCGTTTGCTGCCCTTTGCACTCGACTGCGTGGACGGAGGCAACATGATGGAATGATGTGGTGCTCTCCTGACCGTCATATTTGGATATTAGGTCAGTAAATTTCGGCGGTCCATCCCAAGTTGATTGAAGACATCATAGTTCTGAGCTCAGTGTTCCGCCTGCCACATTGCAGCTTTTTTTTACCCGTGATCCATAAGTTCTATGCATTTTCCGTGCTTCAAACATTCCGCCCTTCGTGCTGTGACGGAGCTATAGAAGCCGCATGATGTCGAAGATACGCCGTTTCAGGTTATGCTCAGGACTGCATGAGCTGTGTTGTTTGCGCAAACCCTGGGTGAGTACGGAGTTTGTTTTCATTCGGATTCTTGTAGTAATCTTCTGTGCTATGTGTCATGGTGCTGCGCACCAGAACGCCTCGTACATTTCTTGGCCCATTCAAACTTAGTTCAATATCAATGCTTACAGGGTGGCCTAGCGTGGCGCCTTGATTACGGAACATGGCATCAACGTGGCAATTCGGTATCGATTTCTCTCTTGCGAGCTGAAAATAAGTACGAAGATCGTGGATTCCGATGGGAGACAAGCCAGTCTTTTTAATTCCTACGTCGCAGGGCTTTGCTTTCGGTGACCCTCTTCCTCAAAGCCGTGTTTCCGGTCCATCACTTCAGGTAATACCGCGTCTCAGCTACAATGTTGCTAAGTACTGCCAAGGTCCTTTTAGTAAGCCCACATTATCTCCATCGATGAATCCCATCTCAAGAAATGATATATCTTATATGTGGGTCAACAGGCACTAAACATCCTGACTTCGCACTACCATGACGAGCATTGTCGGGTCTTCCACGTTACCCCCCTCGCCTTCGTCGACATTCTCCGACTTCGACGACCCGATTCCAACATTTACTAGAGGACCCGGCCGCAATGGTGGTGGTCGGAATGGGGACAATAACGGGCCTAGTGGAAATCAGGGCGGAGGTACATCTGCGTCTGTGTATTGTAAGTCTTGTTTACGATGACTGGAATCCAGCGTGATGATCAGACTAGTGTATACGTTCTTAGGTGCGCCATAATACTATGATCACTCAACCCTACGATTAAATATCACCAGGAGTGCTGTTACTGCTGCTCGCGATCTCAGCCGCCATTGTAACTCGAGCTATCATCCGTCGCCGACGTCAACGACGCATGATGGAGGAAGCCATCCGAAACGGGACCTGGGTGTCACCTAACGGGAAACCCTCCAAACCCGTCTTGTACGAAACGGCGATGAATAATGTCGGCAACGAACATCACGACTGGGAAGCATGCAAAGTACGACCCCATCGTAATTTGCCGGTTCTATTATTGGCTCACGGGTATCTTTACAGCCATTTGCCGTGTCATACATTCAAGAGGTGCCGCCTCCAACTCCACCGCAGCAAGAGGTTTCTCTACGTGCACGCATCTTGGCGCTCATCAAGGGTTCACCTCCCGCTGACTCCCGGGTCACGCGGACCGTTTCAACTGCTGGGCCGTTACACGTATCTATGCTTATCGCTATGCCGTCACCGAAATCTGGAGAGAAGGAGGGGCAAATACCACATATCGAGCTTGGCACGGCTGAAGTTCTTGTCGTACATCCATCCGATAACCCAAATCCCTTGACTCCGAGCAACGCCAGGAGAAAGGCGGTGGAAGAAAAGGTGTAATATTCTTGGGTCGTGGTATTGCTCGTCATACGTGTGTGTACGACTCATTAATGAACTTTCATGCTTCACGATGCCCTATCCGACAGTCGGCTTCGTATCCACGAGGCCGACTGTCGTTTGATTAGCCTTGCATAGCTTTTTCGAAGAGTACGCAGGACGTTGATCGCCAAGAATATGATCCCGTAATTGTAGCCCCACAGATTGTCCGACTCACTGGATCTTGCTCGGCGCAGCAGAGATCTACGTACCGTCGGCGTATTTCTGTTCCAGCGCTTCTAAAACCGTCGCTTCCGACTTCCTTCTCTATTCTTGGAAGCAACACTTCAAGTGATTGGGTGGCGAAGATCCCGAAACCGAACAAGGCATTTCACTATGTCAAGCAGGTATTTTCGTGTTCAACGTACTCGAATCAGAACATTGGAGACCGATAACATCTGAGGCATCTCAAGATATCTGCGAACGATTCAAGCTTGTCGGATATGTAAAATTAATTCATGGACTCCATCAAGCCAAGAAGTCGCCATGCGCCCATTCCCGCATGACTTCTCTTGCTAACTGTGTGTCAATAAGAAGTATAAGATGCATTTTCAGAAAGTTGTATGTGGCCCATAGCATACCGTACGCATCGAATCACCGCCTCTTCTATCGTCCTAGCCATAATAGCAGGCAGGATCAACCTACTTTCCTCTTAGATGGCCATCCCAGGCTGGGATAGTTATTGTTTGTGTTCATGCGTGGACAGGCAAAAGACATGAGAGAGTGTCGCCAGTGCAAGCAGCTACCAATGTTATAATTTATTGCGATGGAGAATGTTTTCAGCACAAGCGACGCGTGTAACCGATGTGCAGCATCCCGCCCGGAAATGCAAAGTACTACCAAGGCACCAGGAGTCTACGATAGCAAACTTCCAGAGTAAAATATTCTTCCAGCATCGGTGCAAATGCTTATATCAGGAAAGGATTTGACAAATCGAGAGCATTCATCCGATCCGATGGAGGCCTAGTGTAAGCGTGTTTTCACGTAAAGTGTCGTCGCTATGTCTTCCAGATAGGCTGTGATCCATTCAGAAACCACGCACAAGGACAGGCTACAGGATTATGATTTCCATGCTTGTCGACCCAGGCGTATGAAGTGTCAATTTCCGATACCTAAGCTCATTCATGTTGACAACACGAGGGACTGCCAAGGAAAGACTGTTAGTCTTTAGAACATGATTACAAGCCTTCTTGAAAAGATCCTGCATTAAGATGTAACAACAGTGAGCTCAGTTTTCGGTTGTAACTTGTAACCTTGAACTTTGAAGTTCGAACTTCGCATTTGTGAAATTTGGATTCTGAGCACGGAGCATCATTGGAAGTAAAAGAATTGCTCGGTGGGTCCATTAGGCATATGACCGAGACAGGGGTCGAACCTGCAATCTCCTGATTCGTAGTCAGACGCGTTGCCATTACGCCACACGGCCATAATAAAGTTGCTCCATTGAGGTCTTACCAGCATGCTGTGATGCTCGACTTCAATAACTTCCTTGAAGAGAAGATGCCTGTAAACGGAAAACCAGAAACAACGGGTTAAGTCGTTGGAAAGGTGGAGAAAGACAGCTAACAGGAGATTGTTACCAACTAAATTTCCCAGCTGGACCGCGCCAACCCTGCGATTGAGTGGACACAAAATCCTCGGATACTGACTGTCATAAGTCAGTGACAGAACCTTATTTCCTGGAAGTCGAAGGGCTTCAAAGTCAGATATGAACATCAGAATCGAAGAAATGCACATTTGCGGAAGCTTTCGTTCAGTATACAATAGATCCTGAGAACTCGGACAATAAGCCTTGTGTAGATATTATTACAGGGATGACCCACCTTCCAGGATGTCCTCAACTTGACAGTTCAAGATGGAAACGGGCAATCTAATTCGATTTCAGGCCGAAAAGGTCCCTCCTCGTCTGCTCCAAATGTAAGAACTTTCCTGTTGTCTGACGTCAGGAGATGAATCGATGCTTCTGTGAATCATGCGTCGAGCAATACGAGAACTTTCAAGACTCTTCGCTGGCAGGTCGACTTGGTGTCGACAGCTCTGTCCGACGAGAAATCTTCAGGTGGGGGCAAGGTCGTTGATAATGGTCTGGCCATGGAATAACAACTTCAGATCGTCTCATCGGGGACAACACGCCCAAATCCAAAGGGAGGAGTCCGGCGACTTTGTATGCCAGGTATGACCGTGTCTTGATAAGCATGCGGACCGCGAAGGAAATGATAGAAGGCTCGGAGGCTCGGAGTCTGCAACGTCTAATGACAACGGGACGTAAGGGATGTAAATACGCTTGCCGGTTAAGAGTGTGCGAGCAAAGCGGAATATGAAGAGGTGGGCGTGGGTGCGTCAAGAGTGAACCTTGGCTGTTGAAACATCTTCAGTATGGTACCTTTTTAGAGCCAGGTACGAAAAGTGATTGAGCCTAGAGCAATTAAAACTTGATAACCTTGAAGCCTTTTCCGTCACTGATGGGGGAACAAAAATGCATCTTGGACATTAATCAGTGCTACAGCCAAGTTGATATATGCCATAGAGCTCACCTGGCACAATGCGGCCGGTAAATCCCATGGCGCTGCTCGGCAATCCTTTCCACTTTGCGGCTTGACATAATTTTCGGTGTGTGTATCTTTACCCATCCCGACGAATGGTCTCTACTTGCTTCAGATCCCTTCGTATCTGGGGTTGACGTCCAAATAAGGCCTAAATGACGAGCTGTTGGAGACCAACGTGATTCATCCGCTCACCAAGATGACATCACACGCTCCCGACGTCATCTTGCCACTGAAGGAGCCAAAGCGGATGACCCATAAAACGCAGCCTGAGGAGTATCTATCGAACATCACCGCCATCATCACTCATGGATAATAGTGTGACACGCATCCCGCCAGTTCTCGATGCCCAGACACCATCGCATGAATGGGCCGACGAGACAACGTCAGCATTGGAGTCGCATAAGCCCCTGACACCACCACTAGCGTCTGCTGCGTCGACGCCAGGACATGATTTTCCGGGAGCGTATCCCAGAGGATCGGAGAAAGTTGTTGAAGGAGCTGCATCTGGGGGAGGAGGAATACTAGAGACCGCGAAGCAGTATATTCCAGGCCAAGAAGATGTTGGAAAAGCGTTGTCGAATGCCACAGAGACTGCAAGGCAGTATTTACCCCAAGCTGTGGTCTCGTATTTCCGTAAGTACCGTTTTAATCGGGACGAGTGTGGCATGTGACGAATTTTCAGCCGATTCGAATTCGACGGACAGCGCTTCACCGGCAGTAGGTTCGGACAAGGAGGCTGCAATCCCTGATAGCGATGAGCGTACCAAGGAGTTGAAGGACGCCAACGCTGAACCAAATACCAATACAACCATGCTGACTCCTTCTACAAATCCTCCATCGAACCTGACTTCACAGACTGAAGCTCCATCCATCTCCGAGCTGAGCACGGTGACACAACCAGGGAGCGACAGTCAGACATCTACATCTCCCATCATTACACCAACAGTATCAAGTACCGCGACAAAAGTAGAAGGGGTGGGCGACCTCCCTGGACCTCCCTCAGAGGCAAACGTGGCGGTGCTGCCTGAGGAGCGTAACGAAACGCTCCAGGAGACGATTGGAGATGTAGTAAGTTTGCGGTAATTTGCGTGCTTTCCAGGGTGCTGATTTATAGCAGCCGGGCCATCCAGCGTCTCCGCCAGGTATTGCACCCTTGCACACAACTCCGCCTCTTCATGAGCAGAATAAAGTGGATGAGTTGCTAGACCGATCCACTCCACCTGTATGTCGAACGTATCTAAAGAAGAGTGAGCACTCATTTGTTTTCAGGGTCTTCACAAGGAAACAGCACCTTTACCGCCAATTCCGTCAAACGACAACTTGAGAGTCGCAGACTCTGGCCACAGCACAAGCTCGAATGGTTCAAAGTTTGTCGAGAAATCTATCGTCGTGCCTCAAATCCCTAACAGCGATAGCAGTGGAAGTGTCGGCAAGAAGGCCGAAATTTATGGACAAAGTCAAGGGTGAAGTTAAGGTCCTTTCGGGAAAGCTAGGAAATAATGAGAGCAAGATCGAAGAAGGGAAGAGAATGATGGGCAAGGCTTGAATGGTATTATCGCTTTTATGACTTTTTTGGGATTTCGGAATATAGGGACACGTCGATATGGTAGCATTCTCATTCTGTAATCGCTGCTAATATAAGGAGGCAGCGTCGAGCAGACGACTCTACTCTCAGCGTCAAAATTCGATGACCTCGCGTAGAGGAGCAAAACACGTACTTTTCTCCTGTAAGATACGCACAATAACCGTAGACGGATAAACCATGGCAAAGAATGATTACATATGTGCCATAGGGCCGGCAGTTCTGAGGCACTACACTGCTTTTACGACAGGAGAGGACGTTGATCTGGTTGACTGTCGCGTAAATCATAGTTGCACGTGTCTGTTTTCTTTCACCTTTGACGATGGATTTCTTCCAGGCCGCGCCCCAATGTCGTACGAAACCAGAATGGAAACCTATGCGGCCTGAATGAGTACATAGAAATCTCATGAAAACAAACGAACCCCGACCAGTTTGGTCGTCACCTGATTCCTTATTCCATCATACCGTTTGACCAATCTGAGGTATGCGTGGCACCAGGATGATTGATTTATCAGACGCTATATGCGCTAACAAATGGTTCCAATTGCCGTATTATCATCGTCGAGCAATGCCGCAGCGGCTACGGTCCAGATTCTTTCCTGCGCAGAAACAGGAATTAGGTCTCCTGGTACAACATGATATGGGGAGACTAGCCGCGTGGGTGATGATGGGTGAAGAAAGGAAAGAGGCGCGCGAAATTGAAATCCGGATACGCGTGGAGCACGTGTTAATCCTGACTAAACGGACGGACGTCTACGGACGTTAGAACTTCGGGCCGAAGCTCCGACTGGCTCCGACTCTTGTCATCGAGCCATTCATTTAATTTCAACTTACTACAGCCCAATGATATGGGCTAGAGTTTCCGCGACAAAACTTCCAACCTAAGCTTTCAGGATTTTTTTCGGTGTTCCTTGCTGTTCCTCGGCAAAAATGATGCCTGACCGCGTGTATTCATAGTGCTGAGTGACCATTCTTGCTACCAAGACATTCCAAGTAACCCCCGATGACAGTGTCACTCGTTATCGTTTTCACGCTATTCGAGGACTCTTCTTCGAACCCCAAACTATAAATCTTCAGCTGGAGGCTGTCAGAAGAATCGTACTACGGTGGAAAACTATCGATAAAAAAAGGATCATCTATAGTTCTCCGGGAGATAGTACTCGTCAACCAGTTACAGCTGCTCTGCTTTTATCCGGACAGCTTCTAATATTAGGGAATCACCTAGGTCAGTTGACGCGTCCAAAATTATGTTGAATGAGAGCCCAACTCAAGATTTCTCCGTCATCGCATGGTACACATTCTAAGTATACAATCGTATACATCCCTTTTTTTCAGATAGACGATATATATCGTTCACGAAAGAACAGAAAATTCTTGGTCAATATCTGCTCAACATGAGGCTTTCCGCGAACTTTCTGTCTCTGACCGTCTTCCTGCAGAGCTCCCCATCTCTTGCGCACTGTCTGTTTGCCGCGTTTTTTGCTGCCGTTCTATATCTGATCCGTCTATTTTCCCCTAGATATCTGGGATAGCGTCATTGCAGGCAGTACAACTTCCTCCGCCGCAGTACGTATGCCCTTGAGCAACGGTCCCGTGCTGAATGTCACATCCCCGGATGTTGTCTGCAATGTGAATCCCACCCCCGCAACTGCAACCGTTACCGTCGCCGCCGGGAGCACTCTTGGATTCAATTGCGACGATAATGTTTATCATCTTGGTCCTGCCGCTATATATTTAGGACAGGCCCCGGGATCGGTAGCAGAATGGGATGGGAGTGGCGAGAGATGGTTTAAGGTATGCCGCAGGCATCCGGAGGGCAAAGGGAAGAAGCTCGGTACTGATCATCAGACATAGATAGCAGAATGGGGCGCGACTTTTGATCCCTTGTCATTCACGGATTTTAGGGTGACTCAACTTAAGACCACTATTCCATCAGATCTTCCTGCTGGGGAGGTACGTTGACTATGAGGATCTTTTTCACACTACGACTCACGATGTCTACAAGTACCTTGCTAGGTTGGTTACCTGACTACGGCATGGTATCATTGAGTCCGAGACACATATAATTTACCCCTGGCATAGGATTGAACAAATTGGAATTCACATACCCTACGCTCCCCAGTTCTTCATTTCCTGTGCTCAAATCAAGATTACTGGTGGAGGATCTGTATCTCCCGCGATGGTCTCTATTCCAGGATATCTTTCTCCTACTGGTTAGTCACTAAACTTTGCACGTACTCACACTGAAAACGTACGTTATATTTAGATCCATCACTCATGGTAAACATCTACGATCCCACCTTTACGTCCTACACGGTATGTCTTTCTATTCGCCGTCGGTACCGTCTAAATGTCCCTCAGGTACCAGGGCCTGCCGTTTTTAGTGGATGATCAGGAAGCAGAGAAATTTGTAGATTAGCGACATTCAGTGGCCGAGTATCGTGCGAGTCTTCATGAAATATGAGATTTTCCTGATCAAGTATGAGTGCTCCGAGTGGCAGTCATCCAGAGTCACGAATGCGGTCTAATTATTTATCCGTGAGAGTATCCTGTGGTCACTCAGCGGGCGTCATTTGGACGGTATTTCCCGCAATTTCGTGGAGACGAGGAAGATATTCGGTTTTGTGGGTTAAATTCTTTTAGCGGGCTTCGGTCAAGTGGGGTTATGGTCGTTTGAAAAAATCACGATTTTTAAGAATTTCTACAATTTTTTGGTGAGTGGGTGACTTGAATAGTTACTAGCTGCCTGCTTATGGCTAGTCAAGGATTAGAATTTCCACGAGTTCGTTGAGATCCAACTTTGCCTAGCAAGAAATCGGACTTTGCTGTCCAACGGTAAAATATGAATATCTCCGACTGCGCGCACAGGACTGCAGTCCTTGTGGCATAAACTCGATTTATTACCCGTACCTTCTCCGTCCTTGGAGCTCTCGGATTATACTCTGAAAATGGGCGTGACTGCTAATGAGGCTGGCTACGGGCATATTTAAGGCAAGCCATATCTCAACTGTTATCACATCGCAACACAACGATGAGGTTTGTCTCAAGTATCCTATCGCTCTCCATCCTGTCTCAAAGTGTTTCCGCGCACTGTGAGTCCCCAATTTCCCTTCCGCTCCTAAAATATTTTTATCGACCCTATCATAGATATATGGACGACCCTCATCGCAGGGAGCACCACGTCTACTGGCGCAGTCCGTCTGCCACAGAACAACTCCCCGGTCACGGACGTTGAGTCAACGGACATCACCTGTAACGTCAATCCTTCTCCCGCGACTGAAACGGTCTCTGTTGCTGCGGGAAGCACCATTGGGTTTATACTGGATAATACCATCTATCACCAGGGCCCGGCAGCGATTTATCTAGGTAAAGCTCCTTCTACGGCCGCAAGCTGGGATGGATCTGGCGCAAATTGGTTCAAGGTATGAAATTCGTCGTCTCTTTTGGTGTCCAGACTTTAATTAGCGGCACGAATAGATTGCAGAATGGGGCGCGACATTCGACCCGTTCGCTTTCACGGACTATGGCCTTAGTCAGTTAACTACGACTCTTCCCTCAGACATCCCTGCTGGTGAAGTAAGTTCAGGATATTGCTGAATTGTGAGATACTTTACTTGTTTCCCCGTAGTATCTTGTCCGGATTGAACAGGTCAGTTCTCCCAAATAAACTTCTTAATGTCTGCGATTCATTGTGTCACCTACAAGATTGGGTTGCATGTCGTGGGTGCGCCTCAATGGTACATCTCTTGTGCCCAAATCTCCGTTACTGGAGGAGGGTCCGCGAGTCCGTCGAAGGTGGCGATACCAGGTTATGTTTCCCCGGATGGTAAGTTATCATTTCTCAAGCACGGGCCACTCTGAACCTGGATATTACATAGATCCGGGCCTTACCGTCAATATCTACTACCCTGTACCTACGGCATACACAGTAAGAACATGCTTTATATCTATAGTCCTCCCCCAATCAAAGGGTTTTCACTTTAGGTCCCTGGCCCAGCTGTTTTCACTGGATAACTGAATTTCTTATACCAGAAATTGTGTTCTCCCTCCTGTAAAAATCAATGTTTGCTTATAACAATACGTATGGTACATATGGGACTTATCTCGAAGTTTGAACCAGTGACGGTGCTAATGAACTACGTCTCACTCATTTCCGTCTTGGAAATATTGCCTATTCTCGGGAGGTCCAAAATGAAAAAGTAACCGTTTATATGGCCGTGTGGCGTAATGGCAACGCGTCTGACTACGAATCAGGAGATTGCGGGTTCGACCCCTGTCTCCGTCATGATTAATTAGAGCTTCAAATATATAGATGTTTTTGTTACCATGTCCGTTGTTGAAGCTATGAAGAAACAATTTCAAATTGTGGCGCTTTTGATTCTCGATTCTTGAATTTAAGAATCATCGACCACTCGAAAGAGGTTCATACAAGATTTGTTCTAGAGGTGAAAAGGACGATCTGGCCATTGGCTTCGCGCAAATTCTGATATCTGTCTGCCTCAGAAAGTTGCTTTACATAAATAAAGGGGTGACGCCAAGAAGAAAAACCCTAAAAATGCTGCCGTTAGCGTGACTGATTGCATCCATAGCAGCAAATGGAGCGCTCCACAAGTCCATGCACGGCCACACACGTCTATTTGAAACGAAAATATCATGATAAGGAAAGTGTTTAAATATTCATCATGGTGAGGGAGGTAAATTTTACAGTCATTGAATGCAAGATGAAGCACAAACGCATAAATCCAAGCTCATTCCAAGTGTGAGCCGAAGGGAGGACGAACGGGTGCGTCTATTTTAGGAATTGATGGGACCAAGCAGAGACAAACTCAATGATCCACGACTCCTGTTCCTCCATTTCCTTGTTCCTTCTCCACCACGAACACCGTTGACGGAGCTTTTTCGTATCTCTACCCATCGACAGTAACAAAGACGGCGACGGATACAGCAGCTTCCTGCCCTCATAACAGCAGTATTAACCATGCCTGGCGTCTGGACTCGTCATCCGCGTTATTCGCTTTTCGTGCTGGTTGTGCTGGCCGCCACCTTATACCTGCTTAACCCTTACGAGACGAACCCGACGATCTCTACTTACCCATTCATTCGTGACTCGGATTTGCCAGCTAGGCTGGCGCGAGCAGATGTCATTTACGAAAAAACCCTCCGGGACCGAAAAGGGCTCATACGAACCTTTGGTCCTAATCCAAATGAAGTTTTAATGTGAGAACTTGTCTTTGAATTCAGGCGTTGATCTTACATGCACTAGGTTTCCTCCGGATAAGGATCCTTGGCCAGCTTATACCGTCTGTATGTGTCCAAATGACCCCAGTCAACTTCTTGCTCAACCCCATCCAATGACCTAGGGGACTTTTTCCCAGCCTCGTATAATTGCCCACATGAAGTAGAACGGCTTGGTGCACTTGGGGACGGCGGAAAATGGGTCTGTGGGTTATCTCGTGTGCAAGAGAAGCCGAACTGTGTTATCTATTCTATCGGTGCGTTAAAATACCTTCGTTCCGGACTTCGCCATTTATATTCAACCTAGGTATCAATTACGAGTCTTCATTCGAGGCGGAAATCCTCGCAAATACCCGGCATTGCGAGATCTGGGGTTACGATTATAGTGTCAAGTCATTTGGCCCTCAAATACCACGGTCCTTGGCGTCGCGTACCCATTTCTTCCCATATGGTTTGGCAGGCAGCGACAAGGCGGCGACAGATGACTCGCCTCCTATGTTTACCCTCGAAAGCATTATGGCAATGAATGGTTCTTTCCATTCCCTTTCTCTCGTTTTGACAGCTACTTACCTAACATTTTAGGACATAGCCACATCGATATCCTCAAGATTGACGTGGAAGGATGGGAGTTTGAAACGCTAACTGCTCTCATCGGGCCGTACTTGCACGCTGACAAGCCGCTTCCGTTTGGCCAGCTTCAGCTCGAAATTCACATATGGGGCAAGCAGTTCGCCGAATTCTTGACGTGGTGGGAGACCCTCGAGGCTGCCGGTCTCCGACCTTTCTGGACTGAGGTTCGTCTTGATATACTGTCGCCGTAGGATTTGACTAGGCCCCCAGCACGTCATACGACTTTCATGATGTGTTTTTGGAACCTAGTCTCGACCAGCGGCGTGTGTGTCGGCTGAAATGTACTGATACACCAGTCTTTTTTCCAGCCCAATCTGGTATACCAGAATTACAACAAACAGAGTAATACTGATCTTGCAGAGGTGAGTCAACTTCGAATACTCTCTCTGAACTATCTTTGTTAATTGTTCCAAACAGTACTCGTTCCTGAACATCAAAGGCGACAATATATTCATCAAGGACCCTCCTAAGCGACACATTGCCGCAGCTGTTGTCGACTAGACCCTCCGCCAGGGGTAATCCTGTATAACTTATGTAGTATGCTTACTGTATCCAATCAAATGCTGTAGATTATTCGCCGTCATAGGTTGGTTGGACTGTTTCTGTTCATATGTTATGATATCTATCGTACTTTTTTGTTTACCGCATTTGCATTTGTTCTCTGTCCTGGGACATATACCACTTATTACATCCGGACATATATATATGTGATTTTAACCCTTTGCCATCGCTTTAGATACCTTTGAATTCTTCGAAGAAGAGGGTCAGGTCACGCTGGTTACAGTCCTATTTTGACACCATAGGCGGACTAACGGGTTAATGCCATTTTCCGACGTGCGTAGGAGCGTGCTTCCAATATATTCGTCATTATTGCTCAAGGTCAACTCCTTGTGAGTCTTGGATACATACCGGGCCACAACGGTCCGCTCACGGATAGTGCACATCCCGAGTTATCCTTCTTTTACAATCACTGAGGGCACTTATTATCAAAACATCGTCCCCATCTGATAGGTAACGTCTTCTTGAAACGTACACCCCATTCATTGGCCAGATCGCCGTTGTTCAATTTCCGGACAAGACATGCCGGGCATATTCCACTTCCATGGTTCGGGCCAGACAGACTTAGAATCGGGTCTGCTGCACCACCCGCCCCGTCCCTACTGCGGCTCAGAAAAGAAACACTGCACAGCACGCCCGGAAACCATAGTTCTCCCGAGCGATCTTTCAAATTAGTTGAGGACGCCTCGACTCGGAGGGTTTTGGTGCCTAGGTCCGAAGGACGCACGCAACTTCCAGGGATGCGAAGGGTAAACGCAAGGTTGAGAAATGAATAGGGATAGGAACGCTACCAGCGGAACCTATCCATGAGAGGGCGTTTGGGAGGACACCGTTTGCTATTCTGATGGCGGAAAACTGGTTGGAGATTTGGATCAGTTAAAGCGGATGTACCTCGTATCTGCTGTCTTGATGCCATGTACCGGCTACATGCGAGTCGAGAGCCAAGGGACAGCAAAAAACTTGTGTGTGTATTACCGGGGAAAACGATCACTGACATACAACGGTCATTAAGCGAAGGTTGTCCTTGTTATGTACATGTTGGTGAAAACTGTCGGGGCCATGTGAGCGAGTTTGGACGACTCACTACAAGAACTCATGTACATGTGGGTTACCGCTGCTATTCACAGCTCTTCATCTTCGCCAAGGCTAGAGTCCGGGCCAGGCTCCATAGAGTCTTCATCTTCCGTTGAGAAATTGTCATAGACGGTCCATAGGTCGTTAGCTAGCTCCTTAAGATCTTCAATGTCATCAGAAACAAAACTCAGGGTCCGTCTTCGGAGCGTTGAGTCGACAAATTTGGCGTAGTCGGCAAACATCCGCGCAGTACCGCTAGATGTTGAAACCGAAGAGAACAGTTCGACGGGCGTGGGACCGGAACGTGACCAAGATAAGGGGCTTTGGGGCCTAAGGAAGGGTACGAATGCCGGTGGTGCTGGGTACGCAGGCGCATGCGTCCTGTCGCAGAGTAAGGTTGATATGAACCAAGCGTTGGCAAGAAAAACAGGTTTTACCGTGTGATAAACATGTCGTGCAGGGATGACCGCGCGGCCCACTGATCATATGCCCCGAGACTGTGGGTTGCAAAGCCTCGTGTCACATCGCGGCGAGAGAATTGGCGACGAGTCTGTAGAAAAGCGGGTGAGTAATTCGTTCCAAAGAACATTGTTCCTTACATCAAACCTCTCCATGGTAGAGAAGTTGAATATATTGCTTTTCAGGTCCTGTTCGGTCGATGTAATGACCGTAATTCCGCATATCTCGGCGTAGGGGGATCCACGAATGTTCAGTTGAGAGCAGAAACTGGATATGTCATCCGCAGTCTTGGTCAATCTGTTCAGCCGCACCGGCAAAGTTAGAGTTGTCGTGGGGTCTGGTGATCAAACTCTCTTACCTCAACGGAAGAGTCGAGCTTTCTATGTGTGCGGAAATTATTCCGGATGTATGGTAAAGATCATCCTGCGACATAACGGGGGTAAATTTTTGGTCCTAACCGAGGTATTGTGGAAGTAAACGCCCACTTCAGTTTTCAGCTGTGGTGAGGCTTCGTAATGGGTCCATACAGAAGGAGATTGTATGGGAACTGTGAGAGACGCGGTCTCGCTTAGCCCGCGCAGATAGAGCGCGTCATTAATCAATCTTCTCGTTCGTCTACGCTGAAAAAAGTGTTCATGGAAAAGAAGCTGATATGTGAGAGATTTCATACGTCCTCGACATCAATATCCCATCCATATGTATTTGAGAGCAAAGGAAAGGCCAAACATGGGATCTTCAGCATATCATCGTGTAGCGCCGTGAGGAGCGAGTGCACGAAGGGACCGAAGCTCGCCGTGTCATTTAAAACTTGTATCCCCTGTCCGGACATGACTTGGCGATAATGACGAGATACTTAGAACACACCTGGACAGAATCAGACTCTTCAAGAAATAATCTAACAGAGCCTTCCAATAGAGAAGCATCCTGAGAGTTTCGTGATATTATGGGAAGCGCAGCACGCGAAGAATTAGTTTACCTCATCAAACTGCCTGAAGTACTGTTCTCCCTGTTTCCAGTCGCCTTCCGTGGCCTCCCAGTCTAGGGACTGGGGGATCATTTGGACAGACTTACGGGCGTAATAGACACGACTGAAATCCGACCAGTATCTGATAGGTTCACGGTGGCGCATATCGCCTACTGACACCTCGTCGCCCTGAGATGCCTCCGCGCCGTCCTCGTCGTCGATCTTTCTGGGAGTAATCAAGTCTTGCCTGTATTCCAAAACGCCACCATCCCTTGCATTCTAATCAGTTCAAAATGAATACGTACAAGTGCCTGGTGCCCTTACCACGCTCCTAGATCTTCCACAACTGGATTGTCCGGATTTGCGTCATGGATGACGTGGCTATTGGCTAAAGCACCAAAGTTGCCTGGCACAAGGTTAAGCCTAGCTGCATTCTGCCAATTTCAGCACTCACTCTTCTTATCGAAGGCGAGCAATCTCGGAACATATGTAAGCTCTCCCTGATCAGAGAAAATGCTTAGAAACATCATCAACATATCGTGCTGTCACCATCGTACCTGTCGGCTGTATTGTTCCCCAAAGGACGTCGCATGAGAGATTTGGATCGGATCGCCAGTTTCGTCGCCCAAATAGGTCTCTTGGGTATTCCAGAAATGCGTGCCTACGTAGTTAGCCAGTTGTCCAGCCTGAATATACAAGATTTCCCGCATTTTATCAAACTTTCGCAAGCTTGCCCATGACCTTGGGAGGTGAGAAGGGAAAAGTATAGACCGTGGGATGTCGATGCCTAATATGTCTAGCCATCATTTCTCGACTTCTTTTCGATCACCGCTTGACATGTTCTGCTAAGGCAGAACAGAATTTTAATTCATTGAGATGGCGGAAATAAGGAATGGTCACGAACCTATGCTATCGATGGTGGGTGCACGAAAAAAATTCACCGCCAGGTGGCGGACGCCGGCGGCTCCGAAACTCGGGCCGCTATCTGCTACAGCCAGTGGTGACTTGATGATGACTGCATCAAAGGGACGCCCTTCAAGAATCAAATGTCGTACGGTAAACGTTGCAACGGGACTGGCCAAGCCCATTTGATCACAAATCACATTCGGTTCATAGACGAAGGTCGGTCACAATATAATGTAATTTTCATTAAGCACGCCTCCATTATTGTATTATTGTACCTACGGTGAATAAACGGACGATTACTCTTCATCTTTCAGCATGGCACTCCCCTTCAACGGCATTAATCCGGTGACCCTTTATCCTAAATAAGGCCACCTGTACAAATCTCAGTGTGTTTTCGGACATGCATTACAGCACCCAGGAGTCAGAAGCCTCTGCAGAGATAGGCCAGGCCGCTCAATACCCATCTACTGACTGCTCCTTAACGAGGCTCCGCGGCTGAGCACTTCCAGCTTCGCACGAACTATCTTCGACGGTTGACCAATCGCGACATTACAATAATGTGAGATCACAGACGAAGCCGACAGCCGATAGATCTTGTTCAAAGCTTTTTTTACATGAGGCCGCAACATGCCAGCGCAATCAGCCTACCCATCTCGAGCATGAACAGTAAACTTTAAGCTATGTGCACATATTGAGATACGATCACTAGCACCGATGTGTTAAAGAACCCACCTGCATGTCATAAACTAATTCGAAACTTGTCCAACACTCGGCGATCCTCTGACGATAAGGGTGTGTACGATGTTGGAACTGTGGCTACAGCCCCACGGCTGGACGAAGAAGATGTTCTTTCATGGGTGTGAGAACGACTAGGATATCCCATAGCTGACAAAGGAGGTAGGATAACCCGCTGGTTTGGATCGTGAGCGTGAAAATTCGGCATGGATAGCTGGAGAGATCCGGGGTTAACTAAAGGTGAAGGACATCGTTGAAGGTGTCGACGGGGAAGCTGGGCTTTGAGTGCCATAATCGGAGTGCCTCGAAGGCCCTGCCTGGTCGTTAGCTTCGGTGTCGTCGGAATAATATGAGAATCGATCCGTTCTCAGAGGCACAGTCTTAGTCGTCATTATAACGCCCTTCGGAACTTGAATGCGACGGAGATTCTCGTAGTTTTCAATGACTGGGAGCGAAGAATAGTCGTTTCCCTAGAAGATACCTTAGCCTTCGACCGAAACAACACAGGATTGAAACACCTACCGAGAAATATGCAACGACGTGCCATTTACGCCCTTCTTTAGCGCCGGGAAGATAGACTAGAGCGGAATAGGTCTGCTTCGTTAGTCCATTCGGCTTCGAGGGACGATCCTTCCGTCTTGTAGGAGGGGGTATGACTGCAGTCGGATCTGTGGCTCTCCGGGCTCTATTCGCGATGAGCGGCAGGTTAGGACATAAGTGGTATAGTAGAGTACTGAACGGGGATACCTTCGCGCGGCCTTCGCGTCTCGTTCTTCTTGAGTCGTTTCCACCTTTTCTTCGTAAAATAAGTAGTCGCCACGCATGCGACTTTGTGACCTAGAATAATTCCGTGTGAGCCTTACGAGTAATTTAGAGAGCGTGCGTTGTACTACCATCGCCGTCCATCCGTCCACCGAAGCAAGCCACCCTCATCTTCCGCTTCCTCCCAGACGAAAACGTTCCCCGCAGTCAGTTGGTCCCTTTCGGAAGCCACAAGCCGCCGTTTGATAAGTGGTAATATGTTTCTCCTGACAGCTTCCAAAATAACTTGAGCGTCATGGGCGTCCCGGAGATCTACGTTTTGAAGTCAGGAATTTGTCCATGTCGCTGGCAAAAGGGGCTGGGCTCACGGAGTGACGGATGCGTCAAGGCTCGATTCGCAGAGCTATTGCTGTAGTGGGGCACGAAAGACATGTTCGTCACGTCGAGAGAGACCAGAACCCAGGGTAGACTTTAAGGACGATGGGTCGGAGAGTTGTATACCCAAGAGTAACAGCAGAAGGACGTTTGATATATGAGAAAAATAGGTCCGTCCCACACCAGTGGTACAAGTAGAACGAAGCTTCCGATTAAATGGAATTACGGACCTCTCAAAGTGGCCTAGGCGAGAAACACATGGCGGTCCGCGTTTGCCGAGAGAGATTTGTAGTTTTTTCTTACGCATTAGGCATCTTTCCGAGAAATACGTGTAGTATTCCATTTAACGATGAACCAACTTTGGCCACCAACGTAAGTCGCATCACGGTCTGAATAGACTTGAATCAAATTCAGCGGGTTCCGTAGTCGATCTCGATCCCGGTCCAAGCCCCACCAGAACACCTCAAAAGAAGCTCAGGCGGAATAGTGAGGAGAATTCTCGGGATGCCGAAGTTTCCCCTGCAAGTGAAATTCAAATATCAGCATTTGGTGTGAATGATAAATCATTGCTACCCAGGCATTTAGCGCGCCGGGGAACGCAACTAGGTGAACCTGAATGTGCTGATCACAGCGCACGTTCACACGACCTTGGAAACAGGCCTACACAATAATAGGCAGGCAGATTTGAGAAAATATAAATCGTTTTGGATGCTTACGTTGTTTTTCATGATGTCTGATTTCTCGATTTGACGAGGTGGCATCATGCAGCAGCGTACCGAGAACGGAGGTAAAATAGTCAATTCTCACCGCAATCGTGCGATGCCCAGAAAAAGAACAGATCGATGCCCCTGTGCCTAGTTTATTCGGGTTCATGTTCTTCTTTCTCAGCGGCGTAAGCAAGCCCTGTGAGAGGAGGATGACATCACCTTCTGAAAGATAGAACGAGCACTTAGGAGTAGAGGATGAACCGTTAGTGAGCAGCGAGGCAAGCTAAGGCGAGAGCAGTAGGGATGGACACGTATGCCATCAAAACCGAGCGGCCAAAGGGCCAAAGACGCCCTGCACCTGTCACGACACTGATTAAAGCTTCATCCCAACAACGGAAAATGATGTTTGTTCCATCAGGTCTACTTTACCTGGTGTATGTACATGTGGCCATCCTGAATGTGTATACGTCAGCGAGGTTTTAAGCGTTGACTCCAACCGAACCTGGTGCCATGCGGGGTTATCCACACAGAAGGTCAGACTACTTTCACCGTTCTGAATCCAGGGAACTCAAAGCAACAGCGTTGCTAAGAGTGATGGAGAAGCGGTATGACTTGTGCATATGCCAGAGACCAGATGGCCAGCAGCGTATGAGCCATGTTGAATGAAGGCACCGCATTGAAGGTGATAACATGTGGCGGTTGGAGTCTTTCTCGTGCAGAACAAGTGCCAAGCGCAACAGTGTATCTTTCCAATAATCCTTCACCGAGGCTTCCGCAGCATACAAATGCCAAAGCTACAGAGCAAGCCCAAACTTGCCGGTCGAGTAGAATAAGGATAGTTTAGAGATTGAACAGATAACCAAGGACAGGTTTAGACAGATTTGCGTAGAAGCCAAACATGCAAACATGATTGGAAGCATGTCCACTGACCAATGTCCATCTTTACAACAGTTGAACATGATCGGCAACATTTCGGGCAAGGCACGTCTAAGGTCCTGTGCCTGTTGGGGAAGGGGGAGGGAAGAGGCCCTGGAGCCCTGAAAACCAGTCAAATTCTGCGGCGAGTTCTAGCCAGAACTCTGATGATCAATTCCGGCCGCGTACGACGTATGGGGCTCTATTAGCTCGTTTATCGAGGACGGTGACTAGAAGGACAAGGAACTTACCGGCAAAGTGATGCCTGCGTGCAATTGCAGGGTGCAGTAGGACCCCGGGGAATGCCTATATATCCCTGAACCTGAGCCTGACAAATTTGTGAGAACAAAACTGGACAAAATAACCAAGAGACGGTACTCTAAAAATAGTGATGGCCAACATCCGCGGCATCACTGGTGTCGAAGCTAGGAATTCAATCGCTCCACGGGACTGCGCTAACAAACATACAGGAGGACGCAAATTGTCAACTGAGAAACAAACATTGTAGCATACCGAATGAAAATGTGTCGAGACACGTTGCCCGCTAACTTGCCGTCGCTAGGCTGATTCAATCTCGTACCCGTGCCAGCTCACAGCCACCAAGATATATTTTCTAATAACAACCCTCAGGTGAAAAGACCAACGAAGCGCTTTGAGCAGACGAAGAGTGTCGGTGTCGATTTCTAAGATATGCCATGGGGACCACGCCCTTCATTTATCCATTGAAAGACTTATCTTTATACAGATCGCTGAGCCTCGTTCACGAAACGGGAAATCGGTCGGTTTTGTCCGGATGAAATACGACGTTTTCCTAGCAGAGTTCGTCCGGATGGCGACGCAGCTTCCCCCCTTATTATGGAGGTCCTGATTTACGAGTTCTTGGGATTTTTGGCCCTGAAGACAAATTGTAAATTTGCGCAGACAGAATATGCCAACTTTGGTACTTTCGGGATTAAGGAAACATAGGCATTTTCCGGGGTCCTGCTAGCCCGGCGGATCCAAGTCGAGTTTTAGACCTGACCGTTCCTCTGGGAATGATTGACATCGCGCCACCATGGCGTTGGTGTAACTGTTTGCGGGGTGAAAGATGCCAGGCGCTAGCAGAAAAAATGGTAAAGATGCAAATGAATCCTGTGGGCATGACCTGTACATAACATGCCTTCAAGTCCCTTGAGATAAGCCTGGCCCTGTATCATAAGTGTCGTCTCAAGCCCTTCCCGACGCACTAGTGCGGGTCAACCTCAACAGCCGAGAAAATTAAATATTTTCGGCTACAGAGCCTTACCGACCCCGAAGATCTTGTTATCCGAGGCAAAGAATACCGTTCTCACAGGTATTGAAGCTTACCGGTAGATGCCAGCATGATAGAACCACAAGATGTCTGACCCAGAGTTCATGTCCAAGACGTCAAAGTAAGGCATGATTCAGAAATGGGTGACGTACCGTTATATGGGCACGGGGAACTCGTTGGCGTTATTAGTGCTAGGCCACCCTAACAGCTACTATGACAATCAAAGAACGTTACCGGAAATACATGCTTCAAGCGACTCGGGGAGTTTGTTTCCGGACTTCGGAGTCTCTTCAATCATTGAAATGCGACAACGATCGACCCAAATGGCTTCATCCAGGCTCGGTTTTTCTAACTGGCACCGAAACTATGATATACCACAAGAGATAGAATCAGACAGAACAGCTGAAGCGCCCGGGCCTAATATAGACGCGTAAGTTCATCCTGATAGCGTCCCACTTTGCCAGTACTCAGGGAAAGCGTGATCGCAGTTTCTGGAATAAAAAGAAAAGGTTAGAAGTCGATTCCGGACCTTGCTGTTCAGCAGACGCAAATATCGACACAGCCACCCATCGTTGTGCCCCAGGAAATTGGCCACGATTATCATACTTCGTAAAAATAGACAGATAATAGAGTCGCTAGGGAAAATTTTAGATTTGCACCCCGGTGTGCGAATCAAAATCATCATCATCATTCACAGAGTGGACATCTGGTGCGACAGCTGCCTCTTCAGGTGATCTGGTGCATTGCGGTTCTAGATACAATAGAATCGGGTAGCTGAACGGAAGGATATGAATGGTGGTTACAAATAATAGTGATGCCAGAATAAGATATGCTCAGAGTCCATAGAATGCGAGATGCCAGAGTATTCAGACGTATGTTGGATGTTTCCGAAGCTAGTTTGAATGCTGAGAAGCAGGAGTAGGAATGCAGAATAATTTAAGGGGTTTACAGCGACGTCGGTTCCAAAACATCAGGTTTGAAGCGTAGCCGGGCAACGAGAACAGTGGCGTCTGGAGAGCCGTTTACGGATACTTTGTGGGTAGACACGAAAGGAAGATCTTCATGATAGGAAGGACCACCGAGTTCAGAGGGAACTTCGTTATCGGTTTTGATCGCGCCCCATGGCTGACCATTTCTAGGGGGGAGAACATTAAAGTGGGCCTGTTGCGAACGTCGCGTCAGTAACGGTGACTCATCACATCTAACCACTAAACAGATAACTTTCCTGTCCATCTGGATGTCCGTGACTGACAAACAGCGCGTAGTCAGGCGTAGTCAAAGTTCCGATAACTGAACAGAGAACTTAGAACAGAGCATTACGGGCACGGATCTAGAAACCACCCACCTAGAAAGAGGTCCTCCTTCTGGATATGATGCTGGGCCCCGTAAGTCACCAAGATATCGTCAATATTAGCCTTGAACCACTTCTTCGGGGCATCTAGGTTCTCGATATATTTGTAAACAGTCGTCTCCGTGTACAGAAAGGCGGTCTTATGTCCGGCACGAAGTGGGTGAGAATATCGCCGCCTAGAACGACAACGATATCAATGACACGATCATATTTAAGTATGTTACTCACGAAGATATGCCATCATTCTTCCTGAAGATGTTGGTAAAAGCCTCGAGTCCCCTTTGGGCAGCGCTACGTTGGTCCAAACGCTGACTCTGCGCCGTAACCTTGCCATATCCATATACCGAAGGCATCCCAGCCGGATGCCCATCAGGCGATTTCTCTGGATTAACACAGTTAAACAAGGTTACAAAGGCACCTTCCGGCTTCTGTAAGTATCCAACAGCACCGAGGTAGACCTGGGACGGGGTCCATAACGGCAGAGTGACTGCGCCCAAATATTAGCCTATTACAAATATCACATCTAGACATTAAAACGTACGAGACGGATGGAACTTGTGGGTCAGGAGTAGCCTGTACCGGCGTTCATCACGTGCCTCAGCAATTCTCTGGTCGGCGACAGGTGGTGAAACGTAACCGTCGTATTCAAGCATGCTGCGAATGCTTTCCTCTTCTGACTGAGTACTGGGGGTGGTCGACTCGGCGGTGGAAGAAGCACGGCTCAAAGGTGCTGACGAAATATATGCCATGGGTTCAGGCATGCGGACGGGAGCGTCTCGGGAAAGAAGAGGCGGTGACGACGACATATCTCGAGCGGTACGGAATGATGCCGCATCTGAAGAAGGAGAACCTTGCAGCGGACCAAGAGCCAATTCGCGCGCTGTAAACGGATGAGAAAAATTCCCCCAAGGGTATAGAGACTTACGAGGCGTGCCGGGGAACAAAGGTATAGGATGCATATCGGGACTCGGACGCGAAACGCGGAACTCGAATTCACTTTCCTGCCATTCTGGGAATTTCGGCGAGATGATCTCCTCAGGTAATCCAGAGCTTTTTCTCAGCTGCTTTAGCTCTTGAACGACCGCAGAGAAGTTTGGACGCAGGAACGGATCCTTCTGCCAGCACGCTCGAAGCAGTTCTTGCAAAGCTGATGTACTGAAACGCGTCGTTGGAATGACGGGACGAGAATCTTCCCCTAGTACAAGTATTAGGACATTGTGGAAGGAACGTTGGAGCAACTTACTAAGAACAAAATGCCTAACGGCATCATCGTCCATGAAAGGCCAAGGCATTCGTCCCATTGACAAAATCTCGATACAGCACATCGCGAAGGCATACACGTCCATCTCAGTCGTCAGCTGACTCAGACCCATCATCAGTTCCGGCGCCTGCCACCTCAATGTGCCGTCTGTGGGGTTAATGATGAGCATGAGACCCGAGGTACGCAATATCAAGACTCACGAGGCGGAGGTGTCCCGCTGATCCGAAAGGCTTCCGATTTCATCTCGCTCTGACCAAAGTCAGAAATAACGCAGCGATGCCGATCATCGACAAGAACATTGGAGGCCTGTCAAATTGTCATCGATTGGGGTCAAGACCAATAAATAAAAGGCAACCTTGAGATCCCCATGTAACACGCCCTTACTGTGCAAGTATGCCATTCCCTTGGCGATTTCATACATGAACTTCAGAAGGTCCCATCCCTTCCCAGCATCGACTGTCAACGATTCCCCGCTACCGCTACCACTTCTTCCCCTACCAGTCGGCAGACCTAGCCCAAGGCCTACTCCTTGATTCGCATCTCTGGTCTTCCCTGGACTTGCACCCATGGAATTCCGCCAATCGGGTAAGCTCCCTGTCCTAGTCCTGCCCCCTTCCATTCTTCGCAAGAACTCCACCAACGTCCCGTTCTTCAGGTAGGGGCTGACAAAGAACCAAGGCGGATCACCACTTGCACTGCTGGCACCGTACAGTTCCAGTACATTTGGATGTTGGAGCGTCTTCCAGATTCCGACCTCTCGGATGAACAGATTCCGCGGGGTCGTCTCTGCAAGAACCTTGATAGCAACAGTTTGTTTACGCCAGGTTCCTCGATAAACGTCAGAGAAGAATCCGATACCGATCTTTTGCTCGCGGTCGACTTCATATCTAGTCAGCCTGTCAGCCAAATGCGAATTCAGAAGTACGAAAACGCCTACCGAGTAATGGTCCAGCTTGGTAGATTCAGGTTTGTCTCGACGCCTTCACTCATCCGCCGCAATGCGTCGATACCACTCTCCATGAACTCTTGATCCAATGTGTCTTCCCTCTCCACGGGAGAAATGTCTTGACGCTTCCTTCTGCTCTCTGTGCTACTGTCACTTGTTGAACTCCGGGTTGTCGACATAGTTTTCGATCTCTTTATTTCTCCTGCGATAGCCGGCACAGCGTCCTTTCCCTGCATGCTAATCCTCCTCACCATCTTGATTAACTTGCCGCGGTTGTGCCCAGTGCTGGAAACCGATTCAGGCGTCATCAGTCGCTATATCTTTCCCTCTCTCCGTTGAAACCGTTGCTGGTAGAGGGGCATCTCCGCCTGTGCCGTGACTCTCAACGTCAGCCTCGTCTCCCGTAGCAAAAGAACTCCCTTGTCTCTCCACAATTCTTTCCAGCGCCCTCTGCAATGTCTTGATAGCCTCAGGCATCTCCTCTCTTGATACGCCCAATGTCTCTACCATTTGCACATCGCTACCAGCGCTTAGTGCATTCCGTAGCAGTGCCCTCAAATCGGCTGTATCCATCGCCATGTCATATTCGTTTTGCTTGGCGCTTAATTCCTTAAGAGTTGGCAAGACCGTTGTCGGGAAAGGTGACACAAAACTCGGTAGGGGTGGGGTGTCGGACAAAGAACTAGGTGTCGGGAGCGGAGGTAGGGACAGGTGATGTTCAGGTGGAGAAGAGAGTGACGCGGAAGAAGGAGATTTGAAAGGGCCAGCGTTTAATGACGCATGAGAGCTAGAAGTAGGGAGGCCAGAAAGGGCGGACAGTTTGGGCGTAGTTTCTTCTTCTCGTATGCCTGTAAGTTGGAGGGCGTTGTCCATAGAAATCACGCTGGATCGTCTCAACGACTCAATGATGACTTCTGTGTCCTTCTGTCTTCTCTGTTCTGAAGCTTGAACCTGCTTGAGGATACGAATTTGGATAGAGAGCTGCAAAAATGTTAACAGGAAATAAAGAAGGCAATGTAATTCGACACATACACCAAACGTTTCCATGGCGTCCTGCAATCCGGAATCGCATGCGGCGATTTGCCTCAAAATCTCATCTCGTCTAAGATAGCGCTTGAGGAAAGGACGATGAATTTGTTTTTGAAGGAAAACGAGGACCTCGTTGAATGCGCTACAGAATCCGCGTAAATCATTACACGGCAACTGGAGAGCACGAAAAAGAACGTACTCCGTAAGCTTCGAGATAGGAAGGGTCAACTCAGCGCCAACCATGTCACCTGCTTCATGTATCTCCTGCCGAATCGACAGAAGGATATTTGCGCAGCGTTCCGTCAAACGCAGACATTGTAGACGATTCATCTAAGAGCCAGTAAGATGAAAGCAGTCAATTCAAGCATATTACTTACATCTACCAGCTGCAGGGAGTCCCATATCTGAAGTAACGTTCGTGCGATATTTTGCAGGCCTGGAACTGGAGCAAATTCAAGCAAGTCTTGACTCAACAGAAGTGCTTCGTGGCCAACATCTAGAGCATTACCCAGGATGGATGATGCCGCTTGAGCCACGCGCTAAAGGTTTTGTAAATCTGATTGTTACGTTCCAAATGGCGGGATCTTTACCTGTCGAGTCAAAACCCAACCCTCTTCTTGCCCGGCGGGCAATGACTGTTTGCGCTTTGGCGATTCCTTCCATGGTCTCGCGATGAACTCGCCTTTACCCCACCATGCCAGCGACGACTCCCCAAGAGGCGTAGGGGATCCAACGGACTTCTTCCAGACGGATTCGTCGATGACACCTGGCGATTTGGAACGAGATCTCAAGCGAAACGAGGAAGATTCTTTGTCGTCCAGAAGGCCAGCGGCTAGGGATGAAGTGGACACTGACGATAATGGGCTAGTAGGCAGCTCTTTGAGCGTGGACACTGAATGCCCTCGACGTCGGCCTTCAGGCCTGGGAGAAGAAGGATTGAGCGGCGACGACACCCTAACGGTGGACGCTGACTCGGAGGAAGGAGGAATATGAGAAAAGTTCGGTTTTTCCATCGAGTAGAATGTAGATGAGTGCCTCTGGGCGTCGTCCACAATGGCGAGCAGCGAGGGCGTCGATGGAAACAGCAAAGGCGAAGATGGTGGTATAAAAGAGGGTATCCGTGGGAAGATCTTCCCGATTAGATTCCAGATCAGTGTCAATCGGCGGAAGTATCGGCGCAAATCTTTTTGGACTTGAAATTGCAAAATTGCGAGTCTGTCAAGTGTGCGCTTGGGAAAACACGCCCGGTACCACTTTCATTTCTCTTTTATGTGCGATGCACAGCAGGGCCATCTGATGCTCGTGTACATACGTGCGGTGTGGCTCGCTTCCGACCCTGTACCGGCCCGAAATGGCAACACTTACCGCAAATAATTGGGCGAAGCTAGGTTGGCGAACAACAGTCTGCTGCAAGGTGCTGTGTGCCCCATGTTCCGGGCAGCACAATGCTCTGCATAGAGAATGTATTTCCATCCAGACAAATGTAGCTATACCACCGGTCTCGGGCTCATCTCACCGATTCATCAGTCGTTTTGACTATTCAACATCAACTCTCATTTGATCCGCGTGGTAACCAGCTCTACTGATAAGCATCACCTCAACTTCGGAGGAGGTCCTTAATCTTTAGAAATCTTCTTTCCTTCTGTGTCTCACACTCGGATCCCGAAAAATGAAGCTTACAACCGTACTCAGGCGATGAACCACAGTGATCTGGGCTGTCTCCTACTACAATGTCTGTGCGGCGTTCTGGCACTTAGATGTAGTAGACCCGAAGTCATGGTTCCGGTCCGTGATGCATGTGCATGAGCCCTTGACAGCCTATTGTGAATCCAATCTGGTACTCCACTCTCAGTTATGCAGTCAGGTCCCCAGTGACAACTTTGCAGTCTTCCCGAGCGCATTGGAGTCACTTCCCCTACCTTTCGCAGCACCGATAGCGCTTATTCGTGCCACCCAACTGCAGCCGCCCAACCGTCTGATTCTTGTATCATTCACGGTACGAGCACAGCATAATGCACAGGAACTACGTGTGTGGTGTCAGCCGCCACGTCGGCATGCCGCAGCAACATGTATCGTGTGCTACCCAAAGCAAGGATGATTGTTCCAAAAAGAAGACTGGACTACAACAGTGGAGTTACATTGCTCAAATATTCCGCACGAGGATCACCATCTGGATAGTACAACTCGGAATTTCATTTTCGGGTCGGTGTTCATTTCCAATTCATTATACGATGTGCCCTTTCTCACCCGAGGGATACAAATCGAGATCGGGAAATTTACTGTTGTCCAGCACCCCACCGAGCTTCCAACCCCAGACCCTCCTTCTTCCTTCCCGGTTGGCCATCATGGCGCAATTCCTTTGACGACATCCCACTCCCTGGTTTTCCCGTGCTCTGATGCACATCTTTCGAAGTGACGCCAAGCAGTTCTTGACTCAGACAGGATTGATCAATAGGGTCGCGGTCGACAACAGTGTTCAAAGTGACCGGCTGAGGGGATGGTTGACGCCCTACGATGACGTCTAAACATTGAAGATCACAGGAGATGATTTCACTTACCAGCTGGGCGACCATCGATGATGCCTAGATTACGAACTTTGGGCTTCTAACATGATTTCCTTGATAGGTTATATATGATATGGATGGAATAAGTGATGTCAGAATGATGAATAAAATGACAGAGAATATTGCATCATCAGTATCCAAGAAGTTAATAATAATAATTATCCTTCGGGGGAAACTGTTGGACCTCCAGTTTATCGACTTGGCGCATACCAATTTTCAATCTGGTGTAGCGATGGTGGTCTAGAGGTAAAGTCAGAATAGGGGTCAATCCTAAAAGAGGTATGTTACGTCGACCGCGTGGCCTCCATCAAAGTTCGCTTCAAACGACCACGACAGGCAAAAAGAGAGTAATGGGTCTTACAGGTACCTGGTCAATCGGCTTGCGGAAAATTTATGCGTGTCTAGTACTTTTGCACCTTTTTGCAGGTATCAGTGACCTTTAGCTAGGTTCTCGCATGGTGACTTGTTTTTTTTTTCGATAACGCCAAACCACTGTCAATCCCATGACTCGGACTTCTCTTCTTCTCTTCGTCTCTTCTCCGAATTTAATCCTCGGGACGAAATTCCTGATAACTGCCATCAGGAGCAAAAAGAAAAGTCGAAGGATGCAGTGGAACTTGCGCAACCATGACCGAAGAAATCGCCGTAGGTTACCGTCAATTGAGCCATTTTTTTGCGGTAACGCTCAATTTTCTCTGCAGATGATTTTTCTCTTTGACGAGCGTTTGCGGCCAATTCTCGGCTTTACCGTCGTCGGGCCGCCTCTGGCGACATATCCCATAGTTTTGATGTCAGCTGTTCAAGCACCACCACCCAGAGATCCCATATAACTTCCGCCACGTCTTGGCCGCGGAAATAAAATGGCATCCTTCATTGGTATAAAGGCTAGGGTTAAAGCTCTCCAACGATAGCGTGACGATGATGAGGCGGTACTTCGCCCTTTCCTGCTTTTTACTTCACGGGACGTTTGCCAACTTGATTTCGCGCGCGACGAACGCGGATGGATCCACTCCGGTGTATAAGATCGCCACTGCGGCCGTTGAAGATCGTGTCAAGGATTTACTTCCTCGGATGACGTTGGAGGAGAAGGTTGCCCAACTGTATATCGGCCTTTGTTCTTTGTCGTGTTTCATTTCTTGATCATCTCGCAGGATACAAGGAGATATCAACGGATGGATGAACACGACGGATCCTCTTGATAACACACTTACGTTCAATCAGACAGGGTTGGAAGAGATGATACGGCTGAAGGGGGGATCAATCTGGGCTGGATACGCGATGCCATGGGAGAAATTCGTGTTTGCTATAGAGACAGGACAGAGATACTTGATGGAGAATACGACCTTGGGTATACCGGCTCTGTTCCAAAGCGAAGGTGCGCGCCAATCTTTCTATGATTACTGTTTCCATCTCACATCAATGATCAGGGCTGCACGGTTTCACGAACAACGGAACGATATTCCCCTCACCGATCGGTCTCGCTGCCAGTTTCAATAGGGACCTCGTACAAAATGTTTCCACAGTCGTCGCGAACGAGGCGGAGGGTTTCGGTATCACGCATATTTTCGCGCCTGTCCTGGACCTGTCGCGTGAGCTACGCTGGGGCAGGGTCGAGGAGAACTTTGGCGAAGACCCGTACTTGACCGGAGAGATCGGCTTAGCTTTCGTTCGCGGCCTGCAAGATGGTACCCGTCGAGGAGTGGAGAGCGGACAAGGGCGGAAGAGAGTCGCTGCAACATGTAAACATTTTGCCGCGTTCGGAAGTCCGCAGGGCGGGTTAAACTTGGCGCCTGTGGCTGGAGGCGAACGAGAGTTGAGGACGACGTATCTCCCGCCTTTTGAGAAGGCTTGCTTCGGAGAGTCTGAGCATTATGACTGCTTATTCAAGTTATGATGGCGTTCCAGCTATTGCAGACAAGCGTTCGTCATTTCGTCTTGCGGTTTGAAGAGAAAACTAACGCTGGTCGGTCTTAGATATGATGACTGATATCGTTAGTCGTCATTTGTACGTTGTCGGCGTCCTTCTGATCACTTCCTACAGCTACGAGAGGAATGGGGCTATCCCTACTGGGTCACGACAGACGCCGGGTCTGCCGACCTGTTGATCACCCTGCACGGGACGTGTGAGACGAGAGAATGCGCGGCAAAGACCACCTTAGAGAACAGTCTCAGTGGCGAGATGGGCGGTGGTACCTACACCTATTTGACTTTGGTCGGTGAGTTTAACACTAGCTTCGTTTTCCGTGTGCATTGCTCATGACAGATGTTGCAGACCAAGTCAAAGCAGGCCTCGTAGATGAATCTGTCATTGATCAGGTTGTTTCAACGTTGTTGCGAGTCAAGTTCGAACTTGGTCTGTTTGAGAGTGAGTTTATTCCGCTGTCTGATCTCTCCGAGGTCCTTTCTCACTGATGTTCGTTCCCGTTGCAGATCCATATCCTTATGACGACTATGCATCAACTATTCGCACTTCAGGCGCTCGTGATGTTCTCCACCAGAGTGAACTAGAATCAATAGTTTTACTGGAAAACCACGACAATGTACTTCCTTTGAGCACTGATATAGGCAGTGTTGCACTGATTGGTCCCCAAGCTGGAGTCGTTACGGTAATCTCAACTCTATTCGTCCAAATTTCTTTAGATCCTGATCGGACCTCGCAGTTCGGCGATTATGTATTTTTCAACGCGTCCAACAACGGCATATCACCACTAACCGGCTTTCAAGAGTACCTTAGCAGCATATCCAGTGCAACACAGATCAACTACGCTGAAGGATGCAAACGGTGGTCGAACGACGAATCTGGTTTCGATGAAACTGTCAGTGCAGCGGAAGCATCCGACGCAGCAGTAGTGATGGTACCCATTTTTTGACATATCTATGACTCGTAGCTCACACTGGTAAAGGTTGGTACATGGTCCCTCGATCAGACGCTGCTGTGGACGCCGGGAACGAACGCTACCACAGGCGAACATGTCGACTTATCGAATCTTGCCCTCGTTGGTGCACAGCTCAAACTCGTCCAAGCTATTAAGGCGACCGGGAAGCCAACTATCGTTGTGTTTGTCAGCGGCAAGCCCGTAACTGAGCCATGGATCCAAGCACGTATGTCGATATGACGTTTCCGCATTTTCATAACCACTGACCGTTTCAGATGCCGATGCTGTGATACAACAGTTCTATCCCGGTGAGCTAGGTGGATTAGCAATCGCAGAGATTATCTTTGGCGCCGAGAATCCTTCTGGTGAGTTGGCCTTTATGTTGAAATATATTTTGAGTCCTTATAATTAAAGGTAAACTCCCGGTATCATTCCCGAGAGACGTCGGTACTGCCCCGGCTTTTTACAATTATCTCAAGGGCGCACGACCAGTCGACCCTGGATCAGTTTTGGATGACGGCACCTTGGTGTTTGGACATCAGGTCGGTTCGCATATTCATTCATCATTGCGACGTGGCTAATAACATCACAGTACGTGCTCAATAGTCCCGTGCCGCTGTGGGGTTTTGGGCATGGCCTTAGCTATGCGACATTTAATTAGTAGGCGACAAGTTTTCATTCGTGCTGGGATGGTATTTGATAGATCATGCAGCACAGATCTGACGCTATCACAGTCTAACATTGGAACAGGCGATGACTTTAATGTGACGGTAACTGTTCATAATAACGGCGCTGTTGACGGCAAAGAAGTTGTACAGGTCGGCTCATCCACAACATTCCTTCGATCCATGACTCATCTTCCATCTTATCAATAGATGTACATTACAGATACCTTCAGTTCGGTTGTCACTCCAAATCAGCGGCTGGCCGGATTCAGCAAGGTTGATGTTCCGTATGTAGATTCTAATCTCCGCGTGCTTCATGTTTTGACAAGGATCCCTAGCGCGGGATCATCACAAACGGTTACGATTCCAATATCTTCCTCACAACTGGCGGTCTGGTCGTACAACGGCTGGGTTGTTGAGCCTGGAACCTTCAACGTGAAAATAGGGACGAGTGAGGAAACGTATATCAACGCCACTCTAACCGTCCAGTAGGACAAAGAAAAACTAATATAGAAAACAACTTGAATGCCAATACGGCTGAGATGCTAACAGCTCTAGTGATTATCGCGGAGGTCATAAGAGCTAAAAACTGGTGGTAATATATGCAAACCTTGGCTCATTTTCTCTCGTGCGGATGCTCATCCGGTGGTGCATCAAGGGAGTTTGTTGTAGTGGTCAGAAGGGTAGGTAAATGCTGGCTACTAAGACGCCGGGGTCTGTAGGTCAGAGTTTTTCCTTGGTTCTTAAGCTTCTTACATGACATGGTATACGCTGGTGGTAAAAGCGGGTCACAACTCTATGCGGCACACCAAGTCTGCGAAAATGGACGCTGGCTGGGTTGGTTGTATTAGTAAGCGAGGGCCATGAACGGATCACATGACCTTGACACGAAAAGGCCTGCCCTGAAGTGGCCAAATTTGTGTTCGCAAGAACGCGCCCTCATCTCCTGATAACAACACGCCATGACCATCCCAGTACCTACTGAGTCTGACCTTCTTGTGACAACGAGCGCTCCCATTCCGCCGTCTCATTTTTACGGCGAATCTGGCAGTGTTCGACGTTCCTCACGACCGAAAACTTCCTTGTTCAGCAGCGTAACAAAGATGCCACGGAAGCGCTCAGCTTCGACAAACCTGGGGACAGATACCTCGATGAAGATTCTGAAGAAGCAGAAGTTGGAAGAGAAGAAAGCGGTATGCGGCTTGTGTATTAGTGCCATTATTCAATGCTAACTCGGGGGACTCGAAGAATACTGTCTTAGTTCACGAAAAACGGGTGGCTCGAGATATTGCTATGGGTAATTGGCTTCGCGCTAATCGTGACTATTTTGAGCCACTACTGCCATCCATCACGACATTTGAACACTATCTCGGGCCGGGAACGTCAGGAGCCCCAGTCAAGTTTCATTCGCTTCAAGTGCAGCCTAATGATATAAAAGGAGGCGAAATGAAAGATTACCAAGTGAGTGGCGTTATATTTTTGAATTTGATGTGCCTCGTTGAACCAAGACGCAGCTCCATGGCCTGTCTTTTCTTGTATGGATGTACAAAAATGGTGAGTAACTCCTAGCCTTGGCTCTACACATCTCTTCATCCCGTGTCCAGGCATGAACTGTATTTTGGGAGACGAGTACGTGCCATTTTTCTTTGTATAGATCGTTGGGTTTCATTCTATTCAGGATGGGGTTAGGAAAGACGCTGCAGGTGCGCAGCGCATCATGACCTGTAATTCTGTTCTAAATCCCGATTCAGACCCTCTCTCTATTCGCTTACATCAAGGAGAACTCCTCAAGTCACGATGATCCGCACCTCGTTATATGCCCATTGTCCGTTCTGTCCTCCTGGGAAGCAGTGAGTTAGGGTTTCGAGCCGCTCTTAGAAGATTGTTACTTACTTAAGCAACCATTTCAGGAAGCAGCCAGATGGCTCCCTTCAATGCGGACGGTCCGCTTTCATGGACCTAGTGCCCAGCGAACCATGATAAAGAAGACATTCCTAGAGAACTCCTTTGATATAGTTTTGACCACCTACGATGCGTTTTCTGCCGAAGTATCGTGGTTTAAATCTCGTCGCTGGACCTACTGCGTACTCGATGAAGGACACAAGATCAAAAACTCGGGGACGCAGGTGGCGCAAAACTTACAGTCGATTGGCAGCCTCTACCGGCTAGTCTTGACCGGTACTCCAGTTCAGAATAACCTCGTCGAGGTTTGGGGACTTCTTCATTTCCTCTATCCTAACATTTTTACGGCGAAGACGGAGCAAAAATTCCTCGAATCGTTCGATTTAAGTAAGGGGATCTACGACGTACCTTTTCTTGGCGCAGTCCAGAAATTGTTGTCGGTAATCATGCTTAGGCGTACGAAATCCGTCGTTTCTGTGGATGTACCACCCAGGGATGAAACCACGGTCTTTATTCCTTTGACCGAGGCTCAGAGGTTTTGGCACTACAGGCTGTGAGTGTCTTTCAATTCTTCTATAACTACTCATTTCTACACGACCGTAGTTTGTATCGCATAGACATGGTCGATCTCGAGCAAATATTCGACCCGCAGCTCGAATTGGACAACAAGACTGCAAATGAAGGTCGCAGGGAAGTTTTATCGCATCTACAGAACGATGTTAACAACGGAACAACGCAAGACAAGAAATGTTCGTCTACATATTCATTGATTTTGACGTAGCTAATATTTTCTCTCAGTGTGGCAGCGACTCAGCTTCATCCTCATGCAGCTACGTATGCTATGCGATCAGTAAGCATCCTGCTCACGCGTCTCCTGGTTCTTGGTGACATCCCCATCATAGTCCCTATCTTTTACCCGATGCTCAGCCTGACCCATACACAAAGGGAGAGCACATTGTTGCGTCTTCTTCGAAAATGATAGCAATAGATAAAATCCTCGCGGACGTTCTTCCAAAGGGAGAGAGGGTGATTATATTTTCGGTGAGTTTCCTCGGTGTTGCCTCGGCGTAAGAATTTGACCCTGATTCTTTTTCCAAAGCAATGGACGGGGTGCGCTTTGCATGTGCTCTTTATGTTCACTAATATTCAATTATATTATGAAGAATGCTTGATCTCTTGGAAGACTTTATGGTCCTTCGAAACATACGCTTTGCCCGATTAGACGGGTCAACAACCAGACCTCGTCGGAATTTAGATATCAAATTGGTGCGTTGACTCGCCATTCTCCTCGTCAGTCCAACTGACCATTCTTTTTACAGTTCCAACGAGAAAAATCGCGTATGTCGTAATTAATTACACAAGATGAGGCACTTACAACTTTTGACAGCGTATCAAGTGTTCCTCATCTCGACCCAAGCCGGTGGTCTCGGTATGAATTTCCTTGACACTTCCAGATAGTAACACTGATTCGTTATTTCCTGCCGTTCCAGGCATTAACCTTACGAAGGCTCAGAACGTCATTATGTGCGACAGTAGCTGGAATCCCCAGAATGACTTGCAAGCCATTGCCCGAGCTCATAGGATCGGTCAGACGAAGACGGTGAAGGTAATGATATTCTCAAGCTGCTGTTGCACAATTCCTGATCCCCGTCTCAGGTATATAGACTGATATGCCGAGGAAGTGTCGAGGACCAAATGCTGGTAAGTGAAGCATAAAGGCTTCGAATATCAACTGAACCTTTTCATAGGACCGGTTACGGAGGAAATTGTTCCTGTCTCTGAAAATTATGGATGGCGATTCCTCGTCATCAGAAAACCCCTCCTTGGGATTGACTGAATTGAAAGATATTCTTCGAAAGGGCAGCAGCGCGTTGTCTTCATCCGACGATCACATGAACCTGGGTCGTTTCCTTGATGCATCTCTGTCTGACATCTTGGGTGCCTCGCGGGCACGAGAGGATGCCCGTGATGCGAAGATGAAGCAAAATGCCGGGAAGGATGACTCTGCGATTGCCAAAGACCTTGTTCTCAGTGCTGAAGAGGAAGAACGGCAGCTCTTGAGCGGTATCGCGCAGGTGAAATGTCGATTATTTGAAGGGAATATCGTCGAGAAGGCGAAACACGTGGAAGATATTGTCCCGAAGTTGAGCACCCAGAAACGCGCAAGGAATGATAACACGGTGACAATAAGCGGGATGACATTCATCGTAGACGGCCCTTCACCGGAAGATGTATGTACTTGTTAATTTTCTTCCGCACATTACCCATTAACCGACGAAAATGTGTAGATTCAGGAGAGAGCGCAGCAGCGGCAGCGGGATATAATGGAAGTCAAGAAGGCCAAAAAGAAGAAGAGACAGTGGGAGAACGAGGACTGGTGTGTACATTGTCGTGAAGGAGGAGAGTTGGTGACCTGTGATCATTGCCCGAGAGGTAAGGACTTCTCCTTCCGTGGTTCGATGGTTCTTTGACTTATTTCTTTTTTAGTTTTTCACGCGGAATGCTATGGGATATCGCAACGTGAGGCCAACAAGAGGGCATTCTTGGTCTGTAAACAACATTCGTGTTGCGAGTGCTCGCGTTCGACGGCCCAATCCGGTGGAATGCTTTACAGGTATGCTTTCTTACCTCCGTGCCTGTCTTCGTGCTTCATCTGAACGTTTGCAAGGTGCCGAACGTGTCCACGCGCTTTCTGCGAAGATTGTCTTCCTGATGAGATCAATGATGTTGGTGATGTACTGCCGGAATAGTACGTTCCCTTGTTGTCCCTGATTCTCAATCTCACTCTGTGTAACCCAGCCAACTATTGAACTACGGCCAGACGCCTACAGCCTTTTATATACAGTGTCACTTTTGTGATATTCAAGCGAAGGAGGATCCCACCTGGTGGTCCGAATGGCAGGTAGAGATTGCCAAGGCAGAAAAGGAAGTTAACAAGTCGCTAGGAAAATGATCTTTGGTCGTCCGCCTCTTCTTGAAAATTTATGCTTCATCGTCATACGCATCTCATGTACTAACATCGAATCCATTAGGTAAACTTAGTGCCGCCGGGAGGTTCCCGGTCCCGATTCCGAAATTGCCGCGTCGAGCTGACCAATCTGGCTCTTGTTTATTGTCAAGGCAATCGGAACAATTCCCAGCTTAGTCCCAATTTGCCTCTTTGCGCCCTTTGATACGGAACTATAAGATACTTCCCATCTGCCCGGTCCGGAGCCTTTACAGCAACCAGCTTCGCCTTTCGACCCACTAACCTGGGTTTCAATGCAGTCTGCTGTCAGCTGGGTAATTTAACAAAAACTCAGGCAGACACTAGCGTGTTATCGAAGTGCTTGCAAGTTCATGCTCGTGTATCAACTTATCGCGCCAGTTGTATCTTCGTCTATGATGTAAATCCTTTTCGAGGCTGTCATATTGTTGAATGCGAAGATTCGCATCCGCAGCAGCGTAATATGCCTCGATTTAACCGACGATGAGATCAGCTGGTGCGCTCTAACGGTGGTCCATACATAACTAGAATCTAATCACATGAAGCAACGAACGTCCACTCACTACCGTTTTATGGTTCCGTTAGTGACAGAAGCGCACGTTTCACCTTCACTCTTAATACCTTGACAACTCAAAAACAGTAATTGAGTAATTACAACATGGTCGACGACATGCAGGCGCTTGTCGATTGTCACTGGTCAGCATCTGGACGATTTTTGTTTGGATGTGTCGTGATTCGTTGCGCCGAAGGCACGCAACGGCTCGCTGGAATAATTAAATGACACAAAACGTCAAAGAAACGGGTACGTCGACAGGAGGAAATTTTGACTGCTAACTTGAAGTAGACTCTAGAGGCGCATCAGAACGGCTATTGCCGACGGACTTCGTCCGGACTGCTGCCACTCTTCTCTTTTTTCTTACGCCCTTTATGATGACTCCTTCATGTCCAGTACCAAAACACAACGTCACCATACAAGACGATGCTGTAGAAGCTGCTCCCTTTGTTGAAAAGGATCGATTTCTCGTTTCTGAAGGATCACAATGTATCTCCTGCCACAACACTTGATCGTCACAGATATTTTCACATGTGCCGGCCTACAATCCAGTCAAGCCCTATCGAAATCTATCGTAAATTGTCCCTGTCTTGGCACGGCAGAATTGACTGCTTTCTGGATCAGAAACGAGGTAAAACGGGATCAGAAGAACCAGTGGGTTCAGCTCCAATGGCAATACAATTTGCTTGTTTTCACTACTAGTCGCACCCTGAGGCTTGAATGCCTGACGATCAAGGATGCTGCGCAGTGACTTAAGTACATACAGGCTCGAACTTTATTTAATTGCGTTGACTTGCGAAACTGTCATGCGGGTATGTTTTCTTCTGTCGTCCGCCTCGGATCTGAGTAAAAATGCGACATGGCTTGTTAAATTCGCGTTTCTTTAGGTACTCACTGGCGCATCCAAGGTCAAAATTAACGTATAGGTTGTACCAGGTACCGCTTTTTTGTACATGATTTCTTGCATGGCGCGGCAATGTGTATTTGAGTCGCCAACCGTTTTGAAACCGCGAGCGCCCGCATCCGCAGCATCGCAGAGGCTTCGAATTAGCCGACAATCATATCAACTGGCGCGTACTACAACAAGAAATTACTTGGCATTCAAAACCTCTTTTGGAGACCGGTTCTTCCTCGGTTTCATCAATGTAGGGGCATATGCCGTCGTCTTCCAGTATCTAATTCAATGGTAATTTGGAGATTATGATTGGATAGTCACAGCGTGGCTGATATTCAGGTGATTGAGATAACCCCAGAACCTAACGTAATGTCGACTGAAGTCTTCCCGGTAGATCGCAAAGGCAGCCTGCGAACGAAAGTGGAGCGACATAAAATGGTACTCAGAGCGTCCTCCATTTCTCCAGTCCACTTTCATCTTGACAATGTTGGCTGCATCTCTTCTGTCCTTGGCTACTTTGGCTGTTTTTGCCGCAGGTCTGCCGCTTCTGAGCTCAGTACATCCTCCTCTCATCTGTCATCCACTCTACAGCACATCCCGGCGAAGTTCATCAGCAACTGAGCGAGTGGGAGCTCGTGGTTCGCAAGGCAAAGGTGCTTCCTGTTCAGTTTGTCGCAGAAACTGAAGTCTTCTTTTTCGGTTAGGCTGCAGCTCGTGAACGTCACTTGCTTGCCCGCAATTGCGCGCCCCAGATCTCGGACTTTACTGCTCGAAGGAAGGCCAAGAGAGATCTTAAAAGACGAAACTTTGAACCTCGTGCACCTTCTCTGACTGCCACTGCCGCAGACCCGCATTACACGGAATTGCAAAAGTTAGTATCATTTCTCATTACCACGCTATCTCACCCTCATCTTCCCTGTCTACAGCACGACTTGTGTTACCGCTCCTGAAGTCACCGAAGGCCCTTACTATATCAACAACGAGCTCGTCCGACAGAACCTCACCGAGGACCAAAGGTAGAACTGATAAGTGAACTCTAACAGCGTTTCTCATTGCTCTGTAGTGGTATTCAACTTATTCTCGACATCGGTGTCTTAGATACCACCACTTGCGAGCCTCTTTCTAACGCATTTGTTGAAATCTGGGCTGGTGAGTTCTATAATTTTGAGGCGCCATTTGCGTGGGAAAGTTGTAGTTACTAAGCGAACCTCTTTTCTCAAGCGAATGCCACCGGTTTCTATGGATCGTACGGTGCTATGTCTGGGGGACCCCCGGTCGAACGTCGTCAGGGCCCTGGCGGTCCCGGAGGAGGTGCTGGCGGAGGATCCCAGGTTATGGCTAGGAACGAGACGTTCTTGAGAGGAGGTCTGGCTACCGATGACGCTGGAATGTGAGCTTCTCGTTTAATCATTATTAAACGGAGACCTGACTCGACTTGTTAAGCACCGAGTTAATTACGATGTACATTTTTCACCTCTGACTCTTCCCTCGTCCAATCTAACGGCCGTTCTTACAGCTATCCTGGCTATTACACCGGAAGGACTGCGCACATTCGTCAGCTCTTGTTTCGTTTTGTCTGATTTGACTTCATTTTTACATAACTTTTCGCTTAGACACTATGGTTCACCTCAACTGGGAAGCATCTGCAAACGGCACTCTAGTTTCACACTCTGGAAGTCTCTTACACATTGGTCAATTCTTCTTCGATGAAGACTGGAATGACCAGGTCTATGCCATCGATCCCTACACCACCACTACGCAGAGTCGTACCTACAACGAACAGGACTCGATCTTGCAGGAAGAGAACTCCAACGGTAACAACGCATACGTTGGGTAAGCTTCAATTTATAGCATCCTTCTATTTTCTGAACCGTTTGCGCAGTCTTGAATTGCTTGGAAGCGACTTCTCTGATGGTTTGCTTGGATACATTAGTGCGTTCTACTTTCATTAAACACATCCTTATATACCTCTAATCTCTCTACGAAATCTAGCCGTTGGAGTAGATTCAACCGCATCCTACACTATCATGAATACCAATTACCTGAACTCGACTGGCGCGTAGACTAGTCCGAGTGGTAGTGCATAGCGTAGGCGATGCCTCCCTGCTTTCACAGTTCTCCAAGAGTTTGATGTCACCATATCCACGCAGAAATGAAGTTACTTAGTCTCTATTATACTTTGTGTATGAGCCGATTGTGTTTTATGAGAGTTTTTTTTTGCCCAAAAGCAAGCCGAACCGGGGCAACCGGCCCGGTTCACGTTTGTGTCTCGCAAATTGCCGTCCTTTTCTTGCTAGTACTACAACGAGTCCTCAGCCTTGCTCGTCTTGTGCAAATGTCATTAGTAGAGAAGGATGCCTCCCTGATAACCTGTCTTCTTGAATGTCGGCGGGTCTAGAGCTTATAGCTGTGACTTGTGACTCTGTTTCACCTATCCGACCGGAATCAGCATCATATCTATGTCATTTTGGATTTCTCGTCGTTTCTTCCCGCTCTCACCATGATTCTCACCCCAGGGATCCGTTTTCTCGCAGCTGCGTTTCTTCCTGTCGCATTGATTGCCGGTTTCGCGGCCTTTCTGCAGCACTGGGGTCTTCTGTTGAACCCAAAGAACTGGGATGCTTCGCCTTGGATTGTATTTCTCACCGCCATTGCAACTTCCCTCGTGTACTTTGTCTTGCGTATTTTTTACATGGACCGCCTTCATAAAGAAGCAGCAAAAGCTATTGGTGCCCGTACCATGACCCGAGTTAAAGGTAAATGGCCTGGAAATGCCGATATCTTGGCAGCGATGGTCGTCACATGAGCTGACGGCTACCCCAGTAAGACACTCTTTCTCCTTCATATCGTAGATTTTTCATTGGGAGTCTGTATAGGCGATGGTCTAGGAGAAATGACGGACATATACGGGCCTTTCTTTAACCTACCTCTTCTATGGTCTGACATGATCTTTACGACGTCGCCGAAGCATATCCAGATTGTTCTTGCCACTGAGTTCCAGAATTTTGAGAAAGGTAAACTTATCTCGTCGTGTGCCTATTTTGAGCAGAACGCTAATACGGGAAACTATCTAGGTGAACGGTTCCAAAATAGCATGAAATCTGTCCTCGGCTTGGGGGTATTCAATGCCGACGGTATGACTTCCCTTACTCATAGAGCTTTCAGCTAATTCGTAGACCTTCAGGTTATATGTGGAGGTTTGCTATAGCATCGTCGCCATCCTGAAAGTCCAACTTAATTATTATAGATTTCATCGATCTATGACCAAACCCTTTTTCACTCGGGACAGGATCATCCATTTCGATTTGTACGACCGACACGCAGAGACAGCAATTACTCAAATGAAACAAAGACTTCGAAGTGGCTATCCCGTTGATTTCCAGGTTTGCCGATGAAACATTGGATGAAAGGACCGTCCTAACTTGCTTCTCGCAGGATCTGATGTGCCGCTTTACTATGGACTCTGCAACCGAGTTCCTCTTCGGCTCATGCGTTGACACTCTTACAGCCACGTTACCTTATCTACAAAGCATATCGATTATCCCTGCAGAATCTAACGATGCCGATTCTCTTGAAGCAAATAAATTTTCTGAGGCGTTTTTCGAGGCACAGAAAGTTCTATCTGGTCGCTTGCGTAAAGGGTGGATTTGGCCTCTTTTCGAGATCAGGAAGGACATGACGGAGGCCCCAATGAAGGTTGTGCGAGGCTTCGTCGAGCCTATCATCCAAGCGGCACTCGAGAGGAAGAAAGCGTCCGATTCTATGGATAAGAAGTCAGAACCCAATGTCGTTGGCGACGACGAAACATTGCTGGACCATCTGATCGGCATGATATCTGGTATGAAGCCCAACTCTGTTCATTAATCAAGCTTCGATTCTGAGTTTTTGTCGCAGACCCGGTTGTCATCAAGGATGAAACGTAAGTTATACAACTCTCATGCTCGACGCTCGACTGACGGATTTCTTGAGTCTGAATATTTTAATCGGTAGGTATCCACGCTCATCCATTGCGATGCTGTAGAGTTGAAATCTGCCAGCCGGACGCGACACTACCGCAGCGACACTGACTTTCGTTGTCTACCTCTTGTCCACGTACCCAGACGTTTGCTCGCGTCTCCGACATGAAATTCTTACCAGGGTTGGAACCACCCGCGCACCTACTTTCGAGGATATCAAGGAAATGAAGTACTTAAGGGCAGTAATCAACGGTATGTCTGAGAATCCGTTAAGCAATGTAACTAAGTACTTGTCGTAGAGACGCTGAGGTTGTACCCCGCCGTGTACGTGTCCACGGTTTGTATGCCCATATACATCCTGATAGCCCTTACGTAGTCCCTTCAACGTCAGGTAGGACAGACATATACTCTCACTTTTTTTCAGGCTAAACACTCACTAGAGAATCCATAAGTGCTACAACCTTCCCCTCCGAGGATCCTTCGGAAAAGCCATTGTATATCCCTGCAAATACGAAGTATTTTCTCCCTTGATGCTAATCCTCAGTTTATAAATGTCCCGTTCAGGATCTCGTACTCTGTTTTCCTCATGCACCGTCGAAGAGATCTTTGGGGACCTGATGGTGAGCGTTACCGATATAGACCACAAGGCAGACATCGACGCACCTCCAGCTGAACAATTCGATCCTGATCGTTTCCTGGACCACCGATTCAAGCAGTATCTAGCACCTAATCCCTTTATTTTCCTTCCATTCAACGCAGGACCGAGGATCTGCCTGGGGCAGCAGTTTGCGTATAATGAAATCTCATTCATGCTTGTCAGGCTCTTGCAGAACTTTTCGTCATTTGAATTCGATCAGGATGCTTTGCTAAATGAGTTTCGTACTCCAGCGAATTGGACCAAATGTAGTGGGAGGAAGGCAATTGATAAATTTTGGCCGAGGTATACATTGACTTTGTATAGCGCGGTAAGAGGGGAATGTTTCTCTGTATCTGTACTTACATTCAACGTCTTCTTCACTCAGGGAGGTATGTGGATCAAAGCAATTGAAGCCGAAGCCGAAGCCGATGGCTTGAGTCCTCACGTTTGAAAAGCTTATACACATTGGGCATGTTCCAATCTTGTATAGTCACCCGGTACCTGTAATCACACTATCTGTATCTTCATACGAAATCAGCCAATATCGTGGAGCGCAAGGAGGCATCGAAAATAGCCAGAAAATCGATCCAAGGCTCAAGATTCGTCCGCCGCGGCTAGTTACTGTCGCTAGTAGCATGCTCCGGGAATTTGTCGTGTGTCGCGTCTTTTGTTCTTCGTTTCAAGCTAATTTTCTATCTACCTGTATATCAAGGAAGGAAGAAAGTATCATCACTGGATAGGCAACTTTTCTGCTTAGCATTTTTTTACGGTAGGCCGTATCATATGACCTCAATCAGCAGCTTACCAAATGCAACGGAAGTAGGAACTCCAAAATAATGGACGTTTACATCGCTACGATGGAGTAGTACTGACATGCAGGATTTCATGTTGTGAATTCTCAGAAATAGAAAGTACAGCAGATTTACAAAGAATCAAAGGGCAAGCAGCTGCTTGATGAACAAGTGTGGCAGGTGACCGACGATGATTCTCAAGCTCCCACTGAGTATCTGAACGGCTACCGGCAACTGGTTTGTTCCATTATCCGGATGACTCCATTTATAATTGAATTCGACATCAATTTAAGTTTCCACGCCCGTTCTCTCGTTTTCATCATGATTCTCACTCCAGGGATTCGTTTTCTGGCCCTCATAATACCTGTCATCGGTCTATTTTTTGGTCTTGTCGTCCTCTTGCAAAGATGGATCGTCTATGCGAGTCTCGGCGATTGCTGCATTTCCTCTTGGGTCGTAGCCCTGGGCGCGACTTCATCAGCTATCGTTTACTGGGCTGCTCGCATTGTCTGCATGGCTTACTATCACGAAAAGGATGCCAAATCTATGGGTGCTCGCCTCATTCCATGTGTGCAAGGGAAATGGCCCGGTAATGTCGACATATTAGCCAAATTCAGCAGCGTATGGGCTGAGGGTTACCCAAGTAAGCAGCCTTGCTTTACTGGAGGCGATATCGCTGATTAGGAACTCTGACAGGCGACGGCTTGGAAGAGATGATAGATGCACACGGGAGTATCTTCAACCTGCGTCTGCTATGGTCGGACATGGTCGTCACGATGTCACCAAAGCATATCCAGCACATCCTTGCCACAGAATTTATTAATTTCGAGAAAGGTATGTCTAAACTGCACCAATACTCTGGGAGGAAAATGTTACTGACGTGGTAATTCATGCAGGTCAGAGGTTACGAAATGCCATGAAATCTGTCTTAGGTACCGGGGTATTCAATACTGATGGTACGGTCGCCTATGCTCCTGGACCTCACCACTAAGCTCATCCACCTTTAGGCGATATGTGGAAGTATGTCGTATATTTTCATTATGTATAATTCTATCTCAAAATTCACAGGTTCCATCGATCAATGACGCGACCTTTCTTTACGCGAGACCGGATCACTCATTTCGATCTATACGACAAGCATGCGGAGGCAACAATCTCTCAGATGAAGCGCAGGCTCTGCAGTGGGTATCCCGTGGATATCCAAGTACGTTGGTCCAGCGCCTCGTGTTTACGAAAGGATCTTCTAATTCTGCTTCGAAGGATCTAATGGGCCGGTTTACGATGGATTCGGCAACTAATTTCCTCTTCGGCTCTTGTGTTGACAGTCTTTCAGCGACGTTACCCTATCCACGCAATGCTTCTGTCGGCCCAAGCGAGTGTAACAATAACGACTCTAACAAAGCCAATGCATTTGTGGAGGCGTTTCTCACGGCACAGCACACTCTGTCAAAAAGAGAGCGTCTGGGATGGATCTGGCCGCTCTTCGAGATTGCTAAGGATAATACGGACGCTCCCATGAAGATCGTACATGGCTTTGTCGAGCCTATCGTTGAGGCGGCACTCCAGAAAAAGAAAGCATCCGGTTTCGCAAGTAACAAAGATATCAATGAAATCGGCGACGACGAGACATTACTGGACCATCTCGTCAGTATGACATCTGGTACGAGGTGTATAATCTCATCGGGACTTTTCTGAGTCTCTCATCTAGACCTGGTGGTCATTAGGGATGAAACGTAGGTTCTAGAGCGCAGAGAATCGCATCCGAGCTGACAGTTCTTTAAAGGTTGAATATTTTATTAGGTATCTCACCTTTTATTGCTGTCATAGTCTTGAACTCATCCCTACAGCCGCACGCGATACCACCGCAGCGACACTTACTTTTGTCATCTACTTTTTGTCCATGTATCCGGAAATTTGCTCACGCCTCAGAGGAGAAATCCTGACAAAAGTTGGTCCTAACCGCATACCCACCTTTGAGGATATCAAAGACATGAAGTATTTGAGGGCAGTCATCAATGGTACGAATTACAAGTTGGTAATACAGTGCTGTTGTTTCATCTTGTTTCAGAAACGCTGCGATTGTACCCCGTCGTGTGTGTATCCATAGTCAATTCGCTCGAATATTTTCTGACCGTCTTTGTAGTCCTTTCAACGTCAGGTAAGACGAGAACATAATCTACTGCGAGTCTTACGCATCACGCTGCTCAGGGATTCTATCAACGCAACAACATTTCCTTCAGATGACCCCTCCGCAAAGCCCTTTTATATTCCCGCACACACGAAGTGCTTTTATTCTTCCTGATATTTTATTCCTTGATCTCACGGCGCGCACACTTCTCAGAACCCTCTATTCTGTCTTCCTCATGCATCGCCGAAAAGATCTCTGGGGCCCTGATGGTGAGTGCTGCGTACAAAGCTATGGTACCTCGAATATTGATGTCTCTCTTTAGCTGAGGAATTCGACCCTGACCGGTTCCTGGACCATCGGCTCAAAACCTACCTGACACCCAATCCTTTTATCTTCCTTCCTTTCAACGCGGGACCGAGGATCTGCTTGGGGCAACAGTTTGCATATAATGAAGTATCCTTCATGCTTGTTCGACTCTTGCAGAGTTTTTCTTCGTTTGAATTCTGTGAGGATGTTCTTCCGACTGAGTGTCGTACACCAGCAGATTGGACGAAGTGCAAAGGGAGGAAAGCGATCGATAAGTTTTTGCCAAGGTCTACGTTGACTTTGTATAGTGTGGTGAGCGAGGAAGTCGTCTCCTTGTGTTCAATAATTAACTGACGTTCGGTTCAGGGCGGTATGTGGATTAAGGCAACTGAAGCCGATAGAGCTTGAAACCAATGAAAAATGATACGTATGTTCCAGTATTGTCGCTTGTGTACCTGTGTTATGTGTCTATACCGACTAATGAGCTTAAAACTTCTTTTACGAATTATTATGGTTTTGTTGGTGCGCTGAGAAGGCGTTGTTATTAGTCGCAGACAATCTCACGATCCTTTCTGCTTGTGGAGGAGAGAGTGCCCGCGACCATGAGCGAATGACTGCATTATGGGAGTCAATTATATACACTCATCTGTCATCTCCGCACTAGTCTAGAAGTCTGCTTTGCAGGTACTTGCGGAACTCGTTCATGTGCGTGAAGCCTGATCCTCAGAGCTGGGAGTATAAGTACCTGTCGTGTCTGAAGTTTTTCAGTGCGACCCTCAAGGCCCAAGGATATATGCATGGTCTATTCAGTATTGAGGTTAAGTATCAGTAGCTCAAGATATCTAGAGCATATATAAAACCTCCACGTCCTGAGGACAGCGAGGAACTGGGCGATTGAGAAGGGAAAATGGCTGGGCGAGATTCTCTCCGTGAAATTCTAGACTATAAGTTCGCCCTAGCCTCCAGATTGAGAATAATAAAATTTAAATAATATTGTTATGTATTGCCCGCGCCGATGACGCCATCGTCAGCACGTGATCGTGAACAACCCCGAAATATTAGCGGCATTATTCTTGATCTTTTACTATTACCATCAGCCTCTATTCAGCCTGTTTCCTTTACTTCCAGTTGCTCTCCATTTGTTCCAATAATGACGACAAATTTTCCTATGGCGAGTTTTTATCTTGTCCTGTAACTATAAAATGTTAACATTTTGTGCAGGACAGTCACTTCATGCAGCGTACCGACTCGGAGGCAACAGACGAATCACCTTTTGGATCAGGGCTAACGACACCAGTAGACGAGGATATACAGCCCTTCGCTGGCCTTCACGAACGGCTCATCGCCGAATTCGATCTAGACTTGCAAGAAACGCCTAGGCCGGACAGGTACCAGAAGTTCGACACCGTTGACACGCCCGCCAAGACCCGTTCACTTTCAAAGGTAGTGACAAAGGCGAAGAAGTTTGTGAGAGGCTTGGTTCAAGGCTCGAAGGCGAGTGCTCTGCCGAACTTGCGGATTCTGTACTTACAAGTGGCCAGACAAACATCTTCGAGGACCAACGCGTAGTGCCTACCCTGATACTCCCGATGGACAGCGTAGAGATTAATACGGCGGAGGAACCCTCGTCCGCCATCATTGCTCAAGAAACGCCCTGCTCCGCTCATACCGATGTCTTCCTGTCAAACGCTTTCTCTTCCACTGTCGCCAGTTCTAAGGAAATGCCTGCAGATATGCTTGACACTACAGATGATATGGAAACGGTTCCATCTGATCAGCACCTCGAGGACAGTATTGCATTGACTTCGCCAGATAGCACGCACAGCATTCCCTTAAGATCGGACCATGAGGTGAGTGTCCTAGTGCTCAGCTCGATTAGAATCTTATTCCATCTCAGGGTCTCCTTATCCAGCATGCTAGATCGATGTCCACCACGATAGTCAAAAGTCTTGATGAAAAAGCCATCGAAAATGTTCGTGACATATACTTTTCTTTGTGTGCATTCACACAACATCTCCCAGATTACTATTGAAAACAACGAATCTGTCCTTGCTGATTCGACTGAATATCTCTTCGACGAAGCTCTTGCACTGAAATTCCCGGACTTTTCCCCGAATGCGGTTCCTTCAGCTCTTTTGAAAATTCTTCTCTTCCTTCCTTGGTGTGTCCTCGTCGGTGCAACTATTTTGCTCTCTCCCCGGCATCTGGAATACGTTGCGTTCTTTCCGGGATACATTGCGTCACCTCAAGGAATCCGCCGCTTTGCCCATTGGGCCGACGTCGCTATTGCCCATGTTATGATCTTCTTCGCTTTCATCGTATGTATCGGCACGCAACACTTACCGCTCGGAGTCGCTCTTGCCGTTCTTACCGTTGGACAGAGCATCGTGGCGTGGCACAACTTCAGTTTTGACAGTGAAATCCCTGTAGGCGATGACGATAGACAGTCCTTGTACCTTGTCGCTGTAACTTTTGGCTGCTCCAAACCTTTCATGATCACGGAGTCAGCGAAAGGATATTTTGTTGGACGCGAGAGAGACGATATCGCTGCGAACGATGATTCGGATACGGAATAATTACGTTTGAATGACACTGGATACTACCAGTTCGTCGCTGTTGTCTAGTACTTGACTTGCATAACTCTCGAAATGTTAATTCGAATTTCTATTTTGACGTCTTGATCTGAACGCGTGCTTCGCCCCCTTTATGTACAAAGTTTTCACGAGCTTTCGGTAGAAGAACAAGTTGCGAATAGCATTGTGGTTAGCGTTTCCCCTGCAACGTGATTTCCTTGTAACTGGACGTGCCACCCGCACATGCGGATTCACTCTATCTGAAAAACGACTGTAATTCCGTTTCTATCTTCTATTTGTGTACAAGCTGTTATCTTTCGGATGTGGGCGAAGTAATTGTTCGAAAGAACGCCGACTTGCTGCGGGTGCCGCAGAACTTGAAATCGTTATGAGTGTCCATCGTCGAGACCCATATTGATAACGTATGCGTCCCACGCCGCAAAGCTACAAGTTCACGCACTATGAGCAAATTTTGGCCGTGAGACTGCGATGGCTCACCTAAATCCTGGAGGTGCAAAATTCCACATGTTGATGGTGTCTACTCCACATCTCTGATTGTGCAACATCGAATAACGTCTGAGATGAACTCGGTAAGTTCTCCGTCGGGTCTAAGGGCGGGCCTGTGTGTAGGTAGGTCGGTAAATAATCGTTCAGGTATGCTGGATCTGTAGAGGACGAATTTTGTCAACGAGGATTCACACCAAAGGAGGGAAGAGTACAAGTACCTTGCTCATATAACGCGTCAGATACAGTAAAGTACGAGTCCCCGATGGGAGCAGGTACGGGAGTGGCATTTTCCTGAGGATGCGAAGCTTGGATAGAAGTGCCATCTAAAACACTGGCAGTATCAAAGGACGCCATGCACTTGAACATTTTCCTAGAAAATCCTTTGTGGTCACCCCAGTGTGATACTTTGAAACAACTGCTCACAATGCACGACCCGCGACCATCCACCTATCAAAGGACCAATGTCAATCCATTCATAGTACGGAATACGCACACACGTACGAGTCGGAAGCATGTATGAAGGTGGCTAGGCACTGTTCATAGCCAGTTAAGTCTTCTGCCTTTGGGGGATGGCCCACCCGTTTCCCACTCCAGATGTTCATAGCCAATACGGCACCAGACATGAAGGCTCCCATCTAAACCAACTTCTAATTAATGGACGGGGAGGTAGACAGAGATGTTCAGCTCACCAGAATGTGTGGTATGATAATCTTGATTCTTTTCATATGAACCTGTAGGATCCGAGAACAAGATCTGGCCGCTATCGTAGATAAAACAAGAGATGGCGTCGACAAGGAAGAGCCTGGGCATAGAAAAGGTCGATGTGTATATATTTGGAGCATGTGGTAGGTGTTGTATAGAACCGCAGATTGATACAAGAACAGCGTATTGTCGCGGTCGGGATTCCAACGTACTAAAACACGGTCAGCACAATGTTAGACACGTAACGGAAACTATACAATGGTCGGGGATGGAGTTCATCCAAGCATTCATGGAAGAATCTATGTCAGAATTGATGCGCTGTTCATCCTTTCCTGTAAGACCCCACCGATCTCGGCGTTTTTTGATGGAATATAAATTCGTCGCGACAACCGACATTATCCCGCTTAACCGTATTTGGGCATTAAAATAACTGATTTTAGAAGGTTTGTTGCCCGGTTGGCAAAAGCGTACTTCTCCATCTGAACGGATATCCCAGTATTCGTCATCGCATTCAACTGGTAGCTCTGAGTCGAAACTGTGTCAAAATATCTATGTTCAGCAGACGCAATATTATATACCAAAATGACGTACTCTTCCTCATGCATCATGAGCGGCCGTCCATCATACAGACTTATGAGTCTATCGAGCGTAACAAGCGCCCTGATGTATATAATATTTTCAGTATCTTGCGGACAAACATAGGATGGTGAAATACCAAAACGATCGTTTCTTGAGTTCATCGTCGACTGTCAGCTTATGCCCCTTGGCCCTGGGCTTCTTCCGATGTAACCCAATTTCTACAGCGTAGCGTAGTCCGAGTCCAACCACCATCCAGCTAAACTCAGGTACAGAAGTTCCCAAGGTATATATCACCGCAAGCTTCCGAAGACATCCTGAGCTTGACCAGGAAATGAAAGGAGATAGACTTACGACAGTCTCCTGAATGTTATATAAGCAGGGAGGACGCAATATTGCTTTCTTGGAGACAGGAATTGGCTCGATGAATTTCCACCCTGCAGAAAGCCTCGAACTGGGATCGGCCAATACCCTTGGGTCGTCAGAGTAACGTGACGCAACAGCTAAAACAAAAAGTAGTGTAGCACCAAAACTTTCATCCCGTAGATGTAACCCGTCGGCGACATCTTTCATGAATGTAGGCCTATGCATGATTGGGAGAATTGGATGGATCGTTTCGGAATATATGGCGATCAGGCTTGTGATAAGGTCGCTGTCGGGAAAAACGTAACCAGGTTTAATGATTTCGGTCTCGGCTGTAGCGCGTTCCCACTGGTCATCAAGTCTGGTTAGCGAAAGAGGGATTGGCCGATAAGGTAGGACACACATGATATAAATTGGAATAGTCTTGAAGTTGCATCGTATTCAAACTACCGGTCAACTTCTTTTTAGCGGAAAGGGCACTCATGAAAAGCGCTAAAGCACTTGATGGTCCGAAACATCTCTCGCTGAGGGCCGTGTCGTGTTCCAACGACAGATTCTTCATTTTTTCCCCAAGGTCCAGGCTCGTAAAGTCATCATCAAGTTCAGCCAGTTCGGACATAAGACTTGCAGGTCGGGATGAACCTTGCGAGGATACCAGTACATGCCTTTTTGTCCCTTCAGGTATAATGATATCCGGATTGCGCTATAATGATTGAGAAAGGTCGCGGGGTAGGTGCAATATCTCCGAACCTCTTTGAGCGTACGTTCCAATTGTTCGGCACGTCGTTCTAAGTCTGCCACGTAACTGATGAGGTATCAGTTACATATTATAGATTCACTTAGTTTGCAATTGTCGCACCTAGCATTGTATTTTCGTCGCGGTAAATTTGAAGATACAGCAGATTCTTGCCTGGTAACACCGAAATCAGTGTCTGCTTATACGAGTGTTGAGACAGAAAAAACACACACGGACTTTGGACCCCGTCTCTGTACGAGAGCTGTGATAAGTTTCGAGTCTTTTGTAGTAATAGGAAAACTAGCCTTCGAAGGAGCCATGTACGTGCACTCTGCACCAAGTACAATACAATTCAAGCAGCCGTTTCCCTGTTCAGCAATGTCATAACCTATACATTTCAAAGATTCAGCCACTTTGTTATCTAGCTTGAAGTGAACAGGTTATACATTTTACTAGCAAGCAAGCGCGTCAGAAATGGCATAGTAACGAAAAAGGTCTAGAAAATGCTTACTTTTTCTTACACGGCACCTATCGCATGCACGCGTCATTCTCCTCTTTGTGACGGTTACTTCGTCGTCCATGGTGGTGGGAAAAGGTGTATAGAAAAACGACGGTCATGGTTGGGAGGCATCCACCAGTAGGATGGCACAGCCGCGCGGCACTGCCTCTCCGTTGCCTTACATAAGTACGTGTACACGGCTGTACAGAAAAAAATTCCTACATCCATCCATATTCTAGCAAGTACTCGTATTAGTAAAAATTCCTTCTTCATTCCTAGCAGAGGAAGGAATTTCTTGCTGTCTTTCATTCCTGCACTGACAACTGTCGGCTTGGGAACTGCTCTTAGTCACCGAGTCCGACTTCGGACTTATTACTTTTCGACGTCTGAATCATCTACCTCTGACTCAGATTCCGGGACCGGGCTATCATCCCCGTTTTTATTCTTCGCAGAGCGCCCACACTACGGAATGATTTCGATTTTTCTGATTAATCTCTTCTTCCGTACACGGCCTTGCCATCTCTTCGGAGATTGCCGGATAAGTGCCCCGACGACTTGCCGACGACCGTCCCTCGCTCTTGGCAGAGATTTGTACCGTCGTCTGTCTACGAGAGACTACCAACGGCATACAGAAGGATTTTCATGGGCGTGTATCTGCCTCTTTCTCAACAGTTTCTCTTAAGCTCACATATTTTTTAGTACATGCACGCAGTGCTATTCGCAGTCTACTCAGTCTGCCTGATTTGCTTCGGTACAGCCTTTTATTATTCATTCATACCTCAGTGAGGTGTTTACCATTTCGAGATATCCCTTTACTATCAGAATGATTCCAGGATTCCCGACATGGGAAAATGTATTGCCGTTTGAGAGATCTCCTCGCGTACCATAACCGCTACGTCTCTCCTTGCCACGTTCTTTATACTATGTCAACATCGAGCTGAGGGAAAACTCATTTGGCCAGTAGTATGTCAAGATTCCACTCCTTTTTACCGGTTCTGGTTGTGGATGGGTAGGGTGTACAAACGGTTCTTGACTTCGACTTTCTCAATATCATCTGCGAACTGCTGGAAACGTCTTTTGTTGAAATATAAGTTATTTCATCCCTTCTGCTTGTTCAGCTTCAAGAAATTGGCGTTCTCCTAATTCTAACGAATACAGCTGGTGTCTACGGGGGATATCCCTGGCTCAATGGACTATCGGGAGGGGGTTGCCTTTGATGCCTTCTGACGGTCCCTTCTCTATGTCACTGACTGGCGGAGACCAAGAAATGCCTGCGATATCGCTCGTCGGAACGAAAGCTTCCTTCGCGGCGGATTTCGATGGAAATAGACTACCACCTTTATGACATCTTTAGCTAATGATTGATTGCGATAATTTGCAGGTTTCTACCAAGGTCGAACGGCGACGGGCATATGTTCATAGAATGTTACACCTCAACTATGAGAGATCGGAGAAAGGGTATGTTCTCTGGCAGAGCATCCCGAAATTACTGATTGTGCACTTCAGGACACTCGTCTTCTACGTTGGAATTTTGCTTTCTAACAGGAAATGCTTCTCGGAGGACCGGAACACAAAGGTCTTCTCATCAGCGCCATTGAGCACCAATAAAACAATGGGATGTTCATCGTCAACGATATCGATTATGCACAAGAGAAACCAAATAGGAACAACGTATACCTTGAGTATGTCTTTTCTTACCATATTCTTCGACGATTGGTCTTTCACCCGTCATAACTTGGAGATACTTGGTAACGGGTTTCGATGCGTATCATTGGTATATATACGTTCCGAGGGTCTACTATGCTGCTTCTCCCGTGCATAAATGATTCCTTCCATTCATCGTCATCGTACAACATGATGAACGCTGACTTAAAGTTAATATCACCTACCTACCTTGATTTCACGTGAGTACTGACTGTGTTCTCCTCTGCTAGTGCCAGTGGTTCAAGCGGTTTGGGAAAAATTATACTGAACTACTACTAACATTATCTCTTCTATGAGCTTGGCTACTTCTCAACGCGAGCGGTTTGATTTGATGCCCCTTAAGTCTCGCAGCGGGATCTCTGAGACCAGTGTAAATCTTTCGACATTTAACCGTAGTTATGCTTGTAAGTCAATCGATGACGGTAGTGGGTTGTAACGATGAAATCACGTCTAGTGTGATAGTTCGTATGCACAAGAATGTATAATAACGGATAAGGGTATCGTATAAGAGGTGAAAAAGACTAGAGAGCCTAAAAAGAGGTTGTGTTTGGAGCAACGCGACACGCTGAAGAAAATCAGATAGAAATGAAAACGAAAAGGACTGAAATACTATCTACTAGGGATCCCAAAGAACGTTCGCCATGTCCTACATACACCTTTCATCAGCAATTGTTATGGGAAATGAACGAAATTTCATACCATCGGACTAGGTTCGCTGGAAAGCTTCATTAATGTCAGTAGAGAGAGACGATTACGAGGGATAAGTTGCTAACCTGTGGATCCTGTCTGTAATCCTGCCTTAGACAACCTCGGATTTGTTGTGCCGTTGAAGCGGGAATAGATTTCCCCTCTCTAACACACCTCTGAGACCAAGCATGAGCCTTTACCGCATAACTTTGTATTCTAAGGTGAATCTTGAGCAAATGTTGCCTTGTTTCCTGTCTATGAAACAGTTTAAATTTGCAAGGCCAGGATACGGTTAAGACCGAGGTGACTGGCCCAGATAGGATGTGCTTACATGACGTGCAGCATTAGATCTTTTAGCGTTGGATGCGATTCGCGTTCTGTAACCGGTTTGGGTTAGTTGTCTAGGATAGTCACATAACGAGAACCTAAATGAGGGGACATACCGCATAGTTCTATTAATGCCTGAGGGCGAGAGTGTCAGTTGCGAGCTACGTGCTATGTAGTGCATGCGTGGAGCACAACAAGTTGCTCACCCTTGTCATCGACCATCCGTCGTTTGTTTCCCAGGTTAACTGATTGTCTTTACATGACGAGAGACAAATCTACTCATAGAACATCAGCATTGTACAGATCGGAATCGGAGTAACGATTCATCTACCACATTTGCTCCTTTCGATGGCTTATCCGAGTCAGATGTTTTACAAAAGCCAGTACAGAATATTTCTGACAGTGGAGATTCGCATATATCTGAGTCGTTCAGTATACGCCTACCGGTGCTTTGGAAATCATTGTATAGGTTAGGTTCTGGTTTCTCCAGTACAGCGCTGATCAAGTCTGATGATGACTCGTTGAGAATGAACACGCTATCAAAATAAATGATAACATTTCTCACTTAGGACCCTCAGGTTTTCGGTGAGTCGAGATCCAAACATGTCTGGATCGTCTGGCAACATGGGCATTAGTAGGCTGACCGAATGAATAATAGCATGCCAAGGCTCACCGACTACATTACGACGCTTTACATGTGCTCCGGAGGGCAAGGTGGCCGTGTGTGTAGGGGCAACCACCCATGAATGTGATCTCCGCGGACCCAATACGCGGTTACAACGGTAATGAGTTAAGTCTATAAACAAGAGCGTTTCCCCCTGCAGCAAAAGATAGAATCATGAAAGATTACATACCCAGCAAGTGCCTGAGTGACAGGCATCCAGAACAACCTTGGGCAAATAGACGAGTGGGCTTTACTATCGACGCAGAGTTGTGAGAGTAACTTTACCGTGAGATGGCACCCCCCAGGGAGATTTCCGATAAGGTGTTTTCGAAGGATCTGGTTATTAAGATTGAAGATAGGGAGACGACTCAGCACAGGGAAAAACATACATTATCCGAGATGCAGCTACCGCTCTTGGTATATATAACTAGATTTGTCATGAACGACAGGAACTTACTATTGTGATCAAAGGACCTACATTCGTCCTTACCATCTTCTTCACTACCACAGTGGTTCTTTCGCTGGCCAGCATGGCCAGAAACTGGTACACAACATTCAGTATTTAACCACGCTCAAGAAACAAGAAAAGGCGGAGACCTACAGTAGAAGAACAAATGGTCCCCCGACTGGACATCTTGGGCCAATTGCCTCATGTGTTGAATCTGCGACGATTGGAATTTAAGTGAGCTCAAGGATGGTAAAATCCTCGGATATATGCAATATTCACCAGGTTTGTGCTAGTCGGCTGGGTTGCACCTTTACTTGGGTCGATCTCATCCAACAGCATAGTCACGTCCGTGTAATGATAGACGCCTAGAAGAGGTTGAGCTGACGTGCATACGAAAAAAATGTAATAGGGTTTACTCGTGAGTAGTTCCTTGATCCTCTGCGCGTCACGATGCGGATTCTGTAGCTCTAATAGCTCCGGGACCGACGAGCTTTTGATGGCAACAATCAGAGCCTTTCTTTTGGGCGCTAAGTTTTTGCTGACATTGAGCTTAGTCTTTGGAGTCTCGAGTTTGGGGAGCTGTACTTCATCCATAAGGTTCGATAGAAGGGGGGGAGGGAAAGAGACAACCTGCGAATTCAGTTTTAAAGTACGTCTATCAATGGCAGTGCTGATCGAAAGTCCGCCGGCAAGCGTCTGTTATGGCCTGTGAGGCTCGATGGGATCTCGCAACGGCCAAAATTTCGGGTTATTGTAAAAACATTCGAAATGTGTATTTTCACTAGCAGCTGCTCATTTTCTATGTGGTAGCTGTATATTTCGTAGTTAGTCCCCATGTCGCGTTTGCCACAGATGTAACCCATTCTTGCCATTCACTTCGTTTGAGAACAGCCCTGCGATTCTAACTCTACATTGCGTACTGCCACTAATTGACACCAATTAACTGCTGTTGAACTGCTGTCACCGATTATTTAGTAGCCATTATCATCACCATCATCATAAAATGGTCTAGACCTGTTCCGCGCCTTTCCCCGTCACAGCAAAGTGTCTATATATTTTATTAATCATTATAGATCGACATTAACCGCACATATAAAAGCGCGAGTGCATTTACACTAAGGATCTTTCAGTAATATGATGCTCATGCCATCAAAACGAGACACTTGAAATTTTTCAAGGAGCCCAACAGACTTTTTCCATGTCCTAAAGTATGAATTAATGTTAGTAAATGTCATGCACCCACGAAAGGCAGTTCGTACTACTGGATTAGGATCACTGAAGAGCTTTTAAATCCATCGATGTTATGATTAACAAGAGGGATGATACAGGAATTAGGCATACCTGTGGATCCTGCTTCATGTTCTTATCCAAATACTCCTTGATTGCCGGTGAATGCGACGGCGGGATGGGTCCGTGCTTTTGACACCACGCCTTCACCTCTTTTGCGTAAGTCTGCCGTTGGCCGGTTGTCATCTTCCGAGTTTCTTGTCTGTCAAAAACTGTTACCTTGTGAGTCAAGAGTGTAAAACGATAAGATACTCACATGACGTGCAGCATGAGCTCCTTTAACGTAGGATGAGGTTGGCGTCCTGCGACATAGGTCAGTCTATCTGCCAGACGTCCTAGCATGACATGGGAACGTACTACAATATTCGATCAAGACCTGGATTAGGATGCCTGGATTTAGACCTTCCCCGTAAAAACCACTGTCACAAACTACGTACATTGGTCATCGAATATCCTTTGCCTTTGATTTCCAAAGTGGACTGACTATCCTTGCATGAAGAAAGGCACACCTAAACGCATGTAAGCGTCATGCGGGAAAAGTCAAGATACACCTACCACGTTCGCTCCTTTTGGAGACTCACAAGAGGCTTTACAAAATCCAGAACAGAATCTGTCCGTATCCGGAGAGAGGCACATCTTGCCCCTGACATTGAATATGTATTCGTCAGAATCGGTGTCAGTATCAGATTCCTCCTCGTTAGCGTCGATTTTGTCGATCAAGGCTTGGTATATTTCGATAAGATTGACGTTATATAACGAATAGGATTTCTCACCTTGGAGTTCAATTTCACGTTGAGAATTAGATATATCATCTTCTGACAAGTGCGTGTCAGCATACCACCAAAGCGCCTCAAATATTACAATGCTCACCCGGTTCACTAGGCCCATCTGATTCGTTTGTGAGAACTTTCCACCACGATTCGGATCTGCGTCGGCCAAAAACGCGATTACAACGGTAGTGTGGTAAGTCTGATTCAGCCATACCCTTAGTAAGAAAAGGGAGAGACTAGAAAAGAGGCAAAGCTAACCTAATAAGGATCCAGAATGACATGTATCCAGAACAGCCTGAATGACAGAGAAATCAGCACATGTTTTTGTCGACAAAGGAAAAGACACGAGCTGTACCGTGAGTTGGCAACCGGCAGGGAGGGGTTCTACAAGGTATTTTCGAAGATCCTGGAAATTTATGTTGAACATCCAAAGAGATACGAGTGCGTCTGAGTGGCCTACGTTATCTCGGATACAGGATCCACTCTTGGTTACCAAATCTGATGGGATATCCGCGTCATGAGTTGACTGAGAGTGTATGTCTAATAGGCTTACACTCATCCTGTCCATCTTCTTCGGTACCAGACTCATTATTCTGTTGCGTACTATGCCCCGAAACTACAAGTGTTCAATTGCGCCATCTCGAGAACGGCGCCAAGTTAATACTCACAGTAGAAGAAGAATCGATCTCCTGGTTGGGCATCATGTGTCAAGACTTTCATATGTGATATCTGATAAGATTCGTTTAAAACGGTGCTTTAGTATTACAAGCATGAGTAACAGGCTCACCAGGTTTTTCCGAGTCGGCTGTTTGAATTTGCGACGCGAATCGCCGTCGCTCGAGTCCAAAAGCGTGACTACGTTCTCGGCCTTGTAGCCATAGACGTCTACGATGGATTGAGTAGGTGCTTATATAAGAACAGTAGCCTTTGCTTACCGATTAGTAGCTGGCTAATATTTATCGCGTCGCGATGTGGACACCGTAATTCTGCCAATCCTGGGCTGGACGTCTTCCCAATGGCGACAATTAGAGCCTTTTTTTGAGGCGAAGTTCCTAGCGCAGTTTCTTGGATAGTTGTCAATGATAGTTCATCCATGTCGGAAAGTATGAGTGCAGCGCTGAGAGAAAGATAAGCGAGCAAGATGTGGGTTGCGAGGAAAATACGGTACAGCGCCCTGGAGTTTTTATACAGATGCAATGGGCGCGGCGGTGCCATCACGGGAACTGAATACGAGTTATAGTTAGGTTCAAACCTGAAGAGCGCCTACCAAGCGCCCGACTTGGTGCTGCCAGGTACCGGTGTCCCTCACCATCCCATGGCTAGAGTCTGTGCAACGTGAATGATTCGTTTGCCATTGATACAACTAGTAATGTCTGCAAAAGTATGGGAGTACGCTTGAACACCACTCGGAACCGTCAGAAACTGGACCCGGGCGACAGCGCTTGCCTGTAAAGGATCTAATATACCACTGATTGATTATCAGACGCACTGGTCTTGAGATTTTGATGGACCGCCGTGGATCATGAATGGATAGGATTTTCGAGTCGGCAATGGAGTGGGGATGGGAATGATTAAGTTGAAACAATACCGTCCCTATTTTAAGCTAGGGAAATCGGGCTATCTCGGTCATTGAAACATTCGTTTGAATAAGGTGCCTGGTTGGATGGAGCACTGGATTGTACGCTGGACTTGTACCCTTGATGGATAGAGGGTTTCATTGTTTCATCGATACCCCCCTTACATCTTAAGAAGTTTCGACACTGGTTTAGAAGAAAATATCTTGTTGATGGTTATCAAAGGTGAGAATTCAAGTTTGGGGAGATGCCTACGAATTCGTCAGTTACTCAAGGAACAGATACCCGACTGACCTAACCTCCCCATTTCATGAAAGATGTAAAATTCAGTTACGCTTGACGCACGAAACCGCTTGAACCCTGTATATTGGCGATACTGTTAACGATCTCCTTCAAGAGTAAAGCTCTTTCCATTTGGCATGTTCTCCGGTGCTTTCGAGCGACCTAGGAAATGGTTTCCCGAGCATAACGGAGGAACGTTTTTTTCGTCTCTCAGTCGAAGATCACACGGTCAGGGAAGTCTTTGGAAGCCAGTGCGGTCGGTCTCGATTGGGTCTCGATTACTTATCTGCATTTTGCCGATTAGGTCTTGGAGTCATTCCGGGCTAAGCAGAGCTTGAGAGATGCGAAAAAAGATGTTCAAATAAGTCGAAGTACTAGTATCCGGCTTCGAGAGATGGTCCTAAGAAAATTGTTCGAGGCGGTGACGATGACTCCTCGGGGAGATCCGCGGAAATTGTCGTGCACGTGGCTACATCAACGATCACTGACCCCAAAAACGGCAATCACCGCTTTCATCATCGTCGCTCTAGCTTTGTCTCCATTGCCAATCTCTTTCCTTCAGGTATCGGACTGCCTGGTGTCATTATCTACGTGGACGCCAAGCGTCTCTCATAGCATTGAATTGCGCCACCCCCTGCCTTTGTGCAGAAGAAAGACATCCTGGGTGCACTGTAGGTTCCTTTGGATACAGCCTGCTAGCGAAATCATGAATACAACTGGCAGGGACCTTCATACCGAACGACGGACTTGCAATAGGAAGCTTAAAGACGGTGTCAAGGAATATAATCTCCTGGATACTGTTGCTGTTCTCGTGCGTTTATCGTCCTTAGCCGGGCTGAAGGTCTCTAAAAATAAGGTCACTTTGTCCTAGCGACGCTAAAAAGACAAAGGGACAGCTCCTCTCTCTCTCTCATGTTCGCGCACGATACCGTACGGACAATCTCGGTTGGTAACGGTAATTAAATGCCATGCCGGAAGACGTACGGACGTTATCGAGTCAAGGACAAAACCTCAATAGCGTTAAATCTCGACTGCTTGCCTGTCAAGAGATTAAGAGTCTGCCTAGGGGAGACTACAATAGCGTAGCAGGTGTCATAGGGATGCCATACTGTCCCCAGAATGCAAGAAGGGTGCATGGAAGTATGTCCCTGCGCCACACAAGGTTGTTTGTCGGACACTCAAAAGTTTTGCGAAGTCTTGAAGCTTCTGAGCATGTCGAGGACTCGGAAGCGGACAAATGGTACGAAATAATGGGTATTACTATGGATGAGATTGCTGTCGCCAAGCTAACGTTCCCAGACAGGAAGTGAAGTATATACGTTCTGAATCGTCTTTTATTCAGGAAACGGAATTCAAAGTGGGATACAGAGCAAATAAAGTCACGAGAAATATTTTCAAGAGATACTCAGCCACAAGCTCGTAAAATACCGTTCTGTCGCTAAAAGGCTTGGAACAAAAATTCTACCAATAGCATATTTGCGCAGAGGGAGCTCAAATTGCTCAATTTCAATTAGTCAAGCTTGTTGACAAAATAAGGTGACCGCGCGGGTTGTGTGGCTGTGTCCGGGGGACCCTTTACTTTCGTATGATGACCTTCCTTTTTTTCCACCATCATCGTCCACAGCGTCCAGGATATGGGTCTCTGCAGAGATTCCGGTCCTTTGGATCTACAGGATGCCTGCATTCGAGGCTCCTGGTCAGCACTAGTACCAACAGTATTCGTCGTCGCGTTCTGCATATTCGCTATTCCTGTTAAGGTGCCAGCAAAACTCCGACCGTTTATCGACAGCATCAAAGCGCCGCTGCAGACTTTTTTACCTCTCCATGAGGCAGAAGTCCTTGACCTGGATGAAAAGGGGCCAGGAGGGGAGGTTGAGGTTGAGTATGTCGTCCCTTTATGGCGGACCGTCGTTTTCGCGTTGCTCGGGCTCGTGGAGGCGCTATCATGGCTAGGAAATGGTTCTTATCGTCTTGCTACGCACCCACAAGATGCTTGGACAGGTATTCAGCCGCTCTTGATAGCGCTGACGTGGCTCTACACGGTCGTGGTGCCGGTCGCACGCCCTTCTCCTACCCCACCATTCGATTTGTTCGCCCTGTATATCGTCCATCTTCTCAGCGGAATCATGCTGCTAGGTGGTGCTTTATACGAAAACTCAGTCTACGACCTGCCTTTACCACCCGCAACGCTCATTTTGGCATATTCGATAAACTTAGTAATCATCTTGGTGGTCCTTGGGGTCGTTGTGAACATGCCGCTTGACTTGCCAAGCAGACAGGTTGATAAAAAGTCCATTGTGTGTTTATTGATCCCGTGATAATTGGGAAAATATACTGACAATGTTCAATTGAAGGGAACCACTGTCAGTCCGGAGGACTATGCGACGCTCTTTGAATGGCTTACATTCTCTTGGGTCTATCCACTGGTCAAGAACGTATGTATCTTTACTATCTCGAAGCGACTCACGACTTACGACCGCGTAGGGTAGATACAATACTTTGAACGACATTGACGTCTGGAACCTCAGCCCATCATTTCAGTCTCGCCCCTTATTTATCAAGTTCAGCAGTGTCATGTACGTCTTTATTCGCGTATGTGTTTTCGTATCTCATCAGGGTCCAGTCGCTCCTCCCTCCTTCGCAAGATCTGGGCATCTAACTCGTTGGACATCATACTCGATGCCCTTTTCACGATCCTCAGCGTGATCTTCAATTACACAACACCATTCTTCCTCAAGTACGCACCCAAGTCTGTTTCCCGGAATGTCATTTAACTGTTTTGTAGCCGAATCCTGGCTTCTATCGATCGCGACTCTACGCCAGAACAACGCACCAATGCGTACATTTACGCGTCTTTGATGTTTATAATATCTGTCGCTAGGGCAGAATTGGATTTGCAGCATCTATGGTTCGGCCGACGAGCAGCCACAAGGATTAGATCAGAGCTTATGGCAGCAATCTATGACAAGGCTTTGAAGCGAAAGGACTTCTCGGGTATTGTTGATGCGGATAAGGGTAAAACCGCCGACGACAAGGACACTACTACTGCGAATGGAACAGGTAAATTTTTTTGCGCTTTTTTGGTTGCCCGACCATAACGCTCGCCTTTCCAGACAAAGGGAAAGCCAAGGCAAAGGAAGACGATAAAGGTGATGATCCCAAAGCTGGTGCTGATGTCGGTAAAATCGTCAACCTGATGGCTGGCGATGCTAATAGGGTCAACTGGTTTTTTTTCCTCTTCACACACTTCCTAACATCGGGCCTAGATCTCAAACATGGTCACCGGAGCGTACTATATATACGGAGGTAAATATAACCTATCAAGTTTCAGAGTCCTGTGTTCACCAAGATAATAGCTCCCCTTGAAATCATTATCGGCGGAATCTTCCTATACCAGTCAGTCTCATTATCGTTACTCATGCACGCAGTCGCCTAATTCTATTTTCCAGGCTACTGGGATGGTCTGCTTTTGCGGGCTTTGTCGTTCTGCTCGCCGGGTGGCCTCTGAACAGCTACCTCTCCAAGAGAAGCATACGCATCCAAAAAGGTTACATGGCTGAAAAAGATAAGCGGATGGGCGTCCTCAATGAACTCATCGGAGCTGTGAGCTCGTCTCCTTGTTCATCGTGCTTGACGCTTACGCGTTGACATTCAGGTCAAATTCATCAAGTTTTTTGCTTGGGAAGACCGATGGATTGACCGAGCAATGGAGGCCAGGGGCAAGGAGCTGAAGTGGTTGATTAAAAGTAAGTCATCTGTCAACATGATTGGGCTGGGACTTACTAAGTGACATCGATAGGCAGGATCAACTGGATAATGTTCTATGTCTTGTGGACCACTGCCCCCATTTTGGTATCCATCCTCGCTTTCTTCGCGTATGTCGTTCAGGGCAATGAATTGACCATAAGTACTGCCTTTACGGTATGCATGCACCCTCTATCTTGTTTTTTTGCTCCTTATTTGACGTGTCACTTAGGCCATCTCGCTGTTTGCCATGATCCGGTTTGTATTTGTGTCAACTTCAATTCTCATTGTTGCTAATAATGAGTGCTTAGGGGACCACTCAATATCATACCGATGTGGATCGTCCAGGTTCTCCAGGTATGTCACATTGGACTTGGTATGACTTCTCGCTGAAATTGCGTTCAGACCGGCGTCGCCCTTAAACGAATCGAAGTTTACCTCCAGGAAGAGGAGGTGACGGATCAGGTCTCGTCGCTGAAGAAAGATCTTTCAGAGCCTCTCCTCCTTGGTCCTGATGAAGAAGGGTTAGGTCTCGAGAACGCTTCATTGAAATGGAATGAAGTTGAGAAACCCAAAGAAGACGAGGCCGGTCACCATAACAAACTTTCGACGGCGTCTTCTACAGAAACTGTTGACATCCAAGCCGAGACAACCATTGAGGACGAACCTCTTGATCATAAATTTGAGCTTCGTGATATTTCGGTGTTGTTTCCTGAGGGCGAACTTAGCATTATCACAGGCCCCACGGCTAGGCAAGTGTTTGCTCCTTCTGTCATCGTCGTTTGCTTATTGTTTCTTCTATTCCAGTGGTAAGACGGCCTTGCTTGTAAGCTATCATTATATGCTCCTACCGACTATCACCTGACTGAGTATATGCACAGATGGCTGTCCTTGGCGAAATGACGCTCCTCAGTGGTCGTATTGTCATGGCGAAGGACAGATCGAGAATCGATGAACACGGAAACATGCACGCAATCTCTTACGCTGCTCAGGCGCCATGGCTACGGCATCAGTCCATCAAGGATAACATCCTGTTTGGTTACCCGCTAGACGAAGAACGGTACGAAGCCGTAATAGAGTGTTGCGCTTTGAAACCCGACTTGGCTATGCTTGAAGATGGTGACGCTACTGAAATTGGTGCTCGCGGTGTCAGTCTAAGTGGTGGACAGAAGGCTCGGTAAGGCGTTTCAGAGTATTCAAACGTGTGTATACTGAAAATTTTCACCGTACAGGGTTGCTCTTGCCCGTGCCGTTTACGCCCGTACTAAATACGTTCTTCTCGATGACCCTTTGAGCGCTGTGGTATGTTCATCAAAAATAGGAGGGAACAGCAGGGCTGAGAATTGTGTAACAGGATAGTCACACTTCAAGATTCTTATACGAGCGTCTCCTTCTTGGGCCCCTTTTGGCCAACAGAACAGTTGTAAGTTCCTCGCATTAATGGATCACTTATGGGATTACTTAGTGAACGTACGTGCAGGTCCTGGTTACCCATCACGTTGAACTGGTTCTTCCGGGAACTCATTACTTGGTTCGCATGCTTGATGGGCGTATCGATGCAAAGGGTACTGTCAAGGACCTCCGTGCGCAAGGACTATTGGATGAGATAACGCAGGAGGCGGCGCTTGAGGCTCACGAGGAGAAAATAGAGGCCGAACATTCCTCGGAAGACACGGTAGAGGCTATTACTGACAAACCCGCTGACGTCGAGGCGAAGAAACCTCGGAAACTCATCAAAGACGAGCATCGCGAAACGGGTGGCGTCAAGTGGAGCATCTACAAGAGCTATCTAAAGGCGTCGTATGTATTATTGTTTTGGAGGTGGAGTATAGATCTTGATAATCCCTTTGCACAGCTCGTATTGGATTTGGGCCCTCCTTTTATTCTTTGTAGCCGTTAATCAACTTCTGGGTATCTCTGAGAAGCTCTGGATCAAGGTATGCTACCTTTTGTAGTTACGGCACGTGCTCTCATTGCATCATTCTCAGGCATGGGGAGAAGCTTATGGCGATTTCCGGACGTCGATGTTCTATAGTAACAGAGCTTTCTCCGCCCCGGAACATGAAATTGTTTTCGACGGTCATATTCAGTCCCATATTCATAACTTCCATAACACGCCTACTTTAGTGAGCTTCGCTCGTCCTAACCTTCCTGACGCTCGGGAACACCCCTTGTTCTACGTTGGTGTTTATGCTGCAATTGGCATTGGAGGCGCGCTTGTGAGCGTTATGTCAACGACGGCTCAGTTTACGGGAGCTCTCAGAGCGTCACGTATTCTCTTCAAGTACGGATTAATTTCACTTCTTTGTATCGGGCAGAACGTGCTGACCTTCTCTTTCAGGCAACTTCTTGTCACTGTTGTTCGGGCAACGTTTAGATTCCATGATACCACTCCACAGGGGCGTATGCTGAACCGCTTCGGCAAGGATATCGAGACCATCGACTCGTCCTTGGCTGGATCCATGCAAGCTGTGAATTCATCGCTTGCTAGTTTCTTTGCGTCAATTCTGACTGTGGCGTATGTCGTTCTTTGATGGTTGACAATGCGTCTAATTGATAGACAGGGTCGTCTTTCCCGTATTCCTGGTCCCGGCTGCACTCATCGGCTTCATATATCGAGAGCTCGCCCTTGGTTACTTAAATACTGGCCGTGACCTTCGCCGAATGGAGTCTAATACTCGCTCGCCCATTTTTTCCGACTTTGGAGAGTTGTTGGAAGGTATTGTTACCGTTCGAGCGTTCTCATCAGAAAAGAGGTTTTTGGACAACCTCCACAAAAAGATAGATACGACCACAAAGGTATTGTACTTCCTCTTGCCGAATGGATGGGGGCTTATGTTATTTAGATGTGGTATGGTTTCTGGATGACAAACCGGTGGCTCCTGTTGAACTTTGATGCTCTGGGTAAGTTTATCACGATTCGAGGCCTTCTGTTTGCTGATCATTCAACAGGTGCTGCTGTTAGTCCTTTGCGAATGTCCGTGACCTTTGTTGCTGATTGAATTCAAGGCCGTCTTCGTTACCGCTCTATTCTCGATATCGAGCCTCGACAACTCTGCGGGTCTTGCGGGTCTTTGTATCACCAGTGCTCTCAGCTTCACTTCATCGGTATACTGGGCATGCCGATTTTGGACCGGTATGTTCGCGTGAATTATCAGCTTGAATAGAGTCTAATTATATATTTCTAGGTCTGGAACTGGATCTCAAGTAAGCCCAACTGCTTTTGAGGAAACATCATTGGCTAATCATCAACTGCAGCTCGGTAGAGCGAGTTGTAGAGTACCTAGAGCTGCCCCAGGAACCGCCCGCTGTCATCGAGTCTCATCGGCCACCTGCATACTGGCCGTCAAGCTCAGAGAATGACAGTCTAATCGCAGTCGAGAATCTGGTCGTCAAGTACTCTCCTGAGTTACCTGCGGTTCTGCAAGACATATCTTTCACTTTGAAAGCAGGGGAAAGGATCGGTCTTCTCGGTCGGACCGGGTCAGGAAAGTCGACCTTGGCTATGAGTATTCTGCGCTTCGTAGATCCGACGGAAGGGCGTATTCTCATCGATGGGATTGATACATCGACAATTGGTATCCACGATCTTCGGTCGCGACTAGTAAGTCTTCCCCTGGTCCTAAGGCACGTTCTGACGCCCTAGAAGACTTTCATCCCACAAGATGCGACCCTCTTCTCTGGCACGCTTAGAGATAACCTGGATCCCTTTGGTATTGTCTGCTCTGTATTATTGATTACGTGTCTAAACAATAGCGCAGATGAGCATGACGATGCGGAATGCATGGAAGCTCTGTACCGTGTACAGATGATCTCACAGAGCCAGTTCCCTTCGCGGCGCACTTCTCGTGCTCCTTCAGAACTGTCGACGCCTGCGGCGTCTCGTCCAGCGTCTGTCCACGAAGACACCACGGATTCAGTATCAGCTACATCTACTGATGTCGATGCTAAAACCACCGTGTCTTTGGATACAAAGGTTTCCCCAGGAGGTACCAACTTTTCTCAGGGACAAAGGCAGCTGATCGCCATGGCGAGAGCGTTGCTCCGACGCAGCTCAATCATTGTTCTGGATGAGGCTACAAGCAGCATCGACTTTGCCACAGATGCAAAGATCCAGACGACGATTCGGGAAGAGTTCACGCAATCATTACTGTTGACGGGTAAGAGTAATAACCTTTGTGAGATTCTGTCTTCTGACCATTCACAGTGGCGCATCGACTCCGGACTGTGATTGATTACGACCGTCTTATCATCCTTGACAAGGGGAAGATAGCTGAATTCGATACGCCGCTACGCTTGATACAGAAAGAGGATGGGATATTCAGGAACATGTGTATGAAATCTGGTAGCTTCAGCGAGCTACAGGCATCAGCAAAAGCAAAAGCTGAACGTGATGAGGCATCTGGAAAGACTCTTTAAATGGGTGATTCTCTGTAGTCATTTACAGAACGAGAATGCGAAACTTGTAATATAACTGACAGATAGAACAAAGACATCGTAGCTGAGCGCTGAACTTTGAGTTTTTGAGTTTTCCAGTTTTGAAAAAGAAATTGCGCAAAATATGCTACCAAACATGGGTTTTTGGGTAATTTGTTTCAAATTATATTGAATAGACGGACAGATTTAGGCATAATATCAAATATTCTGGAAGATTCTTCGTAAATATAAAAATAATTGTAAAATAATAGTATTTTGACTTGTATACCAAGGACTTTAAGCAAGATCCTGATGATTACATAAGTTAGTACTGCTCTTCTTTCACTACCACGAATGGAGTCGCTGGACCTCAATACTCTTGCTGGTTCCTTGCCAACGGCACATCAGAATGCAGAGGCTGAACTGCTGAACAATTTCAAAGGTACCAGATATTTCTTTGGAAGTCAGACGAATTTACTGACGAATTTATAGCGGCTGCTCTGAGCATCACGACCCTTTACCGTTCTTCAAGAGATGCCTCAAAGCGAGCATACAGTGCAGGATATGCAGCTGCGTGTCAGGACCTCTTGGCAATGATACAGCGAGGAGTCTCAGTTGGTGGCATAGCAGAGCCAGGGACGTCAGAATCAAATGGCATGTCTATCGGCCGAGTCATGGATTGGATAGATGCTCGACTGGATGCCGTGAAATCGCGACAAGAAGAGGAAGTAGAAGAGGAGGAGAAGGAGAAGGAACGTGGACGGAAGTCGACGACGACGGCGGCGCCTACGAAAGTTAAAGTAGAGGCAAAGGAGCAGGTATGCCATCTAGAAATCTGGAATACATCCTATTTCTCATTTTTACGTCTGTAGATTCCACCAATGCCGACACCAAATTCACCTTGGCCTCGCACTCAACGACAATCACCACAGCCGTCAACTCCGTCTCCCCCACCGCCACCACCCAGTACTCTGCGACAGACCCAGCGTTCGACAAACAGAGCGAAACCTACTTCCTCTTCCAACTCCAAGGGAGGAGGAGATTCACCGAATATTTCTCCCCTTCCGCTCCTCGCGTCAGATTACCCTTTCAACCTCGTTTCCGAAGATACCCTATCCGTTCCTTCCTTCCCCGTCCCTGATGTCGTTGCAGGCGCCAAGCGGCGACATGCAGTAATGATGATGCTCGACAGCTCATCGGCTCCCGTTTCGACTTCCTCAACGACTGCATCCTCTAACTGCAGTCACGGGTCAGGTTCAGGGGGGAACCGGCGGCGTACCAGGAGCACACGGAACAACGCTAGCCATCTACAGAACCAGAACGTTAATTCGATTCAGTTGTCTTCGGAGGCGATGGATATTGAAGACGACAATGGTCGGGAACGGAAGCGAGTTGCACGTAGGTAGGGCTTCGTCCTCCTGCCCCGCTCTGGAAGCAGAGATGCTCCTTTCTTCTTACACATTGTCCCTCTTCTTCACGGTCCCTTTTTCCATCCCGGTCCCTTTTTCCATCCCGGTCCCTATTGACGTCTCGTTTTCTTTTTATCATATCATTGACATCTTACGCTTTTCATCGCCCTCCGTACATTCACTTGTAGCACATTCATCCAGCATCGCGCCACCCGTGGTATACACGTTCCCTATCTCTGTACCATCAGTCATATAACGAACGATACATGTGTTTATCTTTATATACGTAGAAATCAAAGAGAATTCATGCGACAAGGCCTGAGGCAGCCTAAATACCTCTCAAGCTGGATGGTAATGTATCATAATGATTTATTAGTTGTACTTTCCTATTGACGCCTTTAAGCAGCGTCATTCTGCCCCTGACTTGTATTCCTTTGATGTAATACCCAACTTGTGAGGAAATTCAAGTCCATCACACTTACAGCGACAGGAAACACAGTATTGGCGGTCATTCGGCGCTTGTCTTCTGGTCATCGACGTCCCCCCTGCACCACGATGCCGCCGCATGTTTGCAATTGAAAGATTGCCTTTAACACATGGCGTACATTCGGTCCCAGGCATCATTGCGTGTGCAAAAGATCGGGTGTCACGAAGCTGTCTTTATAAGTGAAGCTCTCGTTCCTCGACAGATTACTAATATATTCAGCCAAAGCTCTGCATGCTTGGATTATCGTCGTAGTTGCGGAATATTGCGCGTGTCCCACGCCTCTTGGCACTGGAACCTGCATTTGGCAGGTTTAAGAGGTTGTCCGAAAATGGCAATGAACGCCAGTGGCCATCATATCTGCTGCGGCTCGCACTGAGGGACCAAATCACACCTCGGGCAAGATTAAGTTTACGCTAGCCTTCGTCGCAGGAGTCCCTTGTTCGTGATACAGGCAACACCAGACAGATCCCCACTCAGTGTTAGATGCCGTTGAGAATCGAAATAGCATCAAGGTCCAAAGATTGCGATTCGGGCAAAGGCTGGAACTCTCTATACTGAGTAAAGTCCAAATTGGTGGGATATCTGTAAGTACTGTTTATATATGAGGAATGTATCTCGTCCAGTCAATCTCCTCCAACGCTGCTGAGGGAATGGATCTGAGAGAAACAAACATATCTACTAGTATATAGATTCTGGCGCATACATAGATGAATGCGAGAATCGGAACAGAATATGGGATGAGCCAAGGTACCCGTCTGATTATATAAGACTTCAAAAGTGCGAAGTGACTCGCCAAAGCGACGATGATGGGTATAATAGCAATCGATAAGGATGAGACTTTCCACAGAAGCTGTTCCAAGGACGAATCAAAGGAACCTGAAGATGCCCATCCGATGCAATGTAAACCACCAAATAGAGCTCCAAAGCATCCTCCAAAATACGCACTATAACACATTTGGCTCCAGCTCAGTTGCCCGGCCCATAGCATTGGCAGAGTCGTATTGTGAACATATATCATATTTACTTCTTGTCCACCTAGTATTTTTGAGAGGATCAGGCACGTTTGCCTAGCGAGTTAGGAAAGAGCAGTCCATGTTTGCTTAGAAGGCAAACGAGTACAGAATACTACGAAAACTAGCTACTTATATACCTTTCTGTATCTTCTGGTACTTTCTTCACCTTAGTAAGCCTTTACTCAGCAAGACTCAGGCTAACTGGACATCGCGCCAGCTCGCATAGCCACAGGGTCATCAATATTCCACAGTGCCAACGATAAAACCTGACATAGAGAGCTGGCGAGGAGGTGTTTTGAAGGAGTCCGAGCCGATACCGTCGTGGGGGCATCACAGATTCTGCCACCGCCGCCCGAACGGTACTTCGTGCAGTCATAACCGGAGAGGAGACAAGATCCCTTTCGGGGGTTGTGGGGGAGAGGGCCTCGGCGATATCTTTGGTGGTTCCAGTGGGAAGGTCTGGAAGGATACTTGTTGCGGATTCGTGAAAAACCGACCACTCGCCCGGGCCACGGCAGAGAGGTAACCTGTCAGTCACCAAATCGTCGTCCTGATAGAAATATCGCCAATCATGGGCGGACATAGCTTCTGGAGTAGATATGTTGCAATCCATGCACTCGCAGCAACAGATCGACTCTGATATATGATTTTCGATGTAGTTGATGGAAATTTGTTGTGTGGAAGTGGATTCGAAACTCGTGGAAGTGGGTACGCAAGTACCATAGGGCATGGGTCCACCATGGTGGGAATTGTTGTGTATGGATGAGGTGAGTGATGAGGATCTGCTTTCTAAGAATGCACAGACGTGATGAGCAGGAAACCTGGGTTCTGCGGCCCTTTTAACAGGGTCCTCATCCTCCAGAATCATGTCTGTGGTCAGTTGTGCTGATGATACCAATGATTCCTCGTCATGGACAATCGACTCCCCAGATAGAAATGACGAATTCGTCGAATTCATCGATTCGGACTGCATCCATTTAATGCCCATATCTTCGATGGCTTTGTTTTGCAGCGGATATTGGACGTCCAGAGGTTTATGCCACCATAGAATATAGTTACAGAAGTTTAGAAGGGCGAAGGCCAGTGTGGCGGTTTCAAGCTGCGTCCTTGGTAGAGAGGAGGCCATCCGAGAAATGTATTGAATGACAAACCAGGTGGTTTGAAGAAGGGAAATGCTTTTTGAAAGCATGTCGCCTTTGCTCTTGTCCATCAGCTCTTCCTCGGGGATGCTCATAATGGGCGATATGTCCAGATCAGAGCGTATTTCTCCACTAATTCGGCCTGTAATCCAGACGTCTACACCGGCATCAGTGACAAAGAAATCGGCAGGAGTAATTGGACGATCGTCTTTCCCTATAAATCCGCCCATGCTAATGAAAAAACTATGCGTCATTGATAGTTTCAAGTCTGAGGGCCGTGGTTCAGTCACTGGAAACAGAAGTAGAGGGTGTGACAGACGTTTAGATAGTACTGATGCAACAAGTCGTTGCCTAAATGCCCATGTAATTACAGCTTCCGGGCAAATGATAGCCAGTAGCATGTGCTTAACGCGGTGCAGGCTCAGAAATAGGCGGCCTTTCTCCCTCATGTACCGGCTGGGAATGTTGGGGTGTACGGCAAGCCAAGTGCAAGCAAATATAGTGGCAATGCAACTCCAAATGATGTCCCAGGTGGTCCTACTGCTCGAGTCGTTCGAGCTTCCGTCGTTGTCCTGTGCTGCTCTGGTTTGTACAATCGACGATAAGAGAAGGAAACATCGAAAATAGAACACCATCATTTTCTGAGGAAAAGCGTGTCGGAAGCATTCGTGAAAAAAAACCACCAAGAGAGCTTACCGATGAAAGAAGACGATTCATACGAAGGTCAGAGGATACAGACATGACTCTGCATATATAGCTGTTGATAGTGGTGTAAACAGCAAAAACAGCACATTTCGAGTACCGGGATTCTTGATACCGGAGGTAGAATGAGTTTCCCTTGAAGTGAATTCGTGACGGATGAAATAATTTTGCGAATTCTTGCAGAGTTTACTAAGGCGCTGTCCCCAACGACGGTAAGACTCTGGAATTAATATCTTGAAGCAAACCACAAATCCAGGGTCCCCACTTGGTTCAGAAGTAGTAAAATGGAGTCTCTGCCCATCGATATGATGTGATTCGTCTTCCGTAAAACGAGGAGAGCTGTTATAAGGCTGTTGTGACAAGAATACTGAGGCAGTGCTTCGATACCAAGTTGGGAAGCGTGATAGCGGGACGAACAGCGCAGTTTACTAACAGACGGTCATGTATCAGCGTATGTTCTCTTCTTATGGTCACACGCACCCTTGCATAGCATGTCAAGCTAGCACATAACATTAGGAATGCGGGAGACATAGAACCACTGCCAAAAGATCTGTATGGTAGTGCTTGCACCTTCGACGATAAAATCTGATGGCTTGGCAGGTCAGAGAACGTTGCAGTCTTTCCGCTCGAGCTTTTGTGTGTGCCGTGATACTACGCTACATTCCATAGTTATGTACTACTAGGCGTGAGGAAGGTGTGACGTAAAATACCGACTGTTGTACGCCAGACTTCTATCTTCCCCCGCGACGGCGGGTCAGACGGAAACCTGCTGGGACAAAGAGAATGGGCTAAGATGAATTCCTCACTTTTTGAGGTGCACTTGCACATTTTTTATGGATTTAGAGAAGCTAAAGGCCTCTTCATACGTGCGAGCGACAAAAAGGAAGGAAATGGTTCATCGAGGCCCCAAAATCAGGTCGGGATGCCCTAAGGGTTCGAATGACCTCTGGATCAGCGATAATTGTCAGAATAGAGACACGGAATTGAACACAAAAGCCGGATGCTTAGGGACCTTATTGCGTTTACTCTTTCCAAATATTTCTGCCATTATAATCGGGATTTATGCTTTAAGAAACCTGTATCTCCTAGCATTGGGAGATTTAGCGCACTGTACGACCTAAATATCAGAGGCAAATAATTTACCAGAACGCGGGGCTCAGCAATCTTGTCTTGCATCGACGTCGTTGAAGATTAAAAACCTGTACCAGTCGTGATTACGTCACTCTACTCATGTGCGTGCGGTACGGCCCGAGAGCCGATTCCTCCGTCATTTTTTAACTCGCTGAAATACGCGAGAAATACGATGTATATACATCGGAGGGCTGTTCGCTTTTCAAGGCCATTCTTCAGGACATGTAAGTGACGTTCCATTATAAATGTGCCGATTATCATTCGAAGATGCTGAAGCCTGAGTCGCTGACTGAGGCCTATCCAAAATCATCCAGGTCGAAAAATCGGTGAATCTCACTTTCCAGTTATGTATGGTGCTAAAGCGGACTTGCTCATACACAGTATTGATATAAACAGCTATTGTATCAGGTTAGCTTGCGATGCATCTATCATTCTTTTCTGAAAAAAAAAAGGACCTAGGAGAACCTCCTCTGACTCAAGCGGGTTGAACTGATGTATTTCTCTCAGATACATTATTATGTCGGCACATCGATGCTATATTATGGCCGCACCACATGCTCATGAAGAACCTCCTGACAATTGTGCCGAGCTTCTATAGTGTAACTGGTTCAGATGCCGACACCAGACTTGTCATGCCAAGGGCTTTCCTCCCCCGGGATATGTGCTACTCCCACCAAGGTTCGCTTGATATTGTGACAGCAACTAGCTAGGATGTCCAAGTCAAGCCCTCTTGCGTGATGTTGGCATAAAAAAGCATTAGCAACGTGGCATCGCCGAATTTGACGCGTTGTCGTGGAATAAAGTCACCGAATCAAACTACGCATGCTGAAATTTGATTGTGGAATGCTCGAGTAGTGCTCATCCAATGTTTCTCCAGGTGTGAGCGGACAATAGGTAGCAGTTTACCCGCCTTACGTCCCTAATTTCTGACCTAACTACGCATGTGAGTCTTTCCCCAATCTGTTCTTTCCCATATGCACAGTTTAATTGTTTACAAGCCCATACTTCCTGCAGGTTCTTCGGAAATGAAGACCGCAGACCTCGTACTGAAGACGAGCTCTGAATGTACTGGGAGGAGACCCTGTCCTTGGTTATATCTAGGCGAACAAGCGCTATGATCCTCAGGCTCACTCGAACCTTTCTACTCTTCAAGGATCTTCTAGTATCTAGTTTATCACCATGGACAGACTGGTCTTAGAATCTGGAATCTTGATCTTCCCTAGAAGTCCCTAGAGGACCGCTGTGAATCGCGACAGCTCTTGTGATTTAACTGTGGTCTTTTTCTACTACGGAAGTCCAATAGGCGAATTACGCAAGGCGGAGAGTAAAGCAGATGAACTCGGACGCGCCTGTGACCTCCAGATGCGCGAATTTTCCGTTGCGAGTGCATCAAGCTTGTGTTGCCAAGGACCGGCGGTGGATATTCCCCCGAGCGCATTGGGACGTTTCTTTCTCGGGTTAACCACCCGAGTATCAGGTTTACCCTTCATGCATGTCATGCCCAATCCAAAGACGATGGTTTTCTGATAACCATAGCTATGGACAAAAACGTTCTTTTGTGCAGACAGACTCCGGCGGATGGTGCGAGTTCTTCAGGGCTTTCTCAACGAATCTAAACCAGAATTATCTATCTAGATTACGCTCATCGTCAAGGCCTCCCAGTCACTGCTATGGTTGCCACGTGAGAGTAACCGGACGCAAGCCCCGCTCCGTATCCTTCGGCATTTATCCCATCAAAGCTCCACGAGCTCAATTTCTTGGACCCAGGCACATCCCGCAAAACGAGCAATTTTCGCCTTTTGTGATCGTCCCAGCTGCAGGCGCAATTCTAGCCACACGGCACCCGACAGAAAATCTAACGACGATTTCCATCATCCCTTAAACTTATTTCTATCGGATACGTTACTGTTAGACCTGCTGCAAGCTTCAATGCGACGCCATTCCGGTGGTCTTCTTCCTTAGTACACTAATAGCAACGTAACTAACAAAAGTACGCCATTATTAGGTCACTCTGGGGCTCCAGTTGCAACCACCTGCTTCTGTGACACGCCGCCGACCTGCGTCGGAATAAGTTCGCGCAATACGAAAGGATTTCGGCTACCCGTTGCTATACGACATACCTGTGTAGAAACCTCCAGGCTTGTATAAAACCTCGCCAAAATGCCTCTAACCCAACACCAGTCCCATCTCTGTCAAGCCTTCTTACTTCTCACTCAATCCTGTTGAACAATGAAGGTCGCTTTCACTTTCGCTTCTCTCGCCCTTCTTTCTGGCTTCCAAGCGGCTTCTGCGCATTGTGCGTTGATTATCTTCTCTTTTCACCGTTCACGTCTTTGACGACGTCGAAACAGATATCTGGACTACTCTTGTCGCTGGCGACACAGTCTCCAATGCGGCGGTTCGCCAGCCTCAGAGCAACTCCCCCGTCCTGGACGTGACTTCTGGTTTGTACACCTCTCTCGTCTCCATGGTTGTTATTCCAGCTGACCCATTGCTAGATGATATAACATGCAACGTTAGCCCAGCGGATGCTACTGCGACCGTTTCCGTTGCTGCGGGTGATCTTATTGGATTCCAACTCGACAACACGATCTACCATCAGGGTCCTGCTGCGCTTTACCTTGGCAAGGCTCCCTCGACCGCTGCTGATTGGGATGGAAGTGGTGCCAATTGGTTCAAGGTTGGCCATGTTTCTTCTTCTTAGTCCGTCCCCCACTTCCTGAGTTGTAGATCGCCGAATGGGGAGCAGAATTTGAACCTTCCTTCGCCTTCATTGACTACGGCGCCAGCGCTCTCAATGCTACCATTCCCTCCAGTGTTCCTGCTGGCGAAGTAAGTCTGTCTCCCTGCTATTCAGTGCATCATTTTTTTGACCAGTGGACGTTAGTACCTCGCCCGTATTGAACAGGTTAGTACTCCGTCCCAGACTGATATCGCCAGAGGCTAAGTTTGTAGATCGGTCTCCATTCGACGGGAGCGCCTCAATGGTATATCTCTTGCGCGCAAATCTCCATTACGGACGGAGGATCCGCTAGCCCCGACATGGTTGAGATTCCTGGATACGTAGACGCAGATGGTGAGTCCGTACTATCGAGAGCCATTAAACTATAATTAACCTGCGGGCCTATTACAGATGCCGGACTCACCGTTAGTGAGTATTCAACCTAATGCTCATCAAACAAGTCACTAAACTAGTCCCAGACATTTATTACCCTACGCCCACGGCTTACACGGTGAGTATTCTAGGCTCAGTTGTTCTCAGATGCAACGCTAAGTTTGTCGCGTTTCAGGTCCCTGGACCGACCGTTTTCTCGGGATAAATCCCAATTGAAGTACGATTTCGTAGACTGTGCGTTTCCCTTTCTCTCTCTTGTACTCTCGAAGCTGATTTCCTTTCGGCAGTTTCTTGGTGGAGGACAAGCGCTCAATTTAAGAAGTCGAGCTTTAGTAGTTCCGAACCGTTTCTTTTACACCATCAAGACCTCATTGATAATAGAAGTTGATATGCTACGTAAATGAATTTATGAAAGGATTCTTATCGATACCAGTAAACAGTTGTTTCGAGCAACAAGAGTTCCGTTTGTGAGGTAGCTAGAATAACAAGGCACTAATACGGAAAATTTTGAGTCTCTGGTAGTGTATCGGTTAGTACACGCGCCTGTCATCGTAGTGGTGTGCGCGCGAAAGCTGGGTTCAACTCCCAGCCAGAGAGGGTGAGGCTCTCAGGATCAAGTTTTTTGTTTTTCCCGTTCGATGAAGTTAACATTGATGATTGAACAATGCATTTAACATTATACAACGTGCAACTGAATGCATGATGATAAATCATCCCCGAGTTACGAGTGTTCCGCAGCCACCCCAATCTATGTTTGTCCATTGTCTGCTTCATGGCATATTATTGAAACTGTCCGTAGGTACTAAGGTAGAGTATGATAAAACCAATGGATTTTCTCGGGCCTGTGTAGCGCTGCAGTCATGGTGTACTGATCAAGTGCCGTATTTCCCCATAATTAGCTCACGATAACAATGGAGGTGATATCATTCATGCACTCGTGAACACATATGAGTACGGATCGCTCACCTGCAACAGAAGAATACAACTCTGATATATAGTTACAGATGTTTGGATGGCCAAGGTTCAAACTCGGTCGATAAGCGCACTTCGTGCCGTCCCGTTAAGGGGAGAAGCTTAAAAGGACTTGCGATATCGAGCGACGAGAACATTGATGAAATCAGGAGTTACTTGACTCTGGATTGCAGAAGACGGAACAAGAACTGGGCATATAGCGCGTGTGAAGGAGTTGGCAAGGAATATGTTAATTGGGATATTGAGAAGGGCCTGTACATCTGGGAGGTACCATAAAGACTTTCTGCAACGAGAACGTTTTATTTAATCAGTTCCAAATGTTAGAACAAATTCCAAAAAACCTACTCTGCTATTACGGAAACGACCCATCGCAGAGCTGGTCAATGGAATGGCTCATATTTTGGTCGCATGCAAAAAAAGACCGATACGAAGACCCTCAGAGAAAGCCGCATAAGGCCAGGCTGATGATCAAGCTACGGTACGGAGTCTGCGGAGGGAAGGGCCAGTATAAATTTGCGCACAATATGCTTGAAATCGCCTGCCCGATGCCCGGTCCAATGTAGATATTAATCAGCTAAAATAATTGAAGAGTCCGAGCCCCTTAGAGTCGTGCCTATATTCGAACGCTGCGTAAGATGGAGAAGATAATCATCGTTCACATATTCGCACGATAGACGAATCACGGATGAATTCATCCGATTCGAAGTCTGGTTTGTCATGTCAGTTAGGGTAAACAAATACGGCTTTTGCGGACTGGACACGCAATTTAAAGTGTAATAAGACGAACTGTTTCGGAGGCACGGCCTCTTTGCACAGACACCGTAGGTCAGTGGTCGAAATTCCGAAAAGACGCGTTATTTGCTTCTGTTTTTTTGTTGCTTCAGACGCGTCGATTATATAAGCAATTGCCTTCTGCTTTCCTTCCTCGCTGTCCTCGAGCGCCAAAGGTGAATCTGTCGCAAGTTGTAGTTGACAAGGACATTGCAATGCCTCGCTGACAGACGACGTAAACTGCCGCGCAACCGGAAATACCCAAGAAGACAATTACGGAAAATTACTGCCGTCGGCAAGGAATGGAGGGCAAGAAAATCTTGAGTGTCTTACCGAAGAGCGTTGAGTACCATTTGAATTTCGAACATTTACTAAGTTCTTACTTTGTTCGCGATGCCAGGGCGTAGCCTATTCTCGAAGGGCGACAGCGAGGCAGACAAATTTCAATGGCCTACGCTCTACCAGCTCTGGACCCTTATGTCAGTGATGATGACTGCAGTCGCCTTAGTACTTCAGTGATGTTCAAAAATAACAACGTCCACATGGAAGTTCTTACTATGCCGTGTACGTTAGTCCCACGCGCCTGTCGATCGAGAAGGCTAACGAGTAAGGAAAAACTCTTATCTACGGATCTTTTCTGCTGCTGAAGCCATACAATTGTGTATTAAATCTCGAAACGAGCGCCCGTGATACCGGTGCTCGGGAAATGCGGTATTCACGCCCTCATTATGTCGACAGATCTGACACCATAGGAATACCCTGCTGGACTATATAAACGCAAATGACGTGACGCAGACGTTAACTTCGAAATGTCACTACCGGCCCCCCAAGGCGTTGCGTCTCCAACTTTCAAAGCTCCTCCGCTCGATGGGTCGCTAACATTCCCAGAATTACTCGACTACAATGCCATCCATAGCCCTAAACACCCCTGGTTTCGTTACGATGATCTTGACAATAGTGGTTTTCGTACCATATCTTGGGAAGAGGGCGTCGCTGCCATCCACACTGCTGGACACTACTTCAAGAGATACATCCGCGGCGAAGCTCCCGTTACGATAGGTATTCTAGCCAATACCAGTGAGTACACCCGCATACCCCCTTAGAGAGCTAAGCTTCTGAACACGCTCACTAGATTCGATCACCTACTCCGCGGTAATCACTGGGTTGATGCGTCTCGGGTTCATTCCTTTCCCTATTTCACCCCGTAACTCTGCTGCTGCGGTCGCCCATCTGCTGAAGTCCACAAACTGCAAACACCTAGCCGTCGGCCAGGATGTATCCTTGCAAAAAGTGGCAGACATGGTCTGCCATCAATTCTGGGAAACTGATGTTGACGACAAGATCACTACCGTGCCAATGCCCTGCTTCGGCGATCTCTTCTCTGAAAAACCGGGGGCATATGAACCACTCCCTCCTGTACGGCCTGATTGGTCCCAAACAGCGTTCATTATGCATTCTTCAGGAACAACGCGCTTTCCCAGTCCTATCTACGCCACGCACAAGAACTTGTTACACCATGCTGTGAGACCATGTAGGTGTATGCAGGTTTTTGCTTTTTTCGGGCTTAACGTTTGGCAGATTATGGAGATATGGACCTATGTGGCCAAGTGCACGCAGCCCAAGCAACTCCTGTGTATCGTTAGCGACTAATTCTTACATATTCTCAGTTGCCAGAATACTGACGCCACATTTCAGACGTGATGGGCTTTGTTTCTATCACGAATTCAGTGTGTAATTTCACATTTACTTGTTCACATTATTAATGTCTATCCTTCAGACCGCAACGGGTTCTGTTATGGCCTGCTTTCCTCCGGTAGAGCCGCCTGTGATACCAACGGCTGAGCGCCTTCTATCTAGCATAATTAACACCGGAACAACCGTAGTGTTCGCCATTCCTTCATTCCTGGTGGTATGAGACTGGCCACTGAATATCAGACTGTATCACTAACAAGTGTCATAGGAATGGGCCCGGGATCCACAGGCGGTCGAGGTTTTGAAAGCTGCCACCGCAGTTGTAGGTCATTATGTCACAGCTAGATAGCAGCCACTCATGCCTCTTGAGATTTATGGTGGCGGTCCCTTAGAGAAGGACGTTGGTGATATTCTCGTCGCAAACGGTGTCTTTCTATTCTCTGTCTATGGACTGTGAGTGCTTCTTATCTTCTAAATGACTGTAAGATGCTTATTTTATCGTTTGCAGCACTGAATCCACGGTATCTATGGTTATGCCTGGTATACACATTGTTTCTTTCCTACTGCAGCCGATTTAACTGCCAAATAGACAGTATTCCTGCCGAAGGATGGGAGTGGATGAGGGTAAGCATCTTGCAATGTCATTAGCCATTCGCTGTGACACATTTGATAGGTGGCAAGAAATGTCGACGTCGCTTTGGTGCCAACAGACGAGCAGGATATCTACCGTTTGTACGTAAAGGTAGGTCAATGTCGACTGCGCCTCATGCTACAGCTGATAGAGCGACGCGGACTTTAGGATGGACCATTGCACTCGCCAGCGGTCTTCGACTCTGAGATAGACGGAGTCAAAGCCTTTGACACGAAAGACTTGGTGCAGCTACATCCTTCAAACCGCAATTTATTCAAGGTCTATGGACGGGCTGGTGAGTTGGTACCTTTGAATACTTGGTATGGTTTCCTCATACTGGTTCGTAGATGAGCAGATCATGCACAGCACAGGGGTTAGTCTTTGCGTGATATCTCTAAAACTCTCATCTCATTTTACTCCTTCGTTTTACAGGAAAAAGTGAGGACCCCTGTTCTTTCGTTACTTGTACTAAAGATGTTTTGTAGACAAACCCTGTCCCAATCGGTGAGCAGGCAGTGATACCCATAGATTTGCGCTAACGCAACTGAATATAGAGGCTGGCCTAGTCACGGATAAGCGTATAGCGGCAGCCATGATGTTTGGTCGTTCCAAATTCCAGCCGGGTGTTCTCATTTTACCCACTCCGGAGGAAGCCTTCGACCCGAGTGATACCGTGCGACTTGCGGAATACCGAGCTAGCATCTGGTCAGCCCTCGTTCCCGCTCTTCTCAAGTTTTGCTCATTTGCAACTTGCAGGGATACTATCATGAAAGTTAACGAGCAGGCACCTCAGCATTCTCGAATCTACAAGGAGGTGGGCTTTCTTCGTCACTCATCCAGCATCGCTTGTTAATTCTCTTTGAAGATGATTATTGTTGCGAACCCGGTGAAGCCTTTCGAATTCACTACAAAAGGATCTCTGCGACGCCAGGCCGTGTTGAAAGCATACGAGCAAGAAATTGAGTCTCTGTATAAGACTGTCGACGAAGTGTCGCAGACGGACGTTGTCATTCCGCAGCTATGGACTTTGAGGAACGTCGTGACCATGGTTAGGGATATTGTCACAGCAGTCTTCGAACGGAAAATAGGCGACTCCGATGATATTTTCTTAGCGGGAGGTGATAGGTATGCTGCTATTCACCTGCCTTTCAGGGTACTAATTGATTGAATCTATAGCTTAACAGCGACGTCTATCCGAAACTCCCTTCTTCGTGCGCTTCGGAAATCTAAAGTAGTCCCCTTGGTCGTCATCAGGGCTCTACCACATAACTTCGTCTTCGATCTTCCTTCCATTGCCGGTATGAGCGCTTTCATCCACGGAATTGTGGTGGGTGCACATGCTGCGCCGGGAGTTGGACCGGCTGGCAAGAGCGACGAGGCCGATGCGTACCCTGAGATCGATTCTGTTCCCGATCTTGGTCAAAGCCTAGTCAAGTTACGACAAGGTGGAGGCGAGCCACCTTTGATTATGCTCCACGGTACGTAACTTTCTTAATCGCACGTAAATCGTCTCTGATGACATCCTAGGCGCCGGAGGATTATATTTCGAATACGTTTTCTTCGCCGAGAAGTTCAGGACGGCGGTTTGGACTATGACCGTCACACCCGATACTCCCCTGGCATCCCTAAACGAGTTGGCAGCTTTCTATTTTGCCAAGATCAAAGCGGAAAGACCCACCGGTCCGTACCGTTTAGCGTCCTACTCAGCATCTAGCATTCTCCTCGTTGTACTCGTGAAAATGTTTGAGGACAACGGTGATGAAGTCGTCCAGGCTACCATGCTTGACCACTTCCCGGCGATGTTCGTGTACCTGGCTAATCAGTTTGGGAATCCGGACCCGAGGGTGCCGCAGAATAACAAGACGATGCTTGACGCTGGCATAGCGGCCATTGGAGGGATGATGGAGCGGGATTCAAACCGTGATACGCTCCGTCGGACAAAGGACCTTCTTCTGGAAGCCTGGAATGGCGGTGCCGCTAACGAGATTTCACGGAAATCAGTTGGTACCATCAAGGCGTATATCACTGCCGTCACTGAGTTTGTTCATGATTTGACTACGGACGAGACGGGTGCCGCTTCGGTGGAGCTGATGGCACAATGGATGAGGACGGTGAAGGTGCCGATAACGGTGGTCGTTGCGCCGGAAGGGGTGGCACCAAGTGTTTCTGAAGAAGATCGGGAGATGTGGGCAGACCTTGGCGTGAAGCAATGCCTTCCAAATGCGCGGGTTGTTTTTGTCAAAGGGGGCCACTACGAGTTTTTGACAGACGATGTTGTTATACGACTGCTACAAGAAGGTTACTGAACTTCGTAGATGTGGGTATTACTTCAAACGTACCAAGCGGATTAGGGTTCTCGTTAGACAACTTTATGTAATTAGAAGTAGAGCAGTCTTTGCTTTCTTCTCGACATCGTTGGTGCTGCTCAACGAACCGTAGTTGTATATTTGATTTTACATGTTCGCACGAAAGGCGAATCACTGATACAAGTTTTATCCCATTTGAACGCAGTTTATGTAATTTTTGTTGCAATAAGTGCTTCGTGTAATTTCTTGAAAGTTCGGGTGGACTTGAAGGTATGTTGTTACAATGAGCAAATACTTCACAAAGTATAAAAGGTGATTGCAGTTACAAGCCAGCAGGTATGAAGCACTGCCACAAAGTGGAAACCACGCGTTATTTGCTTCTGCTTTTCGATTGCTCCAGACGCGTCAATTACATAAACGAATGCACTTTCTTCTCGACCCCCATCATTCCGCTTCGCTGACCACGCCAATGAATCAATTTCTTCTGCTCTCCGGCCTCGTTCTCCGGTCGAAATCACAGGAATAGTAACAGACGGAGTAAATCTCCTACCCAGAATTAACCAGAAGCATGATGACAGGGAATGGCAATTATCCGATACTGGAAATGGTATTGACGACGACCGATAGCATACACGAGCCTTTCATGTTTATTTTGACGCTGTAAGTGCCGGCACATGATATTTCTGTCTGTATGTTTATTTTCGGGCAGCCACTAAACTGCCGAACGTTACACTGGAGCAATTGTCGATCCGTAGTCCTTATAGCCGATGACTCCAATCGCATTAGTACTTCAACGATGCACAAACATAACACAGTCTAAATGGAGGTTTTCACCTTGTTGTGTACGCAGGTCACACGGGTCTGCGGATCCAAAAGTCACAAGTAAGGAAATGCTTTTATCCATAGAAGCTTTCTCTTTGTTGATATTCTTTGGTTATGCTTAGTGTGAACTCTTTTTTGGACCGGCGATGTGCGATGTACCGATGAGGCTTCTCTCTCTCTCTCTCGTGCTTCACGGAAGATACGAGATTCACGCACTCATTGTGACGACAGACTTGATAACATGGGAATATTCTACGTAAGATATATAAGTCCGACAGGAGTGCGGATCGAAGCCCTATACATACAATGTCACTACCAACCCCCCAAGGTGTCACATCATTGACATTTAAGCCTCCTCCACTAGACGGGTCGTTAACATTCCCAGAACTATTCGACTACAATGCTACTCACAGTCCCAAACATCCTTTATTTCGTTACGACGATCTTGATAATGGTGGATTTCGTACTATCCTTTGGGAGGAAGGAGTTGCCGCCTTCCACACCGCTGGCCATTATTTCAAGAAGTATATTCATGGCGATGCTCCCATCACCGTTGGTATCTTAGCCAATACCAGTAAGTCTGGTTCCTTGCAGTGTTAATCCTCTAAATGACATCTTCAGATTCAATCACATACTTCGCTGTATTGGCGGGCTTGATGCGTCTCGGGTTCATTCCTTTCCCCATCTCAATCCGTAACTCAGTCGTTGCTATTGTCCATCTCATGAAATCCTCGGGCGCCAGTCATCTGATTATCAGCCAGGATGTATCCTTACGAAATACGGCAAATATGGTCGGCCGGCAGTTCTGGGAAGCTGACATCAACGATAAGATCACCATCATACCATTACCACATTTCAGCGACCTTTTTTCTGTGAAACCTGGGGAATACGATCCGCTTCCTCCTGTTCGCCCTGCCTGGTCACAAACGGCGCTGATCATACATTCTTCAGGATCGACTCGTTTTCCTAGTCCCATTCATACCACCCACAAGAATGCATTGCGGAATGCCTCGAGACCATGTAAGGGTAGCCCAATTCAATTTCGGTCCGACCTCAACGTTCCACAGACTATGGAGAAATGGACGTGTGCGGGGAAGTGTTTGGAGTACAGGCAATGCCGATGTACCGTTAGTATCTCATCATTCATATTCTCTAACGGCGAAATGAATGTCTTCTTTAGACGCGATGGGCTTTCTTTCGGTCTCCCTTTCGGTGGGTTATTCGAGCGGAGATATTTTTGCGCTATTGATAGTTCTGTCAGACCGCAACTGGTGCTATTATCGTATCCTTTCCGCCGATATATCCGCCTTTGATTCCCACCGCTGAACGTTTTCTATCGAGCATAATCGACACTAAGACGACTTTAGTTGTCACTGTGCCCTCATTCTTGGTGGTATGAAGCTATCCTTTAAACGTCGTCTCGTATCGTTAGTATATCTCACGGCGATTATAGGAGTGGGCTCGTGATCCCAAGGCCATCGAGGCTCTGAAATCCACAACTGCAGTGGTAGGTTATTCAAATTATTTGGAAACGAACCAGCTGTGACTACCGTATTTTCAGATGTACGGTGGCGGACCTCTCGAGAAGGATGCTGGTGACATCCTTGTCGCCAATGGTATCTTAGTTATATCCATCTATGGACTGTAAATACCGTATTATTCTCTGTGGCTATTTCGATTGCTCACTGCCGCTGCTAGCACCGAGAGCGGAGTCTCCATGGTCTTCCCCAGTATGTACATTGTGTTTCTCTTCCATGGCCCAGTCTCAATCTTTTCAGGGAGTATTCCGGCGGAAGGATGGGGGTGGATGAAGGTAAAGCATTTATAAATGTTGTTAGGCATCCGTTGTGACATGCTCTATAGGTAGGGAGCTATGTCGACGCTGTTTTTATGCCGACAGATGAGAAGGACATTTATCGTCTCTACGTCAAAGTAAGTGACCGTTTACCCTCCTTCATACATCAAATAACGATGTGACACGACCTACAGGAAAGTCTCCATCACTCGCCTGCAGTCTTAGACGCCGAAATCGATGGAGTCAGGGCTCTTGACACGAAGGACTTAGTGCAATTGCATTCTTCAAATCGGGAACTGTTCAAGGTTTATGGACGGGCTGGTAAGTCGGTGCTTCCGACTGTCTGTTTTGGTATCTCCATACCGGTTCACAGATGACCAAATCATGCACAGCACAGGGGTGCGCTTCTCTCAGTGTCTTTGATGCTCTCACTTTATCTCCGTATCTGTTTTACAGGAGAAGGTAAGCCAAGTCTATTGGATCATATTCGTTGGTGCTAATCATGCTCTGCAGACAAACCCTGTCCCAATTGGTGAGCAGGCATTTAAATGCGTAAATCCTTGCTAACGCAGTAAATGCAGAGGCTGGTTTAACCACAGACAAGCGTATAACAGCAGCCTTGATGTTCGGTCGGTCTAAATTTCAACCAGGCGTCCTCATCCTACCGGCGCCGGAGGAAGTATTTGACCCAAGTGACACTACCCGACTTGCAAAATATCGAGCCAGCATATGGTTAGCCCTCGTGCCCACTGTCCTCAGGTGACGTTACTGAGTTTGAGATCGACAGTAATACTGTCACGAAAGTTAATGAGCAAGCACCGCAGCACTCTCGGATTTACAAGGAGGTACGTCTGCTGTGGCGCTTATAACTGGTGTGCTTACCCTCCAGAAGATGATTCTCGTCGCAAAACCGTCGAAGCCTTTCGAATTCACTGCAAAAGGAACCCTGCAACGGAAGGCTATCTTGAAAGCATACGAGCAAGAAATAGAAGATCTGTACAAGGCCATCGACGACGTATCACAAGCGGACGTTGTTATACCGCAGCTATGGACTCTTAAGAACGTCATGACTATGATGAGGAACATTGTCACAGCTATCTTGGAGCAAAAAATAGGCGACTCAGACGATATATTTGTCGCTGGAGGTGATAGGTAACCATATCCGTTCTATTCGGCGTTAGCGCTCTGACTCGTCATATCTATAGCCTTACAGCGATGTCTATCCGAAACTCACTTCTTCGTGCGCTTCGCAAGTCAAAAGTAGTCCCTGTGGTCGTCATCAGAGCTCTTCCACCGAACTTCGTCTTTGATCTTCCTTCTATCGCTGTTATGAGTGCTTTCATCCACGGAATCGTACTGGGTGCACCTGCTTCACCTGCAGCTGAAGTATCTACCAGAAGCGGCGAGGTCGATGAAGCTGCGCATCGTGAAGTCGATCCTTCCCCTGATCGGAGTCAAAACGTTGTCAAATTACGAGACGGTGCTGGCGAACCACCCTTGATTGTCATCCATGGTCAGTCGCTTTTCTTATGCGAAAATAAGTTTCCTCATGGTATTCTAGGTGCTGGAGGAGTATACTTTGAGTATGCATCTTATGCCGATAAGTTCAGGACTGCAGTTTGGACTTTGACCATTACACCCGAAACCCCCCTGAATTCGCTACCCGAGCTGGCGTCTTTCTATTTTGCGAAGATCAAAGCGGAAAGGCCTCATGGCCCCTACCGCTTTGCATCCTACTCTTCATCCAGCCTCCTGCTTGTCGTCCTTCTGAAAATCTTTGAGGACAATGGGGACGAGGTTGCTCAAGCTGTCATGCTCGATCACTTTCCAGCAATGTTCGTGCACTCAGCCAACAGGTTTGGGAATCCTGACCCAAGGGTTCCGGAGAATATTCGGAACATGCTCGACATGGGCATGAGTGCCATCGAAGGACTGATGGACCGGGACTCTAACCGCGACACACTTCAGCGGGCGAAGAACCTTCTTTTGGATGGCTGGAAGGGCGTTTACGCTAACGATATCATACGGAACGCTATCCGCAATATTAAAGGATTTCTTACTGCTAACTCCGAGTTTGTATACGATTTGGCCACGGACGAGACGGGCTTGTCTTCCATTGAATTGATGGCGCAGTGGATGAGGACCGTAAAAGTGCCGATAACGGTGGTTGTCGCGCCTGAAGGAGCATTGGGGGCCGTTCCCGAAGAAGATAGAACATCCTGGACCGATCTGGGCACAAAGCGATGCCTCCCTGGTGCACGAGTCGTTTTCGTTAAGGGAGGTCATTACGAGTTCCTGACAAACGAAGTTGTCCTACAGCTATTGCAAGAAGGCTACTAAACATTTTCTTGAACATTTCCAGTCAGCGTGCATTTGGACATTTGAACATTATTTTCTTTTTCTTTTTACTTATGTATATGAGACTTGAGCGCTTTCTGCACTTTATTCCCTTTGTCGAACTTTCTTCCTATCCTGCATTTTCTCTGTACCCTTTTCGGCCTCACCAGTTCGGTCTGGCTGCCGAAACGACTCATCATGATTGAGGTAATTCGGCTGCGAGGTAGCACTTGGTTACTTACCACCATCTTCAACGTTGTTTGTTGAGGATGTCTTGCAGACATTTGGAATTTTGTGTGCTAGAGTGGATACTTCTCAGAGAACAAGAAGTGATGAGTGAGAGGCTGATACTTATACTAGGTCCTCAGCACTGCTACCGGATGGAAACACGCGTTATTTGCTTCTACTATTTTCCCCTTATTTCGGACGCGTCCCTTATGTAAGTAAATGCACCTCTTCCTTGACCCCCACCATTCCGCTTCGCCGACCAAGCCAATGGATCAATTTCCTCTGCTCTGTAGCCTCGCTCTCCACTTGAAACTATAGGAATCCTAACAGACAGCGTAAATATCCTACCCGGAATCAACCAGAAGCATGGTGGGATGATGCTGGAAATGATATTGACGAGGACTGATAGCATACATGAGCCTTTCATGATTGTTCCAGTGAAGCGGCAAGTACCTTCACATGATATCCCTGCCTTTATGCTTATATTTGGGTAGCTACCGAATTGTCGAAGGACAGCCTATTATCGATCCTTCGGCCTTATAACCGAAGGCTCCAATCACATCAGTACTTCAGTGATGTACAAAAATAACAGGCTAAATGGAGACTTTCACCTTGTTGTGTACGTTGGTCACACGCCCCTGCGGATCCAGTAAGGAAACTATGGAAGCTTTTTCTGTGCTGATATTCTATGGTTATGCTTAGTGTGAACTTTTTTGGACTAGCGATGGGCGAAGTGCCGATGAGGCTTCTTTCAGTCTCGTGCTTCACGGAAAGTACGAGATTCACGGATTCATTGTGACGACAAGCTTAATAGCATGGGAATTTTCTATGTAAGATATATAAATCCGGCAGAAGTGCAGATCGAAGCCCATACAAACAATGTCGCTACCAATCCCTCAAGGCGTTTCGTCTTTGACTTTCAAGCCTCCCCCAGTCGATGGCTCATTAACATTTCCGGAACTATTTGACTACAATGCTACTCACAGTCCCAAACACCCTTTATTTCGTTACGACGATCCTGATAATGGCGGATTTCGTACTATCCTTTGGGAGGAAGGAGTTGCCGCCTTTCATACTGCTGGCTATTATTTCAAGAAGCACATCCACAGTGACGCTCCCGTCACCGTTGGTATCTTAGCTAATACTAGTAAGTCTGGTTCCTTGCAGTGTTAATCCTCTAAACGTCATCTTCAGATTCGATCACATACTTCACGGTAATGGCGAGCTTGATGCGTCTTGGGTTCACACCTTTCCCCATTTCAATCCGTAACTCAGTCGCTGCTATTGTCCATCTCATGAAATCCTCGGGCGCCAAGCATCTGATTATCAGCCAGGATGTATCCTCACAAAACACAGTAGACGTAGTCTGTCGGCAGCTCTGCGAAGTTGACGTCAACAATAAGATCACTACCATCCCAGTGCCGCATTTCAGTGACCTCTTTTCTGTGAAACCTGGGGAATACGATCCGCTTCCTCCTGTTCGCCCTGCCTGGTCACAAACAGCGCTGATCATACATTCTTCAGGATCGACTCGTTTTCCTAGTCCCATTCATATCACCCACAAGAACGCATTGCGGAATGCCACGAGACCATGTAAGGATAGTCCAATTCAATTTCAGTCCGACCTCAACGTTCTACAGACTATGGAGAAATGGACGTGTGCGGGGAAGTGTTTGGAGTACAGGCAATGCCAATGTATCGTTAGTATCTCATCTTTCATCTTCTCTAACGGCGGAATGAATGTCTTCTTCAGACTCGATGGGTGTCTTTTCACTCTCCTTTTCAGTGCGTTGTTTCAGCTCCGACCTTTTCGTGCTGTTGATTTTTCCGTCAGACCACGACTGGTGCCATTGTTGCATCCTTCCCGCCGGTAGAGCCGCCTTTGATCCCAACTGCTGAACGTTTTCTATCGAGCATCATCAGTACTAAAACGACTATAGTCATCACTGTGCCCTCATTCCTGGTGGTATGAAAATACATTTACATGTTGTCTCGCATCACTAATACACTACATGGCGATTATAGGAGTGGGCTCGTGATCCTAAGGCCATCGAGGCTCTGAAATCCACAACTGCAGTGGTAGGTTATTCAAATTATTTGGAAACCAACCAGCTGTGACTACCATATTTTCAGATGTATGGTGGCGGACCCCTCGAGAAAGATGCTGGTGATACCCTTGTCGCAAATGGCGTCTTAGTCATATGTCTCTATGGACTGTAAAAAAATGCTGCATTGTTCTCCGTGCCTGCTTCGAATGCTTATTTCCGCTTCTAGTACCGAATGTGGAGTCTCCGCAATCTTGCCCAGTGTGTATACCATCTTTTCTCTACCACGCTCCAGTCTCAATTGCTGCCAGAGAGTATTCCGATGGGAGGGTGGGAGTGGATCACGGTAAGTAATCTAACATCATTGGCCATCTGTTGTGACATGCTACATAGCCGGAGAGCAACGTCGATGTTGTCTTTGTGCCGACCGATGAGAAGGATATTTATCGACTCTACATCAAAGTAGGTGACCGTCGACTGTACTTCACGTCACATCTAAGGATGTGACATGGCCTATAGGAAAGTCCACATCACTCGCCTGCGGTCTTCAACGCTGAAATCGATGGAGTACGGGCTTTTGATACGAAGGACCTGGTGCAGTTACATCCTTCAAATCGGAAACTGTTCAAGATTTGTGGGCGTGCCGGTGAGTTGGTACATTAGGCCATATTCCTTGCAGTTCTCATACTAGTTTACAGATGACCAAATCACACATAGCACAGGGGTGAGCTTCTCCTCTTGTTCTTGGATACGTCAGCTTATCTCTGTCTTCATTTTACAGGAGAAAGTGAGCCAGGTTCATAGACTTACATACCTGGTGCTAATCACGCTCTGTAGACAAACCCCGGCCCAATAGGTGAGCAAGCAATGGAATTACATGTATCTTTTGTTAACACAAGTACAGAGGCTGGTTTAGTAGCAGACAAGCGCATAACAGCAGCCTTGATGTTTGGTCGGTCCAAATTCCAACCAGGCATCCTCATCCTTCCTGCGCCAGAGGAGGCATTTGACCCAAGCGATACTACACGACTCGTGGAATACAGGTCAAGGATCTGGTTAGTAATCGTATTCGCTCCCCTGGGCACTGCTGAATTTGAGGTTGACAGGCACACTATCATAAAAGTTAACGAGCAAGCACCACAGCACTCTCGGATTTACAAGGAGGTGGGCCTTCTGTAGTACTTATAACGTTCCCCGATCATTGATCTGTCCCGGAAGATGATTCTTGTCGCAAAGCCATCGAAGCCTTTTGAATTTACTGCAAAGGGAACTCTACGCCGGAAGGCCATCTTGAAAGCATACAATCAAGAAATAGAAGATTTGTACAAGGCTATCGACGATGCAACACAGGCGGACGTTGTTATTCCGCAGCTGTGGACTCTTAGAAATGTCATGGCCATGATAAGGGGCATTGTCACAGCTGCTTTGGAGCGGAAAATAGGCGACTCAGACGATATATTTGTCGCTGGGGGTGATAGGTATGCTAGTCATTTCAGTTCGGTTCGGCACTAGGTTTCTCACCTATCACAATATAGCTTAACAGCAATGTCAATCCGAAACTCTGTTCTTCATGCGCTTCGCAAGTCAATAGTTCCTGTGGCCGTCGTCAGAGCTCTTCCACCTAACTTCGTCTTTGATCTTCCTTTCATTGCTGCTATGAGCGCCCTCGTCCACGGAATCATATTGGGTGCACATGCTTCGCCTGTGGCTGGGCTATCTACTAAAGGTGACGAGGCTGACGAAGCAGTATATCCCGAAGTCAATTTTGTCTCTGATCGGAACATAGTCAAGTTACGGGACGGTGCAGGCGAACCACCCTTGATCGTAATCCACGGTCCGTAGCCCTTATTATGCAAAACAACTCTCTAACATTTTCGCATAATATTCTAGGTGCAGGAGGAGCATATTTCGCATATGCATCCTATGCCAACAAATTCAGGACTGCAGTTTGGGCTTTGACTGTTGCACCCGACACTCCTTTGAATTCACTGTCCGAGCTGGCGTCTTTCTATTTTGCGAAGATCAAAGCAGAAAGACCCCACGGTCCCTACCGCTTTGCATCCTACTCATCGTCCAGCCTCCTCCTTGTCGTCCTTGTGAAACTCTTTGAGGATAATGGAGATGAAGTTGCTCAGGCTGTCATGCTCGATCACTTTCCAGCGCTGTTTGTGTACTCAGCCAACAGGTTTGGGAACCCAGACCCACGGGTCCTGGAGAATATTCAGAACATGCTCGACATGAGCATGGATAGAATTGCAGGGCTGATGGATCGGGACTCCAACCGCGACGCGCTCCAGCGAACGAAGAACCTTCTTTTGGATGGCTGGAAGGGCGTTTATGCTAACGATATCATACGGAACGCTATCCGTAACATGAAAGGATTTCTTACTGCTAACGCCGAGTTTGTATACGATTTGGCCACGGACGAGACGGGCTTGTCTTCCATTGAATTGATGGCGCAGTGGATGAGGACCGTAAAAGTGCCGATAACGGTGGTTGTCGCGCCTGAAGGAGCATTGGGAGCCGTTCCCGAAGAAGATAGAACAACGTGGGCCGATTTGGGGACAAAGCGATGCCTCCCTGATGCACAGGTTGTTTTCATTAAAGGAGGCCATTACGAGTTCTTGACAGACGAAGTTGTTCTACAACTATTGCAAGAGGGTTACTAAGTATTGTGTCGAACTTTTTTGAAAATCTCTAGTCAGCGCTCGTTTGGACATTTGAACTTTTTTTCTTTGTATTTATGTATATGAGGCTTCAGCGCTTTCTGCACTTTATTCCCTTTGTCGAACTTTCTTCCCATCGTTCATTTTCTTTGTACCCTTTTCACTGTTTTCAGGTTCCACCGGGATTTCGGTCCGACTGCCGAACCGACTCATCACGGTTGAGGTAATTCGGTTGCGAGGTAGCGCTTGTTTACTCACCACCATATTCAACGTTGCTTGGTGAGGACGTCCGGCAGACATTGGTCTTGTCTGCAGGCAGTGCTCCGTAGGAAGGTGTGTTTATATGTATTTAGCAAGACTGGCTCCCTGTTTACTATTTTTACGCAGTTCTCTTGACCTTGCGACGTATTTTCCCACCTTCCACTTCAACATCTTATCATGGACCCCCATGTAGCACGCCTCCTCTCAGATGCTCATGAATACTCCCAATTAGCTCCCGGTGTGATCTATACTCAATACCAGCAGCTAATGTCTTCACTTTCCACTTCACTCGAACAATTCCTTTCCACCAAGACCTTGACACTCTTTCCCACCGAACTACTATGCACCATATTTTCTTACTCCTGCGCCACAGATCCCCACACGGATGCGCCGCTACAGGGAAACCTAATTATGATCGCGACGCCGATGGTCATTGCGTCGGTCTGCACGCGCTGGCGCGAAATTGTGCTTGACATGCCTTCTGCATGGGCATGCATCGACATCAACTTTATTCCTCGTCTCGACCGAGGTGGCAAGGATAGCGATAAACTCGAAAGACTGGTGGAGAGATACGCAGAGAGATCCAAGACTGCTCCTCTTTCCATCCGCTTACGCTTTCCGCCACCTGTCCCAAGTCGAGATCCTCGCTCGTCGCACGAACGCATCCTGCGTCGTCTTTCGAACGTCATCATCCCCCTCCTTATTCCTCATGCTACGCGATGGCGACACCTCGCGCTGAACCTCTCTTCCGGCAATATTGCGCCTCTTTACACCATCTTCGACCTCGCTATCTCCGGCTTTCCAATGTTGGAGACGCTCACGTTGGAAGACCTTGCTCAGGGCACGAGTAACATCTGCGATGGGTTTGCATCAGCTACAACACTCAAACACATCCAGTTTAAAGGCGCCGTCCTTCATCCCTTTTTGTATTCCTTACTTCCCCGATTAGGAAAACAACAGGAGGTGAAGACCGTTGTCCTCCAAAGTATACCCTACAGAAGGCTCATACCAACAATTGGTTCTTTGTTCAATGTGGAGAGGCTCGTGCTACAGGATATGCAACCGGACGTGGCAAATCAGCAATATGGGTTCCCGCTCCTGAGGACCAACCTACGCAATCTTACAATCGTATTCGGAGAAATCAATGAGGGGATCGTGTTCTCGACCTTTTTGGCCGCACTTGAAATGCCAAAGTTACGCACACTGGAGGTGATCGAACCGTATCCCATGAATATGAGGACTTTCATCCCTGAGTGTCTCACGTCGCTTGTCGTCCGTTCCGAAGCGACGGCGACGTTGCGTAAACTTGTTTTGAAGGGCGTCGTGATGTGGGCGAGCGAACTGGTGAGCCTGTTGGAGGTTGCGCCTTTACTGGAGGAATTAGTCGTGCATGAGTCGCGAGAGAGACCGAGGATATGGCGTGGATTCGAATATGGATATAGTGACGATATCGACGATGCGCCACACCCAATATCAGAGATGTTTTGTCTGCAGTTTTCTGATGAAGAAGTAGCGCCAAAGTTGAAGGTTTTGGAGCTCATATGGTTTTGCGAATTGGATGAGACGTCGGTGATGGATATGGTTGAGGTTAGGAATAAGCTGGAGAGTGTCACTCTTGGCATGGGACCTTTTGCTCAGACAACTTACGAGCGGATGAGATCGCTAACAGAGCGAGGAACGAAATGCTTTGTATCGGTAGCGTAGTTTGTCTCTGTACATATGTACTACTACGTACTTTCTTGGCGACCAGTGTAGTTACTGTTATGAATATGCTTTATGATCAAAAAGGCTGAACTTCCAAAACTTCTGACGTCTTCACGACGAGTAGCTCTTGGCTCCTTAACTCTGCGGCAAGATATATCTTTGTTCCATTGACGCCTTTCTCCCTAAGCACCTTTGCAATTTTATCATATTGTATCCCGTTATCTTCCTTCCTGATCTTGCACACCAGATCTCTCTTCTTCGTGTAGACAAAGAAGTCATGTTCGCCTGATAAAGGCTCGAACGTTTTCACATCTATGGCGGCTTGTATTTTGATTATAAGGGGCTTCGAACTGCCTTCGGCAGTTGCTTTCGGTATTCGCGCATAGCGGGTTTCCCTCTGTCGGACAGGCTCTGTCGGCAATCCCGTCGCCTGACGTAGGAGGTCGGCCATAGGACGCATGTGGTAGTCGGCGCCTTCCGGTTCGAAATACGGCTTCAACAGGACCGTGTTCTCCGTAGCGAACGACTGGCACTTCTTTTTATGTATAGGCCAATGCTGACCTAGAAATATCGTGAGGATGCTGTCGTGAAACAAAACGAAGATCAAGCCAAGTGCTTACGCTGGCATTCGACAGAGCAGTAACGCATGACCTGGCATCTCGTACAGTTCTTCAACGGCAGGTCGCTCCTCCCGCATTCGCCACAAGCCTTTTCGCCTCTCGAGCCTTTCTCTTCGCCACTCCGCCTGCGAATCCACCTTGATACTACGGCGGTGATTTCGGGTCCACACCTGACGAAAGACTTCCTCGGTGTAATACCATCGGCCTCTGCAATATCCAAGTCGGCGCCAAACTCCAATAAGATGTCGGCTGATTTGAACAGCTTTAGCTGAAAGGCCCCGAGCAGGGGTACCTCTCCGTAGCGATTTTGATGATCAGCGTTGGCTCCTTTGGTAAGGAGGAGACGAACAAGGTCAGGCCGTTCCACAGGACAGCTCACGAGATGGTGAAGAGCGGTGAATCCTACTATGTCCTCGGATTCGAGCGGGAGGCCCTGGGAGATGAGATATTCCATGATTTCGTAGTGCTGAGCAACCCCTCCTTGCACCCGTTGAGCGCCGTAAACCACCAAAGTTGCATATCCGAACTTGAAGCTAGTCTCGGTGACATGCAAATCAGGATCTTGTCCTTTCCCAAAATGCTACGAAGTTATTTTGAGCTCAAGTCGCCCAGATTAGCCGCATTACTTGCCTTTTTAACTTCTTGCAATACCCCCATAACGCAGGATAGAGCGAAGGACGATATTCTGGACGCATCGAAATTCAGGGTTTCTAGAGAGAAAGAGTAGGTTACCAATTGAACATACTAAAGAGTGGATACCTTGTCGATAAAGTATTCGAAGCTTTTGCCCTCCGTCTTTTGATTTAAGGTAGCGCGAAGGTCGGTTCAAGATAGACCTCATTTGTTTGTCGATAGTAAGTCCTCCATCCTGTGTTGACATCGTTGCGAAGAAATAAGAGAAGGACTGCGGGGGGCTGTGTACAGGACGATCGAAAGGTCACACTTTATCAAATTCACAGGACCCTGCGTCCCTTCAAAGAATACAGAATCAGCGGAATGTGAAGCATTATTAATTAAAGAGATGCTCAAGGCAGTTATCCTGATACAGGTACTGTAACAGAAGCTCCAAGGGTGGACGTGACTGTAACAAAAGCAGGGGAAGGCCGTATGGAAACCAGAGCCTGGAATCGACCACTTCCAAGCGAAGTCATCGCGATCGTATCGACGTTAGGATCAGTGGCCTAGCACGCTCATTGGTCAGAGAAGTAGTGAGGTCTCATACAATATACACTCACGGATACGAGAAGCTGAGAGGAGATGATATTCGTCGATGCGATGACTGTGAGAGTACCAGAGCCTTTCCCGCTCTTCCAGGACGCTTCTTCTACGGTGATCTGTAAGGAACACAAAGAATAAGATCAATCGTCTCTGTAAAATCAGGAAAAATGGGTACTGACACTGTCTACAGTCGGTCCTGGATTTATGTTTATGACAACCTGGTCACTACTTTCCCCAGCATCGTTGGACACTGTGAGAGTGAAGACAAGGGTTGACACGGTTGGGACGGCAGGTGCTAAAAACGTAGCATTGATGCTGTTGGCATTGGCCAATTCAACGGTCACTCCTGATGTCTGCGACCAAGAGAAAGTGAGATTCGTCACTGAAAACTAAGTAAGTCTCACGAAGGTGCACGCATTGAAAGTATCTCACCGTCAAGATCATTTTTGACCCCGCCGAAAAGTGTTGCGTTGGCCCCAGATACAACTGTGGCGTCAGGACCTGCATTCGCAACTGGTACGAGAGGATTAATGACAGGGCAGTTTGAGATAGCTGGCGAGCCAACACCTATCCGTATATTAGATCGAACAAAACAGGAGGTATGGAAAGACGACGCTGCATACCGGGCCACGGATCCAGTTGCCCAACAATTGGTCCAGTCGCTGTCTGTGGTACGCCAGGAATCCCACCTAGCCATGGTCCGCTTCCCGAAGCCAGATGAGGCATCAGATTGAACTCGTGAGGAATCTGAGGGTCGCCAAAGATGATGAGCTCAGAGAAGATGTACCCATCAGGAGGATAAGGAGAAATATATTGACCACCCAAGATCCCGTTTGGTGTGGCAACTGTACCTCCCGTAACTCGGACGCCAACCTCGCGAGTATATGGAGGAAGCGCAGTGGATCTTGAGCGGAATCGCCATTGACCTTTCCTATCTAATGCGCGTGGAACAGCGGTACCCCAGGAGCGTTCGCTCTCCTCTCCGGTACAAGGATCCACGTCTATGGTAAATATCTGTATTGTCGCGGTTTCGTCTGTGGTGTAACCTTCAACCTGTTATGGGACATTGAGACAAGGAATGCATAACAAATGTATCGACGTACTCTTGTTTCTTGTATTTCACCAGCAGGATCTATATAACAACGTTAGAAAAGAAAGAGATTATACAAGTAAAGTACTAGACCTCCGTTAATACCCGCTTGCATCGTCTCAATTCGAAGATATGCCGGGCTGAAGGAAACATTAGGCTGGAAGACAAGATCATCAGGACAACCTACATCGTTCCAGGAGTAGTATATATTCCCAGATTGCCCTCAATGCTATATGCAGCTATGAGACGACCATCAGCATCCTCCACAATGGTGCCACTGTAGATGATGAAGTCGCCTATGGGATGGTTAGCCATCACAACTAAACTGATACGATGTCACTCACCGACTTTCAAAGGGACAAATAAGTTAGGGTCTGGTTGCCCAGCGGGAACAGGAGGAGCTGCGAAGGTACTTGGAAAGATAGCAATGTCAAATGCCGATATGTGAGCGGTGCAATGATGGTCTCTTACAATCCAGACAGCGGCTTGCCAGACCCATCCACTGGTCGATTGGTATCAGGGCACAAAGGATCATCGGCCACCGCAGGATCAACTCGCGGAAGACATAATGGAAATCCAGTACTAGCTTGTATTGAAGGGTTATCTGTGTCGGCGGTCCAAAGTGGCCAGTCGCCATGAACCTTGCCGAATCTTCCAACTGTATGATAGTGTCAGCCACAGTCGATGAATGGAGTAAGCTTCTAAACCTGGGTCATTAATGACGACACGAACACCAGTTGTCGGATTGTTGAAGTCGCCGCCGACACGGAATTCGCCCTTTTCATAATCAATAGCGGTAATAAATCCTTCGTTGAGGTTCGCTATTTCTTGGAAGATGTACACAATTCCAGCGATATACTGGCCTCCGATAAAATTGGCGAAGATCTGAGCAACGTTTTAGAGCAGAGTTTGCCGAACACGAGTAGATTACCGACCTGAGCTTCCCAGCTAATTTCGGGCCAGAGTGGAAGGTCGATGGTCCCATTCTCGTTGAATAGCTCACTCCATGCCACAGCCGTGAGTGAGGGCGTGTTGACAAGAAGATTGTGCGGGATGATTACATCGATGTTGTTAATGGACAACGTCCCACCAGATAGAATGTCAGAAGAATTATCGATAGTCGCGCTACAGGCAGAGTGAAAAAAGGTCAAAGAAAATGCATTATGTCTTACCCGGTGATATATCCTGCAGCCGCGTACGGAGAAGGATCGTATGGGATCGAGGTGACTTGCGAGAAGGTGGAGCCAGCGAAGAAGTGAAGAAGTGAGAGAAGAGCAAAACTGAAGCTCATATGACGCATGATAGAGGCGCAAGTCTGTGAGAAAGTGGTGAAGAACTTCTTGTCGACGCTCTGAAGCTACAGCCTTGCGCCGGCTCACCTTTATACAACCCGTCTGGACCCAAGATACAGCGGTGCTACGTGTCCTGAGCTGCTAATCAGTACATACCAGGCACTGTTAGTAATAGATGATGAGAATTATTAGCAGCAGACGAGGATGCCATCAGAATCACCTTTGTTCAGTTGGAAATGGTCGAAATTCCAGGTCCGTATCGTTGCTTGCATGACGGAAAAGTACAACACTGAACACCAACTATGTATTGGGTAGGGCTTGCGTTGCTTGCATGAACGAAAGAAAAGCCAAAGGCTGCACTCTTAGCAATCCAATCAACATGACTTGGAGTCATCATAGAGATACTGAAAATACCGACAACCAGGCACTCCAGGTGCGACAGCAAGGGTATCATGGCTTCAATGCCTCGGGCATGACGTGGCCCTCTTGCGATATCCATCTTCTTGGAAAAGTGGAAATATATATGTGCATACGTCCTTTAGAGGAGCTGGGACGTTATACCGCAGAAGGGTAAGTCACGCACCGCCATTCTTTCCTTGGCAAGAGAAACAGTCTTGGCTGTGCAAGGGCTTGCAAGGCGAAGTTCGGATTACGCTGATCATACGTTCCAGTATGGTTCTGCGACTCACAACATTTGTGTCAGATAGAAACATCCGTTGCTACTGGCAGAGCACACATTTTCAGATTTAAATATTCCGTTTGAGACTGGCGTACAAGGGTGCATCTGACGACAGCCAAATTTAATTCTGATCGGCGTGTTAGTGGGCCTGAACTTTGAAGCGAAAGCAGACGTACATGTTCCTGAGTTGATACGTAGACGTGTTGGTCCACGTACCGTGGGTGCAGGATCTATAAAAGACGTTATAACAGTACTGGAAGCTATGTCTTTGAACGAGACACGTTGATGACTATACGTGTTCCGTGGGAAATACAGTCTGTAGATGAGATAAGAACGAAGCGTCTCTCCATCGAAATGATGCACAGGGGAGACCATAGCGTGGAAGGCCGTGTTCGTAGACATGATTCTGGTGGTGTGTACCGGTGGGTATATGCGTGTATATAAGCAATAAAATCAACACATATGGGTCCGTCGTGTACCTTTGAGTTATTGAACTTTATCAAGGGAACAGGCGCTACATAGCATTGTTGAGACTGTCAGTTGCCGATAATAAAGCTGGCCTGTAGATCATTCTTCAAGCGTAGCCCAGAAATGCCACAGGTGCGTCATCAAGAGAAAATATCGCCAATATAATTGAGCAGAATCACAATTCTGCAGGCGTCGGGGTCCCACATTCGTAACGGAAAATGCAAGAAAAATGATGCGTTTATCCGTGTAGGTAGAAAGATACCACTGAAGCTATAACTTCTCGGAAATTAACCTTCGAAGAAAATTCAGTATGAGAGGAAATTAGGAATCTGACGTACTGGCATCAGAGACATCTTCAAATTTGCACTCAAAGTGCGAAGAGATATCAATAAAGCTTATTTAAGAAAGACTTTGCCTTCAAAAATATGGAATATACCACGATAAGAAACGTAGACACCACTGTCAGTGTCGTGGTTGGAAACCGCGATCCCGATATAGCAATGCACACCTGAAAATAGTATTGCCAATAAATCGGCCGATATAAGCCGAGCCATCGGCAACACTTCCTGAAGATTTCCCACGAGCCCGAGATCATAATACCTACGTTCTTGCTATAGCAATCTCGTATAGACGTCTTGGTGCATAATTTCTGTTTGGTGTAGAAATACCCCATAGCTTGTACCGTGGACTTACTTATTCATATTTTCGTACGATTTATTTCAGCTGACTTCAGCCCTCCGCACAGTTTCTGTATCCTCTAGTCACGATGGGTCTACGCTACTTCCAAACACTGAAATAAGTTCTCCCTAATCTACCAGAACAATGGTGGATTGATTCATTCGTACGGTTTTTTACGAGCGAGCCATTTGACATGAAAACAACTAACTGAAGATAGATACACTATGTTTCCCTCCATTCAACGTAATTTCCGAATGTGCACAGACGTTGACAGTAACTTCATCAACTACTACAGTGCCTTCCCTCGGTATTTTCACTTGACCACTGGTTCCTTCTGGAGTATTAATCTCCATGAGGAACTGATTGTTCTTCAGCGCCCATCTTACGCCAAACCACCCTAGCGCCGTTTCAAAACCACCTTCAGCCCTGGGAAGACCTCCATTTACATGCGGATTCACCGACCAAGTAGCGCCTTGGCGTGATGTGATGGTCAATCCAAGGACATAGAAGGTCAGCGCAGAAGTAGGTCCAGTAGACCATCCATGCGCATGCGATGTAAAGGAAGGATCATAATTATATCCTCTGGAAGATAGATACCTGCGGGAGAAATTAGTCAATTGCAAAAACAATGAAAAGCGGACACACCCAAGAGATCCATTGGCCGTAAATGACTCAAGGAACGTGCTTTGCACAGACAGATTCGTGTATAACATGTATCCCCATTCCCGACGCAAAAGGTCTAATGCTCGGCTGTCCTGGCCGGCTTCAAAGTGGGCTTGTAGCTACCGGCGTGAGGCCTCATCAGCTTTGAAGGCGCAATTTAGCGAATACCCCTCACTCACCTCAAAGCCGCTAATAAACGTGGAGATTGTATCCGGGAGCTCTGGAGATACTGGTCCTAAATCATTCCAATCCCTTTCTAGTCCTTCGCTTACAGCGACCTTTTGATCATCCGAAAGTGTCAGATTATAAAGAACAGCGAGCGAATTAGCATCCTGAGGGTAAAGCGTGGTCGTCAAATTGTCTCGATACATTCCTGCACTTTTCACCCAAAATGCCTCGTTATACTTTGCTTTGAGCGCAGTGGCACTTGCTCCCCAAGCTGCCGAGAGGGATTTGTCGCCAATGTAATTAGCTAAATCTGAGGCAGTCAAAAGAACCTACTACAGTATGAGATACTATGTCTGGAAGGAAACAGAGAACTTGCCTTGTAAAGGATCGCATTTCCCGCTGCGTTGCATCCACCGCCACCTACACGAGCCCAACCGTCCATACCGGTGACGTCCATTAACCCGGTGCGGTCTACTTTGCCTTCCAAGTAGGCAACAGCATGAGTGTAATTAGTCCAGACGATATTAAGCCAATCGTCATCCCCAGAATAAAGATAGTAGTTGTCTACGCAAGCATCAGCGTCAGAAATCGCGGTATCAGAACATTACTGACGCGCTCCAATAAGAGTCCAGCCGTGATAAGTGTCCGATTCGTTCAGGTAGAGACCGAGAGGAGGACCAGAATATGGTAACGCGCCTGTTTCGGGATTAATAAAAGCGAACATAGTGGACAACGAATTTCTGGTTGGGATCAGATCAAGCGTGGAGACGAATTGGGTAGGGACTGAGATAGCCATATCACCAGGCCATACTGCGCTGTGCAAGAATATAATAGTAAAAATGGCGCCTTGAACAGAACACTAAGATACACACCGATCGCGTTTTGCGCCTATAATTGTCCGTTAGCCTCTGGGATTACGGGTGTGAACAACAAGGATGAGTTACCATCGACAAGTATAGGGCCCGCAACCCCAATGGTTGCGTTATTGAGCCAACCTGATACATGTTAAGATGCGGAAGACGTTGGATGCAAATAGAACGTACTCCCAGCCGCAGCGAATGGAACGTGCCGGCCTGTGTTGAGGGGCACCGTATTCGTCTGAACAGTGTACGCGCCAGCATACTATACTATGTATAATTGATTAGCAGTTTGAAAATTCCATCAGCCGTGCAATTAACCTTTCGTCAAGAAATCTGGATCGTGGAACACAGGATCCGAAGCATAGAAGTAACCTGTGTAAGCTCTCAGGTCGTCGACGTGAGGCATGAATGAAATAGCACAAGAGACATTGGAGATTTCGAGAGTTGTCTCCGAGTGGGACGCGATGGTCAGATACCGAAAACCCCCACGCAGGGAATAGGAAGGCTGGGTCCAATATCCCTTTGGCAATGGTGCAGAAATTGTGAAAACGCCGTCGTAGTCCATATCGGGTGTCGGATCAGAAGTGTCATCTGAAGTGAGTGGGCTGACAAAGGCTGGCGATTCTGTGAAAGAAAGAGATACTGAGGATGTATTGTCGACGACGTCAAAGTTGAGGGAGACGAGTCCCCCGACCTATGAATGGGGTTTTGAGCGCAGTCCCCTCTCAACAAGAAAGAAATTTCTGCACCTCGATCCCAAAGTCCAGCGTGAACCATGAATCTGGGGACAGAGTCGCACTTCCAGTATTCCCTACCATATTCCTAGCACCAGGCACGGAACCTGCGATTTTGTAGACGTCGCGTGGGTAGACGGTCTTGGATTTGGGCGCATAGTTGAATGAATCCCAAGGACCGCCTGGAGCGCGCGCGAAGACAATAGGAAGGAGAAAGAAGGAGAACAGCATATGACTGACGAGTCGGGCGCGTATTTAATAACTTCAGCTAGTTAATTAAATAATGGATCGTCGTCCTCTTCAGCCGAGTGCGAGTGCGAATGCGAGGATAAAATGCCGGATTACTTGTGATGCATGACGATATCGGGTGATAGGATCCGAACAATAGAATGTTCTCAAGATGCCTCGTGGAATCCGTCTGTTCAAAAACATGGTGTCAACTCGATCTGTATTACCTGATATTGAAACAGACTTAGCGTCCAGCGGGGACTGTAGAAATGTATCGCTCGTCGTTAAAGGAATTCGCATTTGAAAAAGGATTCTGGATATGCAGACACCCAAAGGCTTGGATAGAATGTCAAGGCGGTTTTCTCGTCTGTAGGTGGCAAAACGAATGCGATGTCGGTTGAAAGATAAGAAATCAGTGAAAGAGATATTTGAAAAGGATACTGATATGCCGCAGTAGACGTCAATGTCAGCGCCGTCGCACTCATCGTAGTTAAAGGTCAAGCGAAATTTCGAACCCGATATAGTAATCACCGCCTGGACGTTTCCCACGATAGGTTTGCTCCTTCGGAGTCCTGCCGGTCCACAGGCTCGAAAACCCTTGGCTGTCTAGTATGAGTATTTTTCACGGCGCATAATTTCCTTTTGGCATAACAGTAGTTCATCATACTTATACCATACTCTTATTCGTATTCCTCGGCGAATTCCGGCAAGGTCTGCTTCTGCTTCCACGCAACTTCCACGCCTAGACTAGCATTTTGGTGGCGATGTTGGGGTGGGTTCTGCTCAATGATCTGTAATTTGGTAATTTGATTACAACATGTTTTATCATTTTGCTGGCCAGAGTGGTTTTTCGGATACTGATAGTCATTTCTTCACAATCAGGGACTTTTCTCTTCCATGCATTTGTACGACTGATCTGTACGTATAGTTAGCCTACTAGCATATTATCGATGTGCTATTAAGATGATGCCAACCAACAGCCTTTCCGACATACTAAACATAACTAACTGAAGATAACTATACCATGTTTTCCTCCATTCAACGTAATCTCCCCATCCGTACCGACGTCGATAGCAACTTCGTCAACAACGACAGAGCCTTCCCTCGGTAGCTTCACTCTACCATTGGTTCCTTCCGGAGTACTGATTTCCATGAAGAACTGATTATCCTGCAACGCCCATCGTATGCCGAACCACCCCAGCGAGGTTTCAAATCCACCTTCGGCGTTGGGAAGACCGCCATTTATATGGGGATTCACTGACCAAGTAGCTCCCTTGGGCGACGTGACAGTCAATCCCAAGATGTAAAAGGTCAGCGCGGAAGTAGGACCAGCAGACCATCCATGCGCATGCGAGGTATATGCAGCATCATAATTGTAACCTCTGTAAGATCGATACCTGCGTCCGATGTAAATGGGATACAGGAACGATAAAAATACTACGTACCAAAGAGAACCATTCGCGGTAAAACCTTCGAGTAAGGTGCTTTGCACGGACAGGTTTGTGTACAGAATGTACCCCCATTCCCGACGCAAAAGGTCCAAGGCTCGGTTGTCCTGACCAGCCTCAAAGTGCGCTTGGAGCTAGCATCGAGGATAATCGACGTGAGATCTGTAGTCACCGTTTCTCAGATACATCTCACTCACCTCAAAGCCGCTGATGAACGGCGAGATCGTATCCGGGAGCTCTGGAGCCACTGGCCCTAAGTCATTCCAGTTCCTTTGCAGGCCTTCGCTCACAGCGACCTTTTGATCATCCAAAAGTGTCAGATTATAAAGAACAGCGAACGAATTCGCATCTTGCGGGTGAAGCGTAGTCGTCAGGTTGTCTCGATACATTCCAGCGCTTTCTACCCAGAACGCCTCGTTGTACTTTGCTTTGAGCGCAGTGGCATTTGCTCCCCAAGCTGCCGAGAGGGATTTGTCGCCAATGTAACTCGCTAGATCCGATGCGGTCAGGAGCACCTATATAATATCAGAGAGGATATCGCGTAAAAAATATAAAACTTGCCTTGTAAAGAATCGCATTTCCTTCGGCATTGTATCCACCACCACCCAGACGAGCCCAGTCTCTGAGGCCAGTGACGTACATTAGTCCTGTGCTGTCTACTTTGCCTTCCAAGAAAGCCACAGCACGAGTATAGTTGGTCCAGATAGTACTCAGCCAGTCATCATCGCCAGAATAAAGATAGTAATTGTCTACGCAAGCATCGTCAGCTTAAAAGATTGTGGATTCATAGAACATGACTAACGCGCTCCTATGAGAGTCCAAGCGTGATAGGTGTCCGAGCCTTGCTGGCTAAGAGGAGGTCCGGATTCAGGCAACGCACCCGTTTGGGGGTTGATCGCAGCAAACATAGTTGATAACGCGTTTCTTGTGGGAATCAAATCGAGCGTGGAGACGAACTGGGCAGGGACTGCAATACCCATATCCCCAGGCCAAACCGCACTGCATGAGTATAGAATATCAAGGATGCGTCAAACGGAGCACCAGAGCACGAACCGGTCACGCTTTGCACCTTATGATCCATTTTTAGTCTGTGGAATGACAAACAACAAATGGAATGCATTACCATCAACGATTATCGGACCTGCGACCCCAAGTGTTGCGTTATTGAACCAACCTGATGGGTACTGAGATGGAGAAGAAGGTCGGAGGCGAATAGAACGTACTACCGGTTGCAGCGAATGGAACCTGTCGGCCTGTATTAAGAGGAACCGTGTTCGTTTGGACTGTGTATGCGCCAGCATACCACACTACAGATCATCGGCTAAGCATTTTGAAATTTATGGGCTATGAAGCCCACCTTTCGTCAGGAAATCAGAATCGTGGAAAACAGGATCCGAAGCGAAAAAGTAGCCTGTATATGCCCTCAAATCTTCCACGTGAGGCATAAAAGAAATAGCACAAGAGACGTTGGAAATCTTGAGAGAAGTCTCCGAGTGAGACACGATGGTCAGATACCGGAAGCCGCCACGTAGGGAATAAGAAGGCTGAGTCCAATGTCCCTTTGCCAATGGCGCAGGAATGGTGAAAACACCATCGTAGGTCATGTTTGGTGACGGGTATGAAGAATCGTCTGAAGCGAGTGGGTTGACAAACACAGGCGACTCTGTGAAGGAGAGAGATACTGAAGATGTATTGTCGACAGTGTCGAAGTCGATCGAAACAAGCCCCCCGACCTAGTACAGATTTTATAAACCTTTGGCCTTCAAGAGAATAAAATTTCACAGCTCGATTCCAAAGTCCAGTGCGACCCAAGAACTTGGAGACAAAGTCGCGCTTCCATTATTCCCGACCAGCTTTATGGCACCAGACACAGAGCCTACACTTTTGTATACAGCTTGAGGATAAACGGTCTTTGACTTGGGTGCATAGTTGAACGCGTCCCAGGGACCACCTGGAGCTAGAGCGAGGACAGTGGGAAGGAACAGAAAGTAGAACAGCATATGACCGAGGAAGTCAATGTTGGCTGGGCACATATTTAATCGCTTTATGGAATTTCGCTAGCATATCAAATGACGAAGGTAATGATCACCAGATGTTTAGAAGGCCCGCTGGATGACATGGTTCTACCGGATTGCTTGTGATGCATGGTGATGTCCGGTGACAGACTAAGAATAGTCGAATGTTCTGAAGACGTCTGGTGAAATTCTCCTGTTGAAACGTCTCTTAATTCGATTCGCACATACTAATATGAAAACAGACATACTGGCCATACTGACAAGGTTGAAGGGGGCCGTAGAACTTTGCTAGGACTGTTCATCGTCGCATTTGAAAAGCCTGGGTTATAGTATAGAAACGCGGTCTGCGATAGCCTGGATACTCACATGTTGGCTGTTAAGTAGGCAAACCGGAGGCCGGGTCCTCATCTGATGCCGCCTCCTTGGTAACTATACATATACTATCATATAAAATAATTCTCTAAGCCTTTGTGGCGTAGTGGTAGCGCGTCGCACTTGTAATTTCCTCTGGGGATATTATGTAATGCGAAGGTCACTAGTTCAATCCTGGTCGGAGGCAGTATTTTTTGAGCTTATTTGGTATCTTCCGAAGTTCAAAAGTTCTGAATTTTGGTTATGGACATTGGATTGTTTCAAATCATTGAAGTGGGGATGGAGGCCAGGGCACGAGTACTCAGAGCCGGCATATGCCGGCCCGCCGATCTGCCGCGGCACATCGGCACAGACGCACGGGATTCACATCCGGTCGGACCGATAGCTACCGTTTTCCGAATCATCGATACCAAGTACTACTATTTCTACCTAACAACCTAGGAGAGCTTGGCCTACATTTACTCGATCTGACTATAACGTCAGACTGCATGTATACACTCCCTTGGTTCAAGCTTGGAGGCCCCTCGTTTTCTACCATAACAACTCGGAAATATATCATATATACCTAGTAGTTGCACTTGGTCTGGCAACATGTATTCCCGTCCCCATGCGTAACATTTATCCTTGAATTTTGCTAATAAATTTTAGTCGTCCAACATTGTTCCGAGTAACACCCTGGCCTACACCAGAAGGGGTCTCCTCGCTTGTAGAATATGACAAAGTTCCGAAAAGGTGTATCATTCTCAATGGGGCGTCCAGGGGACTCTGCCAGTGTGCCTACTTAGCATGTACCCTTTTATCTCCGTCTGAGTCCATTCCAAGTCGTTATCCTCTAGGATTTGCTTAGAGTTCTCTATAAGTGATCCCATTTCCCTCAAGAGGCTTGTGCCATATTCCTCAGCACTTCTTCGGCAGGATCATCTCAGCCTGCTACAATTGTATTTGATATGATGTCCTTCTTTCAGGAATATACCGGAATAAAGGAGCCCCGTTGGCCTTGGCATGGCAGCATCTTTCCAGTGGTAAGCGTTAAAGCTTTCACCCTTGCGTTTTGCATGGCGTACGAAACATTTGCTATGGATGTTGTAGATGATTCGTGCACGGTCCACGAGCGTTATCCTTGCGATCCTCGGAGTTATTCAATGATGCGTAGTCTTCACCAGCTGCAAATATTATGAGAACTGTCGCTGTTCAAGGGGTTGAAAGGGACTGATATCGACAAAAGTCCGAAGACGAGTCCAGTTAATGGTTTCACTAAAGACAGACGCATCGAATACTAGCAAGGTAGACCGACGGCAGGCAGGGTGTCACCACTTATCCGCGGGAATTGATAGTTATTTTTACAATTACCGAGTACTGTCGTTCCATCGGCATTTCCCCCGTCGTCCCATCGTGTAACAATCTATACACTTATACCTGGACATCAAACCTGTAATACAGCGCACGTTCGCACTCTTGCGCCCGCCAATCCCGTGGTGAATACCCGAAGTAAGTGCGAGAAGTTGATGGTGGAACAACTCGGGATGGGATCTATGATTTCGGATTTGTGAGCACTTTCTGAGGGTGATGGCCAGAAAAGGCAAGAAGAATTTCATCAAAAAACCTCGTGATTTCTTTTTTACCGGAGCCAGTCCAAATGGGGATGTTGTGGGTAGAAATCCGGCAAATTTCGGTTCTCAGTTTCGCGGCTCTTATGACGACGGCCACCACCCCAACTTTTTCCTTACTTTTACCACCACTACGTTCCCCAGAAGCGTCCAATGTCGTCGTCGTCTTCGTTCAGGAACCATAGGGTTCTCATCGCGTCGCTTTTCTTGCCCAATACCATCGTTCTCGGTACAGACGGGTCAGGAAAGTCGACGCCGGACAATCTCGCTCCTCGGACGACGTCGAAGGCCAATGGCGTCTCCTCTGCTGTGAAACCCAAAGAGATAAACATGCCAGAGGTTGTCCTGAGGCTTCAGAATGACAAGACGAAGCCAGCGGTGCTCTCGAGGGCCGCACCATTAAAGAGTATTGTAGAGGATTTGAAGGATCGAGTGAGTAGTATCATTTACTATTTATTTCCGTTAGTATTTCCTTCTGTGAAGCTCTTGCTGTCTTCCGGAGCTCGTTCGGTCTGCAGGCTTCGTCGCTGTGTATCTGTATTGTCTCATTTGCTGGCGAGCTACGGAAATTCTGCCCTAGGGGGCATTTGTCGTCATCTTTACCCCACTCTGGAGCTCCGTAAATTTATACTGATGTATATTTGCAGTCGCGGCATCCTACAGGTGCCCCAACGTCGCCAGTGAACGAGTCCAGTAATCCATTCTCTAAAATAAATACACCTTCATCGATAGCCAAGTCTCCCAGCGCAGGCGACTTGTTGTCGCCAACGAAAGGACCGCCGCTTTCCTATAGAACTCCAAACCAACGTCGTTTACGCCGTCGCACCTCTTCTCGTTCACTCTCCCGACGAGCAGATCAAGTTCCGTATTCTCCTGACCTCGACGGTCCAAATCCCGATTTCCATATCGAACCTAACGCCCACTGTAATGGTGGTCTCAAAAATGCAGTAGACTCGGTATCATTCAGTTCAGCCCGACCACAGCTAAGGAAGAAATTGTGGGTCGGGACCTTGGGCGTGGAGACGGATAGTTGGAACGACACGCTCCGTCAGCGCACGTCGACGCGTCTTCGAGCTGGAGGTTACGAAAGCGAGGTTGTCTGGGTCGAGGATGCCGTGTTTGAAGGGTGCTACGACGAATTTTGCCACCAAGTCCTGTGGCCGGCCCTGCACTACGCCATTCCTGATGCGCCGAAGACTACGATGTTCTACGAGAGCGCCAGTTTCAAGCAATACGTCAAGGTCAACCAGAAATTCGCCGATACGATCAAGGAAGTCTGGCGGGAAGGCGATGTGGTCTGGGTGAATGATTACCATCTGATGCTCCTTCCTGCCATGCTGCGAGCGGCGGGCGTGACGGGCCCCATCGGATTCTTTATGCATGTCGCCTTTCCATCGTCAGAAATCTTCCGGTGCCTGTCCGTGCGGGAAAAGCTGTTGAAGGGAATGCTTGGCGCTGATTTGGTGGGATTCCAGACGGCAAATTTCGCGCGCCATTTCAGGCAGACATGCTCTCGCATTCTGGCCGTCGAGGCGCTCCCAAGGGGTATTCAACTTATGGCCGAGGAAGAAGGAACTAGTCAGGAAGGTAGAGGGAGGTTCGTCGATGTCGGAGTGTATCCTATGGGCATCGATGTCGCGCTTCTGAGGGAGAGAAAGCGCGAACCGGAAGTGTCAGAGTGGATAGCCGTGCTGAAACAGCGATATGCAGGGATGAAGCTCATCGTTGGTCGAGACAAGATGGACGAGATCCAGGGCGTTAAGCAAAAAATTCAAGCCTTTGAACTCTTCTTGGAGAAACATCCCGAGTATCAAGGCAAAGTGAGGACCTTTTCAGTCCCTCTTCATCGTCTTTTCTGAATCACGTTCAGGTTGTTCTCATCCAGATTGCGATACCTTCTAACGCTCCGCGATCACCGAACACAGCTACGCCCAATTCGGCCCTTACAGATCAGATCTTGACCACGGTATCTTCCATCAACTCCCGCTTTTCGACTCTTACGTACCAGCCTATCGTGTTTTTGCCAACGTCGGACGTTACCTACTCTCAGTACCTTGCTTTGCTCACTTGCGCCGATGCGTTCATTGTCACCTCACTTCGGGAGGGGATGGCCCTTCGAACACACGAATTCGTCGTCCTCCAAGAGGGAAAAGAACGCGGCAAGGAAGGTGTACTCGTTTTAAGCGAGTTTACCGGCAGTTGGAGCTTCAGAGGCTTTAGGAGCTGTATCGGCATTAACCCTTGGGATAAAACCGGAACGGCTAACGGCATCTACGAGGCGCTTAACGATACATGCGAGAAGGATATGACTGAAGGACGGTGTCGTAGGTGGGAGGAGCTTCTCGGCTGGGTTGAAGAGCAGAGCGCGCAGAAATTCGTCACCGGATTTCTAGGTCGCTGCTCACGCGCCTGGCAGGAACATCAACGGGGGACAGAAGGTGGCAATAGCGGGAGCGTAGAAGTGTTGGATAAGAGTAAGATTGGACGTGTTCTTGTGCAATGGAGGCACTGCTCGAGAAGGCTTGTTCTGGTTGACTTGGAGGGCACGCTGTGGGATCGGGAGAAGTTTAGGTTCAAGATGAAGTTCAAGAAGGGCGTAGACGTGCTGGATCCGGGACTCAAGGTGGCGATCGAAGTGCTCAGATACCTGAGCGCCGATAAGAGGAACGAGGTATGGGTGCTTAGTGGCTTGACTGTCCAGGGCGCACTCGGTGTCGTAGCCAAAGAGCTACCGGACATTGGGATAGTGTATGTTGATCATCACCATCTCTTCATTCTGTTTCTAATTCAATGTTACAGTGCTGAAAATGGGTGTTTCATAAAGACGAGGCCACGACGCGGCCAATCTTCCCAGTGGATCAACATGGTTGGGAATCTGAACATGACGTGGAAATCCTCCTGCGTCGAGATGCTCAATTATGTAAGTTCTTTCTCTTGTTATATCATTTCCATCTGACCTTTTTGTCCTAGTTCACTGAACGCACCCCAAACTCGTTCGTTGAAGAGCGCCAGACCTCGGTGGTGTGGCGATTCTGGACAGGTGATCCCACCGAAGAATCTGCTGATCGTCAGTGGGCTCGAAGACAAGCTGCCGAAGCTCAGAACCACATCTTCGACAGGTAAGCCATTCCTTCGTATTCAGAGCACGATCTCACGTTCTCGCAGTCTAGGCGAACGATATGGGCTCCGGATCATACCCGGTGCGAATAGCTTCCTCGTTCTTCCGAACAATATCTCTCGGTCGACTGCGGTGGGTGCGATCCTGCATCCTGGTGGACCTTCACATGCGCCGCTATCTGGAAGGTCGGCGTGGACGTCGAATGATCTAGCTATGGCTTCTGGAGACGACCTGGAGTTTGTTCTTGCCGTGAGCGGGGACGAGAAGCTCCTGCGCAGGTTGAACGAGCTGGATACGGCCGAGACGTGCTCGACAAGCGGCAAAGGCACCGATGCAAAGTGGCGAGTGGATCGGTCGCAGGCGGGTGAATTGTTGACTATTTTTGCGGCTGTGTAGGTGTGAGTTTTCTTCTTTTCTCTTCTTTTCCCATAGAACATGTATTCTTGTAATTGGATATCATGCTATTCGTTATGTCGCACCACTCAGTTATGTTATTTTTATGGTATTCATTCACGGACTTTCTACATATTATGTGTACGATAACTCATCCATTATTACACGCAGTACAAGTTATGATGTATCTTAAGCGACGCCCTACGTGACCATATAATACACGATATGTATACGATAACATGGACATGAAGAGAATCTTTGAAGACTTTCTATTTTTATTCCTTGTAGTTGATATTCATGGCTCACCCAAAAGATCCCGCAACTCTTTCTGCACCCGCTGCTTGTCATCGAAGACGATCCCATGAAGACCCAACGAACGCGCAGAAAGAACGTTCTCAGGCCTATCATCCACAAAAATCGCGGCGCTAGGGACGGTGTTGGTCGCCGCCAGGACATGTTTATAATATGCAATGTCCGGCTTGCGTTCGCCTGCCTCTCCGGACGTGAAAACACGGTCAAAAATCGGCCAGTCCGCTGGCTTTGTCTTGAGAACCTCGTAGTCAGGTAAAGAGATATTCGACATAGCGAACACTCTTAGTCGACCGTGCGATTTCTCTTTGAGCTCGCGGATGAGGTTGATCATCTGGTCATCTGACTTTAGAGAGTCCCGAGCTTGGGAAAAGGCTTCTTTGACTTCGAGGGGGTCGAAGGAGAATTGTTCTCCCACACGATCATAGCAATCCTGCTCGCTGACCTTCCCCCGTTCGTAGTCCAGCCAAGTTGGGGATGCAAGGATTTTGCGTAAGGATTTTGAGGAGATACGGGTCGAGGTCGTTGACGACCAGGTAAAAAGCACGTCCCCGATGTCAAAGATAACCGTATCGAATGGGGGGCTCATTGCAGGCGGCTCGATAACCTGATGTTATCTTGAAACAGAATCCAAAATCCAGATCTGGTAGTACTCGACATCCGGCATCAAGCGGAACGCGGCCCGATAGTGGCTGGGAGATCCCGAATATTTCTTTTACTATCACTATCAACTCCGACGTACTAACCGTACTCCGCGTTCGACATCCAGGATGGGCCTGGTGGACGATTATTTTGAGAACAGCAGCCATGTTCTGACACTCCAACCTGGCGCCTGTCTAGCTCGGGTGTCTTCGGCGCCCTGACGTTCAAATGTATGCTGATGTTCTTGCTTTCTAAAATTGCCCTGACTATAATTATTTAGAAGATCTATATTACTTAGCATTCTCACCAGGCGGCGACCCGCAAAGATTCCGTTCTTTTCATATACTTGGGCCTTGGACTCATTAGGACGGTCCTGGTTACACTGAATGGTTTCCGAACCTTTGGCGCCGAATGGGTGATTCACGGAATCTAGCTCAATTGAGCTCTCTTTGATAACTCTTGACAAATGCTCCGGCGCGCCGTTAGTGAACAGGATGATGCTACGAGATTCCTTGGGGACATTCTATTATTCTAGTTCTGTCACCGGACATCGTCATGAAGTAATCCGGCATTGTATTCTCGCACTCGCACTTGGTCTAAGGGGACGATGAAACCATGCAATGTCGTGTCATTCGGAGAGCCTTCTGAGCACCTGGTGACCAGAGCCTTCATTATTTGATGAGCAAGCCAAATGTATGAAGCGCCTAAACAGTTTGCACTCAGACCTTGTCAGTCATATGTTGTTCGGTTTTCTTCTTCTTCCTGCTGTCCTTGCCCTGGCTACAGGCGGTCCTTGGGACACATCCAACTATGCGCCCAAATCGAAGACCATCTATCCTCACGACGTATACAAAGTCTCAGGTTCCATCTCCGGTGCTAGAAACCTGGTAAGGGATACTGGAAACGTAACTTCCTCACTGAATTCATGGTTCACGCTGGATTTTGGAATTGAGGTACAGAACTTGTTTTTTTTAAGGATCCAAAGCTCAAAACTTTCTCTCCCAGGTGGGGGGGGCTCGTTTTGCTCAACTTTGACAAGGTAGATAATACATCCTCAGTATCTCTCTCCTTCACAAAGTTGCCGATGTTTATCAACCCGCTCACATCAGATGACTCCTCATACCCACCACCCATTGTGATTCACTGTGCCTGCGCCATTATCACAGGGATACTGAACCCAGCCTTCTTATCCTCTACACGGCGGTTTCAGATATCTGACCCATCCTGTCCCACTCGAAGACCACTCTCGACTCCAACGTCTCTTGTACTATTTCTTTCATCCCTCACGTCGAAAATTTGAGAGCATACACAGGCTACTTTTTCGCTTTGGATCCTGTTTTCCACGACCCACATTTCCTGACGAAAGGTTGATTGCACGGCTCAAGGAATTTTCAAATTTCTAACCAATTATCCATAGTATGGTATGCCGGTGCATACACGATACAGACGAGTCGTCGACCCGGGCCGACAGCTTCCATTCATGTACAATGCGACAGGTAGGTCGTCCTGCTTAGATTCAACCTCTTCGACATCTCAACATGTATCAAGTTTGTTCAATAATGCAGCAATTGGGGTTGCAGACCCCATAATTGTCGATGGTGATTTTCTTCTGTTTGTTGTCAATCGTTCCAAGGATTTAGAGCCAATTTCAGGTGCAAAACTCTGTTCTTTACAATCTGACACTTTCGGATGATCAGAAGATCGCTGTGAGCGAAGATCTGCAACAGAACTGGAATGATTTAGGGCTAGTAGCTCTAGAGCTCCCGGATACAATCTCGCTATTTATCAGCGGCGTTGAGGTAAGTAAGATATATATCTGAGAAATAGCAAATACAGATCTCACGGTGATTCTCCTCGATGTCAGTTCGAAGCGCACTTTGAGGTGGTCAGGACAATCGAGCGTTGGACCTTCTACGTCGGGAATGGGATTATATGTTATACACGAACCCATTTTTACAAAGAACCTTATTCGAAGGTTTTACGGCGGATGGTTCTCTTGGATACGTGGTATTTTTATGATCCCCGTATCTACGGTAAACGGTATGTACCCTGCACGTTATCACGGAAGCGCCGTCGTTCTCCGCGCCAAGCCTGCGCCCAACCTTGATGAGGGCTCAGCTTTCTCAGCTTGACTCTGCCTTGCTTCAATTGCCGCAACTCCATTGTGATGGCCTCTGTGTTTCAAATCTCGCTCAAGTTAAGTACAGCTGACTTGGGAACGTTTTTACTATGCTCAACGGGCCCGTTATCGCATTTGCTTTTTCACCTCAAAGCAGTGAGATGCGAGTAAGCTAGTGATGTTACACCCAAGCCTTTGGGTGTCTGATTCTCTATATTCCTTTTTCAAGTACTAATTCCCTTGATGATGAACGATATATTTCTACTGCCTCTGCTACTAATCAGTAGGTCTGTTTCATTGTGAGGCTGGATAAATCGATTCGACACCGTGTTTTTGAACAAGCGTGGGCCATCTTGGGAACATTCCATTGTTCTGACTTTGACACCGGACATCGTCATGTGGCATCATTATTGTATTTCTCGCACTCGGACTCGGCTAAAGAGAACGGGGATCCTTCTAGGCAGTGCTTCGTTATTTAATGAGCTGGCGAAATCCGTCCAGTGATTAAATACGCACCCTGGCAACATCGAGCGTTACTCATATGTTGTTCTACTTCCTTCTTCTTCCTGTTGCCCTCGCGCTTGCTCCAAGCGGTCCTTGGAATGGGTTCAACTATGCACCCAAGTCAAAGACCATCTACCTTCAAGCTGTGTACAAAGTCGCAGGTTCTGTGTTTGGTGCTAGCAAACTGGTCGATAATACTGGAAGTGCGACTTTATTTCCAAGTTCATGGATTGCGCTGGACTTTGGAAGAGAGGTATACCACTTTATTTTTTAAGAGCCCCATTTTAAAGCTAACAAACCATTTAACAGGTCGGCGGACTTGTTTCGCTCAATTTTGACACTGTCGACAATACATCTTCAGTATCTCTCGCCTTCACGGAGTCGCCAATATTTGTCAACTCGCTCGCTTCAGATGACTCTTCGACCTCGACACCCGATATGAGCTATGACGGCGTCTTCACGATTCCTGCACCATTGTCTAAGGGATATTGGACCCAACCCTCTTATTCACTACGCGGTGGCTTCCGATATTTGACTATCATGTCTCATTCGGAGACCACTCTAGAGATCTCCAATGTCTCTTGTGCTATCTCTTTCATGCCTCACGTGGAAGATTTGAGAGCTTATACAGGTTATTTTTACGCTTTGGATCCTGTTTTCCACGATTCAGATTTTCTGACGAAAGGTTGATTTCACGGCACATGAACCTTCAAACTGCTAAACAGCTACCTATAGTATGGTATGCCGGTGCATACACCGTTCAGACAGACACTGTTCCTGTCGACACAGGCCGCCAGTTTCCATTTCTATTCGCTTCAACTGGTAAGTTGTCCTTAAGACACCTAATTTCTTTGGTATCTCAGTATGTACCAGGTTGGTTCAATAATGGAACAATTGGGGTCGCAGGCCCCATACTCGTAGACGGTAATTTTCTCTGTTTGCCATCCATCCTTCCGGAGGCTGACAGTCGAATATAGGCGCAAAGCGCGATCGGTGTGTGTTCCAGTGTTTGAATCGGCGTGACATTGTTAATATTATATTCTTGCGCAGCACAGTATGGCCCGGTGACATGGCCATTTCAACCCCTACTCAGTTCGTCTCCACGTTCGATTTGATCTCTACAAGAACCGCTTTATCGACTCTGTTCGCTTCCATGGATCCTGCAACAGGAGCGTTACCATTTGCGGGTCCTCCTCTCACTCTCTACCTGCAGGGCTCGGACACTTATCATGCCTGGACTCTCATCGGAGCCCGTCAGTCATGTTCTATGAAACCGCGACCTTTGAAGCTGATACTTGCGTAGACAACTACTATCTTTATTCTGGAGATAATGATTGGCTTGGTACCATCTGGACTAATTATACTCGTGCTGTTGCTTTCTTGGAAGGTAAAGTGGATAGTACTGGGTTAATGAACGTCACTGGTCTCAGAGACTGGGCTCGTCTGGGCGGCGGCGGATACAACGCAGAGGGAAATGCGATTCTTTACAAGGCAAGTTTCGTATTTTCTACACGGTATCCTCTCCTATATTGTAGTAGGTTCTTTTGACAGCATCAGATCTAGCGAATTACATGGGAGACGAGTCCCTCTCGGCAGCTTGGGGAGTAAATGCCACTGCGCTCAAGGCAAAGTACAACGAAGCGTTTTGGGTGGAAAGCGCCAGAATGTATCGAGACAACCTGACGACTACACTTTACCCTCAGGATGCGAACTCGCTCGCTGTTCTATATAATCTGACTCTGTCGGATGATCAGAAGGTCGCAGTGAGCGAAGGCCTGCAAAAGAATTGGAATGATTTAGGGCCAGTATCTCCAGAGCTTCCGGATACCATCTCGCCGTTTATTAGCGGATTTGAGGTGAGTGAGAGGTATTTGAAACCCTGGCCCTCCCGAACTGACAGTAGCTTTCTTCGATGCTAGCTCCAAGCCCACTTTGAGGCCGGTCAGGACAACCGAGCGTTAGATCTTTTGCGTCGGGAATGGGAATACATGTTATACACGAACATGTCTGTGCAAAGCACCTTACTCGAGGGATTTACGGCCAACGGCTCTCTTGGGTACGTCGTCACTTTGTTCTTTTCATATTTGACTGACATCAGCCGCAGATATCTATCTTCCAGAGGATACGACTATGATGCTTCATATACGTCACATGCACATGGATGGTCTTCCGGGCCCACCTCTGCGCTGACTTTCTATGTCTTGGGATTGACTATCACATCACCCCAGGGTGCTACATGGTCTGCGAATCCGCATGTAAATGGCGGACTTCCCGGGGCTGAAGGCGGTTTTGAAACCTCGCTGGGATGGTTTGGCATAAGATGGCAGCTGCAGAACAATCACTTCTTCATGGAGATCAATACTCCGGAAGGAACCAATGGTAGAGTGAAGTTACCGAGGGAAGGCTCTGTCGTGGTTGACGAAATTGCTGTCGACGTCGGTGCAGAAGGGGAGATTATGTTGAACGGAGGGAAACATGATATAGCTATCTTTAGTTAGTTATTTTTATGTTGGAAGGCTCACGCGTTGATGCCCTGAAACCATAAAATGAATGCGTCATTGTACTGGTACGTCAGTGATCTGTAAGCATAAGCGGTACAGATTGGTCATGCAAATGCGTAAGAGAAAAAATGTCCGTGATAGTGAAAGAGGAAGAAAATGTCCGTTGGTAGCCTGAGAATTTCCCAGGCCAGTCCAACAAAAGGACGCGGCATCTTCTTCACAAAAATAACCTGATTTACAGAGTGAGAACCCATCCCAACATCGCCGCCAACACGCCAGCTGAGCCTAGCTCAAGTCTGGAAGCAGAGTTGAAGCTCCCAGTGGAGGAGGCAGATGCAGATCCTGCAGATGATGCAGCTGTTCCGGCGGAAGATCCAGTGGCAGAACCAGAAGCACTGACGCCAGATGAGATCGCGGATCCCGTTCTAAAGGATAAGAGTAGTCAGAATAAGGCGAATGGGATGAAAGAAACTGACTTACACTGTGGCGCTCACCGAACCAGATATTGGCGCGGTGACGCTTGCAGTTGAGCTGGCACTTATAGACGAGGACGAGGCTGCAGCGATGGAGAAGTCGCCTGTCTCAGCGAAAACGTCGTTGATGTTGGAAATATTCACGAGCTGGATTGTAAAGCCATCCCTGCATCAAGCCAAATCAGTAATGTGATATGGGGAACCCGGAGAAATGCAGAGAACAGAGTCATGGTGTACTCGGCCATGATTGATCTATTCCCAACGCAACCGATAGAGTGTGTACGCACCCAGTTGGAACCTGAGGTAGAGACAGAGTTATGGATTGAAGGTCTGTATCCACATTGTTTGCAATGGCGAACTGTCGATTAAACCCTTGATTAATCAGTTCAATCGAGAATGTATCGGGGTCGCCGGCAGACGTGGTCCACGTTATGGTGAGTTCTCCCGCAGAGGATACGGTAGTGTTCGGGTTGTTGACAGTAAGCGCATGGACGAAGGGAAGGGCAAGAAGGGAGACGAAGGCCAACATGGTGAACGGGTTTTGGGTGGTGGGAAGGGGGACTGAAAATGACAAGCCAGGTATTTGAGTATTTCACCACGTGGGGCGAGAGCCGCGCCTCGCCACCACGGCCCTTCTCGTTTCCATGGCCTTACATATTTAGGCCTCCGGGACTTCTGAACGGTTTCTTCGGATACGAAGCAGTGCATTTAGACTGGGATGTGGCTACCTCGCGGCGTGGAGAGAGAGGCTCGCCATTGGGGGTACATTAATATCTATTCGGATTGAAACATCAATGAAGTTGCGCCTGATTCATCGAATCATGATAACTTGCCTGTAATTCCCTGCGCAGCTCTGTTTAGGGCTGTTTCCGGTCTTCTGAGGATATATTGGACAACTTGCTTCCCACCAAGCGTGGTTAATAGCGGGTAACATTTCCCGGTCCTTTGTGAGCGGCCAAGAATGGCCTAAAAAGCACAGGCCATTTAACTCCATGATATCACGGGGCATCCAAGCCGTCAGGCCCCAGAGGCTGCGCCCTAACATTCGGAAGTTTGAAGGTACATGGCAATGAAGAGATCTTCGATAGAGGCTGTGCATCTGTCATTGCAGAATGAAGAAATGAGCTGATATGAAGTTAGACGTAAAGTGACTATCCTGCACTGCAAGTCACGGAACGAGTCAGAGGCGTCAAAACCTGGTGCACCCACAGCATTATCTTGAGCTGTATATAACAACCTAGCTTGGCATGAACTCAGCGAAAAGAAGCCTTCTCCAGAAGGCACTCGGATTTCGCACCAAGTTCGCCCCACGTCATTTCGTGCTTTCAGTCTTCCCCGACCGTTGTCCATGAAAGTCATTGCGAACTAACGACGACCGCCATGTGGGTTTCACCCTCAGTTAACTGCGCCATCAACTCGATGGACACCATGTCCCTCTCGTCCGTCAGCTTCAACTATACTCAGCGCATTCACGCGGAAAGCGGAAGCTTGATTGCGTACAAGTACGGCCAGCATACGTATTCCGGACCATAAGAAAGCGGATTTCACAGGTGTTTCGAGCCTGTTACGGCATCTATACAGACACTGCATCTCTTCGCCGTCAGCTATCGTGTGTACACCGCAGGGACGGGGGGAGATGAGATGATCATGGGGCCGATGAGGCTGGGGACCTCGCCTCGCTTTGGTCTAGGGCAATGACGATGGAAGGGTGTACATCTGAGGAAAAAGAGTGCTCAGGCCTCAGGCGCAAAGCATTGGAGAGAAGCATATGATTATCTGGTCTGCGGAAGTGGCTATAAACCATAGCTTCATGAACGAGATGGATGAAATAGTTAATCGTCGTGACTGATGTGCTGGGCCTGACGGCGCGCGGAGGGTGTAATAGACGTCGTTGGCGTGCAAAGCTTGTTCGAAATAGAGACCGGTTCTTGGCATCATGTCTGCCACGCACGGAGAAATTCAGCGTGTATGCACTCTTCGACCCTCAATCCGCTCAAAGCAATTCAGTCGCCCAAACTGGCGAGTGTAATATAGGATCTATCGCGCGGCAACGGCACGTCAGTCTGATTTGAGGCATACACCTGGATATTTTTCAGCGGGGAAAAGACAGCATATAGAGGCGCATACCTTATTCTCATGTGTCTGACCCCAGAAATGAGTCTGTCGAGGCCGAATAAGCACAACTCATTGAGTCCTTTGCCTTCTACGCGTGAACATTGGAGTACATGGCTGATTCGGTCGTCTCGCTACAAGTCTTGCATCACAGTAAGTATTTTTTTGGCCAGGAAGGAGGAAAGACGCACATTATCCATAGAAACGAGAAAACGACGCTTCCAGCAGAAAATTTTTTATCCCTTCCATCCTGAATACGACGGTGGACATCGCCGATGAGCATCGAAGCACTTTTGAAGGGAAGACAACGAGATAATTCACTCCATGCCATTCTCTCTATTATGTCCATGCTGAACATTCAAGCGGTATCGTCATCGTCGAGGCTGTAGGAGGCTCGGTATCGTGCGTTGAAGCGACGATGATGGCGGTAAGAGGTCAAGCAAGGATACCGGCGGCCCAATTTGAAATTATGGCAGACATCCTGATCTTCTCCACAGCCACCATCTCCACCACCACCACCATCTCGGAGGCTATAGTGTCCATTCGCTACAAAAATTCCCTATAACTATAGTGGAGCGACTTTTGTAAAAATCCCTATAACTATAGTAATGTCAAATTATACGTATCTTGTAGGGATGCCATCACTTTTTGATTCCTAATTATACGTATCCCTTGTAGCAGTCTCGCCAGCCCTAGAAACTGTTGCCGTATGGCTGCCGAGTTAGGGTCCACGGGCACTGGATCGGCGTTCGTTGCTTGGGCCCGAAAAAAAAAATCGCAGCCCAGAAAAATAATATTTAATGATTTACTATTGCCTCCTGATCCACGTGCAGCCTATTTTGGCTGGATGCGCCCGTGCGTACTTGGATGTATAAAACTGTGGGAAAATATCATTCCCAATGCGGTAGCAGCTGTCGGCTTTGAAAGCTGGGTAAAATTCTGCATTGCACATGGATTATTTAGGCTCGGTTTAATTAAAATACATTTATGTGATATATAAATGCTTAACAGAGTCTAAATACTGTCATTCAACTGATACGCAAACAGGAAAATGCCCCTCTCACCATGGTCGGAATTTGCCGGATGCACCCCAATTAGGGGCATAGGACAGAATACCCTTGCAATCCCATACTCCTAGGGCTTTCTGTACCTCGAAAATATGATAGTCATATCTATATTTCATGATTTTACATTTTATGCCAATAAATTAGCCTTTAATTCATGTTTATTCGACCAATAAATGCGAGTAATGGTGAGACAATTGTTGAATTCAACTTTTACAAAAGTATGCAGCACAATGTGCATCTAAATAATGATATAACAAATGAGAAAAAGACTTCCTGTGTGAATTATCAATGATACAAATGCATATATGGATCTGCCCTGAAGTGAATATATTATGAACACTCGTAGTACGCAAAACGAGCTTGTGAACTTTCGTCTGATTCTGTTTTCACTTCTTATGCATGAAACGGTATAATGGTGAGACTATAAGCAGATCGGGGTGGATCGGACCATTATTTTGACTTATACTAGACATAACCTTGCATTTTCAACGAAAAACATACCTATTGAGATGGTGCACAAATATATAGAACTGGTATTTGCTTACAAGTGCCCTAAAATGTGGGGCAACCAACGTAAATTGAGGATTATCATGAGATGAGGGTATCCTGTTGCATTAAAAATTATATATACACAATCCTTATATCTATAATACAAGATTCCGATATGCTTTGGGGCATCGGAGAGTGTACATCGAGCAGTGGAAGCATCCCGATGATGCATTCCGCTCGGTCGATCACTCCGGACCGCACAACCGTACCGTGATCGAGTGGCTGTGCAGCACCGTTTTCTGTTCCTCTCCACCACATCCACTTCCTTTCCTGCCCTCTCGCTCGTCTGTTTTGCCCATTGTCATGGGTATATGGTACGTTTGAATTGTTTTTTATACTGACATGTCAAATTTAGGTCTTTTTGGCGTATCCGGCAGCCCCAAGATCCCTGGGTAGTGACCATTTCATCCCCACCACACACGTAAGCCCTCACCCGAGGCAGCACTGCCAGATATGACCGCAACACTGTACGTTGACGACGTGACCCATGCATCCCTGCCATTGCCCCGATACGACCTACATTCTGCCGCAACCCATCCCATGCCCCCCACACGCGCATCGACCTCGATCGTCATTGGACACGCAAGCGCGGCACGATGACGACACAGGATATCACTAGGGTTTCCATATCGGACCTCATCACACAGCGGGACGGCACCTGTAACAGTGACAACCACAATGACAACGACGACGGAAAAGCCAGGAGACTTCGAGCACGACGAGGGTTAGGGTGGATCTTAGGCTAGGGATGTAGAGGGAGACTGGGCAGCATACTGGGGAGGAAGGGGGAGAGTGGGAGGGCAGGATGGAGATCGGGCCACCGACGTCCAACGACGGCAGCGACACTGATGTCCGTTTGGGCGTCAAATGTCCTCCAAGACATGGGGGATCCATTGGTGGTCTCCATTTTCTCTCACGAGCCCGCCATGACGTTCATTAGTGCCATCGATCCCTAAATCGCTCCCTAGCTCATCCCTAGCCCATGCCGCCTATATGTTAATTTATTTTTGTATTATATAGTATTTTTTATTTATTTATTTGTTTTACAATGCTTTAATTGTGAATACTAAATATTTTATTACTGATACCCGTAAATAGGAAGTGCAAGAGCGGGCGGGAATTGGTTGGGCACGTGGTGGGGAGAGACCAAGAAATGGATTGCATGTGAAAATTCATGGCTACGTATAACTTCGCTTTCTAGCGGATACATGAATTTGACAGGCCTATAGTTATAGGGATTATTACAAAAGTGGTTCCACTATAGTTATAGGGATTTTTATGTAGAATGGACACGAAGGGATGGCATCTCCGGCTAATGAAGGACTCCAATCTCGACAGCGATGACGCTGCCATGCCTGCGCACTGTGCCCATGGTAATCTCAATAGTAATTCTCGCCTCGCTGTGAGGCTGGCCTCAGTCTCGCTGAAACGAGGACATTGACGGCACCGCTGAGCAAGCTCAATGTACGGCCAGCCTTCTAGGACCAGAGGCGAACTCGAAAATCACATTTCTTCTCTATCATATATATCTGACAAGGGTATACAGTGCCTTACTCGTTCTTGATTGCGCATATATGCACTCATATATCCAATTTTTTGCGAATCATAGCCGAGTGCACAACCGAAGCATCATCATGAAGGCTGCCGCGATGTTCAGGAAAGTGAAGGGGGACAAAATCCAGGAAACAGAAAGGGTACGTTCCACGTCATTGTTGTCAGTGTTCGCCTCCGACTCATTCTTCCAAGTCCAGTGCTTTCACGGCTATCGACATCTCTAGGACAGCAATATCCCTTTCTTCAATTACTACGCTTGTACTAGTCACCGCGAGGAACTCAAAGGAATAGAAATCTTCACTATTTGCGGATCAGTGTCACACTTCACGACAGATATCGATACCTCTCTTCTGCATCATTCCGGAGCTGCTATCATGACTCTCCTAGTGGCACCACCTCACTGGCAACTGAGCACAAAGTGCCACACATACCCTTACCATCTGTTGTAGATAAGGCAGAAATACCCCCAAAACACCCTGGTTTTCACGATCAGTACGTTCACCCGCTATGCATTGTATTTTTCTTACCTCGAACACAGGCATAACGTAGATCGTCATTGTTGTTGCATCTTTACGGGAAATGATACAGCGTCGATAGGCCAATTAGTTGCAGAGAAAGATAAATGATTAGTTCAATGATCGTCAGAAAGAACGACGGCGAACGCAAGACTTAGATTCCAAGGCGACGCAGTTGGGCCTCCTAATTACTACTTTAATTTCATCAATACTCACACAGTGCTAGTCAGCCAAGTCCTTTTCGTGGCACCTTCTCCGTAAAATAAGTATACAACATCGAAGCATCATGGAGACGGCTTACAACACAGAAATATACTTTGGTCGTGTGGCACGCACTCGATCACTTCAGTCCTACAGACCGAGCAGTGATTATTTTCAGTACTGCTCCTATCCTATCACCCAAGCACCATCCATGCCTGAGCCCTCATGCGGCAGTATTATATCACCCACAATGACGATGGACACAGAGGAAACTTCCCATTTATGATGAAGCTGGCCCCAGCTTGCTGATGCCACCAATTAGATCGCAAAGCAGGCTTTCGATAATAAAAATCTTGGCGCGGTTGGTACTGTTTAATGAGCGCCAGATGGTCAAGTACTTACTAGTGTCGAGTTAGGCATCTGCACGTTAGGTAGTCATTGCACCTTGATATAGTTGGCTTGCCATCAGCCTGAGGTCAAGAATCTCAAACAGTTCGGGGCTCGCCGACTCTACGTCCGTGATAGAAATTTGCATGTGAGCGATCTTGACACATGCAGACCAGTCTGTACTTAGACCTGTCTACAATTTCAGTTCGGTATAGAAGCTTAACTCGCTTAGTGCCGTTAGAACAGTAGGGTTCACAAATCAAAAAAGATCTTCCAAATGCACCTGGGTCGGGTATTCACTCCACCAGCAGGAATGCTAGAGGTGAAAAGCAACGGGTTTGGGTCGCCAAGAAAGAGGGTTCGAATTCCATCCCGCATTATCCACAGCAATGCTATCGGACCAACATGGTGTCTTCGGAAGTTTGCGCTCAGCATGAAGCCTGTGATTCGAGCAGTTAACCCAGGAAAGCAGTATCCAGACTAAAGCCAATGGCATGTCCTCTTCGATACAAACTTGAGGCTAAAAATTCGCGGATAAGGGCAGTGTCAGCCGAGGCTCGGTGCTAGTTACTTTTAGGGCTGTGAACTTTATCGTAGCCGGGTAATTCAAGGCAGGCAGGTAGCATTAGACGACGGTGTCCACACAGATGCTGGCGACCCATCGGACGCAGGGGATTTGAAACCGGATAAATTCGAACCAGTCCTCCCGCAAACTTGATGACAGTCGGTCAAGGGTGCACTTCGATCGACTATCATCAAGCTTCAAAGGGACTGGTTAGCGTCTAAGGATGAGAGATGAGGTGCCTTAGCTTTAATCTAGTGTCTGTATTCATGTTGTCTGCGTAGATATTATTGACAAGGCATCGGCCCCGTCAATGCAGTCAATATGATATGAGTGCGAATTTTGTATTATGCTTCCGGAATCTTGTATCTCGCGTGTACCTTCATCTAGAGGGGCTTAACACAATCGTACTAAAATGTCGGTACTGAATAGAAAAGTTCCTTGACTACAGGTATTGGATTACCGCCGGGCCAGCGTATGTGCCGCAAGGACCCCGGTTTCGACAGCGGGGTCCTGGCTTTTGGCGAGCCTTTCGCATTCAAAGATAAGCAGATGCGTGACATAGATCTTAGAGTCTAACTTAGAGTACCAATGCTGAGCAAAATTGTACAGAGAGACAGACAAGAGACAGAGAGAGTACATCTGCTTATGTAAATGACGCGTCTGAGGCGATCAGTAAATAGGAGCAAATAACGCGTTTTGAACCGAACTTCCTGGAGAACCTGGCAGGGCTGTGACCCTCTCTACTCTTCTACCCGAACTCTGGCTTTCAAATAGTCATTAGACTGCATCGTCCCTTGTATCCTATCTTCAGGTCAGTGTCATTTGTCCGAAATAGCCTTCTCGCTGCCATTCTTCCGTTTCCACTCCGTAATTACTGGAGATTAGTCAACAGAACCGCATGGCAATTTCCCGCGCCTGCCAACAACACTCTCTTACACTTCAAAGCGTCAGATCCTCCTTCTTGGCATTGCCGCGCTTCCGCTGGGTCTAGGCTTGAGCGCTTGCTTGAACCAAATCGATGAGGAACGTCGGGAACTCAGGAGACCGAAGTTGACGTTCAGCCTCAACGGAAAAGCCAGATTTAGGTTCATCGGCAAGGGAGAACACTTCTCTTTCGAAACGAATACCTTTCTCCCCTCCCAAGTATATGCTCTGTTGAAAAACGCATTCACTGATTTGTAACACATCCAGCTGTTGACGTCTTGGTCATATAGGCCTATCCTTTTGACAGTTGGAACAGTGCTACAAACTCATTGAATCCACTATCCGCACCGATAATCTGTCTGTTCAAGTGATGAGCGCGTCCCAAGCACTTCAGTCGGTGAGCAGAAGCCTGCATGTGAACCGACACCCTGACGACAGACTGGCGACGCGTCGTCAGCGAAAATGCCAAGCCTCCTGGGTAAACGTTTACATTCTCCGACGAGATTCTATTACTGAATGTTCATTTCCAGTGAATGCCAGGAATCACTGCAGTAATCAATCGATTTCCATTCTAAATCCCTACTTGCCGGGATTGCCTAATTTCTGGACGAGCCCGCTCCAGCTTTTAGTCTACGGTAGGTATACGTAATTACAATTGGATTTTTCGGGAGGACGAAAAAGTGGTTAGGGTCCTTATTTGTTGCCAGCCTCCCACTAGAGCTGCTGCATAGATTAGCGCAACTGACACCAACAAAGACTCTGACTCCGACCACGTTAGCAGACCCTCCTCGGTGAACGAACTTCTTCCGCAATCTCTTCTACCGTGACCGTAAAGCAAGAGGTTTGGACTCTCAGCAGGCGCAATATAAGTTTCAGGAAAGTAGCAAGCTCAAGTTGTGGACGTCATCTCGCTCAGTTTACCCGACAACACAAGAAGACTCATAATCAATCCATGTGTAGCACTTTCGGCGCTCCGTTGAGGTCCGCTGGGTAGTGGGCCATGTTCACCCGAACCATTTCGTCTACCGAGATGGAATTCAAGAGAAGTACGTCTCCATTTTTTTCGTGTTTACGAACAGAAATTTGAACGTGACATCAAGCTCATTAGTACGTGTGTGAAGCCCTCATCCGAGTGTCGGTACTCGTACACATTCCAACGCCGATAAAAAGTGGACACAGACGACTCTCTTTGTTGTCAAGTCGAGGTGACTTTTCCCTTCTCTCCTCTGTTCACTCTTGCTCTCCTTTTTACCAACTCTCACGGCAAACGACCAGGAACTATTGGCCCTATAGGAGACCTCATCATCTCCAATGGAAACGTCAATCCCGATGGCTTTGAACGTGTCGCTGCATTGGCGAACTCGCAAATAGACGGCGCGCTCATTAGGGGAAGCAAGGTTGACCTCTCAACCGCTTATCCATAATTTCATTTACGAACGTTCTGTTTAGGGAGATATCTTCCAAATCAACAGTCGTCAACGAGCTCGATAACGACGCGATTCTTCAGAGCACGTCTATCGCACGTTGTTCCTTTCTTCGACCATTTTCGTGTCTCATGCGTTCCTCCAGCACTGGCATGGTCTCTTACAGAAAGGTACTGGTTGGGCTGATGGGGCTGCTTCTGTTAGTCAGGTAATCTGAAGTTGTCGATACTCCTTGTACTGGTACCAATCTCGACTAGTGCCATATCGCAAAAGGAGACTCGTTTCTGTACACTTTTGATTCTGCCGACCAGGCTGGAACGTTCTGGTACCACTCTCATTTGTGTACGAATTTTTTACTACTATGGCATGTGCTAACGATGACCATTCCAGCTACTCAATACTGTGACGGGCTTCGCGGGCCCTTCATTATCTATGATTCCAATGATCCACATGCCGACTTATACGATGTTGATAATAGTGCGTTGCCACAGCCTTCTTGTGTGCATTATAGCATGACTCTGCCGCAGACAGCACTAGTATCTTGACTTTGTCAGACTGGTATCATACGCCTGCGAAACGGGTGACTCAGACCTTCCCGTAACCTCGTCTCTTATCTCCATTACGCAGGTGTGCCGACTGATATTCAACGTGTAGTACTCCGGACGCAACACTTATCAATGGCTTGGGACGGTGAGCTAATTTCATGCTTAGAATCTAATGGTCATTAACCATGATTGGATGCTCAGATGGAGCAAGGACCCTTCGCACGATTTGGCCGTCGTGAAAGTCACTAAAGGAACACGGTACGTACTCTCTATCAGTTATACAGCATCTCTGGTGCATAACATGTAGGTACCGTATACGGATGATTAACGTCGGCTGTGCTGCAACGTTCACCGTCTCTATTGAGAGCCATTTGATGTAATTGCCCATATTGTCTCTTTCAATGGTCCTTGTATTGATCGGTGATGTACAGGACAATTATCGAAGTCGATGGTGTGAACCACGTTCCATACACTGTGGATGAAATCCAGATCTTCGCAGGTTTGTCATTTCATCTCCTTAACATGAACGCTAGATAGCATGACTTTTCACCTCTCATTTCAGGCCAACGATACTCATTTGTTGTCTGTTTCTACTTCTTTTCAAGAGATTAGTACAGTTACTGATATATGGAACAGTTGAACGCGAATCAAGAGGTTGGCAACTACTGTACGTCGAATTGACCCATCATTACAAAATGCACTAACACCGACGCCTTAAGGGGTCCGCGCCAACCCCGATCTTGGTACTCTAGGATTTAAAGGTGGTATCAATTCCGCCATCCTCCGATACTCTGGTGCCAATAATGTGGAACCCGAAACCATGTCTTTCACGGGCGTATTGAAAATGAACGAAACCGATTTGGTGGTATATCTCTCTAACTTTGCCCCCGATTCTCACTGAGACTGATGACCATCCTGAAAGCCCCTCGAAAATTCCGGAGCTGTAAGTTCGATAAACCTTCAATGATACCTATCCATGGCCTGAACCTGCTATAGCCTGGGTCTCCCGAAGTCGGAGGTGTTGACTTGGCGCTTCACCTAGCCTTGGCTTTTGTGCGTCTTCCTTTTCCCTTTCATCTCTCACCTTCGGCTTATGAGCGCACAGAAAACCTCCGGAGCGTTCACGGTCAACGGAGCATCATTCGTTCCTCCGACAACCCCAATTCTTTTACAGATTCTGAGCGGTGCGCGGAATGCTAATAACCTCCTTCCCGAGGGTTCTGTCTACTCTCTTCCGGCGAACTCCACAATCGAAATTTCTATGTCAGGCGGTGGAGGAGTCAGTTCCTCTATCATTCAATCACTACATTTCGTGATTCTCATCTTTTTGAATTCTAGCATCCGTTCCATTTGCACGGTGTACGATCTTATTCAAATAATCTTGTTTTCTCGTTCTCATGGGTTTGTTATGATCAGCACACCTTTGACGTCGTCCGAAGTGCCGGTAGTGCTAAATACAACTATAAGAATCCTGTGAGACGAGACGTCGTCAATGTCGGTAATGCGCGCGACAATGTTACGATCCGGTTCACGACTGATAACCCTGGGCCATGGTTCCTTCACTGGTTGGTCGTCTTCTATTACTTGAGATCAATAATATGCTAACGAATAAGCCCTCTCTATAGCCATATTGATTGGCACTTGGAGGCGTGCGTGATATTCATGTACATACTTGACTTACTTGGTTAATGACTTTTCTCGTAGCGGACTCGCAGTGGTTTTTGCAGAAGCTACAGAGAGCTGGAAATCTACTATTGACCCCACTGGTGTGTCCGACTCATGATTCCTCCTCCCGATCCTGATTTCATGTCCTCTTAGATCAATGGGATAAGCTCTGCACAAAATAATACAATAATATGCCCGATGAAGATCTCTAGGACGTTTCTGCTGCAGGGGCAATCTTCATCAAGTATGAGTCTATTGACTTCATTAGGTTTTCTTTTATTCTATGATTCTCGTCAACCGTCACCGCTCGTTTTAATATGATTATATATTCCTTGTTTCTTCTTGGAAAACCGATGGCTTATTTTGCGGCTGAAGGCATCAGTTCCCGGTGAGAATATTCAATAGTTAAGGTTTGACTACAAAACTGTATGAATCAACGGCATACTTAATCTTTTAATGTTTGACAGCTTCTAGAATGCGCTTTCTTTTCTAGACTTTAGAACTCACGGCAAGTATGAGGGGCGCTAGTTCTAATGACGGTTGGCGCGCGCCTAAGATACAGCCATAACTTGGTCGGTTAGCTACATTGTTGCAACGCTTTGCTAATTCATCGCACAGAAACAGCCACAAACGCATTGCTGTTATCCATGGCAGTGTCCATCTCACAGCAGTTCGATAAATTTTGATATAACTTGGAGTCTCGAGCATCTTCCATGATGGCACCAAGCGCCTATCAAGCGCTCCAGCCAATCAGTTTCACTGAGGATCACGTCAGCGCACCGGAAATCTAAACACGAGTGAGACCGGCGCCTTATGATTCAACTCAAGCGCCAGTGTAACTCTCCCTGGCTTTGAACCTTCCGGTAGTAGCGCAGTATTAACAGACCACATTACATTGCCTAGACATGCCGGAAACACGAGGCAACTTTCGTTCTCTACAGAAGCCACAAAACGACATTTCTACGGCTGATGGAAGGGTCGTGTTGAATGAACTCGGCATGTTGCTGCCGTGCTGATGGCACATACCCATTGCCTTTGATCTTCTCGGAGCTGCCGGTACACGTTCCCCACAGCCACCACTAATCGCGTAACGCCGACATGCATGGTATCCTCAGTTCTCTTCAAACCCTTCTCATTTCCCCAACGTTCGTCTCGCCCTGGACATGTTCAATACATCATCCATCTCCGGCCGTATCACCCTCGAATCTGCAGGGCTTATCGCTCTCGCCGATCTCTCCACTGTCGCAGTGAGGACGGCTTTGACAGGAACGGCCTCTTACCTTGATGTTCTCGTCCTTGCACCAGGCATGCATCAGCAGCAGTCTGCCGTCAAAATCAATGACGGAGAATTGCCAGAGACCGGCTCGGTGATAAATGGATACGTCTTCCGGGTTGAAAATCCTGCTACCGTCAGCTACCTACGGCACATTGGCCGTACTGGCAAACTTGTCACCGCCAAAGTATCTCTAAAACCTACCCGCAACTGCATTCCATTCACGAATCCTTTCTACAACCTCAATGTATCCCCCCACAACAACCCATTCTTCTTCGCAGGCATACGTGCTACTCTGCTGTACCTCATGTGCCCAATACTCACTATCATCGTATTCGCGCTTCTGGGCGCTATCAGAGATTGGTGGGCGGTTGTGGTCTTGGGGATGCTTGTGTTGGCTAGATTTATCAACGTTGTTGTCATCAAGCGGAGAAGTAAGGAAGGGTGGAAGGGCAAAAAAGAGCCGGGCGTCGATGGCGACCTGCTCATACTTCTGAGTCAGGATCGCTGGGTACGTTTGAAGGGGTCGGTGGACGATCTTAAGGCCGTGACAGCTGGCCATTGGTTACGGGGTCAGACTTCGGAGGAGAGCTTTGCTGTAGGGTTCGCTACGCTGTTGGTCTACGCATCCGCTGCTCTTGCCGGAAACGCATCCACCGTGGGAAGCCTGCATATCGCCTGCTTGCTTCTCTGCTCCGCGGCTCTATTGAGCTTGTGTAACTCCTCGACACAGTGTTTGCAGATGTTCGGTCGTGTTGTGCGGAGGGAGGGAGATCGTACAGATTATGATCAGAGGCTGGACATGGTCAAGGATCTCGTTCAACAAAGTGGGAAGGACGACTGGGCCATCGATATGGGGTTGATAAAACCTGCTGAAGCGGCGGCCGCTCTTAAGGAGCGCAAGTACTCAAATGAATCCAAGTGTTCGGATATCCTTGAAGATGGAAGCGTTAGCACTGTTAGCTTGGATGCCGCCAAAGCTTAGCCTTGAAGTATAATGGCCAACCAATTTTCTGTAATGTGTATTCATGATATTCATACAGCTTCCAAAATATGAACATATTTCATACAGTATCCAATAATGCGCAGACGACACGAAGAGTCAACGATCCAGTTGTTGCCCGATGGGTGTTCGGGAAATGCCGAAGGTCGAGTCGCGCCAAAAATGGTAGTCGCGCCTCTTGATAACGAACCACCATCATCGCTGCACTTACATCGACAGCGGCGATAATGCAGCACCTTGTATCGGAACACAGCCAGCTACTGCGTCTACTGGCTTTTTCATGCTTGCCTGAAGGATTCCCGAGTATATCGTAGTGAGGAAACGGTACGTCATTGGGCTGCCGCAGTAAATCCTCAAATGTTCTAAACGATATACGCAGTCGATACTCCCTGCATTGCAATCCTGTTGGTGTGCACAAGATTCTGTGCTAATTCTTCTGCCGGTGCCAATGCCATTGCAATGCCTTCATCACATGCCATCTCTTCGAAGATGCATTTCACAAACGCACGACGGTTCTTTACGGATGCCTTTGCCTGCAGTCCAACTCCAGGATACTATAATAGGCTGATTCCCACCACGATGCGGGCGCTTGACGAACGATTTTCGTAGCCAACTTGTTCCACTGAACACTTTTATGCCAGCGCACCGCAAACACGAGCAGTTGGTGGGGGATTCTCACGTTCATTGATTACTTTCGGGGACAATGGACCATAATGAACTGGTTGGACGCTTCATCAGCATGAGGTCCCCATTCTTTCACGTCACCTACGTATATCATGGCCGTCATTTCCTCCACCTTTCTCGTGGCAGCTAGAGCACATCCACTACACCTATCTTGTCTCACGCTATTTGAATCGGCTCTTGTTTCTCAGCTTCTGTCATATTCTGCCCATGTTCAAAAATTCCTTCATCTCAACCCGTGTCACCCTCGAAGCCGCGGGGCTCGTCGCCCTCGCAGATCTCTCCACTGTTGCAATGAGGACGGTCCTGACGGGCACGGCCTCCTACCTCGACGCTCTTGTCCTTGCACCCGGAATGCATCAGCAGCAATCCGCCGATGAGGTTAACCACGGCGAATTACCGACAGCTGGTGCAATGACTACCGGATACATCTTCCGTGTAGAGAACCCTGCTACCGTTAGATACCTGCAAACCATTGGGCACACTGGACACCTTGTTAACGTCTGGGTGTACCCAGGCCCGTCCGGTGACGATAACCTATCCATAACCAATCGCCGAATCCAGTCCTTCATAGTCGCTGGGATTCCCGCGGCTGTGCTCTACCTCCTCTGCCCAGTATTGACCGCTGTTGTGTTCGCGCTCCTGGGCGTTATCGAGGACTGGTGGGGATTTGGGGTGCTGTGGATGCTTGTGTTAGCTAGGCTGATTAATGTGGTCGTCATTAAGCGGAGAAGCGTCATGGGATGGAAGGGTGCTCCCGAGGACGGTGATGGTGACCTCCTCATCCTGCTGAGTCAGGATCGCTGGGTGCGCTTGCAGGGGTCGGTGGACGATCTCAAGGCTGTGACTGCGGGTGAGTGGTTGCGAGAGATGTCTGACGAAGAGAGCTTCGCCGTCGCTTTCGCAACACTATTGGTCTATCTGTCTGCCGCTCTTGCTGGTAACGCATCCAAGGTGGGGAGCTTGCTTATTGCAGGCTTACTACTGTGCTCCGTTGCTCTCTTGGGACTTTGCAACTCCTTGACGAAGTGTTTGCAAATGTACGGTCGCGTTGTCCGCACAGAAGGAGCGCCGAAAAAGTATAAGCGGAGGTTGGATATGGCTGGAGAACTGATTGATGTGGCCAAAAGTGAGGACTGGGCAATTCGCATGGGCCTCATCATTCCGAAGGAAGTTCTCTCTAAAAAACGGGCTTCTAAAAGAGGGGCTACTCTTTGATATGTGTGGGTTTAACTTATGCTTGAGCTTCAACCGATATCTGAGATCTCAATATCAGATATTCCATTACAACCAGTGTCGGTTTGATGCTTTTTACTTTTGCTAGCTATAGTCTCATACGGACAAGAACACATTCTGCGACGTTCATCATCTCGATGAAAATATCTCGTTTCCACATGCAATTGTCGTGCAGCTACCAACAAATGAATACCAGTCATATTACCGCTAGCATCCCTGATGATTATCGTACATGGATCGGAAACACAACGGTGCTTAACGTGTACTGCTACTATCGGAGAGGCGACGGATTTGTATTCCACCGCTTTACGTTGCAATGCTTCGAATCTCCAACTTGATGTCTGAAACGAGATCGTATGGGAAGCAGTTGCCAGTTTGTATCGTCATGCCATATTTGTTGCTATTGCCGAATTCAGGATGCAGGCGCCTGACGCAAGGCAACGATAGGGACAAGCCTATGATCAGCATTGGGATTTGGGATAATCATCTCCCGTGCACACCTCGAAGTACGCCCTTCCGTTCCGCCCGAAATTATCATTGAAGTGACCATGTTAAGGCCCGCAGTGTGTAGAAAAGCGAACATTGGTTTCGTATGGTTATGGAATGCAGCTGTTGCCGGAAGGTGTTCTACTTCCGTTGAATGAAGGCTAAACGCCTGAACATTCTATCTATCAGCTGTTATATTGAGACCGCACATTAATCCCTTAATGATATCCTTGCCCTCCAAGAATAATTGAATGGGCCATTTATAAACATGCGGAAGATACGGCTTTTCTCGTCAGTACCCCCCATCAGTCAGTGTTTCGCTAACTTGTTCAACAGAGGTAAAGATGCGCTACTGCCATTCACAACACCGGCGAAACAGAATCAATGTTATACCGCGCGGGCAAAGTTCTATACACGTCACCCTAATATGAAGACCGGCGCCTAGCCAATTGCTCACACCCAGTCCACCCCGTTGGGGCATGTTTCGTTCGGTGCTTCCGCGTTATGAACACGAGCAGGTGGAGAACGTCGATAGCTACCATAAGCTCCTTTGGGTGCCTAACAAGCATGAGGCTTTCGATCTTCCGTAAATCGTCAGGACCAGTACAGAAGTGATGAATCTGTGGCTGATGAAATAGTGGATCTTCCATCAGCCACAGATTCATCAAGCAGGGCAGGGGAAATGGCGCTGTAACGTTGGGCAACAATGTCGCATCAACTTACTAGTTATCAGTTTCTCCGGATCTAGCGGAGCACGTTCCCTGCAGCCATCGTTGGCACTATAACACCGTCAAGAGCTACGACCTTTGCTTGATTCAAGACCTTCTCGCCTTTCCAGCCATCGAGATCCCGCCATGTTCAATACTTCCTCTATCTCGGGTCATATCACCCTCGAATCTGCTGGGCTCGTCGCTCTAGCTGATCTCTCCATTGTCGCAGTGAGAACGGCTCTTACGGGGACGGCATCCTGGATTGACATTCTTGTCCTTGCTCCAGGGATGCATCAGCAGCAGTCCGCCGACGAGGTCAATCGTGCGGAATTTCCACAGACTGGTTCATTGACCAACGGATACGTTTTCCGTATCGAGAACCCCGCCACAGTCAGCTACCTACAACGTATCGGCCGTACCGGACACCTCGTCACCGCTTGGGTAGAGCCAAAACCAATCCCCAGCAACCCGCTAATGATTCCTTATTTCGGGGGCATTGATCTATCCCCACAAAATCATCCCTTCTACATTGCTGGCGTTTCTGTGGCTCTGCTTTATCTATTATGTCCGATATTGACCATCGTCGTCTTCGTACTCGTTGGCTCCATCAGGGACTGGTGGGCATTAGGGGTCCTGGGGATGCTTGTTCTGTCCAGAACGATCAACGTGTTCATCATAAAGCGGAGAGTCGCGGACTCGGAGAATTGGAAGGGGACGTTGGAGAAAGGTGAAGGAGATCTCCTCATAGTTTTGAGTCAGGATCGATGGGTTCGTTTGCAGGGGGAGCTATCTGATGTCAAACGTGTGACTGCAGGCCAGTGGCTACGAGACGAGGATCGCTTAGAGGGCCTTGCCGTAGGGATTGCTACGCTGTTGGTATACGCAGCTGCGGCCCTGGCTGGTAATGCATCAACGGTGGGGAGCCTGCTTATTGCATTGTTGCTTCTTTGCTCTGTCGCTTTATTGGCTCTCTGCAACTCCTTCACACATCGGCTGCAAATGTACGATTGCATCGTGCAGGAGGATAAAACACTGAAGAAACATTATGACCGGAGGTTGGACATGGTCAAGGACCTTATTGCGGAGGAAAGAATCAAGTATGCAAACGGGAAACATGATCGTGAAAGCGATCCGGGTGAATGGGCTGTTAGCATGGGGCTGATTAAACGTCGTCAACTGGAGGACATTCTTCCAAAGTCTGTGTCATCGTCTACCAGTAGTTGTATAGGATCGCAGGCCTCCACTATATCTTCCTCTACCGATGTCTAGATGCGTTTATTTAAATAAACATCTTTTGACTTCCATGAGCGACAGAGGCTATCCCCTACATGTCCAATCGTCGCTATGAAACTCCGTGATCAACATACGACTCATTCTAATACGTGCCAAACCGCACCACTTTCAAATTGTGAGGACTATCTAAGGAGTCTAAATGATATACTAGCTCGTCCGGGCAGAGCAACGGGCACGGGCATGGTATACCATTGCTATACCCGTCCACGGAAATAGAGTTCGATGCACAGCTTCACAGTACAGATGGATAACCGGTCTGGGTCCCAAAAAGGAATGCCGGGGCTCAGGATGACCATTGCAATGACACCGAAACACGAGGGACCAGATGTTTTTGTTGCTCTCGTGACACTGCTGGTATACACGACTGTGGTTCTAGATGGCAATGCAGCGTATCGGCCTAGATTCCTTTTTTTCAATTTCGCTGCAGAGCGGCGCGGCAGTGTGTAGACCCAAAATAATAGAATTAGAGAGAACAGTAGTCGAGGTAGACAGGAAGTAGAGTGATAGCATTATCGAGGATGGTTGGAAGATATCGCGTGTCAACAATAAGGAGGTATTGTTCGATTTTGAGGCGTCCCATCAGGTGTGGGCTTCATGGTTAAAGGGAAAGTCGTGATCGTGACATTCCCGTGCCAAAAATGGTAGTCGCACCTCTTGATAACGAACCACCATCATCGCTGCACTTACATCGACAGCGGCGATGATGCAGCACATGGCGTCGGAGTATAGTCAGCTACTGGATCTACTGGCCTTCCCATTGCTTGCCTAAAAAAATTCTAGAGTACCTCGTAGCAAGGGAACGGTACGTCGTTGGGTTCCCACAGCAAATCCTCAGTGGTTCTAAACGTGCCATTCAGTTGATACTCTCTGGATACGTTCCTATCTTGAGAGCTCTGAATACGTTCATTGGATCCTGGTCTACGAAAATGCCGTGCTCCAAGTCTGCTATCAGGCTCGCCTGTGGAGGGCTGTTGGCTCTTAGCAGAAGCAATAGATGGTAGGCCTCGTTTCTTGCGTTTTTATTCGAGGATAATCTTCATCATGCATTAGAAGGCCAATTCTACTGTTGAATTCTGTCTCCAAAGGCCTGGTGTTGGTGTTACCGGCACGACCGGGAGTATGATGTACTGTGGTACCACAGACAGTTCAAGGGAGTGGACATATGGGATTGTGTAAGACGACGGTGCGTACTCATCAGGCTTTGTGAATGCAGTAATCTCATTTGGCTCTAGGACATTCGACTCGTTCCACGCGAATTTAGGGTTCTGCAGGATTCCAGTCGGCCGGAACGTATGTTCCCCAATCATGTGGCTAGCGGGGATTTGCCTCTCCCTTGAACAAAGTCTCATTTGTCCCTTCTGACGGAAGCTTGCAGTCATCCCTATGGACTAATGTTGCTGAGATTGGTGATACTCGTGCCGACATAATATGCCTCATACCATATAGCTTCTTGAACATGCGTTTTCCATATTTACAGGATTCTGGACGATTATAGGGCGCCAGTTTCCTGGACGCTGAGATGCTCAAGATGCGGCGCTAGCCTTGCTGTGGAAGTTTCTGCGTGCGGTCCAATTCCATCGACTCTGATAATGTGATACCCACCAGAAAGCGCATTCCTGACGAATGAATGTGTTCGAGGGGAGTTCGACACCAGTGCACTTCAAACACGAGCGATTGGTGTGGTGTCCTCACGTCCATTGTTCTTATCGCCGTCAGCGGTGACATTGGTTCCCTTTGAGCCTTCCATCGATTATAGAGTGAAAGGGAATCACCCGAGAAAGGCGACCTCATGCTGACGGAGCGCCCAGCCAGTTCATTATAGTTCCTTCCGCGAAGCTTATGCTCAATATCGCCAATGATCATCACAATCACAATCACCATCGGCGGAGGCGTTTGTGCTGAATACACAAGACAGGAGGAAATCTCGTCAAGACTGGATTGGTAGCTGCGATGTCACTTACATCACTTACACACATCACGGTCGACATTACCTCCACCCTTCCTGGGGCAGTCAGGATGCCTATCATCAGAATGCACCATTTAAATGACCTTGTTCCTTTCCTCTTGGTTCCCCACTCTTATCGGCTTCCGTCTACGTTCAAAAATTCCTTTATTTCAAACCGAGTTACCCTCGAAGCCGCGGAGGTCGCCCTTGCAGATCTCTCTACTGTCGCAATGAGGACGGCCCTGACGGGCACGGCCTACTACCTCGACGCTCTTGTGCTCGCACCTGGCATGCATCAGCTGGTAACGAGGTTAACAGCGGTGAAACACCGGATACCAGTGCAATGACATCCGGATGCACCTTCCACATCAAAACCCTGCTACTATCAGATACCTACAAAGTATTGGGCGCACTGGACACCTCGTTACCGCTAAGGTAACCCCAAACCCGTCCCTCGACGAGAAGATGTCCCGAAACAATCGTCGAATCCAGTCCTTCGTCGTCGCTGGGATTCCCGCGGTTGTGCTCTACCTCCTGTGCCCGGTATTGACCATTGCCGTGTTTGCACTACTGGGCGTTATCGAGGACTGGTGGGGATTTGGGGTGCTGTGGATGCTTGTGTTGGCCAGGCTGATTAATGTGGTCATCATTAAGCAGAGAAGCATCATGGGATGGAAGGGTGCTCACGAGGACGATGATGGCGACCTTCTCATCCTGCTGAGTCAGGATCGCTGGGTGCGCTTGCGGGGATCGATAGATGGTCTTAAGGCTGTGACGGCGGGCCAGTGGTTGCGGGAGATGACTGACATAGAGAGCTTCGCCGTCGCATTTGCAACGTTTTCGGTCTATCTGTCTGCCGCTCTTGTAACGCGTCGAAGACGGGGAGCCTGCTTATCGCAGGTTTACTGCTTTCCTCCGTCGCCCTCTTGGGCCTTTGCAACTCCATGACAAAGTGTTTGCAAATGTACGATCTCATTGTGCGTGTGGAAGGAAAGCCGAAGTGGTATGAGCGGAGGTTGGACATGGTGAAAGAGCTAGTTAAAGAGACGGGCAGGAAGGACTGGGCCATTTGCATGAGGCTCATGGTTGAAGAAGACTCTCCACAGGCGGTTTCTCCTTGACATATGTGCAAGCTTTCCCTTGTATGAACAAGAACACTTCTGCGACCTATCATTGCGATGAGAAATCTCGTTTACGCACTATTGTCGTGCAGCTACCAATAAATGCGTACCTCTCGCACAATAGGCAACAAATCGGTAACTGTCGCGCAAGAGCGCTGGGAAATAGGACGGCAGCGCTCGACAAAGGCATGGCTACTGTCAGAAAGATGACGGCCTTACGTTCCATCGCCTTATATTGCAATACTTCACACTTTCTACTTGATGCCTAGCTCGGCGATTGTATGGGAAGCAACCTCCAGTCCGTGCCGACGAGGCATGCCCACTAATATCACCGAATTTGTGGCGGTTTCTGTGTAGATGCATAGAGAGCAAGGCAAAGTCAGGGAAAAACTCATGACCAGCGCTAGGATTCAACAATGTGAACTCCTGCTCACACCTCAAGGTACGCTCTGTCTTTCCCCTCAAAATTATCGCTTTGTGACCTCGTTAAGACCGACAACGTACAGAAAAATGAACCATGGAATGTGGCTTGAAGGTTTCCTACCTCCGTTGAGTGATGTCCAGGCGCCTGAACATTCTATTTGTCAGTTGTCGGAGTTGTGACTGTATATTGATTCCTTGATGATGGCCTTGCCCTCCAAGAACAAATTGAATGGTCTTGATATAAATGACGACGTAAAGATACGGCCTTTCTTGTTAGTACCTTCACATCGTGTCAGCGCTTCGCTAACTTCTCCGGTAGAGGTACGGACGCGCTATTGCTCTTCACAGCACCGGTGAAACGGAATCGATGTTATCTTGTCCAGGCAGAATTCTATAGACGTCATCCTAACGTGAAGACCGGTGCCTAACCAATTCCTCGCAGCCAGTCCGCCCCGTTGGGGCATGATTCTTGCGGTGCTTACGCGTTATCAACACGAGCAGGTGGCAGCGTCAATAGCTGCCATAGGCTCCTTCAGCGCCTAACGAACACGAGGCCTACATTTCTTCGTGAATCTTCTGGACAGCAGAAGCCATGAATCTGCGGCTGATGGAAAAGCCAGGCAGCGTTAGCAGCAATCTCACATCAACTTACTGGTTATTATTTTCTCCGAGTCTGCCGGAGCACGTTCCTGGCGGCCATCGTTGGAAATATAACACTGTCAAGAGCTACGGCCTTGCTTCATTCAAGTCCTCCTCGTCTTCCCAGTCGTCGAGATCTCGCCATGTTCAATACTTCTTCTATCTCCGGTCATATCACCCTCGAATCTGCGGGGCTCGTTGCTCTAGCTGATCTCTCCACTGTCGCAGTGAGGACAGCTCTTACGGGGACAGCATCCTGGCTTGACATCCTTGTCCTTGCCCCAGGGATGCATCAACAGCAGTCCGCCGACGAGGTTAATCGCGGGGAATTTCCACAGACTGGCTCATTGACCAGCGGACACGTTTTCCGTATCGAGAATCCTGCTACCGTCAGCTACCTACAAAGCATCGGCCGCACCGGATACCTCGTCACCGCTCAAGTAGAACCCAAATCAACCCTTAGATACTCACTCATGGTCCCTTATCTCGGGGACATTGATCTGTCGCCACCAAATCACCCTTTCTGTGCTGCAGGAGTCCATCGCGGCTCTGTTATATCTATTGTGTCCACTATTAACCATCATCGTCTTCGCACTCGTGGGCTCCATCAAAGATTGGTGGGCTCTAGGGGTCCTGTGGATGCTTGCTCTGTCTAGAATGATCAACGTGGTCATCATTAAACAGAGAGTTGCGGACTCGAAGGATTGGAAGGGTGGAGATGAGAAGCCTGAGGCCAAAGGTGATCTCCTCGTGATTTTGAGTCAGGATCGCTGGGTTCGTTTGCGGGGGCAGCTATATGTTGTCAAACGCGTCACCGCAGGTCAGTGGTTACGGGATGAAAATCGAGTAGAGAGCCTTGCCGTAGGGATTGCTACGCTGTTGGTATACGCAGCTGCGGCCCTGGCTGGCAATGCATCCACCGTGGGGAGCTTGCTTATTGCATTGTTGCTTCTGTGCTCTGTTGCTTCATTGGCTCTCGGCAACTCCTTCACATATCGACTGCAAATGTACAATTGCATCGTGCAGGAAGACAAAACATTGGAGAAGACCTATGAACGAAGGTCGGTCATGGTCGAGGACCTCATTGTGGAGGAAATCAACAATACAAGGGGGCAGGATGATCGCGAAAGCGATCCGGGTGAATGGGCCATCCAAATGGGACTCATAAAGCGTAGTGAACTACGGGCTATTCTTCAAAGGCACTTGTCACCGTCTGCCCTTAGTCGTTCCATAGGACTACAGTCCTCCACTATATCTTCTTCTACCGATGTCTAGATGCGCTTTTTCAAACGTTTTTTGACCTCTATGAGGCGACAGCGGCTATCCTTCACATGTTCAATCGTCGCTATGAACACCCTAATCGACATACGACTCATTCTAATACGTGTCAAATCGCACCGCTTTCAAATTGTGAAAACTACCTGAGGGATCTATATCATATACTAACTCATCTGAGCAGAATAACATGGTATACCATTGCTATGCGCGTCCACGGAAATAGAGTTCGACGCACATCTTCACAGTACAAGATGACCATTGCAATGACACCGAAACACGAGACACCAGATGTTTGTGTTGCTCTCGTGACACTGCTAGCATACACGGCTATGGTTCTACCTGGCAATGCCTCGATGATGAGAGCTTGCATATTCTATCGGCGGTCTACCAACTCGTCAGACAGACCGGCAAATGATTGCTATTCACAGTACCAGTGAAATCAGATTCAATGTCATACTTCTCCGACAGAATCTCGTAAAGACTATCGCAATGCGAGGGCTGCTGCCTAATATCCACTGCAGCCAATTTGCCTCATCGAGGGACAGTTCCTTTGCCACTCATCCACTAACGACTTCACGAGCAGGGTCGTGGAGGACCGTAGACTCTTCCATTTAACTTGACGCCTAATAGCGCCCGTGCCACTAGTAGAAGATCCATGATAAGGATCAATTGGGTACTGACTCTGGCGAAAAGGTCGGGCGCCTAACAAACGGAAAGTCTTCGCCTTTTTGCGGAACTCCCCAGGCACTGCAGAAGCCACGAAATCAGCGGCTGATGGATGGGTCACTAATAAATGGGCCATGCAGGGGGATATGCGTTGGAACGTTGGAAACGTACCGCCAAAATCGGTAGAGAGAACGCCAGATGGTTAGTGATAGTCGCGGTATAACGGAACAGTAGGTATTCCGCTCTGCATCAATGATGCCATCACCCAGGGACCGGACCGTGCCACTGAGAGTTGCATTGGCAGTTTGGTTAACGGTCTCCTCGGGTCCGCCAGCCACGTTCCCCGTGGCTATCACCAACAATATCGCACCATTGAGAACCACGATCTCTCTCGACTCAATTCCTCGTCTTCCCAGTGGTCAAGATTTTTTTTTTCATGTTCAATACTTCCTCTATTTCGGGTCATATCACCCTCGAATCTGCGGGGCTCATCGCTCTAGCTGATCTCTCCACTGTCGCAGTGAGGACAGCTCTTACGGGGACAGCATCCTGGATTGACATCCTTGTCCTTGCCCCAGGGATGCATCAACAACAATCCGCCGACGAGGTTAATCGTGCGGAATTTCCACAGACCGGCTCGTTAATTAATGGATATGTTTTCCGCATCGAGAACCCCGCCACAGTCAGCTACCTACAACGTATCGGCCGTACCGGATGCCTCGTTACCGCTCAGGTAGAGCCAAAGCCAACCTCCAACGACCCACTAATGATTCCTTATTTTGGGGGCATTGATCTGTCGCCACAAAACCATCCCTTCTACATTGCTGGAGTTTCTGTGGCTCTGTTATATCTATTATGCCCGATATTGACCATCGTCGTGTTCGCACTCGTTGGCTCCATCAGGGACTGGTGGGCATTAGGGGTCCTGGGGATGCTTGTTCTCTCTAGAGCAATCAACGTGTTCATCATAAAGCGGAGAGTCGCGGACTCGGAGAATTGGAAGGGGACGTTGGAGAAAGGCGAAGGAGATCTCCTCGTAGTTTTGAGCCAGGATCGCTGGTTCGGTTGCAGGGGGAGCTATCTGATGTCAAACGGGTGGACTGCAGGCCAGTGGCTACGAGACCAAGATCGCTTAGAGAGCTTCGCTGAAGGGATTGCTACGCTATTGGTATACGCAGCTGCGGCCCTTGCCGGTAATGCATCGACGGTGGGGAGCCTGCTTATTGCATTGTTGCTTCTCTGCTCTGTCGCTCTATTGGCACTCTGCAACTCCTTCACACGTCGGCTGCAAATGTACGATTGCATCGTACAGGAGGATAAAACACTGAGGAGGCGTTATGACCGGAGGTTGGACATGGTCAAGGACCTTATTGCGGAGGAAATCAAGCATGCAAGCGGGCAGGATGATCATGAAAGTGATCCGGGTGAATGGGCCGTTAGCATGGGGCTGATTAAACGTCGTCAACTGGAGTTCATTCTCGCTGAGATTTTCGTGAGACCGAAGACCCCCAGTTTATCGGTTTCTCCAGATGCCGAGACGTGCTGATTTGGCTATCGTCTCTAAATTTGATAAGCTACAACACCTCCACTTATTATTCATGGCATGTCCTTACAATACCCCACACAGAAATCATTGCTCTCGACATGATAATCTGACATTCTTACTGTGATGCTACAAGATCCTCGGATTTAGTATCTCGCGTGGTTTAATCGTGTCTGTTGTGGTGTTACCTTGCACGTTCCTCTAAAGGTATTATCCCTTCCGGGATATCATGAATCTGATTACTTTAAGGCCTAACAAAAAATTAAACAAAGATCGAAGCATTCATCGTTTAGCGCAGTCAGGGTTGCTTGAAATCGACACTCCTGACGCCCTGATCTTGATCTTATCATCCAATAATTGCTTTCCTTCGAAGATCCTACAGTTGGATAAAACTCGGAGATTGTATCCCTTTATAAATATAGTATTGCTTCGGAGCTTGACTTGATGAAACACACCCGATGATCTTCGTCAATGTCTCCTCCTCGCCATACTGCAGGAAAGTCTCATCCCGCGGCGACAACTTGACCTTCATTTTTTACTATGCTTATATTGTGGCGGAGGTACTATCAATAATTCGTGATAGCCTAATGTCAAGATTAAATGGGGTACGGAAGAGCGCCATTTCGACTTGTTCCTTGACTTGTTCTATGCTAGGTTGCACCGCCTTGTCTTGTGAGTGCTCTGACCATTACTCACTCTCTATATCTATTCTAGCTCATCGGGAAGATCAATGAGACGCCATTGCTACCACACCTTACGTGAAATAGGATTTCCTACTAAATCGCATCGCCTTGTGAGGACTGACCATTACCTGGTCATCTCTATATTATCCGACTAACTGGCGCTGTAGACGCACCTTTGCAATGCCTTGTACTGAAATGGAGTTTGATTCACGTCTTCACAAGGGTGGCGCTTCTTCGCAGTTTGAAAGGTGACCATTACAATGCATGAGGCCCGAAGGAGAGTCATTTCCGATGTTGTCGTTCTTCTCGTAAGGTTTGACGCCCGTGGTTAAGCGCCCTAAAACTCGTGCGAGGTAGCCAGTCTCTCGGGATTATTCATTGGCTCGTGATGAATATTGACGGCATCAATAAATTAGGAAGAATAGAAAATTCACTGTGAACTCGAATTTCATTTCACTTACGATTGCAGATTCCTCCCTCTGAGTTAGTCGACCTTTGAATGATGGCAACACAGATGGCCTACATCTTCTCGTCTCATGTTACATGTATTAATGCAAGCCGTGGTGATATGCGGCGAAAAGATATGAGTTCGGCCCGATACAGCTTCTACTATAGCTTTCATCATGCGCGCAGCCTCGTTCCCTCCTACATATCTCCCAGCCCTCTTCACACTCCCCCATGTTCAGCAAGTATTCCATATCCCGTCACCACATCACACTCGAAGCTGCCGGCCTCGTTGCCCTCGCAGATCTCTCCATCGTTGCAGTGAGGACTGCCCTAACAGGGACAGCCTCGCCCCTCGATGTCCTCCTCCTCGCACCTGGCATGCACCAACAGCAGTCTGCTGAAGAGGTGAACCGTGGGGAATTCCCAACGACTGGTTCGATAACTAATGGATACGTCTTCCGCGTCGAGAACCCTGCGACAGTGAGCTACTTGCAGCGCATTGGTCGCACCGGGCACCTCGTCACCGCCAAGGTATCCATGAATCCTTCCCGTAACACTTCTTTATCCAAGTACAACCGCCTCGTCCAATCCTTCTTCATCACTGGGGTTTCCGCGACACTTCTATACCTCCTCGGCCCGATCCTGACAGTGATCGTGCTCTCATTCCTCGCCGCTATACAGGACTGGTGGGGATTTTGGGTACTAGGGATGCTAGTAATCGCCCGAATGATCAACGTCATCGTGATCAGGCGAAGGAGCAAGGACTCGAAAGAGTGGAAAGGCGCTCCCGAGAAAGATGAGGGTGATCTGCTCATCCTTCTGAGCCAGGATCGCTGGGTGCGCCTACAAGGGTCCCTGCATGATATCAAGACCGTCACAGCAGGAGAATGGCTCCGAGATCAAAGTACGCTGGAGAGCTTTTTCGTTGCCCTCGCGACGCTGCTGGTCTATGCGGCGGCGGCTTTGGCCGGCAACGCCTCGACGATGGGGAGCTTGTTTATTGCTTGCCTCTTGCTCTGCTCTGCCGCTCTATTGGGTCTGTGCAACTCCTGGACAGGATGTTTGCAGATGTATGATTGCATTGTATGGCAGGGTCCGGAGACGTCACCCAAGTACTATAAGCGGAGGTTGGATATGGTCGATGATTTAATTCAGTCGAGCGGGAAGAGTGACTGGGCTTTTGAAATGGGTTTGAAGAGGCATGTTAAACTGGAGGCATCTGTCGGGTTTGACTCGTCGTCCGAGTGTTCCAGCTTCTCAAGCCCCAGACCTAGCATCGATGACAAGAGGTGTTAACTCTATACAAGGGTTGAGGGAAAAACGGGTATTAAACCACCCAATAGAGCAAACAAACTGTAGACTAAGATTGGATGTGTAGGTAAAAAGAGCAGTATGTATTGCTCATGTAGATACGTAGTATGGCTTCTCCTTTGACAACTTTGAACGTAACAGCAGCATTTGCATTGAACTTCCTGTTACACCCTACAAAATAGAACCTTTCTGCAATACCTAGTATTATCGCAACGAAGAATCTTATTTACACAATCGTCGTACAACTGTCAAAATGAATGAACACTAGTAGTGCGGCAACTGTCAATGTCGTATACGGAGAAGAGAAGGTCCAAGGCACATTCACTATTGAAAGAACGAATTCGTGACGGGTTCTTCGCGGGTGTCCTGCATTTAGCCTTTCCCGGATGTTGATACTTAGCACTGAAAATCAGTTGCACTCAAGTCTCACGTAGCCTGGTTGCGATTATCCATTGAAAACTAAGACTTCGGGCGACCTTATTATCTCTTCCAGGACCCACTCACATCGGACAGATAAGAATTTTGAGGGAAACCAGAATGTGCGCGATAAGATGACATTTCGGGAGGTCGATCTTGGCAGTCTTTGCCTAAAATTTGCGTGCTCCCGAAATTTATCTAGATCTCTGGCCGGCAGCATGGATTTTAGATCCTCCAAAATGCGAAGTTCGTTGACCCCCAAATGACTCTCCCAAAATGTTACAATTGTGCTCAAAATTTAGGTGTGACTACTAAAATCACCGGACTTCAATGTTTAGCATACAACATAGAAGAAAAGATATATGGGGCTAGCTAATACAAAAGTCTGGGTATCACTAAACGCCCGGATGGAACAGGAGAAGCATAGGATGATGGCATACAGAGTGAAGATCCTTTCCAAACCTACATCGACGAAACAGGAAATAGGATCAAAGTAACGACGAGCACAGCAGGACATCACTGATGTCATTGCATCAACTAACCACGAATTGGTGGACGCCGCAGTTATGCGTACAATAGCAATCTGGGTTTGGTGTGCATCTCCGTGCTAAACTTTTGGGAAAAAAATTATATTTCTTTCGAATATCAGGATATAAGATAGACTTACACATATCAAACATTGACCGCGCCTCTCTCCCCAGGATCAGGAAGTATCAGTCCCATACCAACGGCCCAGTCCTTTCGGCCCGTTTCTGCAACCAATTGGTCCGCCATCACCCTCCGACGCGGATACTTGTCCGAAATTCGTACTCTTCGGACGATCCGATCGCACATTTGCAGACATTGCGTTGAGGAGTTGCATAGAGTCAAGAGAGCGACCGTAGACAGAAGTAACCCCGCGATGAGCAAGCACCCTACCGTTGATGCATTGAAGGCAAGAACGGCAGATACATAGATCAACATGGTCGCACACGTGACAGCAAAACTCTCTGTGGCTGTCAGATCTCGCAACCACTGGCCTGCTGTGACAGCTTTGAGATCCTCCACTGTTCCCCGCAAGCGCACCCAGCGATCCTGACTCAGCAAGATAAGAAGATCCCCGTTCTGACCCTTCTCTGGCACCCCTTTCCATCCCTTTTCGTTCCTTCGCTTGATAACGACCATATTAATGAACCTCGCCAACACGAACCCTCCCAAACTGCCCAAGGCCCACCAATCCCGAACAACACCCAATAACACGACCACGACGATCGTCAACGCGGGACAAAGAGCGTACAGCAGAGTGGCAGGAACTCCAGCCACGAACAAGGACTGGAGTAGCTTATTCTCTTCAGATAGGTTCTCGTCAAAAGACGGGCTTGGGTCCACGTGTGCTGTGACGAGACGGCCTGTGATACCAATGTTTTGCAGGTAACTCACAGTGGCTGGGTTTTCAACACGAAAGACATATCCGGTGGTCATTGCGCCAGTCGTAGGAAATTCACCGTGATTTATCTCACCCGCTGACTGCTGCAGGTGCATTCCTGGCGCAATGACAAGGACGTCAAAAACGGATTCTGACCCAGTAAGCGCCGTTCTGATGGTGACAGCGGAAATGTCTGCGAGAGCGATGAGCCCGGCGGCCTGGAGGGTCACATTGCCTTGGATTGAGGATTCGTCGAGCATGGAGGAAAATTGACGAAAGTTGGCGAGCTCGGACGAGATGAAGGAAGGAAGAAACCGCATGTTGAAACGTGTTGGCGTTGGGGTGTGAAGGAACCTCGATCGGGCCGGATCACTCTTATAAGTGAGCATAGCCTTGCACAGCTTTCGCTGAAAAGGAAACGTGCGAATTTACTTCAGCAGCCATTATTGCCATTGTTCGACTACGATACGATTTCCTCACAGTTTATTATTATGTATCTCACAAAAGTTCATCATTAACATCGCTTGTAAAACCAGAATGAACAGAAAATGAAAATGAGGGTGTTGTTCAAATCCCTATTCTTCGATGGATCATACCGGTCATGGATCAGAAGGACATCAACTTGAAGAACGTTGGTAAGGCGCTAGAACTGTAAGTGCTGTATAACAGCAACTAATATTATTACTATCACTATCTATATCTATGCCTTGGCACTGCATAATCATGAATGCGGTAGCTCCGGTGACCCGGCTGATATATATCTGAAAAGAGATTGAAGATTCCCATTGTTTAGATAACTGATTTAGTACATAAACAAACAAAAAAATTAAGACAACTGGCAGCAGCGAACCTTGCATGAACCATGCACCAATGTGGCTGTTCCTTCAGTGGTAGCCACGCCAGGCCCATGTCACGTATTATCTTGATATCCGCTGCTCGTGGGTCCGTATCCTCAGCTTGTCAGCTTAGAATAGATGTCGTCCTGGGGAAGCGGTACAGCATGGTCCCTTGAGCGGCTTCCCTCACATCCCTAACGGCGTTGGATTAAAATTCTCCAGCGCTTATGATGTCATCAGAAACGTGATAGTCGTGCGTAAAGAAAGCTGTTTACTCTGAAGCATGAACGAAGCTGACCTTTTGGCAGCTAGACTTGAAGAACGCTGGAGTTGCATGGTCTGCTCATGTGCTCAGTGAGTTATGATCCAACTGGGGAATAGAGAGGGAGACGTACTACGCATGCTTGCTCCGGTACCGAAGTTAGCGATAATCGCTTCTGGTGATTGGCGCCGCACCCCCACCACGATTTCGTGCATAAAAGCCGCGGTGGAAGGATCACACACTCGACTAGTACGCGGCAGAGTTCTGATGACTCGGACGACTAGAGGTACTACTTGGTTGTATTAAGAACGAGTCAGTTTCGAATGAAGCTACTGTTAGGCTGTGGGTGCGATGGTTGAGAACACTGAACCAAATGAGTGGGGCTAAGATACCTATAGTTCTAGAAAGACGGATATACGTAGGTGCCGCCCATCTTCCCCTCAAAGACGGCCGCGACGATATCCCTGGCTAATAATGGGCCGAGTGCTTTGTGCTATCAGGAACGAAGGGATGCCAGTGGTGACTACGGTGGTCCGGATGACGCTTGCTAGGACATGTTCAGATGTCAGTATCACAGGAAGCTCTACCAGATGGTGGAAAACTACAATTGAACTGGTTTCGGTCTCCCAAATAGCCAAGTATCAGTGGCAGTGAACGGGTAGATACGGGATTACACACCGAATTCATCATCGAAATAAACTCCATCGCATCCAAATTGCGGCTTCAGCATCTAGGAGACTGAGAAGAATATGCACGGGGATTATACTAACAATCTATAGGCGTTTCCTGACATCACGCGCCTAGATACGTATGTCCATCTCTCCGCTACGTAGAGGTGGAATCCGAACAGGAGCCAAGGGTTCAGTACCCTTACATGGGTCCCTCGGCGTGCCACAGCATGAGCTCGCGAGTGGTATAAATGGAACTAGAGAAGCGCGTTGACACTGAGTAATGCACGACGAATCCCTTCAACAACCGATCGGGATGAATAAGACGAAGCAGCATAAGTATATGCCTCGTCCTGTAGAGATCTTCGATCGTTGGCCTCCCATAATTGACGACAGATCACGCCCGCCATTTTCTGCAAGGCCGCATTCCAGCTGGCGGCTAGATACCTGAATTTGGGTAGTACCATGCTACCGCGGCAGTAGAATTATGGTGTGAAACCAGGATGCATCAGGCCAGAGCGCACCACGAAATACGTGATTGAATCTGGAGATCATGCTCAGAGGGTTAACATTATGACGTGCAAAGACTTACTGGGGTTGGATAAAGGACCAACGGCGTCGGGAGGATCACTGTGTACGTAATCTTTCGTGTACGGTGTAATAACCGGCGGAGGGGAGGACGGGAATCCATTCAACCTCCTGGGATCTATCACGAAAGCTGTTAATGTCAAGGTTATCATGACTCAGAAATAGAGGGTGGTTGAGGGTGTAAACGGCGTTGTAATCGAGAACTCTGGCAATGTTAGCGACCCATCCAAGTAAGGAGGTTTGAAAGTCAAGTATGAGACCGCTTGAGATGTTGGGATGTTGGTAGCAACATGGTAGACATTTTCCGAGGGACTAAAACGTCTGGAGTCATTATCGGGGAACTGTAACGGTAGCGCAATATTTATCCGACTTATGCAAGCTCTATGACAGTAGACTACACTTCGGCATCGGCCCAAAATAAGCACTCGAGAAACAAATAGCACAGGATGGTACTCAATGCGTTGACAAAGAAATGCGAGCACGCAAGCGAACGAACTCGGAAGACATTGTCCCATATCATCATCTTCGCGTAGTATCTTACACCGACTGTTAGTGTGCACATTTGATTTAATGAAGCATATATTCTCACTAGACGCCACATGAGGCTTAAATCATCCTCCATTTGAATCGAGGAGAGAGCTACCAGCTTGATTGTACATCGTGGTTTTGAGCCGAGACTGAATTACCGCGGGGAATAAACGACATGACGCGTCGTTTCGACACAACTTTGAAGCGGAAATTCGCGCATCTGGTCCAGGGCAGTGTTGGCCGAGACCTGTCGCATTCTCAGTGCCGTGAACTTCATTGTAGTTGAGTAATTCGAGGAATGTTGGTAACCATTAGACGCAGGGGATTTGAGGATTAGAAATGAGCCGCCTTGGGCATCCGGCAAGTGGCGCGCGTGCATGGGGTCTCAATCGCCTAGGTATCGGGCCCGTCACTATAATGAGAGCGTGAATGTTGTATTTTCAGAGTTCCCGCATCTTACGTGCACCTACTATCAATTGATATACAACTGTACTTGCAGCGTCGGCATTGAATGGAGGTGTTTCGTGAATAAAAGAGTTTCCAGATTTCTAGATTAGCATCCATGTCGTAAGAACTTCGATTTCAACAACGGCGTCTTCGTACCGTCCTTTCTCGATTGGAGTCATCGGCTGAGAGTTGGTAATTATGTAGATGAGATTTTTCTCCGCCTTATAGTCGCCCTCGAAAGATTGACAGCGCCTAAATATGTGCTTAGAAATAAGCATTGACATACAGAAGAGATACAAATCTCCGTATTCCCGACCGTCCCCGTCTTTATCAGCAAAAAACCCACCTTTTCCTCCCTCAGGCCTCATCTTCCCAAGCAGTGCAATTTAGGTAGCATTTTCTGTCGCTGTTAGTGAGCCTTTTCCGTTCAAGCAAAAACAGGTATCCGAGACGAATCTTTAACGAGGTTGAGGCAAAAGTTGGACAAAAGGAAAATGCCTTTGCTTATGTAAGTTACGCGTCCCATTGTGGTCAGGAAACAGGGACAAATAACGCGCTCCGCTCAACTGCTAGTTCCTCCAGGTTTCGGAACTATTGTGATCATCTCGGTGCTTCTCTACGTTCTTGCTTTCAGGATATTGTCAGATTATATCTTCTGTTACATGAGGTTAGTATCGTTCTCCAACCCTCACCCGCTGCTATCCTTCCGTTCTCCCTCCACGGCTAATGGAGAGCACTCAATAGAACCGCGTGGCTATTTCCCACACCTCAGAGCATTGCTCTTTATGCTTGGACAGGCGGGTTCCCCACCTTGGTGTTTCATTGTTTTGGGTAAGTCTAGGCTGAGCACTTTCGCTTGAGCCTAATCAATGCGGAACCGTCAGATGGCCTGGACACTGAGTTGAACGCTCAGTTTCAGTGCAGACTCACCTTAGACCCCTTTAGACCCTGGGAGGGCTTTTCCCTTTCGAAACGATTGTTTTATTCGTTCTAAGAGGTCGTTCACTCCGTTGAGTGACTTGCGAACACATTCCGCCGCTCAGTTGTAAGTTACTTCGGTCCCATTTCTGACCTGAAAGTGTTTTTACAGGCCCTTGAAATCTTCTGTCCAGGCTGGTAATTGCTCGTAGAAGCGATGGACCCACGAAGTTGCGAGCGCTTCAGTCGGTGAACAGAAGCCTTCATGTGAACCGACGCCCTGATGACTGATTCGGCCGTATTTTGTCAGCAAGGATGCCAAGCCCGTCGGGTAAAGTTTGCATTCTTGGACGAGATTCTGCTACTGAGACGCGCTTGTCGCAGATGCCTTCCCGTATGGATTTACTGGCAGGAACCAATCATTCTCCTTCCATTTTGGACAGGATGTGTGAGTGCTGTTCCTATTAACAAGTCGTTTCGGCCTCTAGACCACAGGGACTATTGAACATTAGAGCCAAACTTTTCTTGGGGATACAAAAAAATCGCTCAGTACCTTTCTTAGCGGGAATTTACCTAGTTCCCCAGACTATGATTCCGGAAGAAATCAGAGTGACTATCATCTACATTCGCGGGATCCATCTGACCCTAATCATTATTAGTGAACACCTTGTGAAATAATATGTGCCGCAATGTATACTCCGACCGCGAAGCAGGCTAGCAATCTAGGTCTCGGGAAAATAGCAAGTTCAAGTCTTGGACATGATTTTTCATAGCTGTGTACGTTCCCAGATTACCACGTAACATTCGAGGATCTGATGCGAACATATCCTAATCAATCCATGTGCAATGCAGTCATCTCATATTGACGGCATTTGCTTGCGCTCCGCTGGAGGCATTTTTACGCGAGCCATACCGCCTACCAAAGCGGAAGTTAAGAGAAAGGGGGCGCCTTTTTTCCACGTTTACTGGCGGATCACTAGCGCTAGCTCCATGGACATCACGTCCTAGCGTGTTCTCTGGCGGAACTGGCTCGCACCAGGTCATTTGACTCACGCTGTTAACGAGTTCTAACTGCCAATGGGCATCCCCCGTAAAGCGTTTCACACCATCCATATATCTAGAGGCTTATAACTGCAGTGAGCGCGCACCGGTCTACGTTCCACGCAAACAGCCAAGTCGCGGATACGGCCTTCCATAACCTTGGACATTCGAATTTACCCCCATGACTCGCACTCCATGTGGCACACAGCCATCTTGGATCACCGGCGCTTCATTGCAATCCACTTGGTAGTGGGGAATATTTATCCGAGCCATTTTGTCTACCGATATGGAGGCCTAGAGAAGTACAACCCTGTTTTTCTCATGTTGACGAATGGATCTCTGAGTGTGCCAAGCTCTAGCATCACGGACATCACATCGAATAGAATGTGTGGGAAGGCCCTATCGTAGTGTCGGCGGCCGTACACATTTCAATGTAGGTATAAAGTGAATACAGACGGTTCTCTGTTATTCAAGTCGAAATGGCTTTTCCCTTCTCTTCTCTGTTCACTCTTACCCTTCTTCTCGCCAGCTCTCGCGGCCAACGACAGGGAACTATTGGACCTGTCGGGGACCTCGTCGTCTCCAATGGGAACGTCAATCCAGATGGCTTTGAACGCCTCGCTGCATTGGCAAATTCTCAGATAGATGGCGCGCTCATCACGGGAAACAAGGTTAGCCTCTCAGCCTCCCGTCCACAATAACATTTACCTACGTTCCTTTCAGGGGGATATATTCCAAATCAATGTCGTCAACGATCTCGACAACAATACGATTCTCCAGAGCACGTCTATCGTACGTTTTTTTCTCTACTAGATGGATTCTACATCTCAAGCGTTCCTCCAGCACTGGCACGGTCTCTTCCAGAAGGGAACTAACTGGGCTGACGGACCTGCTTTCGTGAACCAGGTAATTTGGAGTTGCTGAACCGCTCGTGCTGGCCCTAATCTCAACTAGTGCCCTATCGTGAAAGGAGACTCGTTTCTGTATACTTTTGATTCTACCGACCAAGCAGGAACGTTCTGGTACCACTCTCATTTGTGTACGAACTTCCTGGATCTTTATTACACCGAATCGGGATGATAACAATCACTCTAGCGACTCAATACTGTGACGGCCTTCGCGGGCCTTTCATCATCTACGACCCTGATGATCCACATGCCGACTTGTATGACGTCGACGATGGTACGTTGCCAATCCTTCTTATTTGTATTGTAACATGACCTTCCGCAGACAGCACAAGTATCTTGACATTGTCGGACTGGTATCATTCACCTGCTAAACGATTGGGCTTCCCGTAAGCCTACTCCTGTCCAGACGAGACAGACGTGATGACCGATATTTATCATAGTACTCCGGACGCGACACTCATTAATGGCCTGGGCCGGTACGTTAAAATCATGTTCAGATTTTGGAGATGACTCTAACTGGTGGCCTAGATGGAGCGAGGACCCCTCTCATGATTTGGCAATAGTAAGCGTCGCACAGGGAACCCGGTAAGTGTTCTAGGTCTGTCTGCAGTTTTTTTTTTCCTGATGGATTCAATATAGGTACCGCATTCGAATGATCAACGTTGGTTGTGACGCGGCCTTCACTTTTTCTATTGCAAACCATTTGATGTAATTACCCATTTACCCCTTCAGTGGTTCTTTATTCACCTATGACGCGCAGGACGGTTATCGAAGTCGACGGTGTCAACCATGTCCCTTACACCGTAGATGAAATCCATATCTTTGCTGGTTCGTCCTTCCTCATCTTACGATGAACGTCAGCTCACACCGCTTCGTTCTTCACCTTTTTAGGCCAACGATACTCGTTTGTTGTCCGTTTCTCCTCATTTCTGGAACGTTAGCACAATAACTAATACATGGACCAGTTGAACGCCGACCAGGAGGTTGGTAACTACTGTATGTCAATGTTTTTCCGTCATCACAAAAACGCACTGACACTGACATCTTAAGGGATTCGTGCCAACCCAAGTATTGGTACGCTAGGATTCGAAGGTGGGATTAATTCTGCCATCCTCCGATACGAGGGTGCAGATGAGGTGGAACCCGAAACCGCATCTTTACAAGCGTATTGCAGTTGAACGAGACCGAATTGGTGGTATGTCCCTCTAACTTCACCTCTGATTCCCATTGAGACTGATGAGCGTCTCTCGAAAGCCTCTCGAGAACCCAGGAGCCGTAAGCCCAATGTACCTTCGCCGATAGTCATTCATAGCTTAAATCCACTATAGCCTGGATCCCCCGAAGTCGGAGGTGTTGACTTAGCGCTCAACCTGGCCTTCGCTTTCGTCCGTCTTCCCTCATATCTTACCTTCTTTACTTATGAGCATTCAGACAACCTCTGGAGTGTTCACGATCAATGGCGCCTCATTTGTTCCCCCGACAACTCCAGTTCTTTTGCAGATTTTGAGCGGTGCGCAGAATGCCAATGACCTCCTTCCCGAGGGCACTGTTTACCCCCTTCCGGTGAACTCTACAATCGAAATTTCTATGCCAGGCGGCGTCGTTGGTGGACCGGTGAATTTCTTCATAGTACTTTATGCACGACATTATCTGATATCATTCATACCAGCACCCGTTCCATTTGCACGGCGTAAGTTCTCGTGCAAATCTTGTTCCCTGTTTGTTCTCAGGAATTTATCATGATTAGCACACCTTTCGATGTCGTCCGAAGTGCTGGTAGTACCGTATACAACTACGAGAATCCCGTGAGGCGAGATGTCGTCAGCATCGGTAATGCGGGCGACAATGTTACGATCCGGTTCACAACTGATAACCCTGGACCATGGTTCCTTCACTGGTCAGTTGTCTTCTATCACTTAGATTGATAATATGCTCACCCATAATGCCTGTCTGTAGCCACATTGACTGGCACCTGGAGGCGTGCGTAACTCCTGCGATCCCGCTTTGTTCGTTCGCTAATGACTCCTCTGGTAGCGGACTCGCCATTGTTTTCGCAGAAGCTGTAGAGAGCTGGAACTCCACTATTAATCCCACCGGTATGTCTAATTCCTCTGGGGAGTGTCATTCTGACTTCTCAATCTCGTAGATCAATGGGATCAACTCTGCACAATATACGATAATACGCCTGATGAAGATCTTTAAGATGCTTCTGTTGCCTGAGTAATACTTATTATTTCGAAGTTTCGAACAATTGATTTTATAGACTTTCATTTATTTGCTCTGGGCTTTTTTCGACTACCGCTCGTCTTGAATAATAATATGTCTCTTGTTTCTTCTGGTGCTTATTTCGCTCTTACTCCGGCCACGCGCAGTATGGGATCATTTCAAGCACAACATTGCTATCGAAAGAGAGGCTACAAAACAATAGGTAGGAAATGGAGGCGAAACAATGATATACCAACGACGAAGAAACAAACCTTCTTCTACCAAGTATATATGATCTTTATCCTTTGACGAAGGTCGTCTAGGCGATGTTTGTACTACGGAAGAAACTGCACCTCGCACAGATCAATCTCCTCGAAGAAAACCGGTCGGGGCCTGCTAACATCACCACCCCTTATTAGCTGCCTCAAGCCCGCCAACGCCAGAGTCCCATCGACATCGTGACTCAGGAAAGTCAAGGACGACTGGATAAAGTAAGGGTTGACAATCCCCTTGTAACCGAAGAAAATGGAGATTGGGTAAAATGACGTCCCTCCCTGGCTGCACGGTGAGGTCCTGGAAGAAATCGCTACCACGTCGCCCGTCGATCACCAAAGTCTTGATATGTGACATGGCTTTAAGAAACTGGAGTACTCGGTGGGGGTTGGCGAGGCTCTCCATAGCATCCTGGATCATGAGTGTATTAAGAGATTTCAGGAGATGGGAGGGAGGAAAAGAGGGGATGCTGTTACGCCAAAATTCGATTTCCAAGGTAGACAAAGAAGGTAGGATGAGAATGTTATTTTGGAAGAGCTTGGCAGTCATTCCGGCGTACAAAGCGCATTGTTGTTCAGAAATGCGCAGAACAGTGACAGTAGGAACAGTGGATGGAGGGAGTTCTGTCAAATAAAAGGAGCACAGCCGAGGCCAGCCTGCGAGGTTCAATGATTTCAGAGTTGTAAGCTTCTTAAGGTGGTCCCAATCATCTCTTGAAGATGGATTGCACATGTAGGTTTCAATGCCGGACCAGGGAGGGGGAAAGAGTCTGTAGGCTCGTAGCCACGGAGCAACACTGAAGAACTCAATCACACGAAGTGCGAGGAATGAGCTCTGTAAGGACGTCGAGACGATACAGGTGATGGTAAACTAGAGAGAGAGAGAATCGTACGCTACTGCCTATCTGAGTATCCCAGAAGTAGCCGGTGAGTAACCGGAGTCCCTGGTTACAGAGTCGCAAGTTTCATTGCTCAAAATGGTTACCGACCGAAGGGATCCTGTGTTCCAGAATGTGTTGACCGGCGCGGCAAATACGTCCTGGTTTGGTCTAGTTGTCGTAGCTGATAATTCTTCGAGGCGGCTAAAAGAAGTGCCAGACAGTGCTTGAAGACATGCTCGCGGTATGCAAACAGAGAGCCTTCTCCACCGTGGCGCGCTGAGATCCAGCAGAACGAAAGCTGGGTGATCAGATATGGTGCTGATCGCCAGCAACGCTACGAATAGATCCATGTTTTTGGATCTCTCGAGAATGAGCGCCAATCGTGTCAACATAGCCCTCATGCTGACTGCTCTATACTCTCGGAAGTCGAGTCTGATACATGTCCATAGTTGTGGAAGTGAAAGTGAGAGGTCCCGCCACCTTCTGGAGACATATGATAATGTCCATGGAGGCCTGCGAGGATCAAGAGAGTTGTGCAATCCAAAGCCTATTCCTTTCCACTTGGGTACGCAATGATGGAAAATCTCGCTTAGGACGTCGTCGGGAAGTGAACGCATGGGATGAAGAAGTCTTTTGGCATCGATAATGTTAGATTCAGCAAGTTGTCGTTTTTGAATGAGGGAGTCGAGAGCCTGGCGCGCTTCAATTATCTGCTGGTCTAGGGATGCAAGAGCAGAATATGATCCATCAATTAATTCACGTAAACCCTCCTTCTCGACGTCCAGTAGCGGATCATTACAGTGCAGTAGATCCTTGGTGCGGGATAAAGATGGTGCAGAGGTTTTGAAAAGGGCCGAATCAGTGCCGCGCGCTACAGAACTGGCGTTATTACAGGCACGAAACTTGAGTGGCATCTATTAGAACATGTCAGAGTCAGAATGGCAAGTGCTAGATAGCATATTACATCAACTCAACAAATTAAAAGTGTTTGTCTATCAGTAGAGACTGAGCGCTGAGCGCTGAGCTTGGACGTCCGGAGAATAATTTAAAGTGAATCGGGAATTGCCGAATTGCAATCCCAACTAAGTACAAAGGAGTCACGTGACCATTATCATTGACGCGACGCGACATGCACCCAACGGAATCAACGTGCGCACTGACTATTCCGCGCGATTCGTCACTTCCCTATGCTCTGATCTGAATTCAGTGCTGTGTTTTCGCCCTCGCCTCAACCTCCCATGCACCGACCACTGATCTCAAAATCGCATCTTCTATGCCTGAACAAGAATCACGATGTTCCGGCCAAGTAGGCAGGTCACATCCACACCCACATCCCAAGCAGATAATCCTGTCGTCTTGGCTCTCAATCCAAGGTCCTTCCTCATGAGATAGGGATGAAAAGGTAGACGTCTTGAAGATGGCAAACGTAGGATCATCGTTCGTGCGTGAAGATGTCACAAAAAAGTCTTCTTCTGCGAATCTGTGAGGGTTTGGGGTATTGTTTCCGGGAGTGAAGTATGTGCTTCACTTCTAGTAAAATATCAGCCAATATAATGCGCAAGTTACGACTAACAGCGCTTACGGTGCATCATACATCTCCCGGAACGGAAGGATTTCGTGGATGGCAAGGATCATCTGGTACAGGTAGGAAAATTGCCACTTGCATCCTCCGGGGCCGTACATTCCGCAGAGACAAGGACGTGAGCCGTGTCTGGTGATTTGATTTGAAGTTTCACTTGGCGTCGGTTCTTTGTACGGATTCGGATGCTTCGAAGCAAGACGTGCTGGAACTTGTGGAAGCTCTTTGGCAATATACGGCTTGCCTCGGAGTCTCTTTGGGTAGTTCCTTGATCTGTCCATGGGGTTGTTGGCGTACGGTGAAGAAAGAAAAAGAAAGAAACCACCCCGCTTAAAGGAAGAAAGGTTTCGAACCAACGTGTTGTGACCTGTCATTATAAGCATTGTTCTGAAGAATAACATCCCAACAAAGGCAGCCGATTTAATGGCGTTAAAGTGGTTACTAGGCAAAGTACCAGCGGTGTCCGTATCAACGATACCAGATATGTATGCGTGAGTTATATTAACGACAGTCCGGGTGTCGTAGGGTAACAGTGACATATTTATAAAACAAAGAAGTCCGTTGAGAAGATAAAGACTACGCCAATCCTGGAAGGGTTCTCTACGTCAGAGCCACGATTTGAAAAACCTCAGCAAAACGTACCAATAACACCGCACGCAGCTCTGTCCCCGGAATTGCCATTTACAAGCGACAAGGGAGTACCACCTTTGCCCAAATCATCTGTACCCGTGTGGACAACAATAGCACGCCTGAGCAATTTGATCAGAATCCACCCAGTGACGTCGTGCAACAAAACGTACCCAACGATGCTCTGTGGTCCATTGAGTGTGAGGGTGTTGACAGTTAAATCCAACTTCGCAACACCGTTTGCATCGGATTTGACATTTCCGAAATCGCCTACATGTTTCTTATCCTCAGGATCGTCAAGACCACCATGGGTGGTGTTGAAGGGATTGTAATGCTCTCCTGTAGACGTGCAACCATCGGTGAGGTTCCCGGAGTCGCTAATAAAACGGTTAGGAAAGCAAGGGGGAAAGAGACTGTTGGGCGTACTGAACGTGGAGGCCTCGTAGTGCAGAAGAATCAAGGCCTTGAATGAACCCCGTTACTGTAACGGCGCCACATTCGTTTTGCGCGAATACGACAATCCCGCTGACTGCACCTGTTCCACCACCGAGGACGGCGACAGCCTATATAATGTATGTGGTCAGCATTAGAAGAGGAGCAGTGGATTGGTTGGGCACCTGTGTGACGCTGCAAGAATCCGAGGAGAAGACGGGAAGGGCGAGTGCAAGTGCGAGTAAGAGTGACTTGAACATCGTGGAAGGAGATTGGTATAGACTGTGGATCTTGCATGTATGTTCGGTCTATACTTTATATGCCTCATGCGTGAGAATTGCACTCATGACATACATATGAGTCCCGATCGATCCCGGTTAAATTCAGCGTATCAGAGTCTTGGCGGAGTGTTTCGACGACGTACAGCATCTCCTCTAACACAGGATACAAGGTATAGGTCCACGGCGTCGTCGGGCAGGCGCGTACTGCCGCCACCGCTTTACGTCGGTGTCAATATTAGTGGTATCTGCTGGAGAATGAAGGCCTTACCAGTCAGAACATTATGAAACTTGTGAGAGGTGCTGTTTTATTTATAGGTGGATACTTGTTCAGACTCAGGCCGCAAAGACAGAACTGAACGGACGTCAGTATCCAGTCGAATCCATCCCGAGAGCTTTGTTTCAGGTATCAATTCATCGGGGTCATCTGGCATCAAAATCCACAAATCTGCATATCTCTTGTGAGGGCACGTTTTTTCACCAGGGCTGAAACGTACTAGGTCCAACTCCATACGATTCCACTTATCCTTAGTCAATGTCTTATAGCTTGTACGACTCATGGTTCCTCGAAGGCGTTATATGTACGAGCGGAAACCATTGATGTCATTTCCTCGGGGCACCACTGGTGGTACCGTAAGTAAAGATGAAGGTCATAAATTGCAAACATACTGAGTTTCGTGCGGCGTCACTGAGAAATCTGACACTCCAATTGCAAAGAGACATGAACGTCATCGACGGCTGACTTATCCGCCATTGTGTCGGATTCGGCATAGAAAAATCCACGAGGGAGGAGATTACAGTTGGCAGATACCGATATCAAGAGAGTATCAGATTCAGCAACCGAGACTACTGAGCACAACAAGAGGATCCCGAGTATTTTTGAGTAATTCCGGTTTACAAGCGTACTGGTCTAGCACTACCAGACAAAAGAAGCAGCTTAAATTGCGAAGACGCACAGAGACAGTGGGAGCATATACGCACAAGGGGCCCTTTTGAGACACAGTGCCAGGAATGAGCGACTCTGAGCGACTTTAGCGGGGGGCTGTGCAAAGAGTTGGGTCGGAGGGGCCTCTGCCAAACAAACAAAGGACAATGGGTTTCCCGCCACAGACCCCTTTTCTCTTGTCCTTCTTACCACCATCTTCCTTGCACAACGGTGGGGTCTCGGTCTTCTCCTTAGCAAGATATCCTTGCTCTCGTCGCGCTCATCGTCCTCGAAGATGTTGGTTGAAGGGCAGTCGACGGAGAGGGCTACGCGTTGCGAAGGAGGCTGAGGTCGTCATCCCCTCTTGTGCTGCTTTGGAAATTTCCACTCTATCGGCGTTATTCGTTGTCTTGCAGATTTTTTTGCCGGGTATTTGCGCGAGATTTTCGAATCCGTCTTTACCCTGCTTGGACGATGCAGCCAGCCACCATTTCTTCGCCAGTATCCGATAAGGGTCTGTCCTAGGTCTGCCTCTGCTAGCCACAGAATCATTCATAGTGTGACAGCCCCTGCCTTCGCTACGTCTAGTGTGTTGGTTTCAATCGGTGCCCAAGGGTCAGTGCTTTTTGCGACCACAGTTATACTTGTATACCCTATGAACTGCACTGTACGTGCATGCCCGAGTGCGAACAGCTGGTTTTGTGGGTCGATGGTCTGGCACCTCAGCGAGTCTGTGGTTGCGGATTGCGGCGTATGTACCTGGAGCTGGTGGGTTAGCGTACGAGGATGGCAGGCTTCATTGTTTTGTGAAGTGGTGAATTTTTTGTTTTCTGACTCTTCGCGAGTTATTGTTGGGCTGGTTTGCTACTTTTGGCATTTTATGGTGCGTTCGTAACGATTTAAACATCCTTCTGCGCTCATTGTTGACAGGTTTTCTTTGTAGTGATGGACGGTTTTTAGCATGTCCTGTCTCGCCGGCTCACTTTAATGTGTTCCAGCCACGGATATTGGTGCATACATACTTCTGCTGATATTTTCGTCCCAGGTAGGATTCGGGGGTTGTACAGATGGCGGCACGACATTTGTTACCTTCCGGAAATTTTGCTAGTTTTCATATGGATGTCTATTGTGTTCCTAACCTTTGAGTCTGTCGCTCGTATCTGAATGTCAACTTCTACGCGCTTCACGTATTGTTTCGTCCACGATCTTTGATGCTTTGGGTTAGTACCAGCACTCAAGGGAAGCTTCTCCTACGGCAGGCTTCTTCTGAGACGTCCCTCACATTACCAGGTGACTCGTGTCATTCTGTCGAAAAGCTACCGTGCTATGACAATGAGGGGTGGGTTCTGGAAGGCTGCTGCACTACGACTCCCCCTGGTTTGTTGCCGACAGCAGATGCACTGCCTATGACTGGAGTGCTTCTGCCCAGCACCCAAAAAATTGTTATTGAGGACAACATCAGCCTACTGCCGAGGCTATGAGGGAATACTCATGACGAAGTTTTACCATAGCGGCAGAGCGTAGGACTGGTTCGATACGTAGCAACATTGTTCCTCGTGTTTTTAGTCTACATCGATTAGCTAGTGCTATATGTACATACAGGGAGCCGTAGTACGGACCCCGGCACGCTTCTGTTGAGGGGCGATGTCGGGTAATAAAACATCCTATCCTATCCTACGGTAAAGCGTGATTTAATCATAATACATATAAAAATCCCCCGACCTGACCGTCTTTCTGCAACTTCACCTTCTTGTTCTCATACCAGAAGTATACCGTCATGATGCCGAGCAGAATCAATAGAAGTACTTGAAGGGAAATTGTTGCGATGATCCCCGGAAGGTATCGCGGAAGATCTTGCTGACGATAGATAGTAGTAGCAATGATCCCACCTATTCCACCGAAACTGACTGTGATCGCCGTAGTGACAGCCCGTTTAGATTGTGAGACGATATTATTGGAAGTCTGAGCATGGAAATGAGTATTGAAGCGCGAGAAAGAATAATGACATACGTATGCTAGAACACCAGGGATACTTGCCGAGCAGCCTGCACTAGCTAAGAATATTCCTGTTATGAGAGATGAGTCAAAGGAGATGTAGGAGAGACATCGCCAGACTCACCTGCATAGCGCCAACCAGACATGTCAGCATAGCCTATCAACGCCAGTCCAATTATAGTCATCAGTGCTTGTATGGCGAGGAACAATGCTCTCATGCGATATCTGTCCGACAACCACGCAAAAAATATGACACTAACAGCCTGCAGAACAAAATTGATAAGCTGCGAGTCCGATTGAAAACTCATGTCCAGCTACTTACCGTGAAAACGTACGGAGGAGTGATCTGTTCGTGGGATGAACATTAGCAGAGTGACAACTAGCCGAAGTTTACTGACAAGTAATAGAGACATCTCCAAATTCCAGCCCATGCCGCTCAAAATCGAACTTGCGAAGAATCTACGATAAATATCGTCAGTAAAGAAATATACATGAAAGCTGTAAGACGAACGCGACTGCGTACGCTGGGACTGTTTACACACAGATACATCGTAGCTACATTACTACTATGAACAGCACAGTCGGAGGTGAGAGTCAAGATACTGACCAAATATCCAGATTTTCCAATCACTGAGATGTAGCAGCACCTTTCCTCTCAATGAATCAGGCACTGAATCACCGCGATCCTCTTCAATACGTCGTAGCACCAAGGCAGTCTGTTTAGCGGTAAGGAAGGTATTCTTGTCGGGAAAATCGGGGATAAATATCCAAGATGCTATCCCAAATGCAATAGTGGCCGCTCCTTCGATGATCTGCAAGAATCAAGACATGTAGACGATCTTCAGCGTAAAGTTCTTACAAAGATCCACGCCCATCCACTGAGGCCTCCTTTGCCATCAAGAAGACTCAGAGCGTATGCCAAGATGGCGCTGAATCCACCAGCGAGGATCGACGTCACATGCATCGCAGCCAATCTACATCAAGCGAGGTCAGCCTAAAAGATTACAGCTCCCATGACACAGGCCCCTTCGTACTTCTTTTGAACTTCATAGCGTTTGTACCTAGTACACAGCATCGATGAATATGAAGTACAATGTGCTATATATGATTGGCCCACTCACCAGGTAGTCACGATGAACACCAATGCCGGGAAAAACCCTGCCTGATACAGAGTAAGCTACCAAGATGAGCCAACCATGCCATTTTATTCACCTCAAAGACACCTAGAAGAGTCCTGCAAAGCGCCAAATATTCCCAAGTTGGAACGAAGCCCATTGCCAGTTGTACAGCACCCCAAGTGATAACACCACCGCTCAGGAGATTACGGGCTCCAACTGCAGCGCAAGCACAAATTGCTTGGGAGTTCGCTATGAACATATAGTTATAAACGTGTCAAGGGAGCTTGAAGCGCGACAACATACAGAAGAATGTATGGGATGAAATAGATGCATGATACGATATTGTAGCGTGTGCCAACATCCAGTCCCTTCCAGTAGGGATGATGAATAGTAACCACAGCAGTAGGGATACATTCGTACGAGATCTGCACTCATTTTTGTAACAAGTGCTATGCCTATGTTCGTCCTATCAATGAGAGATAATGCGTAGAGAGATCCAAGTAGGGGTAAGAGCCGCCAATCGACGTGGCGCCTGCAAAAAATTGAGCATAGCGCACCGGAAGGACTGTAAAAATGAGACATACATTGTTTTGCGTTCAAACAATGCGGAATAGACTTGCTCGCCACTATCGCTGTCGGTCGCGACTTCGACATCAGATGACGATGGCAGGGGCTTCATAGAGAGTGTTGTCGTGTGTTCAGTAGAATCTGATATAGGAAACAAGGGGGGCATATCCGTAATGCCAGAAGAAGATGGAAGACCTCAGCTCGTTTCTTGATGTTTTAATAGCTCAGCAGAACTGACCAATCATGAAACCAAAGAGTTTTAGAGCATATCACCTAAATGCAGATAGAAGGGTCCCGTTGCAGTAAAGGTGCATCCATAGAGGAGAGCTATGTACAGTGCCCACCATTATGGGTCGAAGACGTACTTATTGGTTGCCGTGTCAACCGGAAGCACGGGTGCTCGACATTACAAGTCCGACACATAGTTACATACAGCTATCTTCCTACTCCCGTTAGCACCACATAGCTATGAGTATTTATGACTCCTTCAATCTTTCACGCCAAGCAGAACCGGTTTACCGGTCATTCTGCGATTGTTTATGTGGCTGAGCCGAATGAATTGGCCTTCTGATCAGCCACAACGTAGGGACACCTGAAACCGCTCACCCACGAATAGCCCACTCCCCTCGCTCCCTGTCATTGTGGCAGGCAGCGAGATCAAACTGACAAACTGGCCCTGACGAAAGCATCGGTTGCAAGCCAGGAGGATCTAGTTCAGCGAGCAAGGCCTCGGAATGTACTGGCGAGAGCACTCAAGGGAGCGATTCAACGAAATTCCAGGATTAAGTGGCAGGTAAAGAAGAATGTGTAACCGGTGAACAGGCTAACTGATGTAGGGCAGTTACCACCTGTCAGAGGCAAACAATGCGTCGTCCACAATACCGATATTTTTACCACGACATGACACAGAATTGGTCCGGCAATCCGGAAGACGCAGGAGTGCAGTCGAGAGTGTATTATTGGTATCACGTTGAGTGGAAGCCACAAAAATCTAGAGGGCGGCTAGTCTCATCAAGCAGACTCAGCAATCCGTATGAAGACGAGTTGTTCAATGAGGAAGGCAAGTTGCTTTTGTATGGCTCTCTTCTCTTTTACTTAACTCCCTTTTTAGAACTTCTCAATACTTACATCATCCGGCGTCTCATCCTTCATCGTTCTCCAGCACAAATGGTGCCAATTCCCGATAACGAACGGTAGTTCCCTAGCACAGAGGTGACGAAACTTTTGCGAACAGGCTTGCGAGTACTCTCTATGAGCTTCTTTCGTTGTAACCTGTAGGGCTTATGACTTGAAAGGACGGCCGCTGGCAAGCCACGGTACATACGAGTCCATGTATCCAGACCGTCATCTTGTGCGCGTGTTGATTCAAACTTTTGATATGCGTATCTGATTAGTGGGCTCTACTATAGGGTTATATACCGGAGTCGTTGCCGTCACATTGTGGAACATCTGTGAGGCCTTGAACGTGTCTACTACCATGTGATACAACCTGATGCGAATGTCATATTCACTAACAAGTCCCGGCCTGTCGGACGAGCCATAGTCGTCGACATAACCCTCCTCTATATTGTTACTGCCATTGACTTCGCCCTCATCTGGTCGAACATCCACTGCTCTGTATTTATCAACCACGGACAGAATCTTTGGACAGAAAATGTGTTTTATGGGAGTCCTGGGGTAACGACAATAATCAGTGCGGGTACAGCAAGCGCCGTCGGCACTATCCTTGCGGATTCTACCATGGTGTGTGAGGTTACAATGCTAATTTAGTAATTTCCGACTCAGCTTCTAACTCGGGTTAATTGATTGTAGATCTGGCGCTGTTGGATAGTCTGGGGCCGGCAGTGGGTGATCGTTCTCTTGCCTATACTTTTCCTTCTTAGCGCAACTGGTAAGATTTCCGAGATCCCTCACTCAGCTGGTCTACTTACAGATCAGCACAGCGTTCAAAATCATCGGTGAATACCAAGACTTCAACATCTCCAACGGCTACACCTTTGATTTCGTGCTCTATTCATCCTTCCTCCTCGCTACAACTTTGTGGTGCACCTCTCTTATCGTTTACCGCATTGTCACTGTAGGAGGCGAGGCAGTGGGGGGTGAAGTGAGAACTGACCGTCACATCATCGAGGTCTTGGTCGAGTTGTCGGCTCTTTATTCGGCATGCTTAATCTTATACGTGGGGTTCTACGCTCGTGATTCTTACTTGGGACCGTACTTTGATATCTTAGCGGGAAGTACAAGGGTATGCTTGTGTTCTTTCTCTGGGTTCACATCTAACAGACATGCCATAGGGAATTGCCCCGACGCTTCTTGTAGGGCGTGTCGCGGCAGGTCATGCCCGCCCAGACGACTCTTGGCAGGGAAGCGTCGTATTGGGTTCGCTCCGCTTTACTTTCGGGACGCACACCAGAGGCCATGGTTCCACGATGAGCGACGATCCTGAAGCTCAGCGGGAGGGAGATAGCGAGTATGGCCATCCCATCCTCTTAGTGGAATCCCAGGAAAATGGTCTCGACGCCCAGCAAGATAGACCGGAAGACGATCCAAACACCGTACTCGTTGTATCAAGGGATTGACGACGTGAAAATGTCTTTATGACTGCATGCATTTTTGATTGCCCTGTGTTCGTTTTGTATCCTCGTGCTATCGTTCATGCTCTACTTCTTTACTGCTATTGACTTTTATGCACATATTTTAGCCTTTACAAAGGTTTTAGTATCCTCTTACGTCCTCGTCTTGACGATGAGGGGTGGGTTCCGGAAGGCTGCCGCACTACGACTCCCCCTGGTTTGTTGCCGACAGCAGATGCACTGCCTATGACTGGAGTGCTTTTTCCGGGCATCCAAAAAATTATTATTGAGGAAAACATCAGCCTACTGCCGAGGTCGTGAGGGAATACTCATGACGGAGCTTTACCATAGCGGCAGAGTGTAGGACTGGTTCGATACGTAGCAACATTGTTCCTCGTGTTTTTAGTCTACATCGATTAGCTAGTGCTATATGTACATACAGGGAGCTGTAGTACGGACCCCGGCTCGCTTCTGTTGAGGAGCAACGTCGGGTAACAATACATCCCATCCTATCCTACGTGCTTCGATACATATATATGGTAAAGCGTGATTTAATTATAATACGTATAAAAATCCCCCAACCTGACCGTCTTTCTGCAACTTCACCTTCTTGTTCTCATACCAGAAGTATACCGTCATGATGCCGAGCAGAATCAATAGAAGTATTTGAAGGGAAATTGTTGCGATGATCCCCGGAAGGTATCGCGGGAGGTCCTGATCACGATAGATGGTAGTCGCAATGATCCCACCTATTCCGCCGAAACTGACTGTGGTCGCCGTAGCGACAGCGCGTTTAGATTGTGAGACGATATTATTGGAAGTCTGACCATGGAAATGAGCATTGAAGCGCGAGGAAGACAAACGACATACGTATGCTAGAATACCAGGGATACTTGCCGAGCAGCCTGCGTTAGCTAAGAAGATTCCTGTTATGAGAGATGAGTCAAAGGAGATATGGGAGACTCGTCAGACTCACCTGTATAGCGCCAACCAGACATGTCAACATAGCCTATCAATGCCAGTCCAATTAATGTCATCAGCGCCTGAATGGCGATGAACAATGCTCTCATGCGATATCTGTCCGACAACCATGCGAAAGATATGACACTAACAGCCTGCAGAACAAAACTGATAAGCTGCGAGTCCGATTGAAAACTCATGTCCGACTACTTGCCGCGAAAACGTACGGAGGAGCAGTCTGTTCGTGCAATGAAGTTTTCATTAGCAGAGTGACAACTAGTCAATCGGATTTTACTGACAAGCAACATGGACATCTCCGCATTCCACCCCATGCCGTTTAAAATCTCACTCGCGAAGAATCTACGATAAACATCGTCAGTCAAGAATTATACATGAAAGCTGTAAGACGAACCCAATTGCGTACGCTGGGACTGTTACACACAGATACATCGTAGCTACATTGCTATTATGAACAGCAAAGTCAGAGATGAGAGTCAAGATACTGACCAAATATCCAAATTTTCCAATCACTGAGATGTAGCAGCACCTTTCCTCTCAATGAATCAGGCACTGAATCACCGCGGTCTTCTTCTATACGTCGCAGCACCAGGGCAGTCTGTTTAGCGGTAAGGAAGGTATTCTTATCGGGGAAGTCGGGGATAAATATCCAAGACGCTATCCCAAAAGCCATGGTGGCCGCCCCTTCGACGATCTGCAGGAATTAAGACACGTAGATGATCGTCAGCGTAAGTCCTCACAAAGATCCACGCCCATCCGCTGAGGCCTCCTTTGCCATCAAGAAGACTCAGAGCGTATGCCAAGATGGCGCTGAATCCACCGGCGAGGATCGACGTCATATACAGCGCAGCCAATCTACATCAGCAAAATCAGCCAAAAATGTAACAGTTCCCATGACACAGGCCTGTCGTACTTCTTTTGAACTTCATGACGTTTGTACCTAGTACACAGCACCGATGAATGTGAAGTACAATGTGTTATACATGATTGGCCCACTCACCAGGTAGTCACGATGAACACCAATGCCGGGAAAAACCCCGCCTGATACAGAGTAAGCTACCGAGATGAGCCAACCATGCCATTCGATTCACCTCGAAAACGCCTAGAAGGGTCCTGCAAAGCAACAAATATCCCCAAGTTGGAACGAAGCCCATTGCGAGCTGTACAGCACCCCAAGCGATAACACTACCGCTCAGGAGATTACGGGCTCCAATCGCGCGCAGGCACATATTGCTTGGGAGTTCTCTATGAATATAATGGTTATCAACTTGTCAAGCGAGTTTGAAGCGCGACGACGTACAGAAGGATGTATGGGACGAAATAGATGCATGATACGATGTTGTAGCGTGCGCCAACATCCAGTCTCTTCCAGTAGGGATGATGAATAGTAACCACAGTAGTAGGGATGCATTCGTACGAGATCTGCAGTCATGCTCGTAACAAAGGCTACGCCTATGTTCGTCCTATCAATGAGAGATAATGCGTAGAGAGCTCCAAGTAAGGGTAAGAGCCGCCAATCGACGTGGCGCCTGTAAGGAACTGAACATAGAGCCCCGGAAGGACTATAAAAATGAGACATACATTGTTTTGCGTTCAAACGACGCGGAGTAGACTTGCTCGCCACTACCACTGTCGATAGCGACTTCGACATCAGACGACGATGACAGGGGCTTCATAGAGAGTGTTGTCGTGTGTTCAATAGAGTTTGCTCTAGAAGACAAGGGGGACATATCCGTAATGCGAGAAGAAGATGGAGGGCCTCACCTCGTTTTTGATGCTTTAATAGCTGAACGGGACTGACCAATCATGAAGCCAAAGAATTTTAGAGCACATCACCTAAATGCCGATAGAAGGGTCGCGTCGCAGAAAGAATGTGTCCATAGAGGAGAGCTATGCACAGCGCCCACCATTATGGGTCGAAGACGTACTTATCGGTTGCCGTGTCAGCCGGAAGCACGGGTGCTCGACATTACAAGCACGACACATAGTTACATACACCTGTCTTTCCACTCCCGTTAGCACCGCATAGCTATGAGTGTATATAGTAACACTTACTTGGCTCAGGCCATGCAGTGTGACTCGGAACTTTACCCTTTACTTTTTTAATTGATTTTGGCAGCTACGATCCCCGTCGGCCCGCTGGCCCCATACACCGCAGTCTCCCATCGAATCCACATGACCGACGGCACGAATCCGAAATTGATGACGATAGCGACTACCAGGGACAAGGCTCGAATGGTGCTCAAGGCACTGAAGTAAGGTACAGGGAAAAAAACTCACTAGGCCCAGAATTTATATATATGATCCAACGAATGTCGACCGTGTATCGTCTCAAACAGGAGCCCAGCACACCCTTAGCGACATCTGAAAACCTTAAAATTGCAAGGAAAGGCCTCCCCCAAAAGATACGCTGCATTGAATGAAGTGGCTGTCCGAAGAGAAACAAGTCGGAACTCGGGCCGTGAAAAAGCTCCTGCCAAACAGATAAAAGTTTTCCCACCATTATCTCTTTTTCTTCTACCACCATCCTCCTTGCGCAACGACAGGGCCTCGGTCTCCTCCCCAAGTACGATATCTTCGCTCTCTGCCCGCTCATTGTCCTTGAAGATGTCAGCTGAAGGGCAGTCAACGGAGAGGCCTTCACGCCGCGAAGGAGGGTAAGATCTTCGTCCCCCCTTGTGCTGCTCTGGAAAGTCTACTCTATCGGCGTCAATCGTTGTCTTTCCTCGGGTATTCGCATGATATTTTTGAATCCGTTGTTACCCTGCTTGCATAATGCAGACAGCCTCTATTTCTTCCTCAGTATTCGGCAAAGGACTGTCCCAGGTCGTCTGCCTTTGCTAGCCAGAATCATTCAATAGTGTGAGGGCATCTGCCCTCGTTGCGTTGATTTCAATCGGTGCCTACGGGTCAGTGAGCGTATGAGGATGGTAGGCTTCAAAGTGAGACGGCGAATTTGATGCTTTCTAGCTCTTCGCGACTAGTCATGCTTGAATTGGTGCGTTACTTTTCTTTGTTATTTTATGGTTTATTCTTAATGATTTAGCTGTTCTTCTTCAGTTCATTGTCGACAGATCCCTTTAACTTGGGATGGTTTCCAGCGTGCCGTGTTCCATCGACTGACCTCGACGTGTTTCGTCGTGGATATGGCGCATATATCCACGTTAGCTGCAGGTTCGTATCTTTCGCTCAAATGTTCTTTCGTATTCTCATTCTCTGCAGAAATTGGTTCAGTTGTATTACTAGCTACATCGAGATTTGAAACAGCACAATACATCAGTTTAATTCTCTTTTTACCAATGCTAGCACGCAAACTTGTGTCGCTGTTTGAGTGGGACAATTTTCTACAAACTTGCATACTTTCCCATGACAGCATGGTTTGCCATCACGAGTTTCGCGTTTTCCCTCGGAAGGGAGAAGATTTACAGTCAGGGTGGTTTCGAGAAGTCGTTCTGATCCGCAGAGAATCGTTCTGATCTTAAACCCTTCGATTCGGGAGGTCGTCATGATAGTGGTGCGGTTTCCACCGTTTCTACTGGGATGGCTTGCCGGGTGTGTAGACGCCTCGCACTCGTACTCGCATCAGAAAATCTCGGAAGTGTTATTGATGGTGACGGCCATCTCTGGTCTCTGTTGCAAGGTTTGGTATTCTTGCGGGTGTTCAACATTTCGCTGATCTTTTGACCCGTCAGTGATATTTGCTGGTAGTTATTTTTGCGGCAGTTCCGGCACTGGCACATCTACGATCAAGGGCGTGCAGGCCATCGAAAAAAGGGCTTTTCATTCTCCGTTCTCTCCCCCGACACTGATGCGGTGTACATAGCACTAAATGAAAACTTTCCCACTGACTTTCAAAGGCTGTTGGACTCGGCAGGGTCCACGACTGCCAAGCCACCAAAAATTGATCTCATGATATAGGTCGTGCCTGTTTCTCTGCTATATAAGTATGACGCTCTTCTGAAGCGTCTCCTTTGAGCTCCTGCTCGCCACCCGGTCGTTTTAATCCGCCATGCTCCAGTTTGTGAGCGAGTGCCTCGTGATCGTCTCCATCTCCTATCCGATCCTTTTCTTCTTCGTTGGGCTGCACCCTCGCTCAACCCATCTCACGCCCATACTACTCCTCGGGCTGACGGTTGTGTCGACGTTGATCGTTTCGACGATCTTGAATTTTATTCTTTGGTTATGGGGGGAGACGGAGGGGAGAGACGAAGATTCGTGTTGTCGAGAGAAGGGGGAGGCGCTGATCTGGGACGACAAGCCGATGTGAGTATCGTTCGTGTATGTTCACGTTCTTCGCTGAAATTCCTGCAGACCGGAAGACCTTGTCTGAGAGATCCGTACTGAGTCGAAACATCTTTTTCTGGGCGTTGAGGAACTACGTTATATATCGGTCTTTGTGTATGGAAGGATAATTGATTCCGAAAATTTAGCGGTCCTTTGGTCCGAGTTATCACCGGCGCTTGAACTCTTCTCGCGGCTCATGTTCTGATGACAAGATTTGCAGCGGCGGTGATAGGTTGCATCCAGTGTTGCAAAGATGAGGTCGGGGCTAACGACCAAATCTGTGCGTTTTTATCTGCAAGGTTCCCGGAAACCCAAGTCTGTTCATCATGAGAACTCATTGGTACTCTGGATACGCACCGTTTCCAGCTCGAGGTCTCACCCAAATATGATTCTTAGTACGAATCAGTCTGCTTACCGGAACAAACTTTGTCGACAACATGCTTGATACGGCAGATTGGTTTCAGTCTAGCTCACGTAGGTTCCGGTCGATGCTATCTTTCTTTTCAAACAAGATTCACTGCCATCCAACGCTGATGTCACTGACTGGTGAATCTTCCGCAAGGGCTTGGTGATGTTCTTACCGTCGGGGCATCGACAGTCCTTCCTTGGCTCTTCCGGAAGCTCTTATGGCATGCTCCTTGGTGCTCATATCACGGGCTTCCCGTGCCCGGTCTTCCCTTTTTAGAGAGCTCATCATCGCGCGCTTCAATTTATCAACTAGTATTAGATCCGGCCGTTGTGTTTGTCCGATCTCAGAGTGTATACATATTATATATGGCTGCATGCTGCATTACAGCTGTCCAGGCCATGTATATTGGCCTGTATATGAATTCTTTCCGGCGCTTCCTTTGTTTTTGAAAGCCGAGAAGGTATAAAACAATTCTGATAGCGTATTCCTCTTCCTGACGCTGGGGGAATAATAGGGTGTTCTTGGCGTTTCTCACGAGCCTACTTGTACCCTCCAAAGCAGGGTATCATAACTGCCTCTTTCGTCATAGAACTCGTCCATTAGATGGAAGATTAGTTTGATACGTTCCAGGACGTACTATTGTGATATCTACTATACAACAGGTGGATGTCGGATCCTACTTCCATCGCCGCTCCCATTGGCTACACACCTCGCGCTTTTCATTGGCTCTTCGCTTTTTTGGCCTGATTTTGTGCTTCTCGAGCGCTCTTCAACTTGCCGCGGTGATCATAGTCAAAATAGTCAAGGTTTGTCCAAATATCCGAAATTTACCACTGCGATCATTATCTAGCCAGAAGTTTAACTTGCGTCAAGTTATCCACTAGAGAGCACTGGGTACGAATCTACGATACAGAAAATTGAATGGAACACCTCGAGGAAGGTGAAATTCTCAGATTAGAGGTATTTGGGAGTTCGGAGGTCATTCAGTTGTAGTGACTCCGTATTAAGGGAAGTAAAGTAGTTTGCGAAGCTAGACAAGGGTACATAGACTCTATGCATAGTGATTATGAGCTGTTCAAAGGCTATGAACTGTAACAATGTGTGTGAGTGGTCTTTTCAGTCGAAATGCCAATGTTGATTCATTATGGGCATTGTGACATCGAGAGGGAGTTTGCTTGACTTGCCGTATTAGATTTTGATGAATGATACATCGTAAAGATACTGTGCAATTGACATTTCTATACTACCTCAATAAGTGTTCTTAAAGTCTTTATGGGTCCCCGCTAGTGTTCTAGTATAATCGTCATACGTGCCAATAACAGACCTTGAATTTATGCTCAAACACTTGAGTGATGCATTGGCCAAGGATATAGTTCTTGTCATCCAAACAAGACTTGGAACATCGTCAATGTCGATCATCAGTGACGACAAAGATGCAGAGAGTGCGGCCATTGGTAAGCGAGTCATGTCCTCGGGCGGTGGGAGTGTCGTAAGGTGAGGGTGGGGCACCGCAGGATCACGGCACATAATAATTTAATTGTGGACAATCGTTGGACCAAGTGGGTGTGGGTGGAGAACACGCAAAACTCGACAGCCAAATGTGTGATAGTGGCGGGAGTGGATTAATAGGTGAGCATCTTCGCCAAAAATCCTCCTCTGACGTATAGTCAAACTTCGCAGTATGGATCGCTAGCTTCTAGATGTTTGGGAACGGGGAGAGAGCGAGTTAGGAGAACTTTGCACACACAAGAATCATCCCTCCTCCAGGTCTGTGATATCAGAATATATAAGTAGTTCGAACTTCGTAATCGCCGGAGAGGGTTAGGGACTGGACTGAATGCAAGAAGGAGCAACATGGGCCGGTGAAAAGAAGGATGCATAATTTTCGTGTGAGAGTTCGACGGATCTGAAGAGATGATATCGGCCACGTAGCCTGGTAACCAATTTGGCTCGTAAGAAGAGGGACCGGCTCAGATCTATCGGCCACGTGGAAGCCAGGCTCTGCATATTAATGAGCAGGACGCCAAAGCAGCGACACGACCCCCCTCGTATCCCTTCGAGGGACGGTCAAAAATCTGTTGAACGTGTCGGGTAGGCAAAAGATCAATGCGGTCAGTAATTTCCTCGATGATTTCGGTAGTAAAGATGCTACTTATGTATTTTGATAGTAGAAGCCGTGATAGACTCGTCGCTGGGTGTGCGTCGTAGTAAGAGAGCAACAGAGCAAGTTTTAGATACTGAGATAAGAGGACGTGCTACTTGATATGATCAACGCCAGAGCGGTTACCGCATTACTTATTGTCTTTGTTTCCCCGAGACATAAATGATAACAATAGACGCAGAAAAGGTTGCCTTAAATGTTTGAATGCAAAGGATAACAAATTAGTCGATGATTAATATTCCGTCAGAGCTCATCTGGGAAGTCGCATAGAGTTTCAGTATAAGTAGTAAATTAGTCGTCGACGCATAAAGACCGAAGAGGGTCGAGGTAGACTATTTCACTGTCGTACTAAGAGGAAGGAGCTCGAAAAGAAACTAGATCGCTCTGGCCTGGCTGTTCGGCAAGAATCGACACGTGATTGAAACGCGACTTGACGCGTCATAGATCGAACGCGTTTCTGATACGGGTCAAGCCGTCGCAGGAATCTCAGAATAATGACGGTGTTAAATCCCCGTACTTAGACCCATTGTGCACTGAGAACTTACTGAGAAATCGTGATGTAAGCTCTGTCCCCGAGCTAGGAAACCCAAGATACAGTAAACAGTACTTAACATAAAGTTAAACAGTAAAACCCTCAAGGAGCTCTGATGTACTTCGGTAGCATCCTGTCAGACAGTATGGAGTTAGTAGCGTAGGGAGGATGTGCCTTGTGCAACTGTATCAGTTAATTTGAATACAAAGTAGCCGGCCATAATTCACACGTGATCGACGTGTTGAAATTTTTTTGAAGATCTTGATTTCGGATTCTGAGATACCACGATCATTGTCAATCAGTCACTCTCACCAGCACTCCGATGGATTTCTCAACAGTCACACGAAACAAGACCGGTTTTTTACGTTATTCCATTACCGGGGGACGATGCTGTTTGACAACAAACTCGATGGAGATCTAGAACACCGTTAGCTTCTCCGACTTTGTGAACACCGCTACTTCCTTGTCTGATCCCGGATCTGTGCCTTTGCTCGCATGAAACCTATGTTATAATTGACAATGCACCCGCCCTTGTCTTTGCTATGACTTTGCTAGAGTTTAAGCAAAGTAGTAATGCCACTGTGACGGCTCATCATATATAAGAACAACCTGCCTTGACTGATGTAGCTCACCGAATTCACGATGCCTCCTAGCTCGTCACCCAAAGGAGGCTCATACCTCGAGGAGCTCCCTGCAGAACTCATCCTCGAAATTGTCTCTTGCCTTGATGTCCCCAGTATCAAAAAACTCAGTCTCGCCTCGTCTACTCTCCACCGTATCTGCTTCCCGGATCTCTTCCAATACCTATTCTTCTATGATTTCGGTGACAGGACCCCGCGCAGATGCCTGTCTGACATGCGCCGCCGTTGCCCAGTTCCCTGCGTCCGAAAACTTTCCTTCAACGACCTTCGCGCGGATGTCAAATCACAGGCACTATTGAAGTGGTGTGCCGCAGTACGAGAATTCGAGATATTATCCGCATCCAATCCGAAGCTATACGCGCCACTCTTATCCGGACTTGGGGACCTCAGAGCCGTCGAAATTCATCGGGTTACCTTCCAACGCGTTGCAGACTTCTTCGAGCTTCTGCGTAGCCTGTCTGGCACGGTCAAAGATCTAACAATTGGAAATACTATAGAGTTCGTTTCCACTTCCGACAACTATCCGATTCTCCCGCAGACTGGCAGGAGGATCAAAGTAGAGAAACTTGTTGTCGGCTCATGTCTAGTCCTAGAGCTCCTCCTACGAGATGATTCTCCAGTCGAGCTTTCACATTTGAAGATCGCAGAAACCAGATATGTAACACCATCTATCATCAACAAACTCGGTTATCTCAACCCTCGTCTTGTCAAGCTGGTCATCCAGGATCCTGCGTTGGAATCAAACAGTGGTGCGTGCCTCTACCTTCGTTCCCTGTAATCCTGTTTAAATAACATATCACAGAATCTCTCGTACTCCCTGCTGTCAAACATTTGACTCTCTCTTTCCGCCTTTCGGAGTGGAGATCCACACCCCTCAGAAAGCTCCTGAACCATTCGGAGGTCAATTTGGAAGAGTTAACCATAAAGTTCCCATTCGAAGTCATCTTGGAGGAAAGGGGCGAGTGGGAGGGGTTGGCGTTGATGCTGTCACGGCAATCGAAGTTGCAGGGATTGAAAGTCGTGGCATTATTAAGGCCATCTAGAAGACAAAACCCTCAACTTTCTCTCAATGAATCTCGTCACCTACTCGTACACCAGCGCCGAAGAATACTGGCGATCCTGGAGAACAGTCGCTTCAAGGTCACGATGGATGTTGCTCACCAGCTTTGAATGTACCAAGCTACTATATATAATGTATGTTTAACGTCACTTGAAAATCCTTTCAACTTTTAGATCCTTCATACTATCGCCGCCAAGACCGAGGCAAAGAAAACGCGTCCTATGAATAATGACGAGATGCAAAAGTATCATCCATTCAATTTCAATGCTTTTAGCGAGGTGGAAGTAATTACACCGCAAAATGTCCAGCTGGTATATACGATGAAGAAACAATAAATAGTCATAGCAGTAGTCTGCGGATGCTTAATGGATAGAAATATTAGCGTCTGTGATATAGAACATAACCTAGAAAATAAGAAAAACGGTATAGTATATTTTGACACGCTAGCACGCTAGTAAGGACTAAGTATCGTCAGTCTAGAGACCATAATCATGAAAAACAACTCACCTTCAGGCAATAACAGGGACAGGCGCAGATCGAGCCCCTTCTCCATTGCCATCATGTACTGCTGCTGCAACTCGGGTGTCTAGTAACACGTCAGTATGAACCTTGTTAGGCTAGCGACTGGGACACTTACCGTTATCTTTGGGGTTTAGTGGCCACTGGTATTGGAGAGCTCGCTCGCTCGTCGACCCAAGTTCAACGAGAGGGGAAGCGGATGGATCATCTCCGACGACAATACTATTTGGTATGGTTGAGTAGCGATAACGTCGGAGAAGATGATACGTACGACTGCTCAAATACAATCAGTGTCGAAGCGCGATGAGACGGCTAGCACCAAAGAATGTATATGGAATACGCACAATTTTTAAAGACTCTGCAGGAGTTGGGTCAGTATCGGGCATTGGAAGTTTGAGACGTATAGACTCACCAGATTCGCCTGACCAGCCCAATGTCGTGGTCTCGCCTTTGGTGACGGTATACCTAGAAGGCAGCTTAGCAACAGAGTCCTGTGGAGAAGCACTATTGTAGAAACGTACGGCGCGTCGACCGAAGGTTGCCCCGACACGATTGAAGAAACATAAGCGATGATGAAGGGCCACCAGACGAGCTTGGACATCGTTGATTTAAGAGGGAGAGGGAGGAGTTGTAAAGATGAGAGAGAAGAGGTGTAAGCCGAATGATTAGCACCTGGTGAAGGACGCGCTTTTAAAAGACTTTCGATTTCGTAAAGTGGAGGAACCAAGGAAAAAATGTGGCGCATTTGAGGCTGCAGTTTCCATGACTGCCAGGTCCCCTTAACGTGTCCGTGTCACCGGCAATGCAAAATTATCTGGTCCTGTTCGGTGAAATCAAAGGGGCAGACGAAGGGATAAGCTGGGGCTTGCTGTGGGCGCAGCGCATGATTGCGGCAAGGCTGACTGACGTCGGCGGAAATGCAATGATCATGTCCTTGGTCAGGCATGAACATTCGTCTGAGGCTAGGAGACCTTTCAGCGTCTCTTTCTCTCCATTTCGCCGTATGATTCGTATCACAGTCAGAGAAAGCACCGAGAAATAAGTAGAGTTACGAGAGAATGGAGGACCCGAATAAGGGCGGAGCTCTGTCTGTGCTCTATTCAGTCCTCCATTTCATTCTCGTTCAGGCGAAACCGATTTTGGCGGATTAAAGAGTTCACGGTAAACGATACGCATCTGCTAATCATTTTCAGTATATATTACGGAATAGAATCAAACAACAGACAAAAGAAGTTGAACTATCAGCATCCTGGGACAGTGATAACAGGTAAGTAACTTCTTGTGGTCCGGGTATCATAGCTCCAAGAAACGGGCATTCAACGAACGCTTCGGCTCCGAAAAGCACATGGTCACAGGTTGCCGGTAGCGGTTGCTACCGACTGCCAGCCGCAAGTTCGGCTGCATAAAGACATTGCATTTCATCTCTGACGGGGGCGACATCACCTTGACAAGAAAATAGCGGAACATCTGCATCTGCATGTATGGTCAGCATAATAAAGTCTCCGTAATTGAGCAAAATGTGTTATGCAGTGAGATCGTCGGATGAGTTTACCCGACAGTGACGGCCAATTCATCTAGGCACATGAATTGCACACGGGAAGAAATTTTTATTGCGAGCGGTGGGGAAAGCCTAGAAAAAAGTGATCAAACTGACGACTATATCACGACGACGAGGCACATTTATACGTACCGACAACCTGTATCAAAAGTTTCATCTGACAAGATGCTGGATCCTGTACAGCTAGATATGTAGCCACTGAAAGGATAAAATTGAGAACGCTTTATTGACTGTTCTTAGAAAGGGGACTGCAGGACATCGCGAAGCAAAATGGGATGTCCGTTTATTGCGACCCGAGTCTCGCCCTCGAACTGCAAGCTCGCCGCTTGGTGATGGCTAGGTATTTGACTCCAGTACTGGAAATAGTCAGAAGGTTCGCTGGATAAAGAAGGAAATATGCACACTCTTGTGCCACGAAGCTTCCGAAGAAGACAGACATTCTTATGTCTGGACTCATGTACGAGATCGTGAGTATTATCGAGGGACGAAATGTCAAGATAGAGGCTCACGGTGCTACCCTGACAGATCCGCCCTGAGTGTCTGTTTCTCGTCGTCGGGTACGCCACAAATGTCGTACAGCGGTGCACCCATACGGTACGCGGACACAGAGCGGAATGAGGTAAACCATCCAAGCCAGCCCTGAGCGCCATTCATTTGTTTGTTATCATCGTGTGAGATAGCTGGCACTCGAAGGTCGTCCACTGCAACTGAGTATGGTTTTACAGAGGCGGGACGACCTTCCTCTTCGTCTCGGTCCAGCATAGCTGAACCAAAGTCGACAGGAAAGTTCATTCAGACAGACCTGGAATCAGCGGTACGTATACAATCTCTCGATACCATGCCGGCATTACTGCAATGTTAAGAAATCACAACTCGGGACCCCGTAGGGAAATGCTGCGCAGGCTGAGGGTATGTACTGTGTATTCAACAATGTTCTGGTCGTTATGCACGTTCTAATGAAGAATCTAAAATGGGCTGCGCAATTCCAACAGTCCAGGTATTGTCCAGGTCGGAAAATTATGTTCAGATGGAATACGGACATACCTCTGCATCCTTCTACTTGTTTTCTGTGTGTATGTAGCCAAGACGAGAACGTCGGTGTCTTGGGGAAAGGAACCTGGTCGTCAAGTGCCAATAAAGAACCTCACAGCCACATGCCTTTCCGGCCTAAGTATTTTCGGCCGCAAATTCGGCAATACTTTCCAAGTTATTTCCAAGTAAGAGCAATGCTTCAAGATTGACTTCAAAATTATTTTGAAACCAAATTATACCACTAATCATCTCAAATGAAAAGTATACAACTGTTCAAATTTGTCAAACTTCAAATGGATTTTCTAGACTTAAGAGCACTTCAGATGTTACCGAGATACCGAGATGCCGTCTGTCTTTAAATTACCGAACCTCGTGCCGTCGGTGCCTGCACTATGCGATATGATAGAGGAGAAGAACGGCGACGAGCTGATAAAAACTAGATTTGGCATCCTTGGGAAGGGGACACGTCGGATATTAGTGCAAGGAACGTTCAAGGCGTTGACAAGGAGAAGGCGAAAGAGAATGCCGACTGGTCTCCACACGCTCATGTGGTAATGATGTGGATGGCGTGGCCCATAGAAAAATATGTATTTAGAATTGACTACCATCCAAAAAGCGGGAACGTAACTGCCTCCCTGTGGTACCAAACCTCGACACCTAATGACGGATTTTTGACCAGCGATCCTTTCATCCTATTCGCGATGATACGCATCGCCTTGTCCAACAGATGATAATCCACTCTGAGCACAGAAATACTCTCCAGATCCGAATAGTTTTTCTCGCTCAAAACCTCGCTTATCGATGCCCAATCGACGGAATCCAGATCTTCCGGATCTTCTAAACCCGAACGGGTGTCGGAGAGGGTTAAAATGATCTGTCTGATAGACGACGAAGTGATCTTTCGAAGGATTGCAGGAACGTGTCGAGTTTTTTTTCCGCCCGTCTGATTTACTCGTGGAAAGATAATCGAACGCAATAGTCTCGAGGTTTGGGTGGCAGTCAAAATTGAGGGCGTCGTAGAACTCGTCCACTAGATAGAACGTTAGCATAGTTCCGTTCCAGAGTACATTATTTTGATACATACTACACTTGTCCCACGTGACCATCCTGGCCCATAAGGCTATGCTCAAATGCTTGAGCGACGCGCCCGTTATGGATATAAGTCTGGCCATCCAAACGATATTCATAGCACTGTCAATGTTGATCATCAACGACGACAATGACGGGGAGAGTGCAGGGATTGGGGATCGAGTCAGGTCTTCCCGCTCCGGGATTATTCTGAGGGTGGGGCACATCAGGTAAACGGATTCCAACGATTTAACCGACAACGCCTGGATCAAGTGATTCTGTGTAGGGAACACGTAGTATCTGAGAGCCAGGTGCGTGATAGTGGTGGGGCCGGATAGGTGGATGAGCATCTGCGCAAAGCCCTCCTCCGACATATAGTCAAACCTAGCAGCATGGATCATCAGCCGCTCGATGTTCGCGAACATGGAGAAAGCGAGGTCGGGTAGAACTTTATGCAGCCAATAGTCATCACCCTCCGGGTCTGTGCATCCGCTGTATATAGTTCCATCTCTGTATTCGTCGGAGAGGAACAGTTCATGGACGGAATGCAAGAAGGTGCAGCCTGGAGTGGCGATAAGCGCAAAGAAAGACGCGTAGTTTTCGGGCGTAACATTGATGGATTTGAAGAGATGAAATCGACTGCGTGGGAGCCAGGCTCGGGAGACCAATGAGCAGGACGCTAGAGTGGCGACACGCCCACCTTTGAATCCCGCTGACGAGTGGCTAAGAAGACTTTGGATGTCTTTGACGGGAAGACGATCAACGTGGTCAAGGATTTCCTCGACGAGTTCGGTAGGAAAGCTGCTTTGGATGGTAGTGGTAGAAGACATGGGAGTAGAGGGCGGATTCAGTCGATAGGCGTTGTGGTCACTGTAAGAAGGAGCAATGCAAGCCTTCAATAAGTATTTAAATAGTACAAGAGAACAAAGGGCCACTGCACGTGTTTTTGAAACGTTAAAAAGCCAATTGGCAATAACGCGTTATTGTACCTTTTGTCCTTGTTTTCATTAGAAACCTACAGTAAAATAATAACAATAATGGTCGCGCCAAAGGTTGCAAGGCTTCTGTTTGAATCCAAGGATAGTCATCGATGCATGATACGGTCCTTCAAACATGTAAGCCGTCTTGTAATTTTGGTTAAACTAAACGTCTTCTACATCACCAAGCAGTGGGCGGCAAGAAAGGCTCACGCCTCGAGGAGCCCCCGTGTCCTTGAAATTCCCTCATATCTCGGTGTTCCATCATGTCAGTCACCAATCGCACAGGCCGGGCCCCCCAAGAGACCCACACCAATGGATTTCGCTACGCATTTGACAGATACCGAGGGAAGGAGAATGCTCTCTTCGATCTACCACCACAGATTATGGCGTAGCACGAACCTCTTGAATTCAGCAGAAGAGCGAATCGGCTACCATGTGGTTGTTAGTGAGGTAGCCCTAAAATGGGAGACGGATGAGCTCACATGATGCCAGCAACCGAGTGAAAGACGTCGCTTCTCCGTTCCAAGAAAAGGTCAGATTCATCCTCGATAAATGCATTACTTTCCTACATCGCTCGATGTAACATTGTCGTAGGTGATATCAACCAGTTCCGGGTATGTAACATGGCGCCGACTGAAGGCGCATAGCAGCAAAGAGAGATTTAATTCGACAGGTATGAAATACATGACTTCGATGAGGGACATAGCACTACTGCTCACCAAATCCTCTGCTACAAAATGAGAATATGATAGAAAGAGTAGGATAAAGACACGAACCTGCAAATAACGTAGATATATGCGTTAATATCTGTGGGAAAAAACATGTGGAGATCAATCCGATGTGGTGAGGTATATCAACTCATTGACCGAAGATATCTGTCAATAATAAGCTGCAGAAGAGCTGTTTAAAAAAAAAGAGACGTACAAGCATCCCCACACCAGTGTAACAAAGGCTCGCAAAGAACCAGAATGCAAAAATTGACCACCACGCAAAAGCAATGGAGCTCGACATCCTCGTATGCCCAACCAGAACCAAAAAGCAACGTCCCATGCGGCTATCCCACAAGAGTTAAATGCCATTGTGCCCGAGCACGCACATAGGAGATACGGCTTGTATTAGCAAGCTAAGCCGTGGGCGCAGTGGTGTCTCTCGCCGCGGCGAGCACCGACGAAGCCAACGTACCCATGTACAGAGGCAGCTGAGAACGTCGCATTATTGAGAACTACTACCTAGGCTTGTGACCATAGGTAGCAGAACTCGCAAGCGAATCTCGTGTCGGCGACTAACGAAGCAAGTGGTGCTGGCGTCCACAGAAGTGAACAAATAGTTCCTGAAACTCGGGAGGGCAGGCTTTTGCAGCTCCGCCAAAACAACCCTATTGCAGCAACTGGCGTCTCAATAGATACGCGTACGACGTCGATAGACGGGAAATTCCAAAGGACCACAAGCAACGCCGACGACTTCACCACAAAGCCTATTTTCATGACGGGCAACCCTCTCCATTGACAGCCCTTCAGCCAACATCTTCGAGGACGATGAGCGCGACCAGAGAACAGACCGTATGCCGAGGCATGAAGGAGACGACACTAGACCCTGTCGTTACGGAAGATGGTGGTAAGAATAAAAAGAGGAATGGCCACGGAAAATAATTGTTTTGTTTGTTTGACACTGCTTGACACAACCGGGGCCAAAACCTGCCGAGTCCCGGGCCGAGCGTCTGGTGAGCTCGTACACTCGAATGTCTGCGCACCTCTTGTCCAGGTATTACGCTTTTGTCAATGATGGAAGAGATTGAAGTCGACATCGCTGTGTCAGGGAAGCTGATGACTTTGGACACTCTCCTATGAAGTTCCATCGCCAGTATTCGCAACAGATCAAGCACTCGAGACTGAAAAGAATCGTACGATCTTACCGTCGTCCTGCCATCACTCAGTCTAAAGGTAGGAGAACTGGTCTTCGCATGCTCTTATATATATCATCGGTAAGAATCCCTCTACCTGTGTCTACGTAAGATTGTAACAAGATACTACCATCCAAAACGCGGCGTCATGACTGTTTCTCTATCGTCCCAAAGCACAATGTCTACAGACATACTTTTCTTCGTCAATAGGCCTTTCATCCGTTCCACGATTATATCCATCGCCTTCTCATATAGGCAATAACTTACTTTGAGCACATGTATTGTCTCCAAATTCGAATAGCTGTCCTGGCTAAGAACCTCGCTGATCGATGCCCAATCGATAGCATCCAGATCAGCCAGATCATAAATGCTCAAACAGCTATCGCTGAGTGTCAAAACGACCTCCCTGATAGACGACGAGGTGATTTTTTGGAGGATTGCAGGAATATGCCGAGTGCTCATCCCCAGCCAGAAATCGCTTGTACATAGCGAATCGAATCCAATGGACTCGAGATTCGGATGGTAGTCAAAGTTGATTGCACGGCAGACCTCGTCAACTACATATATGGAAGATTCATTCAGTTCTGTCGGAGCATGTTATTCTGACACGTACTGGCATCATCATATGAGGTTATCATGCTAGGCACTATGTGTATACTCAAATACTTTAGCGATGCGCCGACCATGGACATGATCTTCAATATCCAATCAATATTAGAAATTTCGAGAATGCTGATCATCAGGGATGACAAAGATGCAGGGAGTGTAGCATTTTGAAACTGAAAAAGCATATCTTCGGGTGTCGGTTTTTCTTTGAGTTCGGGGTATCTCAGAGACAGGGAGTTTAACGCTCTGCACGAGTACAGGGTCTGGATAATTTGGTCGAGGGTAGAGAAAATGCAAGAGTTGAGAGCCAAATGTGTGAGCGTAGTGGAGAGGGATAATTCGGACAGGGTGTTCATAAAATCCTCCCCTGACATTAGGTTGAACTTAGCATCAAGGATGCGCAGCTTCTGAAGATTTGTGAACACGGAGAGAGGGACAGTGGGAAATGCTTTGTGCAGCCAATGCGCCTCCGAGTCCTCCGGCTGATCCTTTCACTGCTGTGGTAAGCCGGTATTTCGAGGGGGTCAAATACCTTTGTGTTTTTTGCACCGTATTTTAGTCGCAAATCCACCTGAGAAAATACTGAATGAAAACCTGACCGTTTTTTGAATGAAATTTACCTAAGAAGATTTCGGGGGCAAATCCCGCTTAAAAATGGTGCGTATTTGGATCCGTATTTGGAAGGAAGGTTTTGGCGTACAAAGACGGATAAAAATACCAACCGTCTTTGTTCTGGGATTTACATAAGGGATTTGGTCTCCAAATCCCGAACAAATACCTATGTCAGCCAACAGACAAAGGGTTGAGTATTTGTTGGGGATTTGGGCTCCAAATCCCTTATGTAAATCCCAGAACAAAGACGGTTGGTATTTTTATCCGTCTTTGTACGCCAAAACCTTCCTTCCAAATACGGATCCAAATACGCACCATTTTTAAGCGGGATTTGCCCCCGAAATCTTCTTAGGTAAATTTCATTCAAAAAACGGTCAGGTTTTCATTCAGTATTTTCTCAGGTGGATTTGCGACTAAAATACGGTGCAAAAAACACAAAAGTATTTGACCCCCTCAAAATACCGGCTTACCACAGCAGTGTTTGGCAATCCGTCCTCGGAACCGTATATAGTCTCTTGTAGGTCTTGTCGTCCAAAATAAATAGTGCGGATGGAATGGATGAACGAGCAGAATGGGTTGGTAATGAGTTGTAAGAAATGTGCATGATCTTCGTGTAAGATGTAGATCGATCTGAAGAGATGGTATCGGCTACGTGTGAGCCAGGCTCTGCAGACCAATGAGCAAGAAGCCAGGGTAGAAACGCGCCAGCCCTTGTATCCCTCTGACGGGTGGTCAAGAATACTTCGAATGTCTTTGGCAGGAAGACAATTAACATGGTCAAGGATTTCCTCGATGAGTTCGGTGGGAAAGCAACGTTGGGTGGTAGTGTTGGAGTTTCAAGTGTCGCGCATCACAGCGCAGTTGACGTCGGGATCATCAGTTGTCAGGGTTAGTCAGGCAAGAACTCATTTATTACATCCTGTTGCTTCTATTAGTGTACACGGTGAGTAGATAAATAGGTAGTCGAATGAAGACAACCCTCGCCTGTTTGCGAGGGTTCCCTGCTAAATCCGAGTGAGCGGCTGGAGAATTACCGCTCATTTCAACAGGTAGTGGAAACAGACATGGACGTTAGGAGGTAGGTATGGTCGATGGATGTGTGCTATCGTTGTAAGAAAGCAACGATGCAAGGCTGACGCAAGGAACTCGTATAAATTCTTGTTAGGATGAAGGGGCACGTGATCAAACGTCTTATTAACAGCAATTAACGGCGACGGCGCCTGACTTACAACTCATTGTTCCCTGGAAGCCTACATGTAAATAACACACAGGAATATACCACAAGAATTTCCTGTCCATAAAGCCACGCTTTCCACCCTCTCGGCGCCGTACTACACGGAACATTACCGCACAAAGCAGCTACGGCTTTCAGGCCACCGGCCCACCGAAATCTGCAATGAAGCATTATATATCAGGACAAAAGACATGTTTATCACCGAGAAGAATAAAGAAGGACCTGTATCTATGGGCCCAGACATTGGGGCAAAAGTCCGGAGAAAATCGATACTCGAGATTGAGGGCAAATCCGGACAAGATGGCTGCCAGGTGGTAGGAGGTCAGATCAACGATCTGGAAAAACGACCACGGCATGTGCCGACAGTCCATTGTCTAATTTTGAACTGACAGGTTTGGGTGTTAATCACAATTCACCCGCCATTGTCTTGCGGTATATTCCCTGGAATGATAGCATAGGTACTGATGCCACCGTGGTGGCTCATCATCCCGGATTATATAAGAACGGATTCCTTGCTTGTTGTAATTCACTGAATACGGGATGCCTCCTAGCTCCTCGCCAAATGGATATTCCCCCCTCGAGCAATTCCCTGTAGAACTCGTCTTCGAAATCCTCTCATACCTTAACGTCCCTACCATCAAGCGACTTAGCCTCGTCTCTTCTACCCTCCGCCCCATATGCTTCCCCGCTATCTTCCAAAGCATATCGATCTCCGCCTACAGGACTCCACGAGATTTCCTGACTGACATGCGGCTCCGGTGGCCAATTCCTTGCGTCCGAATGCTTTCCTTTAACAGCGTTGACGCAGACCTCAAACCATACGCACTATTGCAGTGGTGCGCCCCAGCACGGGAACTCGAGATGCGGTCTATATCGAATCCGAGGCTATACGTGCCACTTTTATTAGGCCTAGGGGAGCTCAGAGTCGTCAGACTTGATAGGATCGCTTTCCATCGTTTTGCAGACCTTTTCGAGCTTCTGCAAAGTCTATCCTCCAAGGTTAAAGATTTAACGATTGGGAGTGCTGTCGGGTTCGCATCCATGCCATCAGAGAACGACCCGATCCTCTGGACTAGAAAGAGGATAAAATTAGAGAAACTTAGCATCAGCACCTCTCTAGTTCTGGAGCTCCTGCTACGGGAAGACTCTCCAGTTGATCTTTCGCAATTAAACACGGCAGAAACGAGAAATGTAGGGTCGCACACCATCAACAAGCTTGGCCGTCTCAGCCCTCGTCTTGCCACGCTGGTCATCAAGGATCCTCCCTTGGAATCAAACAATGGCACGCATCTCCAATCCCCTTTCCGTGTAACCTCCTTTTAATACCTTATAACAGAATATCTTGAACTCCCAGCTATCAAAGAATTGACTCTTTCGTTCCGCGTCTTGGAGCGACGATCCACGCCCCTCAGTACCTTCCTGAAACCTTCGGATGCTAACTTGGAGGAGCTAACTATAAAACTCCCATTAGAGTTCGTTATGGAAGAAGGAAGAGGCGAGTGGGAATGGTTGGCGTCGGTGCTCTCACGACGATCGAAGTTGAAGAGAGTAAAAGTCATGGCATGGACGAGGCCATGTAGGATATATAAGTATGCTGTGCTTATGCTTAATGAGCTTTGTCACGAGCTCGAGCCGCGGGGTCGTAGAATATTGGCGATTCTGGCGAGCGATCATTTCGAGGTCACGATGGATGTTGCTCACCTGTCTTGAAGTTATCAAGTGCTTTCAATCATCGATAGTATGCGTAGCACCAATGTAGAATCTCTACAACTTGGGAACCTTCACACTTTCGTGCCAAGACCGAGGTAAAAAAACGCGCTACATGTTGACTCCTGACAGGACGCGCCTTGGACGCCTTGGCCTGAGATATCGGCGTTCGCCGAAATCTAATCGAAACTCCGAAATTTCGCTTGCTCCTTTGAAAATTTCCACTTCACTCCTCAGACGAGTGTCTTCATTTTTTTCTGTTCCTAGGTTCCGCGTCAAAACTCTTGAATGTCTATTTTCCTGGTTCATAATGTCTTGTGCAGTATACATTGGGGCGATACTGATGAGAAATGATTTTTTCTAGGTCAGACACAATTGTCTCTGCTTGCAACACCTGGAGCTTTGGCAGGTCTACTGCCCTAAAATTCGAGATGCTCATCAACGATGACGAATTTGCGCCACACTCTAAATTTATATAATCCCTCGCAAGTTGGATGATGACGTCGGCTGCGTCATCACACGCCATGAATCGTCGGGGGTATATAAGGGAGGAGTTGGCTTTTCGATCCCCACCATGTCTCTACCTCCCGCTCTCAAGGACGTCAGCGCGCACCCGAAGAAAGGCAGCGTCATCGACCCTGTCGATAAGGTCGCTAAGGATGTCGACGTTGACAGAAAGGTATGTCTGGCGCTAGGCGGGACGCTGTATGTGCTGATATTCGCATAGATCAAGCTATACGGTACCATTCAAGCATTGCGACAAGCACGGCTACCAACGAACAAGCAACTCGATTCATGGCTCAATTATGCGCTCGACCACCCGCCTGTGGAGACTTCGACGCTATCGAAGGATGGTCAGAAGCTCGTCGCCGACATTCAGGAGATTTTCAGGACCCTGCGCAATATGATAGAGGAGAAGAATGGCGACGAGCTCATACAGAACTGGATTTGGCAGACAAGGGAAGTGGAAATGTCGGACATTAGTGCAGGGAACGTTCAAGGCGTTGACAAGGAGAAGGCTAAAGAGGACGTCGATACAGGTGTGTGCCAACCCCATCTCTCCTCCCAGTTTGAGTATAAAATACCTTCGCAGCTACGCGCCATGTGCGCACGCTCGTCAATCTCGTCTTAACCAACTCCGAGTTCCGAAAGCTCATCAAGGATTTCAGCGTCGTAGGCCGAGATCTCGCAGCTAAAGTCATCGCTCCCAGCGCCAAGCAACTCGAAAATGTCGATGAGAGCGCACCTGAGGGCCACTTTGTTCCCGACGAGGAGAGGCTGGAAACTCGGCTTCCCGGCGTGAGCGGCCAGTCTGACATCGTTGATCCTGGGGAAGTCCAGAGGTCTGTCGACGCTGAGACCAATGCAAGCGATGAAGAAGACAAAAAGGTTTCAGGTATTATGGGCAAAGTAAAGGTCCGTGGTATTTTTCATTGCAGCCTCATCGTAAGTTCACGGTGCATGCAGAATGGTCTTTCGAACGCCATTCCTCAGCAGTACAAGGATCGCACGAACGAGAAGGTATCGAACGGCAAGCAGTTTTTGAGCGAGGAATATTTCCCCAAGGAGAGAAGGGAGCAGTGGATCTGGAGGGCCAAGAAGGTATTCTTGTCGTCGGCATTGCTTCGAGTGTATTGATGTTTTGGGTACAGGTCGTAGTCGAGTGTCAGAAACATCAAGATTATCAAGAATCTTTAGGATGGTTGCTGGACCGCGTTGAGGAGTATGCAAGCCACGGACGAAACATCGTAAACGGTGCCCAGAGTGAAGCAGGAGGGGCCTTGAAGAACGTAAGAACGAAAGTTGCTTTTCTATTCCTTTCTCATGTCGTTCCAGACTCAGCTTCAATCAACACTCAGTCAACTGCGTACGATTCTGGAGCGCTTCGCCAACGGCCTGTCGATGGATCTCATCATTGACCCTTTCTACGCACTTGCCGACGATGCTCATCGCGATCCAGAATTACGTGCGTGGTTTAAAGAAGGTACACAGTGGTTGCGGAGTGTCCTCCTTAAGCCCGGATACATTCTCGAACGTCAGGCCGGCTTTGACGGACGCAAATGGACTGACCGGGGCAAGGTCTTCTATGGTACAGATGGGAAGTATACGGAGCACTTTGACAGGCTTTTCAATGGCACCGGCAGTTGGCTGAATGGTATTGGAGACGATCACACCAACAGGAAATTTGCCGGTGGATGGACTCGACTCATGAAGGATCTTCTCTTTGCCGAGGATGGTTCATTAACATTCAAAAGTGAACTTTGGAGCGACGTTCGCAGGACAGTTCTACCGATGCTGGTTAAGAAGGTTTGGTTGCCTGTTACTCCTCGTGTTCCTTCTGACTGATCTGCTCCAGGTTGGTTATATCCCCATTCCGAGAATCGAATACATGGACGATTCTGTTAATATTGTCGTGGAGAACCTTACCCTTAGCGGTCGCAATCTGTTCCCCAACATCGTATCTATCGAGGCGCACAACTATATGACGTTCTCACCGTACAGTGTCATCCAAGAAGGTACCGAGGAAAGCCGGTGAGTGTTTTCATTGTGTTTTCGAGACCTAAGTTCAACGTATTCATAGGCATGAGATTAAGTTCACGCTTGCTCAGATACAGGCAGACCTACGAGACGTAGCCATCTACTTCCATAAGAAAAATGGGATACCCAAGGGGAAAGATTCAGGGCTTGCAGATATTGTCTTAGGCGGACAAGGACTAACTGTGAGTCTCGTCGCCGTATTCACATTCAGTGTTGTAACATCGGTTCGCAGGCTACTGTTCACCTCACGTCCTCATCCAAATCCGACCCAACATCGGTCTTTACCATCAAGAAAGTTAATGTCAAGGTGGATTCGCTCAAATTTTCTCTACGCGATTTCAAGCACGACTTCTTGTACCGGATGATTAAACCTATTGTCCTTCCTATAGTCAAGAAGGAGATTGAGAAGGTGGTAGGGGATGCAATACGGACCGGTCTTGAGTACGTCGATGGAGTGTTGGTCAATGTTAGACAGGAGCAGGAAGCGGATGGCAAAGGAAAGATGGACGCGATTCAAGAGGTAAGACACTTCTTTCATACTTGTGTATAAACCTGACGGGAGTTTTAGGTTTTCAAGAAGAAGAAGGACGAGGTCAGATCGATGGCTAGTACGTCTACGTCTACGTCACAATTCAAGGTTGTGGCGAACAAACGAGATTCCATGCTGGCGTCCGAGGGCGACCCTGCTGGATGGGTAAACAAGGCGGCAGAACGCGAAAAGTTGGTGATTCAGGGTGAAGGATGGCGGAGCGACGCGTTTGATATTGTCCCCGTTCATTGATTGCCTTCGTCCGTGTTTTTTTTTGTCATAGGCGTATTTCTTTTCTAGTAACGAACGTGTTCTTGTATTTTTTTTTCGTACTTGTTTTAATGTACATAAGCACGTTATCATTTTACGTCGTTGGTTTCGTGGATTTTATTCTAATATGGAGGAAAGGGACTGTAAGGGAAAGAAACGTGCAGGGGACGGTTTCGGATGGGACAGCATTACCGGGTGCGCCTGGTTGCCTGGATTCAAACAAAGTGAGTCGCAAAAAGAGTCACATCTGTAACAAACGCGTCATCAGACTAACTATCGCCTTATGTACCACAGTCCCCGAGAAAACACAAGTATCAGAACCCAAGCAGCAACTGACTGCCAGTGCGACGAAAATCTCGCACGGACAAGTCACACTCGGATGGTGTTCCGGATTGATCATTCCAGCCTTATTCAGCCAGATCTGGACTTCCTTCTTCCCGACTTGCCTTGTGCTGAACTGCGCTGAACATATCTTTCATTGTGCCGCGTACACTATTCAGCAAGGATTATAGAGTCTTCAAATCAATGTTATCGACGAAAGGAACTCGTCTTGCTTCATCACTAGCTCACTGACAGACTCATCCATGAAAGGCCGATATCGTCGAGGCATCTCGTAAAAGTCCATCAAAGTGTTTCGAGGTGCATTTATCGACCGTATTGCTGAAGTGCTGGGCTAACTCGATTTTTTGTTCATTTTTTGGTAGCAAATCAGGCTTCAAACACATGCTAAAATGATCCCCCAATCTGGTACAGGTTTCAAGTGTTTACGAGTACTACTCGTGAATGCTAATATCAGTTTTGATATCTCACAGCGGAAATCAACTACTACCACATGCTAATCATTCTCACTCGCGACCATTGATTCTTTTGTTTCATCCTATCAGTAATAAACGATGATGGCTGCTCGTCAACCCATCAGCAACACCTCCTCATGTTACGCATCAGTACTTTCCTAGTACTTTCCTCAGCGATACGTTTCGGTTTTGCAAATGGCACGATGCACCAACGCGACCTGAACCTCACGGCCCAACAATCTGGTCTCACCTTCGACATACCCAACCTCCCCCGACCTCAAAGCACTACTGTATCGCTCACTTCTATTCCTTCTGCATGTACGCAGTACACTGGTAGCGGCAAGGAATGCGCTGCTTCAATGGACGCGGTCAACATCACCTTTGCTGACTGTGGCTCGCCGTATACGGTCTGTCGTTGCAGCAATGCCAACATCACACTGGATGATGCCACAAACGCGCTTGCCCGTGTTCCTGTGGATCTGCGAAGACATGTTGGGACGGTCATGGTCATGCCGGGTAGCAGTGCGCACGCGTATACGTATATGAACAGTGGGGAGATACATTTCTTTGGAGTGTGCAGCCAACGAACGTGGATACACGAAGTGAGTGTTAATTACCTCTTTCCGGGAGTGCGCTGATTCGCAGTGAGCAGTCTACACATGCTGCCTCGGGAGCGCTGGGGATCAATGCTGCTAGCGGGAATGGGTCATGGGAGGAAGCGGTATCCAAGGATACCTGTGTCCCTGATAATTACGCGAAGACTGATCTCGCAGAGGTGGACATCTGATCTGTTCGTTGCTACTTGTGGCTTACTACCATCTTAGGATCTCGCCCAGATGAGTGTGGTCAAAGTGTACTCGCTTCTCAGCAATAATACGCTTCCTCCGGGATTTACGACGGATTGCATGTCAAATCAGTGGGCCTTTTTGGATGCGCTTCCTCTCTACAATCCAAACACGTTGTTCGGAGATTCCTGCTCATTTGAACCGGATAACGATAAAGCGCAGTGAGTTTTTATTTATTTATGGCTAACTATGAATTTTACTTACTCGGTATTTAGACATAACATTGCTCCGTGATGTGGCATGTATAGTTTTTTCCACCGCCGTCATTTATATTTATTCTCTGGTAAAGCAAGTCCAACGGACAGCTGATGACAGCTGTTGCATTTACTCTTTCATTACTTATGCGCCTTAAGTATCTTCTGTTATTTGAGCGATGTTTTCTCTTCCAGAATCAAATTCTCTAACTCGGATACGCGTCGCGTCGCGTGGTTGTGGCGGTACTGATGAAAGTGCCTCATCGAGTAAGTGTTGGTTCATAGTCTCGTTTGTCCGATTTCTGTTTTCAGACAATTTTGCCAAAGTCTCCCAATTCGGCACTTATCTTCCAAGGCTGACCCTCCACCCAAAATGGTTCCTAAAGGCCAAAATGTTTCGCAAACTGATGACGGAAGAAACAATGGTCTACCACTGCCCCAGCGCCTGCTTTGCTGCTCCGAATTCGTAGCATCTAGTGACCTTTAGAAACTTAGACAAACGCAGTCGTTAATCCGCTTCAAAACTTACCTCCCATAGCTCTGCAAGGTGTAATTGTGACGTCAAGAAGAACAATGTCTAGAAACTGGAAAAGAGATGAGTAAAGCACCGCTAGAAGAATCTTGAATGAATACTTACCGAGTGAGTCAGTGACGCGTTGTTTGCCTCGGCTAGCTTTCAGGGTCGGAAGGTTCGAAGTACGATACGATGATATTCAAGCCTGTAAAACGATAAGGCTACTTGAAGGATCAGAAACGAGGTCTTACCTTTTTAGCATGAGTTTGGCTCCGTATGGATTGAGGGTCCGAATTATTGAACACGAAAGCGAGCTCTAAAGCGCGAAAATAGTGAGTAAGATGCCCACTTGTTTATTGAAACCGACCTACTGCGCCAAATGATTTGGTTACGACGTCGAGTCCAAGCCCTGAGGTAGCGCAATGTCCTCGAAATGAAGACTCACTGAATGCCATGCTGGTTGGCTCCGCAAGGTTTTGAGATACACCTTTTTAACTGAGTTTTTGTATCTGAAACATGGAAATTTCAGCATCAAAATAAACCTAAATGACGACTCACTTACGCTGCCGGAGGCACGGACTCTGCACAATCAGAGTCAAGAAAGACTCGGAGGCAGGGCGAGTCATTCTGCATTACAGAAAGGCATCAACAGCACCGAATAAACGCACGAGAAAGTACTTACTACACGGCAGAAGTATGGCTCTGCAAGGTTTCGAGGTCGGAAATTTTGGCCTCAAATTTGATGAAAAGTGAGTGGTTTCAAGGGTAAAAACACTGTAAATAAATGACTTACAACGTACCTGCACAGGGATCGGCTCCGCGTGGGTCTCTTCTCGTTAGTTTGGTTAGCTGCAGACCATGTACCGCCCGTTTACAGGGAAGTTCGCACTAAGTAAATGGTAAGATTCTTTTCCCTTTCGGTGATGAAACGCTCACCCTTACCTGCAGCGCCAGCAATAGCACTACGAGACCGAGAATGAAAAAGAGAAACAAAGTAGAACACATTAGCGCTTGAATAAACGGGACCTGTAGAGACATTGTCTGTGGAGACTGTCGCCGTTAACGAATTCGGGGAAGTCGAGACTGTACATGGCACCTGGTAGAAATTCGAATCAACATCCCTCGCTTACCCACAACCCGCAACGTCGGCCCATCAATTATGTCTAACGCCCCTCGAATGCCAGTGTTCCGAATTTACGAAGATCGGCGATGGGAGAGGAGATGAAAGGGGAAGGTGCACGCATCACGTGCATATCACGGTCCGATATCATGAGTCGACACGACTTGTTCTTCCACCACCATGTCCTCCGTGTGTTCAATCCTCGGTTCCGCCTTCGAGTCACATCGTCCATGTTTCAAACCCGCTGAATATGTTTGAAGTCTGTCGCATTGTTTGTTCGGCTTCTGATTTCCTGTCACTAAATCCCCCAAGTCCCCGTAACTTGATGTGTAGGTCACTGAAACTTGTACATATCTCTCAAAACCAATTTCATCGTTCTTCCGCTTTTCTGACACTCGCCTATTTTGTCTCCGTGACAGGACTGTTCATTGATTTGATTTGAGAAGTCCCGAAAGCCGCAATCAAGCCCGTTCGGTCTCGCATGGTACCGCAATAGCAGGTTGAACGAAGTGAGTCGCAAAGAAACTGTAGCAAACGCGACATGAGGCTAACTGCAAAATATCCAGTCCTGTATAAATACTATGAAATCCCCGAGCAAACACGCCAGTATTAGAACCCAAGTGGTATCGACGTAGGTAAGGAACAAGTGGAATTTTGATTTTGACGTTGGACTTCGGCAAATGCCAACTCATAACTTTACCGCCATCATCTCGAATTGCTCACTTCTTTGATTCTCTGCTCTCAGTTCCTACCGAGTTTCTGCTCACACTGTAACTACACTATCTATCTACTAGCTCTGGATAGACGCCTCAGAGAACAGATAGATCCCAAAATTGTCTCTAAAGATTGTCTCCAAATTATTAAAACCACTTCCGCATACAGGCCCGCTTGCAAAATCGCAGCGAAGTTACGCACGATGCCACAGTGTCGTGCTAGCAGAGTCCGTCGAGACAACCATCGGCGGTCAATTTCGTGTCATGTATTGGTGTACCCCTCGCCTATACTCTTTTTGGGTGGCTATATTAAAACTGTGCAGTTGGACTGGCAAGTGCCGACACCAATTCTTGTTGGTCGCACTGGATATATTTGTCCCTCGGTGGCCAGGGAAGTGGTGATTCGGCAAGTGATCTCAGTGGTCCGGATGATGAGTCCTGCCCCCAGGTGTCCAGACCCTCCTAATCAGACACTCATCATCACGAATTATATCCAACTTAGTTGTGTTCTTCCGTTATTGTCTTCACTTGACTTACTGTTCCTGGGCGCTTCTTCTCGGCGACTGCGTGGGTGTTTGGCCCAGGATTGGGATGTTAGGCCTGGGCATCGTGCAGGTGATGGTGGTCGTGTATATCGTAGTTTGTACTACTAGTACGGATCACCATCACTGTGTACGTGATATCTGGAACCGGCATTCACCGTATGAACACTGTCGTGTAATATTACTCACCTACCTACCCACCTGCCAAAGTCCTGCCGAAACATTTATGGCACCTCCTGGTTGCTCTGAGAAGTACGATACACCAGTGTCCATCTAGCGGCAGGTCCGGGCCTCCTGGCCCTGGGTTCTATGTCGCCCATCATCTTTGCTGTATTTACTGATCTTGTCCCGGTTTGAGCATTTGGCCCTACTCTGCCTGCCTCCTTCCCGAATTGCTTTTTACTGAAATTGACTGAAGATTTATTTCGTTCTACTTCATACGCTATTCAACATGGATTACAGAGAAATTAATCCGGTACTATCATTAAAAGAAACCCGTTTTGCTTTATCACTAGCGCACTTCACCTATCCAGTGTCCATGGTGCTGGCCCAGCCTCTGCTCTCAACTTTCCCCATGAAAACCAATATTGATGAGGTGCCTCGTAGGTATTCATTTAACTGTATTTATGAAGTGCACAGTTGAACTCCGATTTTAGGTAGTGAACTAGGCTTCAAAATTATGCCAAAACAAGTTGCCATAGAGTCTGTGTTTGGTTTCAAGGGTACACTAGTGGTGAATTCTGAGCTCAGTTTCAACATCTCACAGGCAACAGCAGGAAGGAAATATCACCAGATGCTAATCACCCCCACAGCACTCCCACCCACTGATTACTCTGTTCTATCCTATCAGTTATAAATGACGATGTCAGCCCATCAATCCATCAATAGTCTTTCCCCATGCCATGCATTAGCACATTCCTGGCACTGTCCTTGGCGATACATGTTGGTTTTGCGAATGGCATGGTGCACTAATATGACCTAAACCTGACAGCTGAAGAAAATTCCCTTGCATTCAATATATCCAACCTCCCCCAACCTCAAAGCACCACTGCATCACTCACCTCTGTCCCTTCTGCATGTGCAGAGATTACCGGTATTGGCAAGTGTTGGAAAATGGGGTATCAGTTCGTTCCCAGTGTAGGGCTGCGCACCATACCATATATGGTATACGGCCATAAAACCATAATCCCAGATGGTCACGGAACTGTCCGTATACCGTACTGTATGATCAGCTTGAAAGCCTTGTCGGTGTCGGTACAGGTACCTTATGGCCGTTGACGACCGTGCACTGGAGGACAAAATGACTTTACTTATATAGAGTCACCATAGAGAATTTATGGTATGGTCTGATGGCTTTTGGATGGCTCGAGAGATGAAGAAGATAATATAAGCATGAAGGCAACAGATTTTGGAGGGGAAGACAAGTTAGATGTGTCTGAGATCATGAAGGAACTGTAAATCGCACCTATATTGAACTAAGTGGACACACATATGTATCCGAAAGTTACACATGCTACTCTGAACGCAAACAAGACAGCTGCATGGTGCTATTTTGCATGAAATTTTTGCTCTAAAGAAGGCTCTAGATAAGATGCAAGGTGAAGCTGTATTACGACATTGTACGGCCGTATGTAAGAACTCTTGACGGCTATGGAACAACCATACACCATACCGTACACATGGTCATTAGTGTGTGTTCGGCTTCGGTCCGTCTTCCATATAATGGTTACCGAAAACTGTATAATACGGTGATGGCACGCAGCCCTATCCCAGTGTCACATGCATGGTAGCAAGCCAATAGTATTGCGCTTGGCTGAGCTCTGCAAATGCATGAGGATCTATGCTACAGTACCTACATCAGGAAAAACCCACTTTGCTACATTGTGGTATGTAGGCTATGTAGCACAGGTAGTGCCATAGCACAGTCCCCCATATGTAGTGGCTTGTAGTGGACCACTCAGAGTACATAGCTGCCTGTAGCTAGGGCTGCATGCCATAACTGTATTGTATGGAAATACAGCTTCTGTGTATGGTATATGTACTGACACCATGAGCACCTTGAGCCATACCATATAACACAGCCGTCAACGGCCGTATATTTGTGGCAGTGCTACAAGGGGGGAGGACACATTTTCGAGTCCATAATTCCTCTTGAAAACAGACTAGAATTACTCACCATCATGTTCTATGGGTCTCCGAGTTGTACGTGACATATTAGGTGCCTTTGTGAGTTCAAAATGTTGCATGCAAAGCATTATGACATCATCAATAACCTCTTGAATCTTGTGAACTGGGCAAAAATGGTCAATTTCATGTCCAGAATGTGCTCTGATGATGTTGAGATGTATGGTACATTGATTTTCTTCACATTTGGCACTAAAATGAAGTCAGTTCTAGAAACATATCCAGTAGCCATGAATATGGCCATATATACAACTGTCACAGCTGTAATTGTATGGTCCGAAGCTGTCAGCGTCCTTGACCATACCGTTTATGGATGGTTATGGATGGTGTGCAGCCCTACCTGTAGCGGATGATAGCACCTCACTGAAGCTACTATATCGCAACTGTATCAGTACTGTATCTTTACATACCAAGACATACTCTGGTGAATACAGCCCATAAGATGATGCAAATTGATAGATTGGAACTAGCTACTACACTGGTATACAATGTCACCTGCACTATACCACTTACAACTTCTGATTCCCAGCTGATCTATGTAAGTACCATCTTGATCCATCCTGCCATCATAAAGTAGGCTTTCATTCTACTGACAGAGGCATGAGTAGTGGTCAATAAAAGCTCAGCAGAACAACTTACGATGGTGTGGGTTTGCTGGGGGAGGCTTTGGGGATGGGGGTGATGATGGCTGGTTCTTGGGCAATGCGAGACACCAATCTTTGGTACCATTATGCTTACAGCAATTGGGCATCTGTGGCTTGTTTGAACCCTGGAGACAATGATATGAGAACAATCAATGCTAAAATGGTTCAAGGTATGTATGTTCCAGTCCAAGACATTGATAGAACAAGATTCCTATGAAAAGCATGAAATCAGTGACAATGCATGGCATTATGGTTGAGGCACTTACCAGCAACCTTTAGTACAGGACATCCTACCCAGATGTTGCTGCCTGAAATACAAGCCATGTCAGAGCATGTCAGAGAAAGGGCATGCACATTGAAAAGTAGCTATGATGTTCAAAGCCTAACTGTGTGACACACTTATGGATCCAAGGAGCACAAATTCTGTATGGAGATTCATCAAGTATTGATCAGCTAGCTGCATTGCTAAGAGAAAAGAAGATAGAACCACAAATGAGGAAAGAGTAAAGGGGGAAGAGTGCATGGAAATGGAGGAAAGGAAGAAAGGTTGGTTGGATTTGATCGAAATCCAATGGCATGATCTTGTTGATTATGCACATGTTTCAAATGGACTTGGCAAATTTCTGCTACTCTGAATTCTTGCTGCAGTACACACTGAAGCTAGATAGAGTCCATTGTAACTGCTCCATATGTTATGGGGCATAGATCAAACATCCACTACAAGCTTCATTGACCAATCCTCTGCTCCCAACTGTGGTCTGATAAACAACTTCCTCCAGTCTGATAGCTGACATGGCAACCATTGTCTGCTTTCATTATCAAAAGGTCTGAAGAAACTTCATAATTACCGGCCTTGATGGTAGTATTCTGTAGCTCCTGCTCAAGGATACTGCTATCTATGTAGTCTCCACCAGTGCATATGGAACACTATGTACTGCTACATACTACTGAGCACCTGCTACAGCTGCTACCAGATATACATAGACTATGTATACCTGAGTGGCAGATATGTAGCAAAAGGCTTTTTCCTGATGTACTTTTACTAGAACTTTCCATGCTTTTCCTCTTTCTTCTTCCTTAATAAGTATCTTCGGCATGATGCCAGATTGCCAAATCCCAACAGCAAGAATTGTACTACTTCTATGGATGTAGTCAATGTCACCTTTGCTGACTGTGGCTCACTGTATACGATATGCCATTACAGCCAGGCATTAATCCCCTTACAATCAATTAAAAGACTGCAGCTGCAAAGCCATAGCTAATGTATTAAGGTATGCAACTGTAGAGCATAGCTAATTAATAGCAATAGTGGGGTCAGCATCAGGTGGGGCATGGTTGGGCTCTCATGTGCTCCCGCACCCCACACCCAGGACCAGAATAGGTTCCATAAATCATTTGATGATTGTAATTCTTCCATCAATATTTCTGCATGATCCCTACCCAATCTCTGCTGGGTAAATTTAGATTTCTTCCCTTGATGTGACATTTTTTGTCCTCCTGCCATTCCTTACCTGATAAATATAGAATCCATCACAGCTACCAAGTGTGAGCATTATTTATGGCTCCCTTGCATGTCATGTTATTCCCTTTTGCAAATCTCTCACTTCCGACCGGTGTGAGCACTATTATTAGGCCACAAACATGTCATGGTGCCCCCCTACCCATGATATGTTTTCCAATGTTTCTCGAGGCTTTCATCCATTTTCCCTTCTGTTGTGTCCTCTTTGCCACCTTCATGGACATGGTGATGTGTAATCTGCAATGTAACTCAAGCTTCCTCTGTACTTTTTGAACACCTTTCATGTGGAACAGCCCCTCTCAGATGTACTGGATCTGATGACTGCCTTTGACTGCCTTGTGAACTTCATCATTTCTGCTCTTCAGCCTACAACAAGTTGCTGCTGTGTTTCACACCCAGTTATTGCTGTCTAACACTGAACTGTATTTCCCACTAAGTCTGAGCAAATCTCGTTCAGGATTCTCAAAACACCAAAGTCGACTATTACCAATCACTAAGTACAACTACGTCTTCCTAGTCCTATGTTTAGAAGTCTTGGGTGCTGCTATTATCCCCCCCTCAAGCCCAGCATGCTCTGCCAGTGTCAGAATCTCCTTTGGCACAGGACCAGAATGAACTCTCTTCACCCATGTTGCTGTAAGCCCATCCTTGACCAGAGTGGATTGGCATTTATGAGTTTTACTACATGACATGAGTGGAGATGGAGATGGCAGGGATTTGGAAGCACCAGCTTCCTTGACAGGGAAGCTGTCCTTGTTGTTATTAGTAGCATTATTCTCCATGTCAATGCCATTATCCTTGTTCATCACTGGCTCATCGACCTGCTTTTCATTACCTGACAAGTCTCCACCATCCATCCCAGTGCTGGCAGAACCACTAGATTGGGGGGGAGAATGTCCTCAAATTCCATGGTAAGTGGAGATGGCAGTGATGTGGGTAGAGGTGGAGATGGTGGTGATTTGGAAGCACCAGCTTCTCTGACAGGGATGCCATCCTTGTTGTTATCAGCAGCGTTAATCTCCATGTCGATGCCGTTTCCCTTGTTCGTGTTTGTCTCTTTATCCTTTTCCTTCCCAGACTCTCTGCTGTCTATCTCTGCACCAACAGAACCACTGATTGTGTTTGACAAACAGCCCGCAGTGTCAGCATCCATTCAAATTGCTTGGGCAAGATGCATATCTGCAGCTGAAACCAACATGTCAAATCACGTCAAGGCTCATTATGTAAATACATACAATATATTTGCTGAGGAATCATGTAAATGGCATAAGATAGGTTTCCTTGAATTTAGGATAGACTTGGCCAAATGTCCTTCTGTGTTCATCTTCTCTGGTGTGAAAACTGAATGCTCCATCAGCCAACACTGTCATGAACAAATGAAAGTCATAGGTGTACCCATAAGTCGAGATCTTGCCCTTCTCCCAAGGGTCAGGTCCTCCAATTATAGTCATCATCACCCAGCTGGTCACCTTCGACAGTGCTGCCATAAATCTCTTAATCTGATCAGGAGCTGCAGCAAGAGCACTAACAATAATCTTTAGAACAAAATTGCAGGTCATAGGGTATCAACATATGCCGCATACATCTCTGGAGTGATGACACCATCCTTCATGACTAACAATGGTTCCTGCTCATCTTTCCACTTCATAACCTCAGCCTGTACATCCTCACTTTCTGCCTCAAACACTTCTTTTGTAGTGTCTTTTATTAACTTCAGTACCTCTCCTCAACTACTAATCTCAGTCTTCCTCTCATCTACCAATGGTTTGATGCGTTTGACATAATACTGATGCAAATAAATTTCTTCCGCCTTCAATGCACAAGATCTTGTTTTTGGGAAAATATTGTCGATACGAGCAGGGGTGACAGATTTTTTACTATGATTTTGAAACCATTCTCTGATGTGCTAGAATGATTTCAGTAAAGAGAACATGGTAGGAGAACATAGCTAACCTTGCAATCCATAGCTGCAGTTCTGTCACCCTGCAACAGAAACTGGGCCCAGAACATCAGCATGAACTTGGATAGAAACATCACTATAGTGGCATTCTTCCCTTTGGCTGCCTGGGCAGTACAATAGCCAGGGACCCCTCCCTTGAGAAAAGTCCACTGTTCTGCCATTGCCCAAGGTTTGGGTCCAGGTTTCTTCCATTCCACAGGAGCTGATGCAGGACCTGGCAGTGACATTGATGTTGTGGGACCTGATGGCGGTGATGTTGTGGGACCTGGTGGCAATGATGAGTCTAATGTTGCCATCTAAACAGAAGGTTAACAGATGTTTTTGATACAATAACATAAATACCATTTGTAAATCACATAGTGTACACCTAAGTCAGGGTTTTTTCTCTCCCAAGCACAAGCAAGAGATACAGTTCTTCTTGGCATCTTAGCTGCCAACATGTATGCCAAAATGCCAGAGTAAAGCCAGTTCAATTGAATCTTAATTGCTCTACAAATACTAGCAAAGTCACCATGGGGGTATTTAAACTGCCATAATCACCTTAAGGGAGCTTTTCATCTCTTGATCAATATCATCACTCAACCCTGGCAATGGCACAGCAACAGCTTAACTTAACTCCTGAAGCCCTGGCAGCACTTTTACAGGCACTTATGGCCCTTAACCTGAATGGTCAGTAAATTTTCCCTCCTGCACTTTCACCCAGACTTACTTGTTCTCAGTAAACAATGCTAATGCATCCACTGTTGCATCTACCTCTGTGATGGCGACTACCACAAGCACTGCTTATGAAGAGCCAGAGGGTGACATGGCTCCTGCTACTTCCAATGGATCTGGTGAACAAGCCATACCAAGTCCCTCTCCCATGTCCACTGGTAAGCTTCCTCTTTCTGGTGTTTAGCATGATGCTGATTTTCCAACTAGGTGCAAGCACATTGATGAGCCTCTAGGCTCTGTGCGCTCGGAATTCGTGAATTTATCAGGCTTTTCTACATCAGAGCACAGCCATTGATCTTCAGGCACTTTGATTGCAGATCCTGATTGATCAAATCCCATCATTGATCCCAGCACATAGCCACCCCACCCCAAAATAACCCAATCTTGATAATGAGTTAGAGAATTATTTAATTTGCAACAGTCAGCAGTGGTTTAGAGGTTACTAAGCCTGTTTAATTCGCTAAGCCAACCTCTTGGATTGCTTGGTAAACTTGTTACAAAGCTTGCTTACTTGCAGTGCAATGCACAGTAATGCACAATCCTTGTAGCATGCGGATTTGACTGTGCTCAACTCAGCATTGGTAAGAAAGGGTTAATCATGCCTTATTACTCAGTAATTAGTTTGCTTGTGTTATAAATCAACACAGCAGGGAACAATGTAGCTTACAAACCTGTAATTTGCAAACTAGTATAAAAAGTAGCTAGCTAATTAATTTAGGACACAATGTATAGAGCGAAGAAGGGAGACCCCAGATTATTCTCTATGCTTACCTTCGATCTCTAACACCTACACCATACAACATACACCCTTGAAGTAGCACAATAAAGACATTTTGCTGCTAGAACTTTGTCTCGAACCTTTATTTCTCTAAGCAATGGTGAACCTTTAATGGTTACTTGTGCTTACAACCCATCCCTCTCTTCTATGCAAAGTAATTAGGAGTCCCGCCACTAGGAAACTCTTTTATTGCTTTGCTTCACAAACAAATTCGCTTGCTTCCACAGCTAGGAGACAGCATTTTCATCCCTCCCATCAATGCCTTCTCTTTCTTGCAGCCAGAGAAAGTCTCGTCGAGTATCAGACCGATCCTCATCACTTCGATTCAACCTTACTGCATGAGTTTAATAATTTGCTACAGCCTCTGAGTTTGCAGCTAGAACTTGGACAGTCTCTTTAGAGCTCTTATTCATTGCACTCGCAGCTAGAGTTGCAACAGGAACAAGGTATAGTCCTTGTACATTTACTGATTTGTTTTAGGGCCTCTTCTAGAATCCCTTTCCCAATTACTTCCCTTCCTGTGAATTTTATAGTTCGCTACCACCCTCCATGCTACCAGTAGAGAAATTTCTTTATCTTTCTGAACTTAGGAGGCTTTAGTCACTGCACGGAGGTGCCCCAACTAGACTTGCTAGAACCATCCTTCAGATTCCATGTCTGTTAGCACATACCGCACCTAGGTTTTGTGTTTCTGCCCATGGGAGTCTATAGGTTCATCAATGTCAACTGACATGGGCACTGTGACTGAGACGATGAATGTCTTGAGGCATCCATTCACCAGAGCTCCCCTGCCCTCACCTATGCAACCTGTGGCATCTGGCTCTCGAGTTCCTGCCTCACAGCAGCCACCTGCCCAAGTCCATTCAGGCTTTCATTGTTCAAACTGTGGGGTGTTCAACCCCACAGTTGGGCAATCTGGAGAGGCATGGTATGTGGTGACAGCAGGGTGCAAAGTTGGCATTTTTACTAATTGGTATGCGATTATCACTTCTATATGATTTTGATTGACTGGCATTATAGGGAGGTGGTACAACCCTTGGTTTCAGGAGTTCCCCATGCATGCCATCACAAGTACAAGATGCATGCTGAGGCTGAGGAGGCTTTCCAGCTTGCTCTGATGCAAGGCAGGGTCTGTGTTCTTTGAGTGTGCCACCTCTTTTTGGGCTTGATTTACACCCTTTTTTTTTGGACTTGTTTTATATCGACTCTTGCTGTCAGTTGCTCACTGTGTTCCCTCATTTACTCTCATTTCACTCGTTTACTGCTATATACTATTTCAAAAACCTGAAAAAAAAATATCTCTAGTATTGTAGTTAGATATACCTAGCACGCCAAAAATATACTGTGATTATACCATATTAAATGCATCTGTGGATTGTGGAATGAAAAAAAAAAACCTCCATGGAGGTTTGACTTGCTTCATTCAAAGAAAAAGCTTCCACATGGTCCTTCCATTATTACGGTTTTACCTCTATTTTCCTTATCTTATCTTATCCTTATCCATCGGAATCCTGGACCTGCCTATCTTATCTCTCAGACCCATGATATTCCGCCAGCACACTCTCTACCCAGTTACCCAGCTGCCATCACCCCAGTTCATGCTTGTTACGGTTTATTCATTTCTTTTTCTTTTCTTACGCATTCACGCTTACGCTTAGCTGCGGTTCTGATCGGACTTTCTCACAGTACTATTTTTAGTTTAGTCAACGTGTATTTAAGTAGAGCCTCAGCTGGTCTAAACCCCAGCTTCGGCTAAGGTTAATTCTACCTAACATCGAACTCCGTTCTTCGTGACTATCTGTTCGCTCGACTTACGTCGCCTTTGACTTGCTAAAGTGTCATCTACCGAAGTGCGAGTAGCGACCTTAGCACGATCTAAGTCGATTCGAGTTAGTGGCTAACATTTAGCCGAAGCTCGTCTTCAGTTGCCCAACGACTTATCGTTGCCCAACATAACTCCCATCGTTCTCATAATAGTCGTGGCACTGTCGGTGCTGCGATTTCTTCTTGACGACCCACTTGGATTGGTTATTGTAACCATCCTCCGAACTTTCCTCCTCTGCGTATACGTCCCATCCCCAGTTCTTGCAGGATACCTCCTGTTGATCTGGGCCGGATTCCTACGCCATCATTAGAACCACGAAACCCTTCATTCTCGTTCTCCAGCTTGCCTCGATACTGACAATCTTGTTGTTGGTATTAACGAGCACCAATTCCGACGAAACCTGCGAAATTGTGTTGATGAACGGCTCCAATTACGAGACCGACCTCAGCTTGATTATCGCCCTCCTCATTGTCCTCACTATTCTCGCCGTCTATCAGCTTGCATGGTCAATCGTCGACTTACGCCAAGGATAGACCCACTTACGAATGCCCTGGTCCGAAGCCATTCCCGCCGTCTTCGCGACTTTTATACTCTTTTTATTGTCCACTATTTTGTACCATCTACGCCGTTGTTTTCAGCAACAGGAACGAGTTCGCACGCAGCTACCCTTTCACTACGTTCCCAGCACACCGGCATATCCACCACCAGTAATCGACATTCCCTCGGCATCCCAGCAGACAATAAGAGATGTCGAGTCCAACGCCTCCGGGAGGTCTGGAGGATCCCTCTACACATCGTCGCGACCCAGCTCGCGATCCTCAGAGTCGAGCACCGACTCCTACAGAAGCGCTTCCAGCGCATCAGCCGACTCAGTCGACATCACCGATACCAGGGGGGTACTCCTCGACCGAGGAGACTCGCCCTTACCAGGTCTCTTCGACCAGTCTCCAGTCCAAAGCGAGTCTGGCGACGATGGAAGCAGAAGACAAGACACCAGGCATCTGGTCGAGGGCGAAGAAACGCCTGATACCGAGTTCGAAGGGGACGAGCTCACCGAGTGGGAAAGAACCCGACTCGACGACCTCTACCCAAACACGGAGGAAGATGCGACCGATACCGGAGACAGCTCCAGCAGAGGAACGGGACATAAGTGGACAGACCCCGTCTGGAAGAGTGAGAGTAGGAGATACCGGGTCGCCCAGCCTGACGACTACGACAGCGACTCTGGCGAGCTTGGCCTCGGAGCCTCCGTGGCTTCCACCAGTTCAGCTCAGCCACAGCCTGTTCCAAGGTCCTGGCCGACCAATAGGGGGGAACCAGTTGCCTGGCACCCTAGAACCAGTTGGGTCTACGCTGACCGGCGGGAAGAGGCTCCTGTGGCCGGAGTCACGACCAGAAGAGAGTCCGACCAGGTCCCTGAAAGGACCGAGGCCCCAGCGGTCTCTTCCCCCGTCCCCCAGGACGAGCCGACGAGTGGGGAGCTTTGGAGCGAGTTCCCAGACCTCAACAACGAGGAACTTGGAACAATTACCGCTGCCGAGCGTCTCGCCGGAGTCTCCAACTGGGAGCCGTCAGTATCAGGAAGAGCCTTTGCCACCCCTGTCAACCAGCGTCCGTGGCCCCTCCTCTATCACACGTACGTCGAGTCCCTCAGACTCCCTCGAAATGCCCGGGAGTCCCCAGAAATGGAGGCCCGAATGGACAGAGGCCGAGCGCACGACGCACGAATACGACGTGCAGAGCAGGACGCGCTCCAAGGACCGGGAGGCTGGTGGGATCTCCCTCTCGAGCCAGATGCCACTCCCGACGAGGTCGACAACCGAATTCGAGCAGCCGCCACTCGATACACCGGGGCCGCTCGAAGAGCCGGCGCCAATCTCGAGGCTCGAGCAAGAGCCTGGAACGCCTATCAGGCCGAGATCAGCGACCCCGATTCCGATATCGGCAGGTGGAGGCGCAACAAGGAGCTTGACCGACTCGCCCGAGAGAGGCAGGAGGCCAAGGATGCCGAGTCGGCCTCCCAACCCGGCCCTCGAACCGACAGTGATGGCGGCGGTGACTCAGGTTCTTCTTAGAGGACCAGTACCGCGCCCCGACATTTTTAACATCCTTCCATGGCACGGCTTATACGAAATCATCATGGAGGATATGGAGAAGGATCCCCAGTGGTTATTCACTGACGCTGGGGAAGACTATCAGCACGCTAGGAGCATGGGGGATGTGTACCTCATGAAGAACATTCTCGAAGTAGAGACATGGCACCGAGCGGCCATCGTGTGGAATCTAATGAACCCCGAGATGCCACAGCACGAGTGTGAACCGTATCGGCGACCCCAGCCGATGCCCAATCCGCTCGAGACCGAACAGTTTTGGGCCGGGGCTGGGCCCGATGACGATAACGAAATGGACGACCCAGAAGCAGGGCCCTCCGATAAAGGAAAAAAATCCACAGTCCCACCATTGCCGCCGACTCAGCCGCCGCGACCAATATACCCCGGCGACTACCCGCCGCCGGGCGACAACTATCGCCTCCGGTCTCTGCCTAGACCACCAAATCCCCCAATACCGCCACGCATGCCGTCGCCCCCGGATCCGATTCCTCCATGGACGCTAGCGTCCGGCAAGGACAG